GCTTGCCCCACCAACCCCGCTAGCGCTCGACACCTGACTCCTCAGGCCGCGCCCGGGCCCTTGGCGGTCCGGAGCCCTCGGCTCCGGCCCCGACAGTTAATTAGTATTATTTAATTTAAGCGGTGTATTAAGGTTATATAATTACCCTTTTTTTTAGCTAATTAGTATTATTTTACTATTTTATATAATCCCTAATAAAGCTCACGTAACTAGGAGCCGGGACCTACAATTTATCGTGCGCGGGCCTCCACTTTGTTCCGTCCTCGCGCAATAAAGTCCGTGGAAAGGTCTTAATGCTTACCCCTTTCAATCAACAAATGCTTATTCTTCACTGAGACCATGCTGTTGGTATCAGCCAAAACATTCATTGTCCGCTCATATAGTGCCAGGAACAGAGCTCCAGCCAATGAGGCTTGATGCAAGTTGTGTGGGGACGCCATCCCTGCCGATTGCGGGACCGGAGACTGGACTAGTGTAGATTAGGGCAAGCGCCAATCTTCGATCCATAACATGAACAACTCCGTACTCGGTCGGATTGTAGAAGATTTTGTATGTTTACTTGCTCACTCACATAAGGAAGTCATTCTGTTTTGGATCCCCAGGCGGATTATAAGAGGCGTTCCAACGCCGGAGCTTGTGGTTGAGCCGATGTCACATGCATGTTGTAGCGTAGTACTTGCTGGCATAGCCTGGTACTATACTACCAACGGCCGAGGCAACAGTCGACATACTCCATAGAGGATCCTCAGATGAAGGCCTGGCGGAAACAAGCAAAGATCTATCGTGTGGCACTTTTAGTGACGTCTTTGCGCGGAAGACGGCGTTGTGATTTTGCGAATCGCTCGATGATCGCGGGACCGGATTACTTTGGCAGAATGTACCCAAGGAGATTTGGAGAGACCATGGCCGGATGGAAGATGGGAAAGAGAGAAACATGTGATGGAAAGTTCCGAGGAAATCACTCAACCATTAAGGAGTTCATCATGGTGATGTTTCAAAGACCTTGTTGCTTTTTGCGATCTCAATTGGGGTGCCATGAGGTGATCCTCAAGACTCAACTGGGCCATGAGTAGCCCAGTGGCCTAATAGTGTATATTGAGCTGTTGGTATGACACCCGTTCGCCGGCTATGGCCTGAGATCCAGATTGGATGCGCCATCTCAAGCAATGCTGAAATGTCCAGAGAAGGCACGCCACCAGATATCGATGTACCACATATACTGCTTGGTTGTCCTTGTTGCAAGTAAGAGACACTGCAGTTTCATGAGGCATTGCAATATTCTTACTGAATCATTGATTGCACATTATCTTATATGGACAACGTGCCTCCTTTCTTTTGCAACCCTGAGTTGGGACAGGAACGAAGGCGATATCAGAACGGCACAGCTCTGTATCGGGGGTAGTTTAGAAGCACCAGAGAGCTCAAGAGGCCAGATTGCGTGCCAGTGTGGAGTTCCAAAGCTGTGACAGACAACTATAGATTGTATAGTGCAGTTCAATGTTCTGGTGAAAGGCATAGTGCCATAGATATTGGGTCCCCCGGCAGCATCAGCAGTGCAGTAAGATTACGACAAACGGACAGAGAGCAAAAGATGAGGAGACCAAGTGCTGTAGCGAATGAACGAGTCAGGGTGAGGGATTTGTCGATGGGCAGTTTGGGGCATTCCGCGGCTGACTACGGAGTCTGGAGTAGTTCCAGTGCACTGGGCTGCTCATCCGTCCCTTCTGCTTTTCGCTCCTTCTCTCTTCCATCCTCCCAACACACCCCTCCCCTCCTCATCTCCCAGTCCCTCTCGCTCAGCAGACTGCTTGGTAAGCCGTCATTCTCTGCTTCTAGGCAGGGGCGCTTCTTAGCCTTCCTGGTAAGCGGATTATTTCTCTCGGCTCCCTGCTAGACGAGCCCAGCCCTGCCCAGTTCAGACGGATCACGCCTTCGTAATCCGAACTCGCCTTTTTGGAACTTGGAATTTGGAACTTGGAACTAGGGATTATTCAGACTGCTCTACCGCTATCTCATTGGCACGATCTACAGCCTCTACCGCAACGTTGTTTTTCGCCGGCCGTGCGATGGATGGTCCACCAGGATTGTCCGGCGCGTCTCCCGCAACTCCCGCAACCATCTCGGACCTCGTGAAGCAGTCCCATGAGCCTCTCGACCACGCAATGGCCTTTGAGTATACGGAACAGCTTCTCACACCCGAGAACAGTCGCTCCGAAACTTCAAGCAATAATGAAAACGCGTCTAACGAGGAAAAACCGACCCTACGCCGACGATCTACACGTGCGACACGCGCTTCACTGCGGGGAGCAGCACAGTTGGAATTTGACTCTGAGGTAATTGGTGATGGGCTGCAACTTTCCGCAGAGACTACGGAACATATCTGTTTGGATGAGTCTCTCGACAATGGCACCGTGCCGCGAAGGAAGAATGCCGCCTCTCGCTCCCGCCACAGTATCGCGGTCATGGAATCAACTCTACCAGCCGAACTGAGCCTTGCGCAGGATCCTATGGATGTCAATGACGAACCAATAGCTCCTGGTACCCCAATTTCGGAATCATCGCATGAACCGCAGACTGAGGAAGCGCCTGCCGCCTTGCTTCCCCGTACACTACGTAAGCGCGTGGAACAAGCATTGGCTCGGGACAAAGGTCACGGCTTACAGAAGGACTTGAATGATACAAATACAGATAAACAAACTCCCATTAGGCGATCATCTCGGCTGAGCGTACTGGGAAAGGTCTCCGAACTTGCTGGTCGAGCTACGGGCGTATTGGGCAAGCGTTCGAGCAGCTCGAGGGAGAATGCGAAAGAACCGGACAGGCGATCTAGCCTCCGACCTCGACGAGTTGATATCGCCAAAGAGGAACCTGCCGATGAGCCGCCATCAAAGAAGCAACGGGTCTCGGATCACGAATCCGTAGTCAAGACTAAATCGGAATCAGATAGCACCCAGGAGGAACCAACGCCGCCTGAAATGATAACTCGATTCAAGGAAAAGCGGTGGCTAACTCATGGTCTGTATTCTGGGCAAGAATATACGAACCTACGACCCAGCCAGAAGAGGACCGAGAAGAGGAGGAAGAGCCACAATCAAACTCAGCCTAACCATCAGAGGAGGCTTCTTCCGCTTCCAATGTTTGCTGGAGAGAGGCTACTACAAACGGGACGAGACTTTGAACTTCCATTCGATATCTACTCACCCCTTCCTGCAGGCCAGCCTAAGCCGAATGAGTGGAAAAAAACCAATAAGAGTATGTGTTGGTACCGCTAAAGATTGTTAAATTCTAATGTTTGAAACAGATGTATTTGTTGGCGAGGCGAGCAGTATCTGGCGGGCGAACAAAGTTGAAGAGTTTAACAAGTGTGTTTGCAAGCCGGAAACGGGTTGCGATCAGTACTGCCAAAACCGCTACATGTTCTATGAATGTGACAACAAGATCTGCGCTTTGGGCGCCGAGTGTGGCAACCGGAACTTCGAAGAGCTCAAACAGAGAGCCAAGGCCGGAGGCAAATACAACGTGGGTGTAGAGGTGATCAAAACCGCAGATCGTGGCTATGGCGTTCGCAGCAACCGTACATTCCAGCCAAACCAGATTATCGTGGAATATACTGGTGAGATTATCACTCAAGCCGAGTGCGAGAAACGCATGCGCACTATCTACAAGAAAAACGAGGTACATCTATCTCTAGACTTAACGCTATACTAAAGGATTGATTCTGACCCAGCTCTCAGTGCTACTACCTTATGTATTTTGACCAGAACATGATCATCGATGCTACTCGTGGATCCATTGCTCGTTTTGTGAACCATGGCTGTGAGCCCAATTGTCGCATGGAAAAGTGGACTGTGGCAGGAAAGCCCCGGATGGCTCTCTTTGCTGGTGACCGAGGCATTATGACCGGGGAGGAATTGACATATGACTACAACTTTGAGTGAGTATAATGGATTCCGGCATTGACTTTACATTCATTATACTAACGCCGTTGTAGCCCATATTCGCAGAAGAATGTCCAACAATGTCGTTGTGGTTCGGCAAAATGTCGCGGCATCTTGGGCCCTCGGAAAAGAGAGAAGGAGCAACGAGCAGAGATGAGAGCAGCTAAGCTGAAGGAGCTCGCGGACGCGAAGAAGGCAAATGCAGCGAAGCGGAGAAAAGAAAACGCTCTCAACAAATCTCGCTCGCGCAGTAATAAAAAGGGAGCGGCGTCATCCATCAAGTCCGGTGTCAGGAAGGCTGTATCAAAAGCGCGTATGACTGTCTCCAAGGCAGCTGCCTCTCGAAAGAAGCCAGCTACCGGAACATCCGCCAGAAGCGCAACCAAGAAATCCACAAATGCCTCCGCGAAGGGAACGTCGACGACCTCCAACCGGAATATCAAATTGCCTACAATAAAAGCAACCAAGGCAAAAGCAAAGGCGACAGTTCGCGTCCGGAAACCAGCACAAACAACCAAAGCCAGGATAGAGAAGCCTTTAACATCACCATCCAAGCCACGCAGTCGTGCCCCGGCTACCAAACCCATCAAGACCGTTACCGCAACGAAGAGCTCATCAGTTCGGAAGCAACCTTCCCAGTTGAACAAGGAAGTTCTGAAGGACGTCCGCGAATCAATCAACAAGGGGGCAGGCAAGCAATCACCAAGGGCGAAACCTCCAGCTCGTACATTGGCGCACTCGCCTAGGGCAAAGAAGCAGTCATAGTGAGCTCTATGAAATGTATTTGGATCCCTTTTGAACACTTCTTGGAAGCCCTGTGCCCACGAAATAGTGGGTGGCACTGCCTTCTTGGGCAGCTTCCTTTGGCCACTTAACATCACCCTGGATTCTTCCCGTTCTTGATTTCGCTCTTGCCCTTTTGGTCCAATTCTTTGATTCAGTGAATGCTTGGAACCTGGTCCCTATACCCCAACAACACCCGTGGTCTTCTGGCGTTATGTGTGATTTATTCTAAACTATGTCCGGCTTATTTCTACTCTTTTTACCATGTTTCTGTGTCGACGCATATTATGAGATGTCTTTTAGGTGTTTTGTTGGTTCTGTTACAGGAATTTCAGCTGTTCAAGACAAGGAAAGCGGCTACTACACTGTCACTCTAATCATGTCAATATACGTCATTCAACAATTATGTTCTCAAGATCAAATGTCATTTTTAACAATGAGCATCCATTTGGAAGATTACCCTTAGATAGACACTTCGAAAAATAACAAACCATCCGAACTCCAATCACCGCTAGAGGAAACCACACTAAATGCATAATTTGACAGGTTGCGGAAGAGCCGCATTGAGCTCAGTAGAGCTTCACTGGACTTGCTGCTCACCGTTCGACGAGGGCCCATCACCGGAGGTCCCTTGTTCTCGAACCGCTCCTGCTTGCGCCTCTTCTTGCCCTACTGTAGGTTCAGCTACTGCAGGTTCAGGATTCAGCGGGGAAAGCGGTTCAGCTTGCGGTCGAGAAACTTCCTTGTGGGGTTCTTGAGCGGCAGGCTGTGATTGGAGTTGTTCGGGCGCGGGCTCCTCGCGAGGTTCCGCTGTAGCTTCAGGGGTGGGATTCGGTGAAGCTTGCGCCTGCTGCTCCTGTTCCGGGTCTACCGCTGGTACAGCAGGATGTTGAACGAGGTGTTCTTCAGCGGCGGGTGCGTGTGGTTGCGCAGCGGGCTCAGGTCCAGCTGGAACAGCAGGTTCTGGAGCGACCGATTCTTGGGGCTTTTCTTCTTGTGCCTCTGTTGTGGGCTGCGGAGCTTCAGGTTCTGGGGCGGGGGCTGGCTCATTTGAGACGAGTCGTTCAGCAGCTGTAGGGGCTTCTGGTACTTTCTCCGGTTGCTGTTGCTCAATGACGGGCGATACTTCTTGCGGCGGCTGTTCTGAGATTCCCGCCGGGGTCAATTGCTCTGCTTCCGGCGGCGTCAGTTGTTCGACAGGAGGTGCCACGGGTTCTTCGCGAGGGGGTTCTACTGTCTCTGTTGTGCTCTCTGTGGTCCTGGGTTCCGCTGGTGCCTCGGTGGGCTGCGCAGGAGCGGCCGGTTCAGACTCTGTTAGGGCCACTTGGTTAGATGCGGCCTCCGGCCTTTGCTCTGGGCTAGCCTCCTTTTGCGCGTCGCTTGGTGTCGCTCTGGGTAAGTCCAGGCTCGCTTCTAAGTTATCCAGAAGATCGAACTCATTTTGGCTCGGCGGTTGGTCTGCCTGCTGAGGAGCGAAGTCGTGTCCTGGTGCTTGTTCTGGGAATGCAGTCTGCGGTGCCTCCGTTGACAGATCCATACTTTCAGGCTCGGCTTGCGGAGGTTCGGGAACCGGCTCACCCGCTTCCTCCATGGTCACGTCTGGTTGTTCAACAGTCGGCGGCTGGGCATTCTCAGCTGTAACATTCGTTGTTTTCGGGGCCCGGGACTGTTGGGGTTCCTGCGGTGGTGAAGGTGCCTTCCCTAGAGACGGAGGCTGAGCAACGTCTAGTGCCGCCTGCGATTGCAGTGTCGGAGCAGGGTGCAGGGTGTTCTCGGTCGTCGTAGCGTCCGTCATTTGGATGTCCTCCATAACGGACGCGGTTATTGCAGTTTCAGGGGCTTGAACGGGTTGAGCAGGACTGGACAGGCTGGCGGATGCGGCTGGGTTGTCGCTAGAGGGCGCTAGAGGTGCAACTGATTGCGGCGAAGCTGGTAGAGGTTCTGCAGCTGGCTCCGGCTTCGGCTCCGGCGCCTGCGACACTTGAGGTGTTTTTATATCAGCAGTAATCTCTGTCGTTGCTGGTCCAGGAGTAGGCGTTGGTTCAGTTCCAAGCCCGGGTGTAGGCTCGGGTTCTGTGCTGGGCTGTAAACCAGGCGTCTCTGGGGTTTTCGGATCAAAGCCAGACTCATCTCCTTCCCCATCCTCACTCTCCTCACCCTCATCGCCTTCATCGTCCTCATCGTCCTGCGTTGTCTGGTCTACTGACAAGCGTGAGGGATCTGTGTCTTTAGCATAGCTCACAGCGTCACCGGCTACGGCACCATGAACAAGAGCAGCGTCTGCTCCCTCGCCAGGGGCAAACATGACCTTCTTTCTCCTGCCTTTCAAGCCTTTACCCTTACGTTTGGGAGGGGGAGGCCGTCGTTTTGGTGGAGTAATAACAGCTGCTGAGCCTGCTGCAGCAACTACCACCCCCTGCGCATTGACAACGCCGACTCCTTCAATGACCGTGCCAGGGGCGGGCGCCTGGGGAGTTACAGTAGCTTGAGTACTCTCGGCCGCCACTTGAACTTCGTCGGTGATTTCGCCTTCGATCTTGTGTCCTTCAGGAACCCAGGCGGCGTAGATAAGAATATTGCCTGTGACGGGGTCAACCTTCTTGAAGCGGGTCTTCCTCATTGGTACCGATCCAGCACCATCAACAGTCCCAGCAGTAGCACCGTACAGCGATGGCAACCCTGGTCGTCTCTTTGCTAGAAATTCCACTTCTGGCGCCTCTAGATGTTTAGGGACCGTTGTCCACTTGCGCATGGAGAAGTTGCGCTCTAGGCTCTGTTGCGTCTGCTGTTCTTCCGGATCCGTAATCTCCTTTTCCTCATCGTCAAAGTCTCTCGAAGCTTTGCGGATGTATATGCACCCAGAACGAGCCGCGCGCAGAAGCGCCCGGCTCATTGGGTTCAGGAGGTGACTATCTCTAGGCATTGGGTGTTCTGGGATCGAGGGCTTTCCAGCATTTCCCGACACTTTAGATTCTGTCCCCTCGGTTTTCGGCTCTTGCGAAATGGTTTGGACCTGGCGCGTCCATCGCCGAACGGGTAGTCCTTCAAAGACATCGTGGTCAACCTGGCCGGTTCTGGTGCGGTTGACGCCGTCGCCGAATTGACGACCGGAACGGGATGACCTAAACTACGCGACGTTAACGGTTTGTTTGGCGAAATCGGGAGCAATGCTCCCCCGTGGTGCAGCGGAAGATGGGTCGAACTCACTGTTGGGGGCATGGCGCGCGACCGGGAAAGCCACCCGTTTCCCAATCCACGAACAGAGGCGGCGGAACGGAGTAGAGATGTCAGGAAAACACCTGCAAGTACTCAGTGGGCTTTGCTTCAACCGCAGGAGAATGTTCAGATTAATGGGGGAAGTTTGTGGCTGAATATGTAGGTGAACGAACTCCAAAGTCCAAACCCATGTATTGCGAGGCGCGGTTTCCCAGGCACGTGACCAGGCGAGCGTAGTATGAGAACAATTATCCGAACTATATTTGACTGCTTGTGAGAGAAGTTTGGTTTTCTGAAAGATGCGTAACAAGGCTAACGACACGTTAAGGGTTCCGAGTAGAAGTACAGGTAATCTCAAGATCTATTCCATTCTCCAGCGCCATCACCACCCCACCCCCCAATGATCATAGAAATACTCCGTAACCTGAGTCACATATCTGCTTTGTATGTCCACAGCTCCTGCAGTAGGTATCGTGTGATTTGAACATGTATATATTTTGAAATCAGTCCCAACTATAAAAACGATTAGCCACTAGCTGAAAAGCAGATGTAAGGCATGTTGAATGGGAGCTTACCCGGTGTCCTTCTGACGGACAATGCCGCCTTCTTGTCCAGTTTCCTTCCCCTATTACAACAGGTTAGATCTAGCATCAAAAAGGAGATCGTTTGAGTTCTTACCGTCTTCTGACCCTCAACGACCAACCTATCCATCTGGTAGAATTGGCTGATAACGGTTTGTCTCTATAAATGGCATTAGCACTCGTCCGCTACGGTGAGATGGCCCGAGACCGTTGCGATCCCAACAGCGGGTATTCTCTAGTGTTGGGAGGACAAGACGGACCTTCATCATTCGCAGACTTTGCAGACCTTCCTGGATCAATTCCTGTACCCTTCGTTCCTCACTCTCATGCTGATGTGCCCGGAAAGCGTCCTTCGTCCTCCGCATGGCGTATTCGCGGAAATTGTAGTTCGAGAACTGGGAAGATTGGCGAAGCAAAGACCGGAACTAGACAATACATGAGCAAAACAGCTCATTGCACATAGTCCGGGTCCGCTTATGCACTTACCAGAGACCGTGCCTGGAAGGCAGTGTCCCGCGAAAGAGCAGAAACAGACATTATGGCTCTTGAAACCGTGAGGAGGGGAGATTATGTGTGTATATAAAGATTAGATGCGAAAATTGAGATAGCTCTTTGACGCCGTTTGCTGTTGATCGCGAAGCGCAGGTGTATGGTTATGCCGGAGAGCGGCTGATGTCACTGTCTTCAACAGCTCAATGACTGGAAGCGAGGAATCAAGCCAGGCAGATCAAGGTCCACGCAGATGCTGTGCAGCTGATTATCCCCTCGACAAGGCTACTGTCATGAAGTATTAGCCCCAGATCGCAATGAGAGGTGGCGTTGACGTAGGAGCTCGGGCTTGACGGAGCCGAAGCTGAGGAACAGCTTTGTTGCAGAAGATTCGCAAGAGCAATGAATGAATCGATGAGTGAGCGAAAGGATGGCGACAGACTTACAGTATAAGAGCCGGGCCAGTAGTGTCAGTGTTGGTTGTGAGTTCGTTCGGGAAATTCTGATGCTTTTTTGAGTTCGGGATGACGGAGTTAACTATCGGACTGTCCGGCCGCGCTCCGCACTTTCTGCCTCCCCATTCTCCAACTCACCATCGCCGTCAACTTTATTCCCCGAGGTTTTGATGAGCGGTACATACTTCCATGCGCCTATAATCACCACCCAATGGCACAGCTCTCTACCCCTCCTGCTTCCCGACAGAGCTCCGAGCTCCCAGATGCCGAGCTTAAACAGCTCCAAATAGACGACCCCACGCCGGATCTCTTAGAATCTCTCGACGCGCTTCTTGAAAAGTACCTCCACCTTCTCGATAAGCACCAGAGGCTGCAAAATGATCTTGCCTCAAAGCTGTCCTCGGTATTTCTTACCTGGATTTCTTCGGGAATAGTGGCTCATTGTAAACATAGGGATTTCTTTCTCTTGCGCATGCGAATTATACATGCCAACCGGGCCGACGGTATGGCGCCGACTACTATGATGAACGGATGAAGGCTTCAAGAAGAGTGTGAGTCAAAGTCGGAGTGGGATTATCCGCGATTCTCGCTCCGTGTCCATTGGATGGAACTGGCTAAGAGGTCTTTAAACAGGATATTACAACACCCCTTGTCTTCAAACAGAAAAGACTCTAAAGCTGAGGTGGAGGGACAGCCACAGACAGACGCGCCGGTTGAACGAATCTTTGCGATTGAGTTTACCTCACGCGGTGGCGAGGATGAGCAGACTGACAAATATGAGTCGTCAGAGTCGAATGGGAAGGCCCCAGAGCAGGAGCTTGAGCAGGACAGGAAAAGTAACAACCCCGTGGAAACTACTACAACTCCTCAACCTTTGTCAGATTCCTCCGACGCAGAGCCCGAGGCAGATGCAAAGTCCGAGCCTAGAAGACGAGCGAAACGTTCCTGCGATCCGATAAGATGGTATGGGATACTAGTTCCGCCTTCTCTTCGCAGTGCTCAGAAGTCTTTCACTGAAGCAGTCGAAGGCAGTTTGCCTGAGCTAGCAGGTATTGTGGTTGAGATGCGGGCTGCAGAGAAGGAGATTTCTAGGTTGCGGGAAGATTTGGGACGGGAGTGAGAGTTTCTCGAATCTATTATTGACGCCATTCCTTGTAGGCGGTCTTCCCTGCTGTCATACATCGCTTCGACATTGAGGCTTCAAGTAGGAGACAATAAAATCAGGTGGTACACGGAGCAGGTACTAAATACGCAGTACACCACCTGCACCCTGTATGTGTAGGCGGATTAGCCTTTGTGGTGCTTTCGTCATAGCTCGGATCAATGGTGTCGATCAAGTCTGGATGATGATCCGAGTCTGGACTCTGGAGCTTTTGACCACCAGGCAGCCCCAGAGTAGATTGAGGACGGTCACATGATGGCAGTTTGTGCTTTCTCCATCTGGACGCAGACGCAGACGGGCAACTTCAACTTCAAGTCTTCAACACCAAGGCTTTCTTATATCCCCGGATCCAGCATCATGCAATACGATGGACGTTCAGAACATTTTTGGAAAGACGCCCCGAGTCCGACTGTCTCAAAATAATATATTCGGTATATTAAAGGACGGCGTCGGCGACGAAACGAAGCTAGTCAGTTAAACCAGCCTCCTGACTCTTCAGGCCTCCGAGTCCTCCTGATCGAGCGCGAGATTACCCAGCCCCAGATTGGAGTGTGAAGACTCGGAAACCTCTTCAACAAGTCTCAATTCATGATGCCGAGCGCCTGATTGGGAGTCGAAGACAAGATGTGATGCAGAACAGATGCATCGCTTGTCGCCCACTTCTTTAGGTAACAGTATCCGGAGAAGATGACTACCGCGGCTGACGAATAGACGGTCTCCATCTCGGTCTTCCTCGGCGCGAGTTTACCGTGCCCCTGGTTTCGAATGGACTTTCCGCCCGTTGAGAGTGGCTCCCCGATCAAATCTGAGACGTGCCGTTGTCTTAGCCATCTCCACACAGCCAATAGCCTCTGCCCTAGCAATCATACTGGCCTAGCTTCCGGCGCTTTCAATCAACTCTGGGTCACAACACCTAGCCAATATTCCGTCTTCGCTTAGACATCTCATGGAATTGGGTTGAGAACGATGAAACATATCAATTCTATGGAGGACAAAGGACTCGCGGGCGTTGATGTGGAAGTGTCGACTTGTTCTCACGATGAAGATTCTTATATCTTCATGCAACATACAGTAATCTGTATGCTGCCAGGTTGCTCAATTGCGAGTTGAATCTTGACAGACCTTAGCCGATTGTGCTAGCGATCCTTCGTGACTGCTTCTGCGCTAGTTCCTGCGTCGGGGTTGTCTCCACTGATTGTTTCCAATTCTAACCCATCCTATATTTGTACCAAAAATGGGCAGCATCAATCTCTGAGGCTTGGTTTGACCGTTTGAGGGTCTTTGGAACTGGAAAGACCCTTGACTTCACTTCGTTACCCACCCGGCGTGAGGTATCTTCGTCCGAGAGATTCCTTCTTTTTTCGTGCCGCCTCGTTGCCACTCTCATTCTGTCATTTCGTTCTTCAGGCAAGAGCCAGAGGCTCTCTTGGATCAGGTTCTGTTGGGTGAAGCTGTGAGTTGAGACTCTTAGAGTCGTCTTTTGGTCATCTGAGACTAACGACTTCTTAAGGTATTTTCGCTTCAGCAGCTTGCCAGGGCCTGAGACGCGGGGACTGTCAACTGCAATGAGGCTCTGACGTTACATTCCTTCTTTATAACATTTTTGTGGTATGCAAACTCTCCCAACCAACTGCCATGTGGCTTGGAGACACCGCAGACTCATATTGACCGCGGTACCTCAGAGGCATTGAGTGCCATTCGCATCACAATCCACTTTCTTTCCAGCCCTGGGCTTCTGGTTCTCAAGTCCCTTCAGTACTATCGTTTACATTTAGCGGCGCCTTCAACAATTGATCTTGATCAGGCTTGAGATTCGTCCGATTACGCTTATCCTCCATTCTTTCAGCACCTCTGAACGCCTTCTCGATACATTGTTTGGGCCGTTTCTTGTTTAAGTATACTTTGCTCTGGTGGTAAAACTATTTCTGGACCAACATCTAGATCGATGCTATAGATCACTACCTTTACCGAAAGAAAGTCGTCGCTTTCACAAAAATGGATCCAACTTCGAAGCACGGCTGGTCCGAACCTCGAGCCGCGGAGAGGAAGGGTTCTGTTCGTCGCGCAAGGGAAATGCTAGAAGTTGGTAAACGCCCTAAGATTCGAGCTCCTCAGGCAAACGCGATGCTACCACCCGAACCCCGTATGTCCCAACAGACTGCGTGGCCGTTATTGGGTGATGATGGGCCCGTGACAAACGCCGTTGATCCCCAGGGGCGGCTGTCAAATATGGTGGATTCACAAGGGAGACTTCTCGGGCCCAGAGGGCCTTCGCCTCAGCACCCACCTCCTCGCCCAGCTCGATCGGATCCTCCATCGCCCTCTGTGTATTCTGAAAGGAGCGTTCCAGACGCTGTTCCTAGTCCTCTACATCTCAACAACCGCAACCGCGCCCCATCATTCTCTCAGCCGTTTGCCAATCAGCAACACATCCACCCTGCCCTGCGGGAGCCCGTGCCAACAGCACACGATGACATGTTTAGGAAGTCTGCAGCCTCGTCCCTGGCTTCTATCCCTTCGATACCCGACTTTCCCCCGCCACTTCCTCAGAACAAACATCTCGCACCTCCGGCCCCTATACGTCCAGGTATGACTCGCGGGTCCTCTGTCTCGCCAATACCCGAAGAATTGCCCGATAGTCCAACAATTTTAAACAAGCCATATGCCAGACTCACCGCATCCAGTTGGAATTCTGAGCAGCGGGAGTCCGAGGTATTGGGTGTGTATATGGATGGCGAATCTGATGGGACGCCTGAGTCGCCTGAACATGCCGAAGTGACTCTGGTTCGACAAGCTAGCGTTGGAACCCGAGGCAAGCCTTCTTTGCGAACCATCAGTAAACCCAGCACTGAGGCTTTGGTCGGAGGAAATGGCAGAACAGGAACACCAATAGGACAGACCAATGATGCCCGTCTTAAGGAGGTCGCAGCTGGTTTGGCCCGGCGAGACTCCTTTACCTCGTCCTCATCCGAGGAGTCAGACATCGACCCAGAAAAACCGCCAATTGTGCTAGGAGACGATAAAAGTGCACACCAGTCGTATAATAGCGACGTGAGATCTTTTGAGAAAGTGGCGGCGTTTCCCCAAAGAGCTCCAACTATGAGCGAGATGAGGCCAGGGGCTCGCAGGCCGCCTCGCTTGAACATCAACGCTGTGCGCGAAGCTGAAGCCCGTGGTAGTCTCACAAGTCTATCAGACTTGATTAAACGTGCGACAAAACTTGCAACCAACCTTGAGCATGGGCGGACAGCAAGCAGGAATGACCTTCTGAACGTTGGGGGTTCTAGGCATCCGTTCGGTAGGTTTCAAGCTATGTTTGGTGATTCTATCTTTCGGTCCAACTAACAAGTACATTAGGCGATCCTAATCGCAGATCAGGCTCAATAAAGGACATATTAGCCTCGTTTCCTAACCCTGCCGCGACACCAGAAGGCCGTTCATCTTGGCCCATATTCTGGAGGAGATCCACACTTCACCAACTACACTCGCAGGAACAGGGGCGAGAAGTGAACCAGGAGAAAGGCAGCACTAAAAACCAGCGGCGCCGATGCTGCGGAATGCCTTTGTGGGCGTTCATTACCACTTGCGTGATCCTGCTCCTCATTATCGCTGCCGCCGTTCTGATACCCATATTCCTGATTGTTGTTCCTCGGGAAAACAAGAGTAACAACAGCAGCGACACGCTGTGTGAGGAAACTAGCCCCTGTTCAAATGGTGGTGTCAGTGTATCAAGTGGTGATATTTGCTCATGTGTTTGCGTCAACGGATACACTGGCTCGCGCTGTACGACCTCCGGCGATGCTAGCTGCGTCACCACTGAAATCACTCAGAACTCAACGTCGAGGAATGCTACCGTTGGGGATGACCTTCCACGTCTATTCGAAGGTTCTCAAAGCAATTTCAGCATTCCGCTGGACTCTGTCACCATCATGGCGCTCTTCAGTCAGAACAATGTCTCATGCACCACCGAAAACGCGCTTGTAGCGTTCAAAGGACTGTCTTTGAATGATAACAAGCGTCGTGATCTCACCACAGATCGACTATTGGCCAGCGATAAGGCCTTGTCACAGCCAAACGAGCCCACTGCGACGGTTCCTGTGCGAAGAGACGTTGCTACGAAGAACGGTATTCTCTTTGAGGATTCTGAAACTGACGAAAGCCCTGCAGCGGCACAGACAAGTTCCGCTTCAAGAAGCAAAGCGACACCAGCTCCCACCTCCGCCGTCACTACCGAGGCGCTTGACTTTTCTCGGATTGCTGTTCTGTACATCCTCGAGAAAACTGGCACACTCGATGCGGCCATGTTCTCGGCAGATATTATCCAGAAACACTTGGAACATTCTTACTCGAACTCATCTGGTGAGAACTTTATCATTGATCTCGTTCCTTCTGGGGTAAAAGGCAACATTACCCTGGACTATGAAGGGTTCACCATCACTGATTTTGACGGTGATACTGTTGGTGCTTCATAAAAATTATATACATTGTACATGTTTCCCACTTCGTATATTTGTCTGATTCTAACACTCCTTGATGTCACTGTTCCTTTGGGCCATTTGGGTTTCAATTCTCGCACTCCTTTGCCTCCGCTTGATTGTTATTTTTTTTTATCTGAGAGCACATGGCCCGCTCTCTTGCTTTCTTCGGCGTCTCTTGATATGTATATACACCTCTTTCCTCAGCTTCTGCTACGCTTGTTACACCTAGTTTCTGGCTAGATGATTTGGGTTGTCGGTAGCTGATTAGCGTTAATCTTGTTTAATATATGTGCCGCTGGGCTTTAAATTATTACCTCCAGTCAACATTAGACATCTAGGGAGCGTATAGCTAGTAGGTTCGTATAGTAATTGCCCTTGTTCGGACAGCTTATATGCAGCTTAATGCTCATAAATGACATGTGGTATTCCAGGTATTATACAAGGTGCAAGCCGCATCCAGAACTCCTCAAATCACTCCTCTCCATATATGCATAGAGTAGCTGAGCATAAGCAGCAGCAAATAAAGACATAATATAGCTACCTACCTAGAACAACCCGACACCAGGCACGACACCCTGGATTGCAGAGTCATTTTCAATAATGGGCAGGAGCTTCCTGAAGCGTTCCTGCAGAATAAACTGCTCCGCCTCCCACCTCTTCCTCTCCACCGCCTTAGCTTCAATCTGTTTCTTCGAGGGGCCGAACCAAGAAGATCCGTTCTTCGCCTTGGCAATCGTCTCCTCTTCATCCTTTTGCGCCTTCTCGAGGAACTGCGCGACCATTGTCCTCCAGTTCTCGAATCCGACGCGGAGACAGTCGACGCAGCGGTTTTCGCGCGCGGACGGATCTGTGTCCGGGAGTGTTGATTCGGCGAGATCGACTGCGTCGCGGGTCCACGCGAGCCCTAATTCTTTGAAGTGCGTGGCGTAGATAATTTCGCCAATATAGGTCATGAGCCCTGCTTCGTCGCAGGGAGAGGACGGTGTACGGTAGGGGGGTTCGTTGCCGGAGGGTGGTGGAGGTGGGTATTGGGCGGGGATGAAGACAGTTTTGAGAGTGTTGAAGAAGGAGACGAAGATGTCGTTTGACTGTTTGGGAAGATATGGGGGTGTTGGGAAGACAGTGCCGGTGGGAGGTGGAGAGGAGGCGCGGCGGGCTTTGAGGACGGAGGCGAAGATTGAGAGGGCTGTTGGGAGGTTGCCGTGTCGGGCGTTATGGACTGCCAGGGCTGTTGAGACCCGGAGGATATTTTCGGATGGTAGAGATTCGGCGTTGCTCTTGATGATACCGGTCTTCAAGTCCACGACCTTTGTGGCGTCCGTTGGGGACCCCGACGCGGCGATGTCCATGGCCCATGTGTACATATCAGCTGCAGTGCTTTGCAGGCCCTTGTAATCCAGCCAGTCTGCGTACGCGAGAGCAGCGTCAATCTTCTGTCCAGTCTCAAAGCCACGGGTGGTCAGGATCTTCATATAGAAGACCTCAGGGCTAGGGGATGCCGGCTCGGAGTCCTCCTCACGCGGTGTGAGCTGTCCAACGGGCACAGGCTTCGGGCGGGGGTTGGAAGGGCCAACAAAATATTCCGCCGATGCCGAGACACGTTGTTTCCGATCCGTGAGCCAGCCCTCCAGATTCTCCGCTGCCTTTGCAGCTCCCATGAGAGCCTGGAAGTACCCACGTCTCCACGGCTCGCTTTTAGCCGTGATATCGAACCCGGCCTTGCCAACACCATCGATAAAAAGTCCGCCTTCCTCCTGCTCAACAATGCCCTTCCCATCACCATTCACGTCCTCCAATCGCGATATCAATTCCTTGCAGTAACCCGCAACCATCGGCCAATCGCTCATCAGCCTCCCAATCTCCTCGGGGTTCTGCCACGCCTCGGCAGCCCGCAAGCACCATCGACTTTTCCACGACCATTCCGAAGGCGTCGGCCACTTGTGCTCGAGTTCCTCCTGATAAATGCCGATCTTGATGATTTCGTAAAAGACAAGAATAGCGCCGAGCGACAGACTAATCCGCAGCACGCGTGACGCGCGCTTCTTGAAGTGACCGCGGCTTTCGGTCGAGACAAGTCTCGCATAGTGTTGTTGGAGATGGACGGATAGCGGAGGGAGAGCCCGGCTGATGGGTGAGGGTGAGAGGAAGGCTAGTTGCGGTCGGCTTCGCTGCGGGGAAAGAGTCAGAAGCGGTGGTTTCTGGGTGAATGGGCGGCGACATGTCCGGCGAGGACTGGTTGGAGTGAGATGTGGTCGCACTGAGGGGCCTGGGGCCCCTGATATTCGAGGAACTCGAGTATGTTGACGCAGCATCTTCGATGCTTGTGTGGATGAAGCTTGAGTTGGACTTGAAGCTGTGAAGGTCTGTCTAGAGATCTAAGTTTGCATTGTTTGCAGTCGGACCCAGGCACTGACCTAGCCCGTAGGTACCCGGTAGGTACTAGTCCCTTCTCGGTATATATACTTCGGGGCCGGGGGCTGGAGAGCCGCAGCCTGTACGGGAGTTCCATGAATAGCGTAGACAATATATTGGAATAGGACCGTTATTAACAGCTAGCCTGTACTTCGTCAACCATTATCCCTATTATACTGGCATGGCTGGTCAGAAGGATCCATTCAAGAGTCCAAGTATATCATTTGATTCGAGCAGAAGCTAACAGACTCACATATAGCATGATATAAGCACAGTAACTCAGCTGTCTGTCGCAATTAATAGGGTGTGTATGTAGACTGTCTCCTTGTCTACGGAGTACTCGTCACTTCGCTGAGCCCGACCGCCTTGGTGGCGGTCGGTCAGCTCCACCCTAATAAATACACCACCTTAATAATAATTATAAATTTTAATCGCGTTAAGCAACTTTAAATATTTATAACTTTATTATTTTTTAAAATGTTAACCCTTATTATAAATAAATTAATAATTTAAAAGGCGCTTTTTAAATATATTTAAAAAAACATGTTAATCCTATTATTATAATAGCAAAAGTTATAAAAAATTAAAATATTAATTATTAGCGCCTATAATAATATATAAATAATATAAAACTAGTTTTAAAGCATTACAGGCCTGGAAGCTTGCTTAATAATATATAAAAAGCTATTTTTTTAAAGTTTATAAAAAAATAAAATAATATAGGTGTTTTAATAACTTTTAGCATGGTTAAAAATATTATAAAAAAGATTTTTTAATATAGCTATACTAAGGCTAGTTTAAATAGCTTACCACCCCTTAAAATTAGGCCTAACTAGGTATACTACTTTATAAAGTTAAAAAAAAAGTTTTTTAAGTTAAAAAAAAAGGTAAAAAAAAGGTGTATAAAAAAAATAAAAACCCTAAAATTATTTTTTATTAATTTAATAAAGTATATTAAATTATTAAAGCGCATGGTATATAAAATAAAAATATTTATAATATAAATAAAACTAGGTTTTTTATAGGCCAGGAGAGGCGTTTAAAAACTATTTATATATATTATTTTAATTATATTTTTTTTATAAACTTTAAATTAAAGCGCCAGCTTGTTACCTTAGTAAAGTATATTTTTATAAGTAGCCATGTTTTACTACTACTTATAATTATATTAAAAAAGGTCTTTTTACTTAAATAAATTATTAAAATAAATTTACTTAATAACTAGCTTATAAATTAAACTATTTTAAGCTATATAAATAAAAAGTGCACTTATAAATAATTTAAGTATTTTATTAAAATTATAAAGGCATGGCAGCAAGGTATATAATACCTTTTAATTTTTAATTATTATAAAAGTTATATTTTTTATAAAATAATATTACTTATAGTAAAAAAAAAGATTATATTACTTTTTTTATTATTATACTTAATTTACCTTTTTTAACTTTTTAATTTAATACCGTTCTAGTAACTAAAAAAGATTTATATAAACTATATTAATAAACACTTTTATATTAAGGGTTAATACTATAATAAAGTCTACTTTTTTAATAATATTAAAGTAATTAAAAAAGTGGCTTATACTAAGCAGGTTATTATATAAAATTAAATAAAAACTAGCCTTTTTTTTACTAAACCTTAATTATATTTTAATAAGAATTAAAGCGCTGGATTATTTAAAAAGGCCTTTTTTAATACTTAATATTAAAGGTAAGTAAATTATTAAAAATATTATTAATATTAAGCCTTTAAAAACTTTTAAATTAGCTACTAAAACCCTTTTAAAAAATATAATACTTATAATACTAAAAATTATCCGCTTAACACGCCGTGATATTAAATTAATTAAAAAATAATATATTAAACTTTTTTATTTTTTAATAATTTAGTGCCTTATCCGCGGGGTACTATATTAATTTAAAAACCTTGCTTTAATAAAAAAGTAACTAAATAAATAACTAATAAAAAAGTAAAAGCCTTGCAACTAAAAACACTTAAAAAAGTAATTTAAAAAAATAATTAATTATTTTATAGTTAAGAATACAAAAAATTATATTAATAAAAAGGTAAAAAAATATATTAATAAGTTATTTAGTAAGCGGGCTGCGGAAAGAATAAAATTAATAAAAAATATATTTTAAATAATAAAAAAAAGGCTAATAATATACTAAATAAAGCGCTATTTATTAAAAATTAAAATAAGCCTATTAAAAACTTTATATAGCTTTATTTTATTAAAATATTATTATTTAAAGGTTTTACTAGCATAGTAATAAATATTAAGGTAGCATGCTTAACACGTGTTAATTTACATAGTTTTTAAATTATTAATTTAATATTAGTATAGCTAATTTATAAATACCTAAAAATTAGCCTTATTTATTTTATTTTATAATAGCTACTATTTTAGCTAAAAAAATAAGTTTTAAATAGCTTTATATTAATAATTTTTTTATTAAGGTGGTGTATTTATTAGGGTGGAGCTGACCGACCGCCACCAAGGCGGTCGGGCTCAGCGAAGTGACGAGTAAGTCCCTTCAACCTTGGGGAGACGGTCAGCCCCATCTACGGAGTACTACGGAGTACAGTTGAAGAGCGCCGTGTCGGGTGCAAAATGTGATGTGGTGCCTAGTACGGAGTAGCACAGGGAATTATTTGAAATAATCGGGGTCTCCAGTGGATGAAGAGTTGAACTTTGAAGAGTGCCCTGCGTGCAATGCAACTGGACAATTGTCTTCATCCCGATGAGTTTGTCGCTGATTGGCTGGAGGCGTCAAGTCAACTTGAGGTCAAAGACTTGTCAACTTTGCACAGCCTGTGCCAAGACCTGAACAAACACCTGGGCATGGCCATTTCTTGGCCTGAAGTTGCTTGTTTGACAGTTTGAGGCGCGTCGCGTCGCGCTAAGTGTCGGGAACAATTCGACCCCCGAGGGTATATATCGCAGCGACGCATGGACAAGCCCATAATCATGGCGAACATCTATTTCAATACCTGGATTCATCAACCTACTTCTCATCCTGCTCCTCTATCAATAGAGCAAGAAACCAACAATCTCCTGTCATCTAGCCATGGCCTGATCTCCGTCCGAAACAATCGCACTGATCATCCTCCTAGTCGGGGTTCCTACGTCATTTATCGGACTCTGGACTCTAGTCCTGTACCTGAGGGCTCGGCGGAGATCCAACTATAGGGAAATATCTCCAGGTTAGATCTAGAATCTAGATACAAGAGTTATCTAATGATTATGTTGTTTCTTTTGTATATAGATAGAACTCCCTCGACCGAACTTCTCGAGATAGTCCCGATGCGGGGCAATATACGACCATCCCATTCCCCGCATCCTCGTATAGCACGAGTAACTGTACCACCGAACTGCCCCGACCAAGAACCGCAACATGACATCGAGTCCCACTCCTCGGTCTTTCCATATCCATCAACTAATTCCACGCCTTCTATATATACAGCGCCAGTTTATTCTCCTGTTCCTGTTCCCGCCACTATACTTCCTTCCGGTGCTACGAGTACAGGTGCGCCTCGGACCGCTGGCAGCGCCACAACGACTACTGAGTATAGATACGGCTATGTTATCCGTGAGTTTATGGTGAACTGTACCTTTCCAAGCTTGCACATAGCTAACAACTTCCCTTGGATAGGCTCGGAGACTACCCGTGTTAATTGACCGGTGTCGCACACGTTTTCTACAAGTCATATGATGGGGTTATTCTTTTCACGATAGATCTGGGATATGGGTGGTTTACGGTGTCTATGGCTTAGGATGTTTGGGTATACTCGGAGTTTCTCTCGGGGCATTTCGGTTAGCATGGAGTTCACGGCTTAGGTAGGTTAGGTTCATGCAAAATGGATCACTTATTCAAGGTCATGCAAAGTCGTTACTTGAATTCAAATGTTCTATACCCTTCCCAAGCACTCTTAACCCAAGAGTCCGTCTTTATATCGCATAATACAAAGGAAATTTAAAAGCAAATATAACGCCCAAAAACTGTTTACAGACGCTCAAAGTAACCCTCGCTCTCGAGCATGAGGATGATCTCGTGAACAATGGAGCGAACGCTCTGTTTGGAAGCGTCAACAACCAGGTTGGCGTTGGTGGGAGCCTCATAGGGGTCGTCGACACCGGTGAAGCCCTTGATCTCACCGGCGCGAGCCTTGGCGTAGATGCCGCGCTTGTCAGTGGACTCGCAGTACTCGAGGGGAGTGTTGACGTGGACGAGGAAGAAAGAACCACCGGTGCCCTGGACGGCCTCGCGAGCAGCCTTGCGGGAGTGCTCGTAGGGAGCGATGGGGGCAGCGATGACGGCGGCACCGGCGCGAGTAAGTTCACCGGCAACGAAGGCAATGCGCTGCACGTTGGTGTGACGGTCCTCACGGCTGAAGCCGAGCTCGGAGGAAAGCTCGTGGCGGACAGTGTCACCGAGGAGGAGAGTGACGGAGCGTCCACCCTGCTGGTTGAGGGTAACCTGGAGAGCACGAGCAATGGCGTCCTTGCCAGAGTTCATGTAACCGGTAAGGAAGATGGTGAAACCCTGAAGGGCGCGGGGAGGGCTGGACTCGCGCAGGATCTTGACAACCTCGGGGTAAGAGAACCACTCGGGGATGTGGGCACCGGTGCGGAGACGGTTGCGGAGTTCAGTGCCGGAGATGTCGAGGGTCTTGGTACCAGCAGGAACCTCGTCCTTGGGCATGTACTCATCGGTGTCGGGTAGGTAGGTGACCTGCTGGAACTCAACAACCTCGATACCGAGCTCCGCGCGGTACTTCTCAACGGCGTGCTGAGCATCGTAGGGGCCGTAGAACTCCTCACCCTTGGAGTTCTTACCGGGACCAGCGTGGTCACGACCGACAATGAAATGGGTGGCACCGTGGTTCTTACGGATGATAGCGTGCCAGATGGCCTCACGGGGACCACCCATACGCATAGCGAGGGGCAGAAGGGCAAGGGCGGCCATTCCGTTAGGGTAGCGGGGGAGAAGGGCCTGGTAGGCGCGGACACGGGTGAAGTGGTCAATATCACCAGGCTTGGTGAGACCGACAACGGGGTGAATGAGGACATTAGCCTGACGGGCGCGAGCGGCACGGACGGTCAGCTCACGATGAGCTCTGTGCATAGGGTTACGGGTCTGGAAGGCGACAACTCGGGACCAGCCGAGCTTGTCAAAGTGAATACGGATCTCCGCGGGGGTGTCTAAGAATATGGCGTTAGCTTCATCTTTCTTGTGCCATGACCGGAGGTGGCATCAACGTACAGCGAAGACCGACATAGTCGTAGTGGTTCAGCTTGTTAACTGCCTCAAGCTTTCCACCGATGTAGTACTCCTCGATCTTGGTGTTCAGGTACTTGATGGCGGGGTGCTCTGGGTCACCGCCGAAGACGAGCTTGGCCTCCTTCTCCCTGGAACAAGGAAATAACGTTAGCAAATTGCGCAATTCTTATCCAAGCTACATGAATGCGCCACGTCCTTGGCGATTCCAGCGCTCCCGCTAATCGCGATACCAAGCGAATGCGGAGTGCCAAGGACGAAGCGGTTGCCAAGATCCAAAAAGAAGTAGAAATCGGACTCACTTATCAGGGCGGTAGATGTCGTCAATTGTGAGAATGGCAAGGTTACGGTCGTCGCGGAAGTCACGGAGGGTGACGCGGGAACCAGGCTTCAGGCCGGACTGTTCAATGGCCGCCTTGGAAGCATCCAGAGTGATGGGCATGGAAAAGAGGTTGCCATCGGCAAGGCGAGATTCGGCGACGACGCTAGATAAACCCCACCATTAGCAAAACCGATCTGCTTGCGAATATCACTCCCAAATTGCATTATTGCCGCGGAGCATCCTTCTCGAAAACGAAAACGAAAACGACCCCGCGCAGGATGGGATGGGCTCGATTGTAAGAGGGGGCGCATACCCGTCGTAGTCCTTCTGGTTCATGAAACCTACAGCGTGTCTGTCAGTCATTTTTGAACTAGGCCTGTGGAATTCGGGATCCCGCATCGACAGGAGTAAACGCACCCTCAAGAGGACTGAAACCACCGTTCATGATCAATTCGAGATCGCACAGCTGGCGCTCAGTGAGGACGATGGCGGGGAGAGTGGCGGCCTCAGCCTCGAGCTGGTCGTGGCGGGGAGCATCGCGGGCGACGAGGTCCTTCAGGACACCACCGTGAGGAGTGTTGGCCATCGTGAATGAACTGTGCTTTCAAGAAATGAAAATGAAACAGAGAAGGAGAGGAAAGGTATGGGAGGGAAAGAAGAAGCAAGGCGATGGAGAGAATGTATGAACAAGTGGGAGGGGCGGCAGTTAAAAAAGATGGCGCAAAAGGGCCGAGAGCCAACAATTACGGAACCAGATTTGATTCAGGAGAACGATTTGCCTGGATTCCTTGCTCGGGCCAGCCAAGTAAACTGCCGGGCTGGATTTAGAGTGGGGAGTGATGTCGTCGACACCTACGAGGTTATCCTAACTTCCTGTTCATCTATCCTACGGAGTATTAACCGTCACCAGTGTGGTACTATATCCAGGCGAAACAATAATGAGGAAGCTTAATCATGGCCTATATATAATAAGTGGTCATACTCCATAAACCAAACCTAAATGCCTTTCCCCTTCTCGGCATCTCAAAAGATGAACAGCTTTCCTCCGCCCCGTGGCCATCAAGGAGCAAAGCAATCCTCATCAACTCAGATAAATTATCCCCAGGAGGCTGGATGCTGAATCGCAGTCTCACTCGAAGCCATGATTTTCAGGGGTGGGATTATCAATTGTCAGACCAGCGAGAGCATCGTCGTCAGCAGGGACATTTGATACATGGCCCGAGATGAGGGTGTCCAGATGCAGGATTGCTCGGCATAATCTATACTTCCAGTGCATGGCCTCGGAAGAAGAAGAAACTGCACCTCGGTGCAGGTGGTGATGTGATGAGTGGCTCGCGTGGCTTCTCATACAGACCTTCAACCATACTTTTGCTTCAATAGGTAGAGCAACCTCCATGTTAACAGCGGAGAATCCGGAGACATACCAAGCAACAGTGTGACGATGATGAAACAGGACAGCGGAAACTAAGCCCGTGCGGCTGCCCCGTTGCCGGTCGCTCTCAAATTATTTCGCAATCCCCCACGAGGATGTCGTGCTCAGAAAACTAGGCGAGATCAGGCTTAGCGTCTCATGTGCCGATCTCGCAGTCCGACTTCTCGAGTCCTTCCACAACTCCGTCCGGATCAGTAATCTATCTGCATGTTTTTGGGGATTTGACATCTTGACAGTTGATGGCAAATTGTCCGTTCGATCTACATATCTTGTGCCTGGCTATCAAAGGAGTACTGCGTAAGTCCCCCTGAGAATCAAAACTAGAGTTGCGCCATGGACCCACCCATTACGTTGCACATTTGATACGAGGCGAACATCTCGAAGCCCTGCTCCTTATACGAGGTCAGGACGACATAATCGCCACTGCGCCAGCATCCATATATATGTCGCTGTCTAAATGGATAAAGCCACCGTCGAAATGAGGAACACGACCGAAACTCTTCTATCATGAAGGCAAATTGCGACTGGCAAACCACTCCAAGCTAATATCATTTCATGCTGAATCGATGGCATACGGGACGAGATGTTACATTGGTGCGTCGACGCCATGAAATTTCTTGGACTTCGTGTCCATCTCGTACCTGATGCCCCTTGGTACTAGTCCATAAAGATTGTCTGTACTCTTTAGGACTCATCCAATATCTCCGCTTGATGCAGACTTGCCGCAAAAGGCTGCATTCTTGACGGTGCAACTCGGTACATGGTCCGAAACATCTAAAATCCAAGTTTGAGTAGCTGGTAGGATGGCTGTCGTTTCCAATCTGCTGGCATGTGACCGCCCAGACCGAATCAAACAAGAGACGTTAGGGCAAGGCTTGAGATGGTTATCCGGTATGCCTCGACCCTGGGGCATACGGAGTAGCTCAAACGTGGGAACACTTTTTTTTCAGCTTATTGGGCCTGGAATCTGTTATTCTCTACTCCTGAGTCCGTAAAACTAATAGTGTAGACTCTAAGACAGCAAGAAGCAAACATGGCTGCATGAGGCTCGCCGCCCGCCAAGAGATAAGATCGATAAGCTCAGATCGTCCCGGGTCTAGTTCCGGGCACTCCACGGCTTCAATGGCGCAACCGAACCCCCAAATCACATCTTCACTAACCCGCAACGTTAAACCCTTTAGTCTGGATTACCCCATGTTCTAAAAGTTCCCGAAGCTCCCAGGGCTGAGGAATAGGGTTAGCTAATCGGTGATCACGACAACTCCGCCCAGCCTTACGAAATTGCCTAATTGCCCGCCCAGCCTAGTTATCACGGTGACACAGACATGACCTAACCGCTCTAGACAGGTCTACACCGCACTTTCAACCCCGGCGCTGCGGGGAAATACGGAGGTATGCTATCACGACATTCGTAGGATTCGTGGCGTGCGCTCGTGTACACGAGGGGGCGTGGAGGACGAGCTTTGGCCTGGATATGCCTGTGATCGATAGTCTAGGGAGTAGGCAAGGTGTACCGCCACTTGTGGGAAGGTCACGATATTTAGTGAAGATAGAAAGGATTCCATCTATTCCATAAGGATACAGATATCAATTTGGCGGCTGCAAAGAATTCCCCTACTTCGGACGTCAGTTGTCCTGGCCAAGGTTAGCGCTCAAGGGTCTGAAAGGGGCCGGGGACCGGGGTTGAGGGGTGCCACGCGGGCTCACGGAGGGCTGGATTCCGCTGCAAATACGGTCTGCAAATAAGTCTGTTTCCAGAAAATCTAGCAGGCTCTAGCAGCCGGAGCCTAGGCTTTGGGGGCCTGATTTTCCGCGGATACAGATGATGGTTGCCCCACTTATTATTGACGAGGGTTGAGGGCACACTGAGAATCGAGAGGTGGCCATGGTAGAGAAGGTCAAAAAAAGGTAAAGAGAATTTTGTGAATTGTAGATCTATCATTTATCATGCTATTCATTAATAGGCTAGAATTGGCCCATGTAGTAACCCAGCCAGTCCGTCTGTACAAACTTCCATGTGGAAGATGGATTGGCATGGAGATGCTTTTGGTCGAAAACAGATAATCATAACGGCATTATTTCCGTAGCAGCGCCGATTTGACAAAGACAATGACCGCATAACCTCGCTAGACAGGAGAACCAAACGCCATGAAAATGCGACTCGAAACAGGAAGGAACGTCCATACTCAACAGATCTTAAACAGTGCTGAGCTTGCTTTGCAAAGCTTGGGACAAGGCTTCCTCCTGTCGCTTGCGTTCCATGTCCATCAGGTACTGGGCGTACTTGGATCGAGGGTTGTGGATACCGCACTCAGTCTTAGCCTGGCCCTTCCAGCGACCGGAGCGCTCGTCTTCGCCCTCCTTGACGGGAGATGTGGAGTGGTAGTCGCCGATGCTCTTATAGCCCCTGTCAAGCAGCTCATTGTAAGGGACATCGTTCTCCTTGACATACTGCTTGACCTGGTCGAAGGTCCAGTTGGCGAGAGGGTTGATCTTGATGAGGCCGGCTTCATCGACTTCGATGATGTCCAGATCGCCACGCTTGCCTCCTTGGCTGCGACGACGTCCAGTCAGAACGGCGTGGACGTTGAGTTCACGGTAGGCACGCTGGGCGGGCTCAACCTTGGCAGCCCAATCATAGAGCTGGTCGTCCTTTTCCCAGAGGCGCTCACCGTGCTTCTTGGCGAACTCCTCTTCGGTCTCGACGCCCTCGGGCTTGTAGACGTGGATGTGTTGCAGCGGGTACCTCTTGCGGACATTGTCGACGAGCTTGAGGGTTTCAGGGAAGTGGTGGAGGGTGTCAAGGAAGATGAGGTTGACCATCTGAGGACGAGGGATGGACAGTTTGGAAAGCATATCCATGATCACCAGACCGGTAAGACCAAAGGCGGTGGTCTGGAACAGGTGAGGCAGCGACGTGACACACCATCTGAGGACATCTGGAGGAGGGGTTAGAGATTGTCTTTGAGAGATAGCAGCGCGAAAGAAAACCAACCTTGGGGCTCAAGGAACTGAAGCTGTCTGTTGAGGAATTGAAGGTGAGGCTTGGTGAAAACAATCTCTGGCAAGTACTCTTCGCTTGAGCCACCACTGACATAGCCCGACTCGGTAGAGTCCCTCAAGTCCGCAGTCTCGGAGTCGGAGGGGTAGTTGGATTGCGTCTTGGCCGGCATTGTGTCTTATACAGCCCTAAAGCAAGGTGTATGTGGTTGTAGTGGGCTTGGTATATGGATGGGATGTGGCGGGGGTGGTTGCAAAGTGGTGTAGGAGGCAAGAAAAGTGCCAACAGCCCGTCTGATATAGAAAATCAAGCGAACAGGGGCAATCACGACATCATCGGGATTGGGGACGCGGTAATATTCACTTTGTCCCATCTTCTTAAGTTGGTGCCTCAAAAGACTGGCACCCAAATCACGCAAAGAGAACCGGCTCTGATTGGTGAAGTACTGGTAGCCCCATTAAAAAATTTAGCAGCAATCACGCCATAGTGCGCTTGCTGTCTCTGTGGTCACCCGTAGTCCGTGTGCCTGTTATCCATTTTGCTGATAAATCCGTCCATTCCGAAGCCCTGCGGGAGTCCTGGAAGGCTGAAGAACCGTTCTCGGAGCAAGTGAGGCTTATCGCCAGGAATTTGATTATAAATCTTTGCACTCAGGCACAAGGCAGCGGTAATGATACTCCGTAGGAGTTCAGGATGGAGAGTTGGAAGTAAACTGAGTGTTGTCATTAGCTACCTCTGACGAAAGAGCAGGACATGCTGAGGACTTAGTAAAGCCAATAGTTATGCTCATAACTATTCCCGGTTTCATCATGATATGTCATCTTGATGCCGTGCTCACTGCTCAGGGACCTTTCCAGGGCGATTGAACGCTCCCCACATGGGCGACCCGGGGTTTGCAGAACTTGACTCCGTTCAGACCGGAGAGCGGGTTGCCGGATCATGGAAGTGCCAAGATCCTAAGCTTGCCTTAGCGCCTGAGGCAGTAACAAGTGCGGATCGGTACAGAGATCGGGAACAAGTCGATATTGTTGTTCGAGGTCTGTCGTCGCATCTCCGTCTCGCGCTATCAGAGGGCAAATTCTACCTCCACGGGCGGGCTCCGTTGATCGCTGTGGCCCTTTGTGATCTACCTCGTTGTCCCTCGAGCTATCTCCCCGCATTCCTGCATCTCGCCTCCGACATGTCATCGCCCAACCCCGCGGCAGCTCGTCCTGCTCGCCCTGTTATGCGACAGAGGTTCTCCAGCAGCTCCTTCATCCAGGATCACCAGCAGTACAAGGCCCCCGCCCCTGTCACCCAGACAATTGGCAATGTACTCGAGAATGCCAGCGAGTCGAGTCCCTCACCTATTCCTCGCACCGCGAACCCCATCTCCCCGGATCCCAAGAAGGTGACCGATAGTGGTATCGTCCACAGCATCTTCCAGCACCGAGATGGCATCCTCCCTCTTGGAACACCAAGGTTGGTTGCCACAATTTACTACAAGTCTTCCGAGCCAGTGCACCCGCATCTTCATCCCGATTCCTCTCCTCATGCGCGTCCTGGAGATAAACTTCCTCACCCTATGGTACCTGTCGGCTCCGCGCCAACCATAGATATCGAGAAACTGCCACGCGAGCCTCCCGCACCAGAACCCGAACCGCTGGATCACTTGTACGGCCCTTACGTGTCACAGCTGTGCTTGACCAACTTCCTCCAGATTATTGAATCACTCCCAATTCCGCATCAGCGTATGAATACCTCACACCGCTGCCTCGATACGCAGGAACATCCCCGCGTTGTTGAAGTCACATTTGCTCCTCCCCCGAACCCAGAGTATCTTAGCTTCGAAGACCTCCGAAAGCATGAGAGCATATGGCGATTTGAGAGGGAGTGGAATGTTGAGGTTGTGCTACAGAAAGAGAGCGCCTTCCGTAGGCACAAGCGCTTGGTTGTTTTTGATATGGATAGCACTCTGATCAAGAACGAGGTTATTGATGAGATCGCCAAGTTCATTGGTGTTGAGAAGGAAGTTTCCGTTAGTACTACGCAATGTGTCGCTTCTAATGCTTGATTCTAATGTTGATCGGCAGGAAATTACGGAGAGAGCCATGAACGGCGAGCTCGACTTCTCCGCGTCCTTGAAAGAGCGTGTTGGCTTGCTAAAGGGGGTTCCTGCAGACGTCTTCGAGAAGCTGAAGTCTGTCATCACCATCTCCCCCGGAGCCAAGGAACTGTGCAGAGCTCTCAAGAAGCTTGGCTGTAAGCTGGTTGTCGCCAGCGGAGGATTCCAACCACTTGCCGAATGGCTAGCTGGTGAACTGGGCCTTGATCACGCCTTCGCGAATCATGTATGTCTCCGCCATTCTTCTTGCTTTCTATTTACACTAGCGTCAACATTTCCTTTGACTGATATTCTCTCTGCAGCTTGAAGTTGATCCTGCATCCCATACGCTGACGGGCAAGCTCGTCCCTGCACACCCAATCATTGATGCCAGCCAGAAACGCTCTTTGCTTCAGTCTATTGCTGCAGAAAATGGCATTGACATTGCGCAGACTGTCGCCGTCGGCGATGGTGCTAATGACTTGCTTATGCTTCACGCTGCTGGACTCGGTGTCGCATGGCGAGCCAAGACCAAGGTGCAACTCGAGGCACCTACGCGCATCAACGGCGAAAGCCTAGTGGATATTCTTTACCTTCTTGGATTCACTGATGAGGAAATCCGAGAGCTCACTGCCTAAGCTAAACAGGTGGAGTGTTCACTGCTTCGAGATTCGTGGAGGCTGGCTGGAGCTCCTTACATCCAACCATCTTTGCATCTCTTGTTAGGAGCAGGTCTCTTACATTTTCTTTCAGACTTGCCAGCGGATCCTGCTTGGCTAAGGTTTCACGATCTCATAAATACCTCACAAGTTCTTCAGTCCTTCGCGGCGCCGGTGACTTGAATTTGCGGGCGACCGCATCATGTTGAATACTGTTATAAACTCAAGATTCGCCTCTTTGGGCGTAGGTGTAACTGGAGGCAGGATAGGGCAGGGTAGGGGTGGAGGCGTACATATGGAATTTAGTCATCATGACGGGTTATCTACATCTGAAGGGCGTGCAAAGACGTTAGATATATTCTATTATTTATCCAATGGAAGTACCATCTTCAGAAGCAATTTAGAAGAAAAAAAAAAAGATTGGGACTACGTTGAGCGTTGAGCGCGTAGATGTGGATATACCTGATAAAGATATATATATAGGCAGCATATTACCTGATCTTTAGACACCCATGGCTTTGCAGCTGATCTTTATATTCCAAATATTCTTAGAATGGCTATATCAGATCACTACTCTAAATGTACTCATGTTGAACCGTCCATCATATGTCCATAAGATTATTCTCAAACCATTAATACAAGACGCCTCATGATAAATGATCTTCTCGCAAACAGAACCAACAATTGCTCTAACCCTGCGCCAAAAATGTTGAAGTAGATTGAATGATTTCAAGGAAGACTACCGCGTCGCCTCATTAACTGGAACTTTGCTAGCGCTAACTTCAGGAGCACCGGATCGCCTCTTCTTCAGAACATTCTCGATAAACGCCTCCCCTGCCTTGTAACTGCTCCTAACCAACGGACCGGAGGCGCAGTAGAGGAAGCCCATATCGAGAGCACGCTGGCGCCAGAGCTCGAATTGATCCGGGGTGACGTACTCGTGGACGGCCATGTGGCGCTTCGTGGGGCGCATATACTGACCAAAGGTCACAACGTCAACGTTGACAGCGCGGAGTTGACGGAGCGCATCCCAGAGCTGTTCTTCGGTCTCACCGAGACCCAGCATGAGGGATGTCTTTGTGATAAGCGTTGGCCTGGCCTTCTTCGCAGCCTCAAGCACACGGATGGACTGTTGAAAGGTAGCGCGACGGTCACGGACGTGCGGCGTCAGGGCCTCGACCGTCTCGACGTTATGCGCGTACACATCTAGACCCGATCGGGCGACAACACCGACCATTTCCAGATCTCCAGCATAGTCACCGGTCAAGCATTCCACCAAGATGTTCGGTGCCTTTTGCTTGATCTTGATCACTGTCTCCGCGAAGTGGCGGGCACCACCATCGACGAGGTCGTCACGGTCAACACTCGTCAAAACGACATACCCCAACCCCCAGCGCGAGATAGCCTCTGCAGTATTCTCCGGCTCATGAGGGTCTAGCGGTGGTGGCGCGCGCGAAGTCTTCACACTGCAGAACCGACATCCTCGCGTACAAGTGTCACCCATGAGCATGATCGTCGCAGTTGCAGCGGCCTTGTCGCCACCACCCCAGCAGTCGGAGATGTTGGGACACCGCGCTTCTTCGCAAACAGTATGCAGATTGAGTCCTCGGAGATCCTTCTTAAGGCGCTGGTAATTCTTCGAATCGGGAATCGGCGTCTTTAGCCATGACGGTAACCGAGTCATTTCCTTCTTGCGGCCGGCGGGTCCGACCAGTGCGGTCTTGAGGGCGTATGCTTCAGAGGGATCAAGGGGGGCATTGTCGCTTCCCCCAGAGACGAAATCTCCGAATGAAGGCCCGGCGTTGAGCTTGTCCGTGAACGTTGTCCGTCTCCTGGGAGTTGCTGCTGAAGCTCCGCCGGTGGCGGATGAGGGATCTGTAGTTGCGTAGCCACGGTAGTTGAGGTAAGGAACGCTCCCTGATTGAGGGGCAGCGACCCGCGAGGATGAGTATAAAGCTCTGAACCGGTTTGTCGCAGCAGCCATGGTGTTTGATTATTGCGAAAGTGTGTTGTTGCAAGAAGTTTGAATTCCGCGGGAAACCGTCGCAGATGATGAGACCCCGGCTAGTCCGTATTAGGTAAGCTTGCTCCAAGCGGGCCCTGGGGTGAACCAGCGAAGTATACCGAGCTAAGAGTAGTACAAAACAGGTCATCAGCTATAAAGTTGACGTGATTGGGTACTGTTGGTATACTTTTGATTCGAGATATTAAGTATCGAAAAATTAATTACACATTAACCACCGCGCACACAGCTCAGCTAGATGAACATCATCCGGTATCCAGGGGCGAGGAAGAAAAGATAGAGAATGATAAATAGGAGAGAAAGGCTTGATGCTCAAAGGGAGAGATGCAAAGATAGGAAATTGGCTTAGTGAAAAGCAAGATCTAGTCTAGGTAGTAAGTCGCTGAGAGAGGAAAAGAAAAGAAAAGAAAAGGGAAGGACGGCAAGGGAAGGAATAGCGAATGTCTATGCTTTGGTCTCCAGGACCTGTATGATGACCAAGACGGCCGTTTTCAATGCCTCGTCATGAGGACCGCGGAGGGTGAATAGTAAGTTGTCCACGATCGAATCGAGGTCTTCGTAGAGTTTGCAGTTTCGGGTGCCCAGGACCTGGTCTCGGACGCGTGAAGGCTGCGGTTGCGCAAACTTCATCCCGAGAATTGAATTGGCCTTCTTTGGCACTGAGTCTAACCTTGAGACCTGGGAACGGGCATGTATATTGGTTGTCTTGCGGCTGAGCGATGGCAATGATAGAAGGTAATTCTTCGCAATGAGCGCGGCACAAAGAGAGTCAAGAAGTGATTGAGGAGCATTTGGAAATATTTGGCGAAACGGGCGTATCAAAGTTCGTTCTTGATTGTGCCTGAGAAACACCACAACCGGTGAAGTTAGTCGGAGCATGTTTTGTGGAAAATCTTTGACCGAGTGCTCCAACTGGTCGATCGTCCACTCGTGATCCCAAAGCTTCTCTAGTTCTTCCTTGTCCGGTTTGGTTGATGGAGCACGCGGTGGCGCCTGCTTTTCAGATGGAGGAACAACCTTGGGCGGAGGAGGGGGCCTGGGCTCTGTCTCTCCACCGTCGGCATTCTCGGCTTCTAAGTCACATATCATTGTTTTGCTGGCTCCTGAAATCATCGGCTCCGAGTTCGTGTTACCTCGCTCGCCGCCACCTTGATGCTTTGGGAAGGAGGCCGTGTTATGTGTGGCATATCCACCGTCGGACATCTCTAGAGGGGTATCAGGGCTAAACGCCGAGACTTCTGGCAGGCTGTTATCTGGAGTGGCGGGTATGGTGTGCGTTGGAGTAGGGAGCGAGTAGCTCATTGCCGGTGAGGATTGTCGAGAAATGTCTACCAACTTGGGCTTCATCATCTTGCTTTTTACGGCGAGGACCTGGGACGAAGATTAATATGACCATAGTGACAATATCGAAGGTGAGCTTGACTTACCGCGTCATTATGCGCACGTTTCCAGTCTGGAATGAACGGGCTTTGTTGGACAATTTGAAACTTCCTCCGATTAGAAACAGTTGATGTGCCAGCCTCGTCCTTTACAGACTCCATGGGCGCACCCTGGAGCCATGTTTCGCAGTAAGAGAGGCTGCTGGGAACCCAACTCCCCTCGCTGGAAACCGTTCCTGACCTACTCCTTTGCGTCGCAGCTGAAGACCCAGAAAAATCTCTCTTCCCCGAGCCCACATCTGAGCAGGTCGCAGGTGGTGACATGCACCCCGATTCCGTTGCCGCTGAGGTATATTGCCCTTTCCCTAATTCAAATTGTCTGACAAAGGTCGAGTGAGCCATATGTACATTGGTGGCCTCGGCCTCGTAGTTTTGAACGGATAGTTCAGTTGCGGGTGACTGAGGAGTACAGCGGTTGCAAGATGTTGCTTGGGCAAGACAGGCACAGTCCATTTCTCGATCAGTCTCGAACTCGGACCCTGGTTTGGATGAGAAGTACGTCGATGCAGGCGATGCTTGAGAGGGCTGCGAGTCTGAGAGTGGCGGGCTTGGGAGCAGACCGAATGTCTCTAGGCTAGATGCCATGAGATTCTGGTCTGACTGCCATGCGCGCAATGTCCGGATTTCCGGGGGCCGTTGAATCACTCGGGACTCGCGAGCAGCTGAAGTATTGTCGACAGATGGTGATCCCGATAGACGAAGTTGGAAAGGCTCTTTCATCTTGCGTACCGAACGAAAGGGCGAGATAAAAGCGGTTGAGCGGTCTATTGGGCGCCTGGGTTGTGACATGGTATATTCGGGTGGTTCAGAACGCGGAGATGAAGGGATGAATGAAAGGGAGCTTTGCGGCTGCTGTCTCTTCCATGGCTGAACATTGGGAGAGTATCGTGGAGAAGCTAGGCTATTGAGGTGAGGTAGCTGCTCCTGGCCTGTGAGACTATAAGTTGGGACGCTTCTGTTTATATATGCCGGCACTGGGCTCGCAGTCACGGTGTGATGACGCTGATGGCCATAGTAAGGCCTGCTATGCGAGCTAGCCGTCTCGCAGTCCATCGAGGACATGGTATTCAACAAAAGCCCAGTGATATTAGGAATAAAATCAAGTCTCGACTAGCAAGGGCGGAAGATAAGAGGAAAACCAAAGCAAAGCAATCCGGGCCAGGACGGACGTAGATGCAGCCAAAGAGACCTTATACTACGAAACGGTTGAAATTAAAAAACACCCCTTGACGGCCTTGCGGTGACAGCATCGGGCATGCTCATCGCCCCTTTCCAGAGGAACTCTGGAACATGAGAGAACTGTGAAGGGCCACTCCCCACTGTCCTTGCATTCCAGAGAGAGATGAGAACCAGTAATTGGCGGAGATATTTAGGTCATTGGGCAGAGGTTCGCATAGAAACGTGGGCGATGTGCATCTCAGGGTCTATGCATATCGTCATCACCGAAGCAATGAGACATGCAGGAAGCGCGCGAATCAAGAGGTAGGCCCCTAGAGGGGATACTGGGGATAGTGCCACGATGCTTCAGTTCAATAGAGCTGTTGCACCGGGCAATCGAAAAGGTGCATCCCCTGGGAGGAGCCCCTTGCTTCGGTTGTTGTGGGTGCAGTTCAATAGTGCCCATGCTTGGAGAGGGCGATTGATCTCGCAGCATGTGCGCAAATTCCAATAGAGATGTGGCGGCGGCAAATTGGCCTCTGTTATGATCAGGGCCTGAATTCCTCCAAGAGGCACCCAATTGCTCGATCCAAATCGAGTGCCCGATACGGGCTGTCCATTGTTGGCATTATTTTGCCTGCAGAGCAGCTAGACGATGCTCGGAGTGATGATGTAAGTAGCCTGACCGAAGTAGGTAGACACTCCAAGAGGAAGGAGTTCAGGGATCCCGTCCAGGGCTTTTCCCTTCCCCAGGGTTGATGATCTAGAGTAAGTCGAGGAGGTCATGGATCAAGTGCTTGTCTTCGAGCGAGAGTCACGTGCCTAAGCCATGCAAACCGTGCAAACTCTTATCGCGCAGCAAAAAAAAAAGATATTCTGATAGGATTCGACCAGGGACGACTTTTGCGAACGTCTGTCTTGAGAGTCTCGTACCGCTCCTAATGCTCTCAGAATGCTTGTTCGCGTCGACTGCGGCGTCCGCAAAAATCCCGGCTTCGGCTTCGCTGAGGGACGTCGGCATTTGTCTTCATGAGCTTCAGCCGTCGTCGACTCTCCGGTCCACCTTCAAAAAGAGCTCGACTGCCCCGAATTGTCTGGCCGTGAGCGCATCTCACGTGTTTGCCGCGCAATCTGAAAAGGCAATTGTGCACATCTATAGCAGGGAAAAGGGCAACCAGGAAGCCACTGTTCCATTCCCCGAGCGCATTCGCAGCATTGCGGTTGCAGGGTCGAAGAATGGTGATATCGTGGTTCTGGGTACAGAGGGTGGCCGCCTGATCCTTTGGGAGGTTTGCACAGGGCGCCAAGTTGCTACCACAGCATCGCATCTGCGGCCGGTTACCTCTGTCGTGGTCGATCCCAGCTCGAACTTTATTCTTTCCGGTTCATCGGATGCCAGTGTCCATGTGTGGTCCCTAGTCGATCTTCTATCCTTTACGAAACCTCCGTCAGGGCGAGACCAACAGCCTCCGAATTCGCCAATCCGCACATTTTCAAATCACCGCGCAGCCGTCAGTGCGATTGTGGTAGGGCACAGTACCGGGAGATACAATATCGCTGTCTCTACAGCTCAAGACAACACCGCCATTGCTTGGGATTATAGGACTGGCCATGTTCTGCGGAATTTTCTCTTGCCATCTAGTGCGGTGTCTGTTGCCCTTGACCCGGTTGATAGGGCGTTTTATGTGGGATACGAGGATGGCAGCGTTCAGTCGGTAGACTTTTATAAGGAGCAATCTGTTCAGCATCCTCTTCATGACCCGTCATTACAGGCTACACCTGCACAAGCCTCCTCTGAGGACCGCTGGCTCCCACCTACTGGCGATAGCGGTGCCGCGCATGCGCTTGCCCTTTCTTATGACGGTATGACCCTACTATCAGGCCATGAAAATGGCAAAGTATACTCCTGGAATGTCGGAAGGCGAAAATATGCCTCAACGGTAGCGGACTTTACCCATCCAGTCACAAACATTATCATGCTACCCCTCGACGGCCTATATCAGCAGGCCACTAATCTAAAGAGGGTAGCGCATACGCTAGTCAAGCCGAGATACGATTCTACACTCTCAGAAAACACGCAGGCTGCAGGTGCTGTCCCTGCCGACTACGAATTCAGCACCCATATACTACCCCCATCATCGCCCAGTGCATCATCTGTGCAGTCAGACTGGTTCATGGGCGCCTTCTCTCACTCCTCTTTCCCCACATCTTTGCTCGAACAAGGCCTAGCCGAGCTAGCTGCTATGGGCCAGCCTGGATCGACTGCTGCATCCGCCCCTTCAATGAACGTGGCAATGGATGTTGATACCCCCGCCAAGGATTCACAAATGGCCTCCCTGGAAAGCGAGATTTCTACTCTGAAACAGAAGGTCGCCGTAAGCGATACAGCTCGGCAGTCCAGTACCGATGAAATCACGAAACTCCGTTCAGATCTCGCCAACCTTCATGATTACATCAATGAGCTCAACGCGAAACAGGAGCAATCACAGCGGGAAAGGGTACGACGGCGAGCCCGCAAAGAAGAACGGACAAGCCGCCGACGGGAAGCCTGGTTTGCGGCGGAGAAGAAGGGCAAGAATGGCGATGCTGTGCTCCGTCGGATGGAGGTCGAAGAAGAATCCGAGACGAGTGGCAGTGATGAGCAGAGCAGTGACGAGCAATAAACTTCAACGTACCTTTCTTCTCACTTTCTTCCTCTGCTTCAAATTGTCATATATTCAGGAGCGTTTGGCATGTTTCAAAGAGGGCATGGTTCACATTCCACGGCGCAATGGGCTAAAAGTTTGGATTCAGTGATAGAGCTCTATAGAGCACGGGACTAGCATGAATAGCGATTAATCGATGTTGTATATAGGCCAGTCAGCGAGTTATACCATGGTGCTGTGCCTCACTACAGGTTATTTCATCATTCTTCCAGCCAGAGTCCGGAGTTCTGGTCAATTCCATCTGGGCCTGAAGACCAGCTCGGCTTGTACATACCGGAGCTGTTTCATTAAACCTGCAGGTCCTTCCTTTTATTTGAGAAATTCCAGGAATGTTTCACGCCTAATCAAGGAGCATGTCTTATTGCCATACGTTTGGCAAGAGTGTGTAGATTCGGTTCTAGGCTCTAGATATCAGGCACCATTCTAAAACCGTCAAGACCTATAAACAGGACTGAGGATATCTCCGATTCTATCAGCTATATACAGTAGAGAACCACGGACGAAGCTCATGTAACAACATCATCATTAGCCCTAATACCCACTGGAGCCCCCCTGCTCCTGTACCTCCTGGCCCTCAACCTCCTGCACAATCTTCACCCCAGAACTAGCCCCAATACGCTCCGCGCCAGCCCTCAACATCTTAATACAATCCTGTGCCGAGCGCACGCCACCACTAGCCTTAACCTTGGTGCCCTTGCCAACAGCCTTCGCAACCTCATACATGAGCGCCACATTCTCAACCGTCGCACCAGCCCCGTTGAACCCCGTGCTGGTCTTAATGAAGTCCGCCCCGGCGACACAAGAGATAAGCGAGCCCGCAATGATCTCGTCCCGGGTTAACTGCGAGGTCTCCAGGATAACTTTCAGGCCTACAGGTGCAGGGGCCGCATTCCGCACGCCGAGGATGTCCGAGTAAACCTCGGCATACTGCTTGGATCTGAGAAGTGGGTACTTGAGTACCATGTCGAGCTCTGTGGCGCCTAGGGCGACGGCCTTGCGGGCTTCGTCTTCCTTCTCGGAGGTCTCGTACATGCCTTCGTGAAAGCCCACGACGCAGGCGACGCCAACGTCTGGTGAGGATTTGAGGTGTGCCACTGCTTGTTCAACGTGCGCGAGGCGGACGCATACTGTTGCGAATTGGTATTTTGAGGCTTGGGCGCAGAGCTCGGTGATTTGGTCTGCGGTTGCTGTGAGTGCTAGCTGGGTGTGGTCGATGGTGCGGTTGATCTTAGCGGGTGTTGGGGCTTGCTCGTGGCTTGGAGTTTCTGGGATTGAGGCCTTGATTGAGGTGATTAGGGCCTCCCACTCCTGGTTTGTCTTGGTGATGGACATCTTGTTGGGTCACGTCTGAGCTTATATGGTTGGGTCGTTTTTTTCAGGGTCCTTGAAGAAGCGGAGAAGAAAGTAAACAGCAAGTGGGGGAAACCCGAACAATAAAGATCTAATGACAGGCCGCTGTGGAGTATCTCCACGTGATAGCAGGAGATCGGGATACTACCTCATAGTACCCCGAGTCTAACGAGTCTGAGGGTTGGTTTAGCGTTGGAGAACCCGGCAAAATGCGCATGGAGTGAGGCCATTTGAGTTGCCCAGACTGTGCCTTTTAGTCCTTTAAACCATATGCTAGACATAACATTGCTGTAGTCTGTAAAGACAATTGCTAGCGAAAGGTAAATATAAAGCACTAAATAAAAGGATAATGGGTATTAAGTCTGCTTTCACGGTTTCACCTTTTCCATCGATTGACCACCGCGAGTCCTAACCTACCGCCACTGCCACTGCCACTGCCACTACCGCGCCCTCCTCCCTCCTTCAGGCCGTAGTACACCAGACGCACGTCTTGCTGAAGTGTCAATATACCCCCCTCAGAAGCATGTCTTGCATGAGCCTTGAATATCGTCCACCTTCCCAAACTTTCCTGAGCCGAAAGAACCAAAGCCACCGCCGCCTCCAGGCCCACCACCACCACCACCTCCTCCTCCTCCACGACCTCCAGAGCTACCCCAGCGAGACCTCGTGTTGTCCTTGTTTCCAGCTCTGGTAACGTTAAATGGCGAGGCTTGGGCAGCGGCGTACGAGTCCAGCTAGAGGACGAAACAGTCAGCGCCCAGGTCAAGAACGATGCGCAAGTGATAATCTAAATCAGCCAAACATACCGCGAAGAAGCTAGTGAAGTAGAGCCCAAGGAAGAGGTATATATTCTCCATAAAACGTCTAATCTGGACGGAAAACGGAGGACTGCGGAGAGATCATTGCATTAGTGATCGGCGAAGGCGGGATGTTGGGGATTTTGGGTGCGGCTCTGCTTACGCTTGGAGAACCTGCCCGTTGTGCACGTAGACACCGGGCTTCGAAGACTGTTTGGACGCCATGATTAGGGCTGGAAACACCTCAGATCAGAATGGGCAGAGTGATGACGAGGAGGTGAAGATGGATAGTTGATCGTAGGACCATTGGACGAGCCGCGAGCGAAACGCCACGCTTGGCGCGCTACCTACCGGCCGGGGCCGAGCCCGTGACTTTCTTGTTTGGGGCTCATACAAGGTATGCCCAGGTGACAATCATAGAAACAAAGCACTCAGAACGCTTCCAAAATAGTATATTCAATTCTAGCGAGATCTATAGGGTATCATTCTAACGCCGACCAGCCACCTCAAATGCTATCATAAATCTATGCCGTTTCGTTGATCATCGGTATCTCGACCGTGCTTCGTAACTCGTCTAAATCCCGGAACCCCTCTTCAACAATCCATTTTTGGTCCTTTGGTTCATGGAGAACGTGACAGCTAGCTCCAACCACAAGCAGGCCAGGTGGTCGCGAGCCCTCGGCCTCAAAAGCCTGGCAGACATGCTCGAGCGTAGAGCGAATCACCCGCTGGTCACTGCAAGAGGCACGTTCGATTATAGCACAAGGCGTATTCTTAGGCCACAGTGTTCGGGTTTGCGACAACTGGTCACTTTCTTCTTCGGGTAGCGTTGTTAGAGAGCTAACGAGTGCAGAGAGCCGGTGTAGCGCCATTAAGAACACTACCGTCTGCGTTGGCACATAGGTTGGAGGCTCAGGTGCAGCACCCTTCCTTCCTGTGCCTGTGCACACTAAGACTTGATCAGAAACCCCTCGGTGAGTTGCTGGAATTTCTGCAAATAGAGGGGCGCTCAGTGCGCTGGTAATTCCCGGCAATACAACAGGCGTAAAGCCTTCAGCGCGGAAGAATTCGAGCTCTTCACCTCCACGGCCGTAAAGGTATGGGTCACCTTGCTTCAGACGAAGCACTTGGCGGCCCTTTTGGAGTGCATCCAAGCCCATGCGGAGAAACTCTTCTTGCGCCTGGTCAGCATTTCCTGGAAATTTGCGCGCAATGTGGACCTCTGTTCGTCGCGGGATCAGTTCCAAGACAGGAGCAGGCACAAGTTTATCAGCCAGGATGATGTCGGCACTTTGGATGGCATTGTAAGTAGCACGAGTGAGAAGGTCTGGGTGTCCCGGACCCGAACCGGCGAGTACGATTTTGCCCTTCTTCTCAGGTTGCCGAGGACCGTTGACATCGGTGCTCTTTGAAGTGCCCGAGCTGTATTCTTGGAGGATTTTCTCGATGTCCGAATCATTGATCGCGGCAAGCTTGCGAAGCGGCCAGTACTCGCAGATCTGTGATAGCCAGCGCATGCGTCGGGTTTTGGCTGCATTTACATCGTCTTCTGTCACCAAATTGTTGAATGTGTGTTTTTGTCCAGTCGCGTCGTCATCGTCAACGTCGAAGCCTGTATCACACAGTCCTGCAGCAAAGTCTTCTTCCCAGAGACGCTTTCTGATCGTCCCCAACCTGTCGATGGCACTGCCAAGATTTAGAGGGAGAGTAGATGATATCTCCCTCTTCAATCGCGCCGCTAGTTTGCAGCCCCGGCCGGATGTCGTGATTCCAATATGAAGAGGGCCATCCGTATAGGTGGAGAGCAAGCTAAAAGTGCAAAGGTCTGGAGCATCAGACACATTCACTGGAATTCTGAGACGCCGGCATAGCTTGGAGATATGAGAACCTGTGCACAAATTAGACAGTCTAGCCTCGGATGTCATGTGCAGTACATACTCAGCGGGTGATTTCCACCGAGGGTCACAAAGACCATATCCACAACATGGTCCACCTCTTCCCTTCCCAAGGTCGTTAGATCGTCATCTTTGAACTTTCTCCGGAGCCAGTCTGCAGTGCCATTTTCAACATGCGTCGCTAGGGTATATTGCAGACTTTCAGACTGAGGCGAGACGACAACTGGTTTTGCTCCAGCTTGTACACTCTTAGTACAGCGGGCTGCAGCAAGAGGATTTGCTCCGACAATCAGATGTACCTGAGAGTCTGCATTTATAGATGCCAGCAGCGGTATTTGAGCTGCGCTCTCTGATGCATCTTTCATAATGTATAGGTGCCACCAAAGGGCTTCCGGTCAAGGATCCCAAACGAAAGATTTGCGAGTCTCGGTATGGTCGACTATCTCCTGAGGCGTTATAACTCCCCTCTTGATCAGAAAGTCGTCCAATGACTCGAGTATTTAACAAATCCTCGACACACTGCTCCGCGGAAATAAGTCAAAGCCAATTGGTTGGGAGGCAAATCGAGATAACGGCGAGACCCTTAAGTCGTTTTCAAGTGTAATTCCGGATGAAGACCTGTCGATAAGCCTATCTCGGGCTATTAGAAGATTTGAACACTCAGGTATTTATATCAGCAGAAGATGACTCCAGCATTGTGGACTTTTTGCCCTCGTCTCTATAGAATTCATACATGCTGCAACCCAAAGCAGTTTAAGGCGATCACGCCATCATCGCGGCTTAGATAATTTTATCGCCTGAGATATATGGCATTAACAAGGCCGCTATCTCCGTGGAGAACGAGCATAGCAAAGCAACTATAATGGATGATGTTAATGCTTGATGCCGTGGAGATATTCCGACGAGACGCAGAGTGAGGTACAATACTTCTTTTTAAGTAGATCATCCATCTTGTGCGTAGAATACCCGTCCGGAGGTACATTCGGGAAAGCTGGGAATAACGAGAGGATTCTTGCCCATGAGGTAGCGACTGGGACCAGTCAAGCTAGTACAGATAAAACATTGAAGTATCTGGAGGGGAAAACGGGGTGCTCGAATTGCCCATGTTCCTTGGATGGTTGATGCTGGGGATTGTTCCTGTTGTTTAAACTCCGGGCAAAGACGAGATCACGTGATCCGGAGCTCGGCCAGCTCAACTGGCCGCAAGCTCCAGTGCAATCATACCTCATCATCACTCCGTCTTCGCAACCCATCATATCCTGACCCCTTCTGAGAGGCTCACGCGTCTCTATACTGAATAGCTGACAAATATATCTCATTCTACACTCTCCGCCGTCGAAACCATCTCACAGCGCTTCCAGCATGTCCAGCGGACTCTTGAAGCCGGAGAAGGACTTCTCCAAGGATGCTGACAAGTTGATTCCGGAGGCCGAGCAGCTAGCAAAGGTACAGCCAGCTAGTGCTCTTACTTTATATGGAATAGGGCTAATCTTCGAATAGACCGATGTACAAGATGCTATTGACAAGTTGCTGGTGTTGGAGAAACAAGCAAGACAGGTATGACCAGTTGCTTCTATGCATATGGCCCTTGCACTAATGCCATGACCTCAATAGTCATCCGATCTGCCCACTACATCTCGATTACTCGTAACTATCGTCACAATCAGCAAGAACAGCGGCGACTGGAACCTACTCAACGACCAAGTCCTCCTTCTTTCCAAGAAACATGGCCAGCTGAAGCAAGCTATCTCGCGGATGGTGCAGACGGTGATGAAGTTTCTGGACGAGACGCCGAACCTGGATACGAAGCTATCGGTCATCCAGACCCTGCGAACTGTCACAGAGGGAAAGGTTAGTACTTAGATATTCGTTATCTCGGCTCGCAAGTTAACACCCCTCTCAGATCTTCGTTGAAGTTGAAAGAGCCCGTGTCACACGCATTTTATCTCAGATCAAAAAGTCCCAAGGTGATTTGACTGCCGCCGCCGATATTCTCTGCGAACTGCAGGTTGAGACTTTTGGGTCGATGACGAGAAGGGAGAAGACCGAATTCATCCTAGAACAAGTTGCGCTTTGTATTGAACGTGGCGACTGGACGCAAGCGACTGTTCTGAGCCGAAAGATCAACAAACGATATTTCGCCCGGAAGCCGAAGAAGAGCGCCGAGGAGATCGAGAAGCTGAAGAAGGAAGCTGAGGAAAGGGAGAAGACCCGCGGACCCGATGAGCCTCCTATGGAGGTGGATGACGACGTTACAGACCTGAAACTTCGTTACTACGAGCAGCAAATCATTCTCGCCAACCACGACTACAAATATCTGGATGTTTGCAAACACTACAGGGAAGTGCTGGATACAGACTCAGTTCAGGAAAACCCAGAACAACTCCGAGCGGTAAGTTCTTTTCATCTCCTGATACCTGGAATGGCGCGGACTAATTTGCACCTAGGTTCTTGCCCGCATTGTTTACTACATCGTATTGTCGCCATACGACAATGAACAATCTGATCTACTGCACCGCATCCAGCAGGACTCGAGACTCTCAGCGGTCCCTGTTGAGTCTCGTCTGGTGAAGCTCTTTACCGTTCCCGAACTTATGCGCTGGCCCATCGTTTCCGAGCAATTTGGTCCTCACCTATGCGACACCGACGTTTTCAGCCCCAAGCCGAGCCAGGCTGCAGAAGACCAGCCACATAACAGGTGGCAAGACCTTCGCAAGCGTGTCATTGAGCATAATGTTCGAGTAGTGGCGAAATACTACACCCGCATCCAGATGGGCCGGTTGACCCAGCTACTGGACCTCACTGAGGAGGAGACGGAGAAGTACATCAGTGAACTGGTTACCTCGAAGACGATCTACGCGAAGATTGACCGACCGGCCCGGCTGGTCAACTTCGCCAAGCCTCGCGATGCAGACGATGTACTGAACGAGTGGAGCAGCGACATGAAGAGTCTTCTAGGCCTTTTGGAGCGTATCGACCACCTCATCACCAAGGAGGAGATGATGGCGCGCATCCTCCCCACCCGGGAAAAAGCTAAGGCTCGTTGATTCAGTGAATGTGCATGAAATTGACAAAGCTGACATTTAACGGGTGTAAAACTATACAATATTAGAATTGGCAATCCCGCATGATCAGTGTTCAGCTACTGTGCGCAAATAATTTGTAGTAATGCTGTCTATCGAGGTAATATAACCAATCTAGGGGTATACGCCGATACCACAGAAATCTACCCAGGTATAAGACCATTCTAAAATGGCAGGTCCATGTCATTTACGTCCTCCTCCTCCTTACCCTTACCTCCCTGCTGCCCACCCTCCAAGCACTCCCTAATAAACCTCACCGCAGCATCCAAATAAGGCCGCTGACTCGGCAAAAAGTGACCCCCAGGATGCCAAACAACCTTGCCCTCACTCTCCGGATCCCCAACGCAAGCCTCAACCAACGACCGACTCCTCGTCTCGTCAACAACCGCATCTAACGACCCCAGCACATGCAGTATAGGCGTCTGGATCGCTGGACTCTCGTAGAACGCCCTGTACCGATCCCCCGGCGACCGAAACCCACTATAGCACAGCGCGAATTTCATAGCGGGATGGTCGATTTTCGCAAATGATGCCGGATACACAAACCCCTCCACCCCAGCTGACGAAGACGAAGCCGGCGCAAACCGCGCAAACGCCTCCCTCCTCTTCTCCCCCTCCAACAAGCTCGCAACCATCGCCGCCATCGCAGCGCCCTGACTAAATCCGATCACGCCGTCGAATGGCCCCTCTTCATTTAGAACCTTTGCAATGGCATCGAGCCCGTCCTCGAGTCCAACGTACAGCGGCGGCTCCGCGGTATTCGAGCGTCTGTACCAGCCGTATGCTTCGATATCCTCCTTCTCGTCAGAGCCGGTACTTGAGTCTTCCATGGGCGTGTATCCGGGTATGTCGGCGGGATTGAGACGGAGAGGGCCCGTTGGGTAAATGGCGGAGATTTCGTGAAGAGGAAATGCCTTGGTGATGTGTTTTACCAGGGCGCGGGATTTGGCGTGGAAGAGAGGGCCGGATTGTGTGTAGCCATGGAGCATGAGGAGTTTCAGAGGCGGGCGGGCGACCATTTTGAATCGAGATTGCTTTTAGAGAGAGGGAGGCGGGTAAGAAACTGGGTGAGAAGAAGTGTAAGAGAAGAATGGCATTGTTGAGGTGAGGGGCTTGGAGTCAACAGAGAGCGAGCGATAAGATAACGCTCGGGCGGAATGCCAAGCACCCACGGTCCCACGCGCATGACTCCAGGCGGGAAAGGGGGGGTTTTTTTTATCATGGCTTTGCTTATTATCTTACTTATATCATGAGCTTCAAAGAAGTTCCATGGCCCTCTTCTGTTCTGAGGCGATGATACTCAGTGTCGAAGAGGCAGTCATCGCATTGCGCGCGTGAGCATGCAGAGCGTAGGACCGTGACAGGATAGAGCATTATGAATTTACGGTCCAGGATACAATAGAAAATATGCTGCCAGGTAGAGCTTCTAGTGCAGAAGTCTACCAAGTACAATTGGACCCAGTAGAGACAACATGAAACTACAATTTACAACTTAGGACGGGCGTCGGGAAGACTACATGTGGACCCGGGGCCCCGGACAAGTATTAAAGATAAGACTAGGGATACTGCAGATGGGGTAAAGCCGCAAGGGCCGAAGCCCGAAGGCAGGGATCAAGTGGACCGTGGATACTACGGGCTACGGGTTCGAGGATCAAGTGCATATAGGTGTACAATTCGCTACTGCACCTAGGAGACACAGCTTGCGCTCTTCCGTACAGTCAGGTTCAGCGGCCTGAGACACTGAGACTATACCGGGAGACCCAACGCGTCCGTAAAGCACATGCCACCGAAGTGGCCATTCGTCTTCGCCAATGGAGGATTGGTCGCCCCTATGCCTGCTGGCATCCGAAACTCGCTTCGATTGGCACGGCTCAGGCGGACGCGGCTGCTGTATACATCCCATGGTGCGTGAAACCGAGTACGCTCGTTGAGAAACGATGTACAAAAAGCATAAAACACAGCAAGGAGAGAAGAAACTGGTTTTTGACGGAAACAAAGCAATAAGTTGACAGAGTGTGGACCGATCAAGTGCCAGATATCCGGAACTCCCCTCAATGTGAAGAAAACGCTTTTTGGTATTGAACGGCGATGTAAAGTGTAGGAACATTTTTCTCATTGTCCATGAGTGTTGTAGGGGTTTCTCGCAAGGGGCGAGGATTCCATCTTCTATCTGAAGTGCTTTCTCAAAAAAATAGTATTAATCCATCATCATCGAAAAACGCCACGTTGCAATCGTCGTCGCTCCAACTCGGTTGTCGAGACGTTTACTTTCGGCGGAAAGAGCAGCCCTCGGTGAGACGGGCCTTACCACCGGTGGGCTGGCAGAGGACGGTAGAGCAGCCGGAGCACACAACGACGGTCTGGGCGTGGGAGAAGACGGTGGTGATGTTGAAGCAGCCGGGGCACTTGACGTCCATGAAGAAGGAACGGGGGCCGGGCACCAGTTGCTGTCCAGAGAATCCCACGATCAGTTATCGAAACCAGGTGTATCCGAATTCGCGCCATCATACCTTAAGCTTGTGCTTGCGGGCCTCAGCCTGAGGAGTGGGGTTGAGAAGGTCGACCGCGAGAACCTACGCGAGCAACGGCGTTAGTGACATGGTTTATTGAGGTCGTAACTGGATTTTCATGATGGCCGGTCGACACAGCGTGGCGGCGACGAGAGCGAGGGTGACCACGAGAGCAGAGATTGATCGTCGTTTGCGTGACTGAATATCGATGGCCGTCTTTGACACAGGAAATGGGCAAGCAGAACTTACCATCTTGACGAGACAAAAAGTCGATCAGCGAAGAAAGTTGAGATGGAGCGCTGATGAGATGGCCGGCTTGGGGGTGTGAAAGCGTCAGAAGAGGTCTCGTGGAGATGGCGAAGTTTGAAGCGAATTCTCGACGGCCGCCCCCCGTCGGCCCGTTGGGGGCTAGCGTAGGGTTCCAACCCTCGCTAACTGCTTGTCTTAGAAGCAACTGGAATTGCTTACTCACTCTCAGTGGCAAATATGCATAACTCTGCATAACTTTTACTACAAGGTCCCTGAAGAGAAGGAATCACGGCATCTATTAATATTTCACTCTATCGCTAATCCAATCCGCTCAGACATAAGGCATGATCTTAATGATACGTTCGTGTAGCGGGCACCAGCCCAGCTCCAAATCGTTTAGCCACCATACAAACTCCGGCGACATTCCAGGTATTTTTGTTTTGATCCGCGAGCACTCACATAGTTAGTTGGCTTGTCGGTGTGCCTCGAACAGTTCTTATAGGTTCTTCTTGGCCGCTCTAACGACATCGCCATTGACGGACGCCTCTGGCACGTATGGGTGCTTGATGGTCAAACACCAGATATCAATGTAATCGCAAATGGTCGTAATGATATCATGCTGAAAGCAATTAGTGATTCAGAAAGCCTCAACGCAGATGCAGGGCCTTACCACGAAGCTTCCGTAGATACCCAGACCCAATCCCAGGCACAGGAAAACGAAAGCGGGCTGTCCGATTGTCTCGATCAAAGGGTACGACCAGAGACCAAACATCGCACCGGCGTTATCAACCACTGCCAAAGCAAGAGGTCCAAGGAGAATGTTGGCGTAGGGAAACTCCTGGTGGACCAGATGGGCACAGATTATTCGTCCAACAGCGTATGCATTGATCAGACCAACATATAAGGCGAAAGGAATAAGGTGGTTTTCAAGAACCGCCGGGTTGAGGTACAGATACGCCGGCGCAAGTACCCACATCGAAACGAGAGGAAGGATGCCGAAAAGGGGGGTGATTGAATCCTTGCCGCGTCCCCTGCGGACCTGAATGACATGTGCAATGCTCGAGCCAGTGGCGAAGAAGAGCATGATCCCACCGTAAATGAGATACCACTGCGTGAAGGGCAAATCATAGAGCTGCTCAGGAATGAAGTCAAATCTGGGAACACCGACTGTCTCAAGCATAGGCTGATGCCAGAAGCTTCCGCCTCCCATGTATGCGGTGATACCGAACACGACACAGAGCGTCAATACTCCTTCAACGGGGCCAGAGACAATGCCTAGCGTCAAGACCTGTGTATAGTACATATCCCAAGTCTGGACGTAAAAGGTCATGGTAGCTGTGGATTTCCGTTAGATTTGCTCCACGCCTGGATTCTGGGGCTGCATACATCCGAAAAGAGTCAGAACCGTAGCCCAAGACTGGCCGAGGTTCATGACTGCGGCGAAGATCAAGACTCCCAGGGCCGTGTTGCAAGCGTCAACGCCTGCAGAGCAAGTCTCAGTGATATACTGGCCAGTAATATCAGCATCTCGACTTACTGTGATCGAAAAGCTCGCCAAGAGGGCCGCTCTGCTTTGTTCTCCGTCTAAAAGGCAGGTTAGCCTCATTCAAGCTATGGACAATGGTAAATCATACGCCTGAATTCCATCTACAGCGTCGAACGTCTGATACAGGAATATACCGATGGCGCAACTTGCATAGACCCATGGTGGGCAGTCCTGATCCAGAGTGGGGTTATAGTATAGGACGGTGAAGAGGTTGATCAAGACGAAGAAAAGGCCTGTCAAGGTGATCTACAGGACCTCGGTTATTTCCAATTCTTCAAGGTCTTTGAATTGGGATTCTCAATGTTGGACACCACCATCTGTCCCATTTTCTCTGCTTTTGAGGCTCCTTTGTGTTGACGCATAGGGCTGAGAGGCTAGTAGTAGACTTACAGCATTAGGTCTAAAATAAGAGGCTGTTAGTCGGGCCAAGCACAAAAGATGCAACCAGCGTCACTACTCACGCCATGCTCATCGGAAAGAACTTGATCACAACATTATTATAGAACGGTTTGAGGACATATCGGCTGATGAGCGAGTGGTCAACGCCGGCATAACGATAGTCCTTGAGGTTCGATAATTCATGTTGTCGGATGTACACCATTTTGGCTGTGGGCGGCACGCCTCTTTCGCAGCGGCGAATTACGGTATAGTTGTCCCTATTAGCTTGCTCCTGATGCGATGGACTGGGTTGGTCGGTTTTGTTTTGTTTTCGTCCACGGCAGGCCTTCTGGAATCTGCGAAAGAAGGATAGGGTAGGAATAGACAGGTGAAAGAAGATTGAGAAATGACAAGTGAGTGACTCGGAGAGGGCTCTCTAACAAGAAAGCGAAGAATAGGAGGGAAGTCTGCAAAGTGGCCCGGAAGTTTCCCGTGACGCCGTCGCAGTCCAGAAATATCAAGCGTTCTTGTATTTATGTGACGCTTTTTTCTGCCGGTGGAAAAATGATCCTCGGAGGGCGGCCGCGGGGAATTAGATTACAAGTAAGGAGCATGTTACAGGACAGCGCGCCCACTCAGAACGGCCAGTATCGAGTGTAATGGTGGGTAACGATTGGCCACGTGCTACGGCGTTGCTCCGTAGACAAAAGGAAAGAACGAACCAGCAAGATATTCGTACGCCTTTCCAGTTTCCTATGACGATCGTTGCATGGTGGATTATCTGCCAAGATGGATAGACCTGTGAGTTGGCCGCCGTTAATTATCCGAGGCAGCCATATGACGCCAAAGCGCTAAGTTTCGAGTCTGCCTAATATGTTACGGGAACGGCTCTACGCAATATCATTTGGTAAAGCCCAGAAACCAAGAAATGAAGCAGGCGACGATGTGACGAGGTCGTGGTTGCATAGAATGCTTGAGATTGACGCACTAAATACATGCTGTGAGCAACCGCGAGGCGCTAATGATACCATATTTCATACAATAATGAAAGCATCGCCAAGTGAAGGCGAATTCATCCCAGTACATCCAGAATGCAAGTCGGTCATGCAAACAGACAGGTTTCTATCATCCCGACGACGGTCTACCCGTCATATCTTCGATGTTCAGATCGTGCTGACAACCCGAAGCTGGACTTATTGAAACGTGAAGAAATCACTGCCAGGTGAAGAATGAAACTTAGCCGACAGGGCTCCAAGGCATGGGAACCAGAATGCGGCTCTGCATGGTTTGAATGAGCGGAACAGTCTTATGCACGGTCTCAGCCCAGCCTTCGATGCCCCACGACTGCTCTCGGCGAATCTTGCGCTCTTCCAGGTTCGCAAACTGCCATAGATGGTGCACTGTGTTCAGATCCCCAATCTGCACGAACCAGGCACCGACACCTTCCATCACTTCGCGACGCGCCTTGAGACCGCGGCGCCAGTGGGTTTCCCACTCGAGGAGATTGCCAGGGTGAAGAGTATAAGATCGGAGTTCGAAGAGGCCTCCTAGACGGCGCGGTGGGGTTGTAGGCCAGAACGAGAATTCCTGCATCAAAGAAGTCTTCTTGCTCTTGATCAGACTCTTGAGTTTGCGGTCGAACGCAGGGAAATCTGGATGGCGCGAGATATTGTGAAGAGACGCGTGGTAACCTTCGTATCGCTGATACTCCCAAATATGTACTGGTAAGATGGATATTAGCGTCAACGCTGCAATTGCGCATACGCACCAGATTGGGTGGTCTGGTCAGGTATAGGTACCGAAAGTCTCGTTGTCTCCCACTTGCGTTCGCCAACTTCCTACCAGATTCACGCGGTTCTCTTCCGTGCCAGCCATCCTAGGATACCACTCGCCAACAAGGTCGACATACTCATCGACACGGTCGGGTTTCACTTCGTGGAAGACGATGGAGTGCACGTATTTGCCGCGAGCGAGAACTTGTGAGAACGAGCGTTCGATGTCCTTATCGAGCTGCTGGCCTTCTTTCGTGCCGTAAATCAGGGAAGATAGCGGTCCGCGTTTGGGAGACCGGTTAGCTTCCTTCAAATGTTCGTCTCCTAAAGAACGGTGGGTAGAAAGTGAGCCCAATGCTTGATTATCAAGAACATCGGCGGCATCAAAGATGGGGCTTTTTTCATCGCTCGCGTTGCTCTTGGAGGAAGCAGCGGGAGCGTCAGCGTACTCACGGAGGCGATCACGGGCAACAGGGGATGGGGCAGATGCAGAGGTGGAAGCAGAAGCACCGACTGACTGACTCTCTTGCTGCTCTCTCTTCTTGCGAGCTACTTCCAGGTTCTCGCGAAACTCCTTCTGGCGTGCAGTGAACTCTTCAGCCGAGTCGGGTGTGATGTCGCGAATGGAGGGCGAACGGAAGACAGGGGCAGTTGTGTGGAAAGGTCGGACCAGCACAGATGCAGGCCGCAAGACTCGAGGGGCAAGCATGACTAGGACGGATGCAAATGCGATTCAAACAGCTGATACCGAGGAAATTCAACAGATGGCAATCAGAGTAATAGAAGCGGCGAAGATAAAACAGGATGCTTGTTTATCGAATGTTGCCCAACGGATACAAACGGGAAGCAGGGGAGAATACCACCTGTCCGGGGGTGGAAAACGAGCACAAGAGGGGGTTTGAAGAGAGGGGGATATAGAAGACAAGGAGCAGGGATTAGACGGAGCTGACACAAGGTGCACAAAGCGAACGGCTGAGTGGAGGGGTTGCAACACAGCAGGAGTAACCCTCAGGAGTAACCCTCAGAACCAGTAAGGAAGCAGCTCGCTCAAAGACCAGGGTCAGCAAAGTCGGGTTAGGCTGTCGAGGAGGTATTCCCCAGATTCCAGATGGTGGGAAGACAAGACGCAAGAATAATTAACACACCAATGGCGATGGATGGGATGGAAAGAGGGAAGAGATTTGAGGAGGAGAGAAGCTGGGGATAGCACTGCACCCGTAGCTTGCCTGGAGCCGATGTGCGGGGAAAGGCGTCTTACTGTCTTGGGCTCTTAGCTCAGCCTTTCGTTGTTAGCTGCAAAGTCCAAGCTTGTGCTTGCCGTAAGAGACCTCCGTGTCTTATATGGCCGCTTGTAGATTGTTTAATAATATCAGCTTGCTGGTTCAGATTGAGATGGAGATCCTCCCTTCATTCAGGAGCTGTTGGTGATCCCCGGTTCAGCTTCCCCATATCTATGACGACAATGCGACATGGCTTACTCTAGCTGGGGTCTAGGCTAGATGGACAGGAGATATGCTCTTGGTCTGGACAGAGATGATCCTGTGTGGTTAGATTTCAGCTTGCGTGTACACATCACCTTGACTGTTTGCTCCAGTTACCGGCCTTAGGTCATACGACAGGGACGGGGACGCTGTTGATCTTGTCCAAGATAAATGGATCTGTTGAATCTCCTCAAAGCCTTGCCACTGCCTGGTGCCTAAAGCTACTCCTTACTTGACCACTCTGTACTCAGTATTAACATGCGAAGCAGTAATAATCCGATGCATCACATCAAACATGCTCTGCTGACTGACGCACCTATTCAATATCATGTACTCCAGAATATAGTCAAAGCCGTTCCCGGCCGCGTTGCTATAGGCCGAATCAGGTAAAGCGCGGTCGGGGTCGCCACCCCATCCATGAAGTAATTGCCCCTCCACCTTGAACTCTCAACCAAGAGCTCCCACAATTATGCCCTCTGTGCATTTACCTCCGAGCGCACTTAACACCAGACCAGACACTATGACCGATTCACTAAATCCTCCCCTCTCGTACGAGGCTTCTGCTACGACTACCCATCGCCATGTTGCAACCACTCTTCCGCCGGAGGTTTCGTCGTGCCTCAAGAACTCCCGCTTTGTACGTCTAATTGAAGCTCCTCGGTCCTTTTAGCTGCCACTAATGTCAATGGTGCCTGCAGCTTCATCTAGCAACATGTGATGGCCTCACCCCACACATTTCCCTTATGTCCTACACGTTTCTACCCTCTACTCCCTTCGATCCGTACCCCACGATCATCATGACCACCAACTCTTCGTCTCGGAAAACCACCCACTTACAAACCAACCCCCGGGTTTCACTACTGGTACACGACTGGGTGTCACATCGTCCGCCTACGCGTGCTTCGAACACCGGCAACACTCGCGATGGGTCGCCTCCGCCCGCCGCAACCCGGTCATCTTTGGCTAGCTTGCTATTGAATCTCAACACGAGTGCACTATCTAGCATCTCCACCACTATCACCGGAGAAGCTCGCTTTTTGGAGCCCGATTCTGAGGAGGAAACCTGGTGTAAGGACAGGCATTTGGAGAACAACACGTTCGAGGAGGAAATGAGCACGTTCGGTCAGGTACCGCCGCCCGGTCAGCGCCGGCCCAGTCTCTCAATTGACGAGGATGTTCGGGTCGTCACTGTCCGAGTGCGCGAGGGTCGGCTTGCTGATTGGAAGGGAGGTGTGCGAGATTGGCTCGTTGTCCAGGAAGGCGAAGAGGTATCCGGCGAGGCCGGAGCGAACGGTGTCGTGCTTTAGGGCTCTGTGGCTTCGAGCTTCCTGCTGTTCACATCATTCCTGGTACGTTCAATTTAGAAGTTACGTACGCGGGTGTAGAAGGGCGTTAAGGCTATAGCATCGTTTGCCCCGTAACAGTATCACGGCCATCGACTTGCTTTCCAGTCCATGTCTTTTCTTTCTAACTTCAAACTTGATGCTTTCTGAATGTAGCACACAAGGTGCAGGGGACCCCTTATCCTGTGCATAGCCCAATTAAAAAAAGCCATAGCATCTCATTAGTCGAGGAGAACAGCAAAGGACTAGGTTATTGTATGCCATGAAGCTATCACATGATCTTTATCAGTGACGTTGCCCATTCCACCAACTCCAACTTCCCTCAACCCCAACTTAACTCCACAATTCTCTGGTACAATGCATTGAGCTACCTGAGCCACCTTAGTCTCTTCCGATACGCATATTTGCTTGTTCAACGCTCAATCAGTACAGCACCTTTGAGCTTCATCTTACCTCGTCCTCCCATCCGGTCAGAACAAAAAAGTAAAATGAGACTCGCGCACCTCCACTTCCCCGAAATAACCTCCTTCACGCGGGTCGCAAACCTCCAACAAACCCTGACAACGCGGCTCCTCGCGCACAAAAAGCTCGTAACGAGTCCGTCTGCCAATGCGACGGCTCCACCACCCCCGGACCCAACAATAATCACATTCTCCCCGAATCCCGTGTACACAACAGGGCGCCGCGACCTCCCGCCGTCAAACACCACGCCCGCTACCACAAGGACCCTTTCTCTTCCACCTGCACTTGAGCCGATCCGGTCAATACTTACTCCGCCGTCGTCATGGCAGCCACAGTCGCAGCATGAAGCCCCGCCAACAGCAGAGTACCACCCGACGCTACGGGGCGGACAGACAACGTATCATGGTCCCGGGCAGATGGTCGCATATACGATTCTGGATCTGCGACGACTAGGTTTGACACCGCGGTGCCATATCCGGTTGCTGGAGAATAGTGTCGTGGACGTGCTGCGCTCGTATGGGCTCGAGGGGCTGATCACGGAAGATCCGGGGGTTTGGGTGCCGCGTCCTTCTCGCGACGAACTGCCCAGGAAGATCACGGCCGTCGGTGTTCACCTGAGGCGGAATATCAGCAGCTATGGGATTGGGTTCAATGTGACGGAGGAGCCGATTTGGTTCTTTAGGCAGATTGTGGCGTGTGGGCTTGAGGGGAGGGAGACGACGAGCTTGGAGGGGCAGGGGGTCAAGGGAGTTATCGTGAAGGAGGTTGCGGAAAGGTTTGTGGATGCGTTTGTACGGAGGGTAAATAGTGATTTCGCGTGTGAGGGGAGTGCGCTGGGGGAGAGGATTGAAGAGGTTTATAAAGTGGGCGAAGGAGATCTTGTAGGCCAGACAGATACTCAGTAGGTCAGAGCCCCAGAGGTGCTAGATTATAGATACTGTGTAAAAGTGTCCTACTGGACAGGTGTAATAAAATTGCCCAATGACATGATAATGAAGTCGATAAGTCGCAGTAGATCCGATCCAACGGTACATATGCTAGAACATCATCGGATAGAGATACATGCATAGAGCGTACATTCTCCACAGAACAGAGAGAAACAGGCCGCTGCGTCCAAGTCAGCTATCGAGCAAAAGCAGCAAACTACTCGATGGGAGGCACGGCAAGCGATTGAGCGTACACTATCCCGGTGTCTGAATGTGAAGTCGATCTTGGTTTCCTTCTCGGCACAGCATATTAAGATATTAGCGTAAGTGGTGTATCTAGCGTAGAATATATATATCGAAGAATAGACGAGGAAGCAGATATCGCAGGGCTAAATTGCTGATTGCTGAGTCGTGAAGCGGCAGGTCTCCCAGGACTTGCGCACGAAAATGGATAGAATATCAGACTGAATGTTGAGATCGGCGGGTATATAAACAGTTAATTCGCAAGCGAAATTCGACAGGCTGCAATCACTGGATGGTGCAGCGGCTCTGCGATGAGCTGGAGTTCTGAGCCTTGACCTCAAGGGCGACTTTGGCGGCTTCGTAAAACGCCTCTCTGATACCGCGGTTTTGGACGGCAGAGCACTCTGAAAGCACATTAGATCACTTCTCATCCCGCGATAAATAATATCAGCGGCTTACCGAGGTACTTCACGGCCCCAATTTCCTTCGCCTTTGCCAGTCCTTGTTCATATGTGATGACGTTCGGGTTATCATTTTGATACTCGTCCTTGCGCAAGTCACACTTGAGGGCCGTGAGGACGAGTTTCACCCCGGGGACATTCTCCGAGATCTCCTCAATCCATTTACTGGCCACGTTCTCGAACGAATCGGGGCTGTCGACCTTGTTCCACAAATTAGCCATGGGTTCGGGAAGCTGACCATTGATCTTACACTGAAGCACAGCATAATCACATGGGTATCCTCGTATGAGAGCGCGCGCAATCGGTCGAATTCCTCCTGGCCGGCTGTGTCCCATAATGATAGTTCCATGTGCACATTGTCGACAAAGATATCTTACAATTGTAAGTGTAGCCCGGGAGATGAAGCGGGAAAGAAAATACCATGGACATAGTTCTCTAGAAGAGTCGAGTCAGTATCAGGTCAACTAGAGGCGGAGAGCCACGAACCAAAGACGGTCGGTTCACTAAGCCACATTGCAGCTATTAATGCTAGAACTTATGCTGTATTGGATGGGAGCCTCACTAGACCGTTGGAAAGAACCTAGATGACGATTGTCAGTAATCGCAGGCGTGGGATGGGAATACGAGGGGACCTACCCTCTGGTGAACACGTTCAGTGCCGAGGTTTTACCGCAAGCACCGTCTCCTCTGGCTGACGGTTAGATACTAATACCAAAAATCTCGTCGTATGCTTGACTGACAGGAGCACCATCTTGCGCCGAACGACTTTTTGGCGCCCGCAGAAATCCATGGTGGTTATAGGTCGTAGGTATTCGGAGCGAGATCGGGGAAATTCTCCAGGGGGTGCGAGGGGTCCGAGGGCTCGATACTGCTGTCCACAGCGCTGCTGTACGGATAAAGGGAAGGATAGGGCGTTTAAGAGTATGCTGAAAGTGTGAGGATATTTCTGTGCAAATATGAGCTGAAGAATGTGAAGAAATGAAGACTGCGCCCCAGTCGTGGGCCGTGGAGGTCGATGTCATCGGGCTAAGTTGCCAAAAGATCCGGCGAATAGGATGATCGTCCTCTGCCAAGCGGCTGAAGTTCCAGCGCTTCATCCGGTGCCTGAGCCGGACAATATATGTCCAGCAGATGGAATTGGTTCGGAATAGACCTGTCATTACTTGGTTTCCGCTCTCCGGTCCTCTCGTTTGGCGCAGATGTTCTTGCCGGCCCCTTGCGACTTCTACATGGAATCTGTATCTACTAGAGCATGGTGCCTCGGCTATACTTATGTAGAAGCCAATTCATCTTACTGGTATAAGGTATAGGGGCGCTCTTTGGCCAATGTCTTTGAGATGTATGCTTCGGTGAGCTCTAGGGTCATAGGTTGATAGTTATGGCTCTAGACTCATGTAGATCTAAAGATATATAGTTGGTACGGGTCAGTCAAAGATTGAAGAAGTCTCTCACCAAGAGTTGTGATTAGAAGTCTGATACCAACTCTGAGCCGAGGTAATGATTAAAGATAGGCCTGCCCAAGCAAAGACTGCAACCTATCAAGCCCTCAAGCTTCGGCAGCAGCCCCCAAACTCCATGTCTTGGACCGTTAATCCATAGAGACAGCAGGACCCACACGAGGCTCGACGAAGGCGGGGAAAAGTTGACGCCTCAGGCCACATTATGCTGATAGCTAAAGGGCCGGGACTCGGGAGCTCCAGTTCAGTGTTCCCGAACAATCAACAAGAACTCTTATCGATACAACCAGGCTACATTTCTTATTCAAACCGTCAGACCTGGACACTCTCAAATAGCTGTTCATACCTTTATCACATACACGCCCAGTTTATACGTCCAAGATGTCTGACGACGATGATTTCATGCACGACTCTGCGGATGAGGAGTAAGTACCATCGCCACTACAGTTCGTCCCAGACGGCCGAAGAACCCCTCTCACACTCGCCGATGCTAGATATGACTTCGAGTACGAAGATGCAGACGACGACGAGACAGAAGATATTGGGATCGAAAACAAGTACTACAATGCCAAACAGATCAAGGTCGACAATCCAGAGGAAGCGATTGACGAGTTTCTGGGGGTACCCGCTTTGGAACAGGACAAGGGAGATTGGTAATCATACAAACCCCCCGGACCTGTCGCCCGGATGCTAACTATAGCTTCAGGGGCTTCAAAGGGTTGAAACAAGCGATCAAGCTTGAGTTCAAACTCGGGAGATACAGCGATGTAGGCTGAGTTCTGAGTTCTGACATAGACCTAGGCTGACATTCTAGGCTGTCGAACACTACAGGGAACTCTTAACGTACGTCAAATCGGCGGTCACGCGAAATTATTCCGAAAAGTCGATCAATAACATGCTTGACTATATCGAGAAGGGGTCGGATGACGACAAGGCGTACCAGTGCATGGAAGAGTTCTACTCCCTCACTCTCAACTCCTTCCAGAACACGAACAATGAGCGATTGTGGCTTAAGACGAATATTAAACTGGCCCGTCTGTGGTTGGAACGAAGGGAGTATGGCCAATTGAGCAAGAAAGTGCGGGAGTTACACCGAGCATGTCAGAGGGAGGATGGGTCGGATGATCCCAGCAAGGGCACATATCTGCTTGAACTATACGCGCTAGAGATTCAGATGTACGCCGAGACGAAGAACAACAAGCGGCTAAAGGCCCTCTATCAACGCGCCCTCCGCGTACGGTCGGCGGTACCCCACCCCAAGATCATGGGAATCATTCGAGAATGCGGAGGAAAGATGCACATGAGCGAGGAGAACTGGGAGGAGGCGCAGAGCGACTTCTTCGAGTCTTTCCGAAACTACGACGAGGCGGGCTCGATGCAACGGATCCAGGTGCTCAAGTACCTCGTGCTGACCACCATGTTGATGAAATCGGATATCAATCCCTTCCACTCGCAAGAGACAAAGCCGTACAAGAATGACCCCCGCATCTCCGCGATGACCGATCTGGTCGACGCTTTCCAGCGGGATGACATTCACGCATACGAGGAGATCCTAAGCAAGAACCCGGACGTGCTGGCCGACCCCTTCATCGCAGAAAATATCGACGAGGTTAGCCGAAATATGCGGACCAAGGCCATTCTCAAACTGATCGCCCCATACACCCGATTTACGCTTAGCTTCATTTCTAAACACATCAAGATTTCGGTCACAGAAGCCCAAGACATCCTTGGCTTCCTTATTCTTGACAAGAAACTAAACGCCAAGATCGACCAGGAAAGTGGCACGGTCGTAGTCGAAAGCGCCAGCGATGTGGAGCGACTCCGGTCCGTACAGGAGTGGAACGAATCCCTCCGGGTACTCTGGCAAGTGACTCTGAACGACGGGGATGGCTTCAAAAACGACGATGTCTCGCAGCCGACCGGGATGGGCATGCGAGGACCCATGCTCTACCAATCGGGCTTTGACGACGATGCTGCGGGACTACTACGTTCTGGCGGCCACCGATCGCGGAGAGGGGGGAAGGGTAACAAAGCAGGAGGAGGAGGACTCAAGGCTGGGTCGGGGCTGTTTTAGGCGGGGAAGGAAAGAAGCATTCGGATGTTGTACGGATCATGGAGTGCAGAAGCAGTTCTACTTGGATGGCCGAATCATGGGATCTCACTTTCCACGATCCCTGTTGAAGAATTTCGAGACAAGAAGACATTATTATTGAATCATGCATCATATCGTATCGGATCCGTGAGATTCCTCGTTGTATGCATACTACATACATTTGAAGTATATCCGGTCTGCCCTCATTCTCAACGTCTCACACCGCGAGTATCGCCCAAATCCAATGGTCCAGATGCGCTGCTGCTGCACCAGAACGCTGCACGACTATAATCCACAGCTCAAAATGACCTGTAGGATCTCAAGAGGAAACAGAAGGCGTGATTGTTTGTCTGACCCTCGAGTCTCGACTGAGACCTCGAGTCTAGGTAGTCTCGCGTCCTTCCCCCAATCGCAAGAGGAAACCGAGCATGTTCATTTGTGGGGATGCATTGCATAGTCCCGCGACAAAATGAAGCTGCAGTTGTAGACAGAGACTGGTGGAAGGACTACGGCGCGTCCGACTCGAAGATTGACGAAGGAGGGCAATGGGAAAAAAAGAGCGAGTTCATTGTCTAGTCGTCATACGGTCATACCATAGATGCCACAACAATTCCAGCCTATTTCATTCGCTGCTTATTGGGTCGGCATGGTCCGTTGCATGATGTTACCTAAAAGTATGTCACCTACTTTGTACGGAGCACCAACGCGGAGTACTTCGCTGTTGTACCCTGTACCTCCGCTTGCTTAGGCAATTGCACCGTAAGCCGTAGCTCACGCACGTACTTATGTGCTTATGTACGATGCAGCGTGCTGGCGCTAGGAGAAGGAATATCCCGACGACAAGTCAATCCAGCGACCAGTCAACTAGCTATCAAGTATCAACTGCTCAACACGGAACATTTTGGCAATTGTTACAACCGCCAAGGCAGCGGGTCAAGAGCCGACGCCGGCCGGAGTAATAATAGCAAATATCGCCATGCAGCTGTGGAGTGTTGTTGCCAATTGGCGAGCTGTCGTCGAATGGTTCCGGTCCCATTCTGTATGAACGCCTTTTGTTTCTCCAATTTCGAGCCCTAACGCAGTGTTCCGCGTGATAAGATCCATAGCACGATAGATCCGTCTCCTTTGTGCTACATATGTACAAGGCTACGAGCCCGGCCGAAGTTCGAACAGAGCTGCAAATAGGGGAAATCCTTGACGCCGAGGGCAATTGATTTGTGACTTGTGAGCCGTGACTGCGGTAGGAGGAGGTCGAGCTGCATGAGGAGGATCGGCTGGCTCGCTCAGACTAATGCCACCGTGCATCCGTCCCGTCCGCCGTCCGCTTTTCCCTCCTAGTTCACTTGTCAAATCCAGCTTGCAGCCTTGCACCGAGGCAGCTTGCAAGCAATGCGCCGCTTCTTGTAATCATTATTGAATATTCGTGATGCCATCGGGTAGTGGCATGGCGGGGTGCCCCGGGTTTTGTGTCCCCTGTACCAGGTGGGAAGAAGATCCCCGCGGGTAGCAAACAATGATCCAACTACGATCAGCGATCGACGTCAATCGAACTGTGTGTACGGCGCAAAGCTCAGAGCCGGAACAAGCAAATATTGCCGGGGAGAGCCGCGACACTCCCGCAAGCACAGAAGCTCAAGACAGATGTTGATTGGTGCAATTGTAAAAAGCCCTCACGCATCCTTCAAACTACAGAGAAGCCCAGAGTACAGCAATTGTCATTGCTTGGCGAATCGGGAATGCATATGTACTCTGTATGTAAGCCAAAAAGCGAAGGAAAAGGAGATCCAGGTACGGGAGCATATCGTTTGACATAGAATCTGGCGGATAGAATTGAATGGTCCGGACGGCGTTTCCGAGATAGCATATGCAAGGTAGGTGGTTTTAGCTGGATCGAATTGAGTCCTGTCACTTGTAGCACGACAGGGAGTAAGGGCCGATTTGCTTTCAACGACGGGAAGATTTCTCCTGGATAACATGCAAGCGAGGGATTGGGCGAATCTCTCCAAGCAGGCGGCCGTGGCTGCCCACGCGGATGGAAAAGATGGCTGGATGCTAGAGCCTGGAGGTTGTACCCGGCAGAACGGTCCAGAGACAAGCCACGGTTGTCTGACCCCGTTCCATATCTGGAATCGGTTTTAGATGTAGATCAGAATAGCAAATGGAGGTGGACGAATTGAATGTTGTTCCACGTTGCTTCTTCGGCCAATGTATGGATGACTATTGGAAGCAGTCGCTCGCTAGCTCGATGCCAAAGAGAACTAATGGGTGTGAAAGCAATCCTTCAATCATTCGCCTACTGCTAGGTCCTCACCCTTCAGGATTGATTTCAGATGTTTGTGATTGTACCAAGGATGTCAGACGCGGCCAAAGCATCGTGTAGTATAAACTTTGTTTTGAGATCCTATCGTCTTTCAAATGTCCGGTGCGCAGCTGATGCTCAATCTTCTTATTTGCGTCGTGGTCAGTCGGCATTTAGCGAGAAAAGGCAACCTGGGTAGAGAAGGCTTCCTGGGATCATGCCTATGCATCTCGGCCGCTCAAATCCGCCCACCCTCGTAAAAGGTAGCTGCAGCACGCAAGTCGGGTGGGAGCACCGCAGGCGTAGTCACGCAAATTCCTCAGGTAGATGCCAGTAGCAGCTCGCAACTTATATTAACCGGCGGTGCCAAGTAGTAGACGGTAACCGCGCCAGCGCGCGGAAGACGAATTGGGGCGAAGGAGCTCGCCTTGGTAGTGTTTTCTTCCTGGACAAGGTGTTCACAAACGGCGCAGGGATGTTTAGACGAGGAGGAACTGGATCTGAAGGCCAGCCATCTTACTCGCAGCCTCCGACTAGCTGCAGGACAATCGGCCCAGTCAAGCGCGGCGCTGTGGACGGACATGTGGTCGCTTTCGAGTGCATGCCTGTCAACACTCAAGTCTTGGAGATGGTGATCATAACGGAGGAGAACTATGATTTCAATTCCGACCATTAATATCCAGGATTGCGAGCGCTTTTGTCAAGGGAAAGCTAGAGAGGGCGGAGGTTGCGGTCTGAGCACCAACAGCGCCGGGCTGTCAGTGGTCCATCGCGGAGGATTCGGCATTTGCCCGGTGACCAGGTGTAGTGGAAATAGAAAATCTGATGACGATGAGCGAGGAAGATGGGGCGATCGAGGTCTGTCCGGGTACCATGTTGTGCTGCTCGATCGGGAGTTTTGTCAATAATGGTGGTGGTGGTGGTATTTGTCAAGACTCAAATGGCTCATGCTCTTTATTATTATCATCATTGTCGACGGCAGCCTTGCCGTATCATCGTCTACTAAAGAGTCTCCCCCTCATCAAAGCCAAAGCCCGGCCGGCCCCATCCACAATCCACCGTCCCATTGGCATCAACAAAAGGTCAAAGCTATCTTTCCAGCCCCATCCCTGTTCGTTGCTCGCTAGTACCGAAGATCTCGAGATCCCACCTCAGACTTGTCCTTATATTTAGTTTCTCGTTCAGGTTAGCCATCGCTCTTTTTCTGTCCTCGACTTGTATCAGAGTGGGGAAACCAGTCGCTGAACTGCGTGTCACATGCGAGATACACTTTGCCTCTAGCAAGCTGCAACTGTGTGTCTTCGTCTTGTCTTCTCAATTTCTTTCCTGTATCCTGTTCTTGTCTCTTTATCTTATTTCTTCGTTCTTTGAGCTCTAGACAACCCGTTCGCCGTACGATTGGCCGTTTTATAGATTCGCGGTCGCTTGATAGCTTGAACCCACTTTCTTCTCGTGATGCTAAAGCATTGTCCCAGCAGGTTCCTGCATCATTAAGACGACATCGCTAGGAAGGAAGGAGGACACCGGGAAGACTGTGCCCAATGAACCATGTGCTTTGAGTGATAACTCCCGACGCTGCCACCCCATCAACCATCTCCGAACGACCCACGGTAGAGGGCACCTTGACTTCAGCTGATGCGATGTCCCTATCGGATTTCCAAAGAAGCCACTTCGACCCTTTTCACCATTATCCCACCAGAGAAGAATACTATCCTGGCTACTTCTCTCAATCTATCGCTCCACCCGCTCTCTTGAGCCACGAGATACCTCGATTGTCCAGCGCTCTCTATACTTACCAGCCGGCCTTCTTCAACATGAATCCACTGTCGCCCGCCGAAATGGAGCGGTTCCAGCAGCTCTCCAACAAGTATGAGCCGGAGCTCCCAGTAAGGAACCCGGTTCTTGACCATGGATATTGTGCTCAATTGACACCACAAACAGGGCCCGCTCGTCTCGCACAAACAGTCAACCAATGCAATTGCGATGGACTATGCCAATGCTGATCCTACGTTTGCTACAAAGACAACCGTGAGACCCGAATGGGGAGAATCCACGCCGAAGCCATGTCGCTGACCGTCTCCTAGGCCCTGGCCGTTACACATCCCCAGTCGCGCATCATGAAGGGAGATGGAAACTGTGGGTGGAGAGGTAATGCCTAAACTTCGCAAGTGAAGAGTGGAATCTTACCTCGTCTAGCTGTTGCCTTTGGGTACTTTGAGCATCTCTTCAATCTTCGTGACCCTATACTAGTTCAGCGCGAGCGGGCACGGATCAAGTCGTTGAGCACACTTCTCGACCAAGTAGGTCTGGACGAAAATACGTACGAGATGTTTGTGGAAGCGACAGAGGAGGCATTTGATAATATCCTGAGCGCAATCGAGCGCGGCGAGCGGGACGACTCCTTCCTTCTTGAGCTATTCAATGATGAATACAATTCGGAGACGATTCTCTGTCATTTCAGAGTCAGTGTCCCCTTCATTAAGCTCTAAGTCTCTTGGCAGCAGATCTCAAGTGTGGAAAGTTATTATTTGTGGCTGACAATGGTTCATTTCTAATACGACAGTTCCTTACCAGCGCGTACATGAAACTAAATCCCCATCGCTATTCAGCCTTCCTACCAATGGACATGCCAATAGAACGGTACTGTTCAACACAAATAGACCCCGTCAAGACCGAGATCGACGGGATTGGTCTGCAAGCATTGGTAGATGGAGTCATTGAGGGTTCTGGGCTCGTTGTAGAGATCTTATACCTTGACCGAAGTGAAGGCGATGTCGTGACTCCGCATGTGCTCACACAAACGAGGCCAGGTCTTGGGGCCATTCGCCTGCTTTATCGACCGTCAGTTTTATCCTTGGCCATTATCCTTGGCCCTTTTTGCTTACTTGGGACACAGCGGCCATTACGACCTACTTTACCGAGCGGAATCGGCCGTAAACATGCAACCGCTGGTCAACTTGCAATACGCCATATCTTCCGATTACGCGCCCTGGGATACCAGTCACTTGTCGTTTGATATGAATTCCAGCTTAATGTCAATTCCGAACATGATGATGGACAATTCATATGCGCTGGCCTCTCCAATGTCGCAACCTCCGTCGGGTCCATTTCGCGTCTCACCAGCGCAGCCTCCGCCAGATCACTATCGAGTTTCACCATCGCAGCCTCCGCCAGATCACTATCGAGTCTCACCATCACGGCCCTCGCCAGATCACTATCGGCTCTCTCCGTCTCACGCACAGCCCTCTCCGGATCCATACCGAGTCTCCCCACCGCAAGAGGTCTACCACGCCCCTGTGCACACGCCTCCTCCGCCACCACCCATCGCCTCTCCGCAACCACAAATCCGACTATCCGGACCGCCACCTCCAATGCTAGGTTCGTTGCCTCGTCGGACAGATGATGGGCCTCAGATCCGACTCAGTAAGCACGTTATTGAGTCGAACTTGAACCATTCACTTCCTCTTCCGGTCACCGCACCGTTCAAGAAGTATGAATTCTCTGTATCTTTTCTGTTTGATACGTCTCTAACCTACAGTAGTTCCCCTTTCAATCATGCCCACTACCAAAACCCAGATTTCGAACCGATGCACTGGGCTCCCAATGAATCCCGCAAGTAAGGGGGGAGAGAACCCGATACATGGGAAATTATCGTCATGATTCGGCGGCTCCCTCTCTCAGCTTTCTATGACATATGAAGTGTATGACCTCACGACACGAATTGCACACAATTGCACACGCCTGGTTCCACGTACAGGAGGTAGCCCTGCTTTAATTGAAATGGTATTATCCTCACAGAAACATTCTGTCCTGTCTATCCAATTTCAATTCAACGCGCTCTTTCGCGGGGCCGCTTGTCTGTTTTTCTTGCCTCATTCTTTGCTTCCCCATTATATTCATCTATTAGCATGTGCCATGTATGCATTGGTGTGAGCGAGATTCAATCTTTGCCTGCGTCTCTTAAAAGGCTCACTAACTTGAGAGTGAGAAGGCTCCATGATTTCTGCAAAATGACAACCTTCAACAGTCAGTCTGGAGCTGCTTGTTGCTAGTAGATATTACTATCAGTCATCTGATCAACGTCCTAATATTCACAATTCAACTCTCATATATTTAGGCGTACACCTTCGCATTACTTGTAACTTCTTCCTGATTAGTGGTGTCATTAGTCATCCACTTCCTAGTTTGTAGATAGAATATATATACTAGGTAAAGAGAATAGATCGAGGCAAGGTCGCTGAAGCAGAGAAGTTGAGATGGATAAAGGTTAGGGTATCTGAGGTTTGCTTAGAGAGGGATTTTTGATGCTTCATAGGATCTCAGGGGTATATGCCGGGTTTATACTCGAGTGGATAGGGTGAGCTGAGTTCACCCTTGAGCCCCCCACGCCATCGAAGCAGGACGCGGGTATGATCCCAAGTGGTGTGCCGATGGCATGACGACCTCCGGCGTAACACCCGCGGCCAGCCCTGCTAATGACATGATAATACTGGGCTCGATTAATGCGTACTTATTGCCCAATTGTACCCCTGCCAAGCAGCATCTTCTTTGAAGCCTCCCTGCGGATTGCAAGATGAGTGCGCGGTGCATCGCCGTGTTCTGTGCGTCAGGTGAAGTCCGTATGCGGCGTTGGGGCAAAGTTCACCCATTCGGAGAAGTCCATTCCCGCACTGACGTTCAGGTCCTGGTTGACGTCAGGAAACAAGTTGCCGAAGGTGGGATCGTTGTAGAGTTGGTCGGCGAAGGGCATGTAGATCGGCTGGGGCTGCTGGGCCGGCGCACCGGCACTGGCGGTGGTCGAAGGGTAAACCGGGGCGCAGAGTCGATGGATCACGTCGAGACAGCGGCCGGCAAGGTTGTTATTGCTCAGGGAGGGGTACATGAGAAGTGCTTTGGTTGCTTCAATCTCCTGAATCCAGCTTGGCGCTTCTGTGCTGGTCGGATCTGTCATCAAGAGGATGATTGGGATCAGACCTGCCTGGAAGAGGAAATATCTGTCGCCGAGTGTCAGTAAAGCTTTTTTGGTATGTGGTTTGAGAACGTACAGCATATACCAAGCGCCAACTCTGGTGCAGGGGTAGTTGTTCACAAAATCAGTGATTGATGAGATAGTTAGCTTTGCATTTCGGAAGCAAAGCGTTCTACACTCTGCTTCGTAAGGGTCTTCTGGTTCAGTGGGCGTGTTTGGCGTCCATCGTCTGGAAGCCCACCTTAACAGGATGGGACGGTAGATGAGAATCCTTAAATTCCAATCTCGCCACAATAGTCGACTGCGAACCAGGGCAAAATTGTCTGACATTGAACCGGGAGCGGGATGCTTTATATAGTCCGGCAGACTATTATACCATTCCTCCATTGGCTTTTGAAGAGCCAGGGTCTCTTCTGGGGTTGGATTGGGACCGGAAATAAGACGTTGGTAGACGCTATTTGTCAATATGTGGAATTTGGCCTGAGCGATCATTCCCGTGTACAGTGTCGGTTCGTTGACTTCGGGAGGCACCGAAGTGGTTGTCGTTGTGAGAGCCTCGTCATGGATGTTGAGGACATGTTTCACGTCCATAACGCTGTCCTCCGGTAAAAGGATAGGACGACCAAAGGTCTTCGCCGCACCGCTGTCGAATATGTATACTCCCCACCATAATCTCCGGCGAACCTCACGTTGCAACAGGCTGATTTTCCATCCGTGAAACTCTTTGTGTAGGCCGAGACTCATTGACATCCTAACGGCCAAACCCAAGAAGTTCCAGCCTGTATTTGGCTTGTTCCGTTTCTGTGCGTAGTTGCTCAAGAATAGCAAAGCCTGAACCAAGGTGAGATTGCCGGCCTCAAAAACAGACATTTGTTGTAATCTGCTTCTGGCTTCTTGGTAAAAGGTAATATCCAGGTCGGAATTGTCATCGCCAATACACCAAGCTCCTAAAGCGAGGATTGTGTTTAGCAGAATTTGCCATGCCGGTCCGTGAGGTCGGGGAAGCTGTTCGTAGAACTGCGCTCGGAATGTGGCCTCATGTACGAAAGGATAGCTCATATGATAATTGAGAAAGAATGCATCCATGAACGCTTGTTCAACCACACCAGAGGGCGCTATATTGAGAAGTTGTGACTTCAACGGAATTCTATCCGAGTTATCGGCCTGTTTTGACGAGCCGGGTGGGATATTTAAATCGAAGCCATGCTTCAGCAAAGCCCGTAGCGGCACAACGCTTGAAGACGCCCCTGCGACGAACTGTTAGTATTAAGCGAGAAGTAAAAAGGAAATACCGCATGTACCAAAGTAACCGGCGCCCTCTGGCTTGATTGACAAAGCTGCCATCCCGTCTGTCAGATCTCCAAGAGTGATTCTATTCTCCGCCCAGTCAAACCCGTCGGCTTGCTGGGGTAAGGCTTCTGGCGCTGGCTCATGCCGGTCTGCTTCAGTCTTGGCGGGAGTTGAGTGTCTGGAAGAAGACTTTGAGGAAGATCGCTCCTTCGAAAGGGGATCTTGATCATGTAATAAAGAGCGGACAGTGGCATCTAAATCACCTCCAGGGAAGAGCCGCCCTAAGGCTGACTCGAATGCCTGCAAGCGGTCTTCCACATAGGTCAAGTGTCTATGGCAAAAGTCAATACTGGCATAAGAGAAGTCGAAAAGGAAAAGAGGTACGAATGAACGTATTAAACATACTGCCGCGTCAGAGGGCTTCTGGATATCTTTGGGCTATATTTGCATTCTTTGTCCAGCTGCTTGCACTGAGCGCAAGTAGGTTTCTCTTTAGAGCACTAGTGCTGGGTCAGATTCAACTCAAAGCAAAATGACTCTACAGGAAAAATGTACCCTGGATTTCCGTAGACGACATTCATCACACTGTAACCCCTTGTCAGAACTATCTTGAGTAAGACTCTTGGGGGGAAGGGGGACTGACTGCATAAGAATGGGAATCGCGAGTGCTAGCCATGGTGATCTTGTTTTTCGACATCATGTATCTGGCGCTCGTTGACAATCATCATAGAAAACTGCGGTCATCTGGAGGTTTGGCTGTCAGCAGAGGGGCTACTGGTGCGGCATTCCATGTTACAGAAGAATTACTAAATCCCCAAATGATTGTATGCCTCATAGTTTGTCCATCCAAAAAATGGAAGAAAAAGAAGCGGTGGTCATGTCCATAGAGAATGCCGCGGACATACTAGACTTGGCCTCGAGGGGAGCAGTGGGGTATCGCGAAAAGCAGAGCAGTCGAGGTGATAGGTATGGGGCGCACTCACGATCGGCGGAAACAGATCTCGATGCACGCTCCAGGGACTAAACTGGCAAGACGCATCAAGCAGAGATGCTTATCATTGGTCCCATGAGAGGCGTTTTAAAGAGAATGAATGGATTGATTGCGGATCGAGGATTGAGGGAAAGAAGATGGCACTTTTGTCGAGTGGGGGACCTGCGCTGAAGGTCATGTGACTCTGGAAATTTTTACGACTTGCGACAATTTACCCTGCCAGTTCCTCCATAAGAGAAGTCATACTTTGACTGTCATGCTCTATGCCCTTCAGAAGAGCGATTGTACCACTCCACCGTCGCCTAAACGGCTCGCTACGTTCGCTACGTAGTCTGTGCTATAGACGCATACTCGAGCAGCGGCGAATAGCAGGAGAGACACAAGAACACGACATTACCTTTTTCGCTCTTCGAGGTTATCCTATTACATATTCACTGGTCCAGAACTGTAGTGATTTATCAAGCAAATCATGGTATTGAAAACTAGATATTATTGAAATAAAGATAACTCCAAGGTCGGTGCCTTAGACGTGGGGCACCTAGTGGACCTCCGCTCAGGTACTGGCACTGGCCAATGGAATGCATGGAATCGCTCCAATTTTCACGACGTCACTAAAATATTCAAGATGTCGCCGAAATTTATCTAATCGCATGTCTACCGGTACACAGCACGCGAAAACCAATTGCGGAGGGACTACCAACATTTAGTGACGCAGCGCCATACGGTATCATACTTTCAAACTTATGAGGACGTTGGAACCCTAACTGTGCTCACCAGCCATGCCCAGCCAACCGCCCCTCCCCCACCTCCTCACGCCCTATATATCGACCCCGCCACGAGAGTCCCTCACAGCCGTGTCCTCAGTTGTAGGCGCCACTGGGAACTGGCTTATATTGCGATTCTTATATGCGGCCTTGACAGATGCTGGGCTTCGGGGCGTTGAGGGCGAGAGGAAGAGAAAAGTCGTGCTCGTGAGTTTTCTGCGGGGTTGGGAATTTTGGAGGTCTGAAGCAAAAAGGCTGGTAAGCAGTGGTGCTCTTGAATGCAGTCTTAACGCCACTCTGACGACAAGTTCAGGGTCTGGATTTAGCACGTCTGACTGAGAGACGAGAATTTGCCTTCGTCGACGGACTCTCCGAGCTCTTCTGCGGCCCGACTGCGTCCGCACCGTCGCGTGCACCATCCCAACACCTCGCGTCCGGCCCAACGCCTCGAACAACCCTTCCTACCAGACCGCATCCTGGAATCACATCACTGCGCCAACCACCTCCCCCGTCCGCTGGCTCCGATGGCCCGCCACAAATAACAAAAGATGCCGGCCAGGTGAAGCGACTACGCCTCTCAGGAAATGGGGCCGCAGCGTTGGACGCTCTGGAAAGGGACATTACGGCGGTGATAAAACAGCTCAAGGCGTCAGGCCTGGGAGAAGATGAAGAATCTGAAGTTTCTCTGATTGTCGACCAACCGGACCTTCTACTCGCCGCTACGGGGCCGAGTAAGGGCATTGGTGCTACGGAAATGGCGGAGTGGATAATAGGGCTACAGCAGGTATGAAGCCATTGAGCGTTGGACTACAACCTCCGATGAGAGGAAGTCTCTAACCGTTGCCGATTGTGAACATCTAGGCTGCCACTGCAACAGTCGCGACAATATCCGCGGACTCGCCGCTGATACACAATGCATCTGCATCCGCTCACCACATCGCGACTCCGCTAGAGACGGAACATGCCGCATTTGCTATTGGATTGGCCCACCGGGCAGAGATGGTCATGCAGCTTAGAAACTTGGAGACGGGCGCCGCAAGGGATGTCAGTGGCGTACTCAGGGTCAGTAAAGGAGGCGCTTGGGGACAGAGGGACAGCGCCGGCCAAGAAACCTGGGAAGAGAAGGAGGTGCTGTACTTTGTCCAGAGAGATGGAAGCGTTAGTGTTTTCGGGCGCGGGGAGTAGTTCATCAATGCTGGTCGTTGACATGCGGAAAGTCAAATAATAGACGTCGGCTGTACACTGTCAGGCTCGATAGACACCTAGTATTCAGGCAAAAAAATAGATTCAGAGACAGATCACATTGAATGGATATCTCAAGATCGACTCTGCCACAAGATGGGATATTCGCCAGCCATAAACATAGAAAGGAAATTCATTCATGTTTGTCCCTTTTTTGAACTTGATCCATTTCAAGGCCCACGCGATTGTAGATTTTCTGTCTTCCAAATACCGTCAATTATTTGCCCTTTCTCTTCTAATTTAAAAAGTGCTCTGACGGCATAAGTGAAGACCTGTCCCAACTTCAACTCCGCGGGAGCACTCCTGCATATGAGAAACCGAACTTCAGATGCGAGGCTCCTTCGCCATACCAGCCCTCTCCAGCCCCGGTGAACGAAAACGCGACATCGGAATCGATCTAGTTGTGGTTCTCAGGGCCACGGGCTCCCTTGGGGGTGCCGACCTGGAAGCCGTTCTTGAAGCGGCGGTGGACGTCCCGGAGGTGGGAGGTACGGCCGGAACCGGTGGTCTTGCGTCGCTTGGCCTTCTCGCTCCAGTTGACTGTTACCAGCGCATCATCGTAAGCCAGTGTTCCTCGTCATGAAACCATTTCCCGCATATTCCTCCGCCAAAGGTAAAGATAAGGATGCAGGGATATTCGTACACTTGCGAGTCTTAGCAGCGGGGTAACCGCAGTTGGCGCAGGTCGACTTCTGGATGTGGTAGGACCGGCGGCCTGTATCGAGGAAACCATCAAATGTTAGCCCTTCCTTGCTGTCGTGCATTCCGACCGATCCTGGCTTATTCCCAAATAGAAAACCATGCCCGTATATCGTTGGAAAAAGATTCGAGAGGGATGCAGTACTGACCACAACGCCGGCACAGGGTGTGAGTCTTGTTGTGGCGCTTTCCGAAGCTGGAGGTACCCTTCGCTATAATTGTCGTCAGTCTGTCAAGTTCTGTTGGAGCATTCGAGGATTCGACGGGATATCGGATTTGGACGTACTCATCTTGAATTAGGAACTGAACGAGCGAAAAAAAATTGTCAGTTACAAAATTCGACCGGCAGAACAATTCGGAGGATCAAACGGGCGCAACTCACCTGGCGATTCCGTTGAAGGGCTGGTTGTCGTTGTCGTCGTCGCTACACTAGGGCGGATCGAAAGTTGCGCTGGGTCCGGTTGTCTCTAAGCGAGTGTGCCATGACAGGGCACAAGCCCTGGCCCGCCGCCCAGATTGGCAATCGTCACATGACACGTACCCTTATCGCTTATCGCCTTCTAGATCTCCGGCGCTCCGCTTCTCCAGACTTCATTCAGCCTTGCGGGTGTGCTTCAAGAGTAGTATTAGAGGATTGATCTTCTTTAGGAATTATCATTGCCTTGAATCGCATTTTGCGGTTTATACTCATAAGCTATATACAATATGTACATTAAAAGTAAGTTTGGTTGGATACCACACATCTAATGCGCATCGTCCTTTCCAATGAACGCAGCCATAGGATCATCAGCTGCTAGTCGACTGCGCTTATACGTCTCAAACTCGTCCTCCGTTATCCCTGACTGCACCTCTAGAAGCGTCCGTTTCTTTGAATCTCGCTGCTGCTTGCTTTCTGTGCTCTGAGAATCATGGGCAGTAGCAGTCTCGTCGGCTTCTGGCAACGGCTGCTCGGGCTCGTCTTCAGGCAGTAGCAACATGTTTCCTGTCTCTTCAAATGCTCGCTTTCCTCCCTCACCCGTACAGTAACTGTTCTTAACGGTCGAGAAGCAGCAAGCATAGCCCCATTGGAAATTGTGCCACCAACTACCCCATACAGATTTGTGGTTGTTCGTGAGGATATCTTCAGGGTATTTGGACTTGGTTGCTTTCTTAGGAGCGCCTTTGATCGCCCCTGTCTCGTCATACTCGACGAACCGTTCATTCTCGATCACCATTGTCTCACGAAGGGGAGTTTGTTGCAAATGCTGTTCGCCGCCATACTTCTCGAGAAGTGCCTTCCGTTGCGCGTCTCGCTTAGCCTCTGTTTCGGCTAGCTCCTTCTTTCGCATGATTTCACCGGAAGTTGGATTCGCCTGTAGATGGATCTTCTGCGTACCACGCTCTTGCGCCTCCCAGGCATACCGCTGAGCTCTTTCAAACTCCGCTGCATCTCCAGACGAGCGAACAAAGTTCTCTTCAGCAACAAGAGCTGCAGCCTGATCTTCTGCAGCACCTGCGTCCACCATGCGTCGCGTTTTCGGATCGTACTTGGCTGAGTCCAAATCAAGGTTCAGTAGGTATTTCGCAGTGTCTTCTCGGATTCGTAGATTGCGAGTGGCTGTACTCTGCTGTCTTCCCATATCGGATTCCTCTGCATACCGAGCTTCCTGCTCTGTAGCCTCCTCCTCGTTGGCATTGTCTGTTTCCCCATTGGTAATTTTTGTTTGTCGCTTCAGCTTCTCCAGCTCCTCATATTCCTCAACAACCTGTCGGTACTCTCCAGCGTCGTAACCGTTCCATCGGTCTCTTTTGGCATCCCATCCTAAATCGACATTTTGAATGACCTCATCCGCCTGAATATCCTTGCCCGTCCATTTCGCGCCGTGCTTTCTCGGCCGATTTAGGCACTCTTTTGTTTTGTGGGTCATCGCGCCGCAATTCTCGCAAGCGCCTTTGCGATACTTCGTGGCCGCTGGACCGGCGCGTTTCCCTCGTTCGTACCATTTTGACTGGTCTGTTGTTGTTGATTTTTGTAGACGCTGGTGCTCTAGATAATCGTTTGCGGTGTCCTCGTCGTCGATATAGAAAGGTTTCTTTGAAATGAAAGCCGGAATGTATTCGTTGCGCTCTTTCGATGCAACGTCGGCGGGCTTCCGCGACGACATGGTGACGGTAGATCGGGATAACAGCAGGGAATTAGTGATAAGTAGTGCGTGAGATAAGTGAGATCAAAGCTCCAACAATTCCCAGCACTGTTGTGAGTAATGTTTGCAAATGCTAGTTTGCAAATGCTGATTCTGGCCGCGGTTGAAGGCCCAGATCCCGGCTTCATGCCGTATCACGTGACCAGGCGTTCCTCCCGCGCCACCCGACGCGTCTATCAACCATGCATCAGGAATCTTCTCTAATCGGTGGCTGAAAACGTGATTTTTTGTTTTAGAAAGCTGGTGATGATATGCTTATGTCGTATGAAACTTTCCGCTTTTTGATGTGACAGCTCATGCTGTCACGAAATCATCATAACTCATGGAGCCCTTCCAAGTGCGCCTAAACTGTGTGGACCATTATCAAGCAAACCCATCAGAATTCGATCCTCCTTTGCCGTACCGAGATGGCAATAGTGAAAAGAACTATAGGCCTAAGGTTCCTGTCATCAGGATATTCGGTACTACAGAAACAGGTCAAAAAATATGCGTCCATGTTCACGGGGCCTTTCCTTACCTCTACGTCCAGTATGACGGGGATCTGAGCCCCGATGCAGGTTCACCACTACCGGTTCTATCTTGCTTTCCCTCAGCTAACAGTATGCTTAGTGCGTTCTGCCGCAAGAAGTCTACACCTGTCCATAGACCATGCATTAGCTGTCAGCTATCGCCGCAATGCATACGACAAAAAGACGGCGTTCGTTGGGCATATTACCTTGGTAAAGGGCGTCCCGTTTTACGGCTATCATGTGGGATATCGATTCTTTTTCAAGATTTATCTATTGAACCCCATCTACATCACAAGGCTAGCGGATCTGCTGCTCCAAGGAGCCGTGATGAAACGCCCAATTCAACCATACGAAAGTCATCTGCAATATGTCCCGCAATGGATGTGTGACTATAACTTATTTGGCTGCGCCTTCATGAAATGTAGCAAGGCCAAATTCCGCTCTCCTATACCGGAATATCTGGATCTTCCTGATTTGTCCCATCGGTGGCATGACCGATCAATACCACCAGACTGGATCTCAGATGAAGGGGAATTGGGCAAGCAGAGCCACTGTCCTTTGGAAGCCGACGTCTGCGTTCAAGACATTTTGAACAGGCTTGAAATCAACGAACGCTCTATTCACCATGACTTCGGGGAGTTTCTGAAACCCGTGGCATCGAACGAAAAGCTTGTCCCAAGTATGGCGGGGTTATGGCAGGATGAAAAGCGTCGGCGAAAGAGGAAAATTGGGCTTGAAGATCCGGAAAGCAGCCCGTTCAGCACCGAAGACCTGGTTTCATTCTCATCTGATCCGAGGAAGAACTCGCAGGGAGACTGGATCCACAAAGATGAGTTTCAAGAATTAATTACGCAAATTGCTGCCGAGGAGAGAGGTCGAGATAGTGACAAGGATGCGACGCTAGATGGGCTTTTGCGGGATAATCCCTATACCAGGGATATCAAGACCGCTTTAGAGAGCATCGAAGATTTCTTCCCTGGCCCTGACGGTTTTGCTAACCTGCAACTTCCTTATAGCTCTGAAAATGAATATATAGAAGGACAAGCCCAGGATTATGTTGATGAAGATGCTGCTCGAACCGCTGAATTGGATGCGGGGCACTACTCCTCTGATGAGAATGGCATGGTCGATATATTCTCCGATGATGATTACGAGGAAACTGAAAATGAGATGGAGCAGGCGGACCTGGAGAATGATATGCAGCAGGAAGAAAATTCCGATGCTAGTTCCCACGCTCATGGGTCTCAGGTTCCTGTCCCATCGGTTACTGGACTTAGAGACAGTACTGGACTAGAGGTACCGCCGAGTGATGTACCCAGTACATGGGGCACAGGGAATTTCAAGACTCCTACTCGACCGAACTTGGAAAGCGATCATCCGAGACAGAAATATTTTGAGACGTTGAGTAGCTCTTTCCAGGCTCTGGAGCGACCTGGCCTTGTTCAAACTTGGAAAGCGAACCCAGAGAGCGGCATCAACGAACTCAGCACTCCAATTCGTACTACGGAGCCATCCTCCTCACTCAGACAAAGCTCATCCCAACAAACAATTCGTCCCAAAGGCAACAGTCAACATGGCACCTTGAACTTTCCTGTTGTCAAGGATCCTAATGACCCCATGACAGTCTTGCGTTTCAGCCAAGAAGCATCGAGTTCGAAGGTCTTATTAGCAATGGTAGCAAAGGGGCCTAGCAATTCTGGGGATAGCGAGAGCACGCTACAGTTGCCTTCGTCACCTGTGGCAGGGCTTAGTAGTTCATTGGATATAGTCGCATCCGACTTCGCAGCACCCATGTTTGAGGCTTTTAACATCCCACCAGGGACTCGCTTGGGATGCTTGCGGCGAGCCTGCCCGGAACCTGCAGAAGTCTCCTCAACATTGAACTCATACGGCCTCTCAAATATCATCTATTCAAAGGCGCACTATAGCACGGATAGTGATGTTCCTGATCGCCCTCGTGATTACGCAGGAAGAGAGTTTCACATCGAAGGTGTCAGTATTCGCTACCTTCCCAACTTCGATCCTTCTGGTCGTTTACCTGCAATACTAGCGGAGGAGAGCATAACTTCGAAAGCCAGATGTGACTGGGAAGAAGTGGACAACGAGCTGCGGGTGGCGTGTACGGCCAGATTCTGGGAATTTGCTCCTGTGCCTCCGAGCCGCTCAGAGGTTATCACTTGGTTTGAGGACGAACAGCGGAAAGCTGTAACAGCAACCACGAAAACGAAAGAAAAGCGCGACGAGAAAGAGTCTCGCGTCAAGGCACTTTCACAGATTGAGGGCCCAACACAAAAGAACGACCACGGATTCAAGTACTCGCAGAATGAAAAGTCGACCAGCGTCGAGCACCAGGCTCAATATATGAGCACCATGAGTCTGGAAGTCCATGTAAATACCCGTGGCGTGCTCTCACCGAACCCCGAGGATGACGAAATAGCCTCCTTCTTTTGGTGTATCAACTCGGAAGAGGACCCCGATGAAATCCCCTCAGGTGTCGTCTTTCAAGGGGAAGGAAAGCCTCCTGAACTCAAGATCTCCAAGGCCTTGAGGTTTGAATGGGAGCATGAACCGACGGAACTGGACCTAATCAACCGTTTAGTTGATATCGTTCGATTATATGATCCTGATATTATTACTGGATACGAAGTGCATAATGGATCATGGGGATACGTTATTGAGAGGGCCAGGAAAAAGTACGACTTTGACCTTTGTGATGAACTGTCACGAGTCAAATCGCAAGCTCATGGACGGTTTGGCAAGGAAGCTGATAAATGGGGATTCAACCACGCATCATCCATTCGAGTTACTGGGCGACATATAATCAACATATGGCGCGCCATGAGGAGTGAGATGACTCTGCTTCAGTACACCATGGAGAACGTCGTTTTCCATCTCCTGCACCGGCGAATTCCGCATTACTCGTTCCAGGACCTCACTTCATGGTATCAGAGTGATAAGCCACGGGACTTCATGAAAGTTATCAATTACTTCTCTTCACGCGTTAAAATGAACATTGAAATCATAAACGCTAATGAATTGATACCAAGAACCAGCGAACAAGCCAGACTGCTTGGTATCGACTTTTACTCAGTGTTCTCTCGAGGCTCCCAGTTCAAGGTTGAGTCTCTGATGTTTCGAATTGCGAAGCCGGAGAACTTTATGCTTGTTTCACCGAGCAGGAAGCAAGTTGGCCAACAGAATGCACTTGAGTGCCTTCCATTGGTTATGGAACCCCAAAGCGACTTCTATACTAGCCCTCTTATTGTTTTGGACTTCCAATCATTATACCCCAGCATCATGATCGCTTACAACTATTGTTACTCTACCTTTCTTGGCAGGGTCCAGTCATGGAGGGGGCGGAATAAGATGGGCTTCATGGACTACAATCGGCAGCCCAGGCTGCTGGAACTGCTCAGAGACCACATCAATATCGCGCCGAATGGCATGATCTATGCGAAATCTGAAGTGCGGAAGTCGCTCCTTGCCAAAATGCTTGCGGAGATATTGGAGACCCGCGTAATGGTCAAGACCGGAATGAAGACAGACAAAGATGACCGAGCACTGCAGCGCCTCCTCAACAACCGACAGCTTGCGCTAAAGCTAATAGCTAATGTCACTTACGGATACACATCGGCTTCCTTTTCGGGGAGAATGCCCTGCGCTGAAATAGCCGATAGCATTGTCCAATCGGGACGGGAGACACTCGAAAAAGCAATCGCGTACATCCATTCAGTCGAGCGATGGGGTGCTGAAGTGGTCTACGGAGATACAGACAGTCTTTTTGTCTACCTCAAGGGACGTACTCGAGATCAGGCCTTTGATATTGGCGAAGAAATCGCTCAAGCTGTTACCGAGATGAACCCGCAGCCTATAAAACTCAAATTCGAAAAAGTGTATCATCCATGTGTGCTACTCGCTAAAAAACGTTACGTTGGCTTCAAGTATGAACAGAGGGACCAGAAGCAGCCCGAATTCGACGCCAAGGGCATCGAAACTGTGCGTCGCGATGGCACCCCTGCAGAGCAGAAGATCGAAGAGAAGGCACTCAAGCTGCTCTTCAGAACCTCAGATCTAAGCCAGGTGAAGAGCTACTTTCAGAGCCAATGCACGAAAATCATGGAAGGACGGGTATCAGTCCAGGACTTTTGTTTTGCCCGAGCAGTAAAACTCGGAACCTACAGCGAGAACGGGACACTCCCCGCCGGAGCTCTCATCAGCACAAAGAAGATGCTCGAGGACCCCCGTGCGGAACCCCAATACGGGGAACGCATTCCTTACGTCGTCGTCACAGGAGCTCCAGGGTCAAGACTTATTGACCGCTGCGTACCTCCAGAGACGCTCCTTCAAGATGCACAGCTCGACCTGGACGCAGAATACTACATCACGAAGAATCTCATCCCTCCTTTAGAACGCATCTTCAACCTTGTCGGAGCTAATGTCCGCCAGTGGTACGATGAAATGCCGAAAGTCCATCGTATCCGCCGCGTAGAGGGCACATCCTCCGTCGTCGGCGGGAAGAGCAGCATCCGAACTCTTGAATCCTATATGAAAGCGTCGACTTGCATCGTCTGCAAGACTAAACTCTACGATGCCGAAGTCCCCCTCTGCTCGGATTGCGTGCGGCAGTCTCCCATCTCTCTACTCGAGCTTGTCTCTCGGCAGCGCCAGGCTGAGCAGAGGGTTGCTAATCTCGAGCGTGTCTGTCGGTCTTGCATGGATGTTCCGTTTGGTGATGAAGTCAAATGCGATAGCCTGGACTGCCCTGTTTTTTACGCGAGAACGAGGAGTTTGGCCCATTGGAGACATACTAATGCTGTACTTGATCCTGTTATCAAGCTTTTAGAAGACAATTGTGGCGATGAGCTGGAGTGGTAGTTTAAGATCGGGAAGGTCCGCCTTGGGTACGGACGTGTTCTTTGGAACTAACGACATCACCTGAGTTAATCCTAGCTCGCTTTGGCTACTGTTTATGTCTTTCTAGCTGGTTGGACTATTTATTGTCAGAGGTCGGCTTGAATATTTTGGATACCCTCATATCATGACTGAATTAATAGACATTCGCGAATTCCATGCTAGGCCTATATTTCTGCTAGAACATTAGAGAACTATGAGTATTTAGGCGCGAAAAAGGAACATGATTGCCGCCAAATGCGGAACAATTAGTAATTTGGGGAAAAGATCCTAGAGACCGGCCAGCTCGTTCAGCTTATCAAGACCAAGGGGATCTTCGCCTCCATCAGACTCCTCCTCCACCATCTCAACCACCCGACTTTGGATGTCATTTGCTTTGCCCGTGGGCTGGTTTTCCTTCAAGCCGGCTGCAGTATTGACTGTCAGCGGGCTCAGAGAGAAGCCATCCCGCTTGTCGCTCGCTTGTTGCACTGGCTGCTTCGTCAAGCCTGGCGCAGCATCAAACGTTAACGGGCTCAGAGGGAAATCCTTTCCCTTGTCGCTCGCTTGCTCATTAAAGTCTGTCATAGCGTTGTCTAGCAACGGGCTCAAACGGAAGCCATTCTGCTCGCCACACCCTTGCTGCGCAGACTGGTTCTCCATTAGATCCGAAGTGGCTTCCTTAGGGTCAGCGTTCCATCCGCCTGCGGAAAAGTCGCGGTCGAAATCCAGTAGTGTGCCTTCCTTGACCGAAACAGAGGGAACTATCACCGATGAGGATGGCGTACTCGAGGCATTCAGGGGTCCGAAGCCGAGAAGTTGCTCTAGCGACTCAATGTTGCACTCACTGGAGGGCATATTGTTGCTGGCGACGGTTGTAGCGTCAGCGTTATCATGTAGGTCGAGACCAAAGGGATCATCGCCTTGCGGACTTCCGGGTGTATTGGGTGCTTGGTCGCTCTGCTTGGTCGTATCGTCTTCCTTCAAGAATGCATCGAGCTCTGCTTCGCCAATCTGGTGTCCCGTGGGTCGTTCGAGGAACGGCTTCGTTGAGAGAGCATTGGTAGAGTCTGAGTATTCGTAATGGCCCACGGCGATTTGGCCAAGGATTTTCGGGAATATCCATGGGAAGCTAATCAAAGGCAGCTGTTCTATCTTTGGAGCCGCTGGCTCTCCCTGGCTCTCCTCCCGATGCTTTGCCAGTGCTGCAGCCATCTCCTTGTGGGTGACGCGATACATAGCGACGACGATGGGAGCGAGAACTGCGAATGTCCGACCGCCAACTTTGTCAACTGCTCGCTTCTTGAAGCTTTCTTGCAGCGACAAAGACACGTCGCCGATAGTCTCGTGAAACTTGTAGTCCCTGTCTATCCTAGAGTGGCTGAGGACGAACGTGGACCACACCTCGAACTCCGTCTTGATCTCATGCTGTGCCATGATCCGACGAATAGCAATGTCGTATTCGTCCTTGAGGCTTCTGGCAAAGTCGTACATATCATCAGGCACTTCGATATTGCAGTCTAAAATTCGTTTATCGAAATCCATTTCAAGGTTTGGGACAAAGTCAACACGTTCTACGGCATCGTAGAGCTGGCCAAGGACTTTCCGCGAGCGGTACTTGGTGTGCTCAGGCTTGTGGATCTTCTCCATGAAATGAGGCCATTTACGGGGCCGTAAAGCCCGGGTCATCACAGCCGGATTGCCTGTCTTGTTGTAGTCAACCGCATTCGAGTGAAGTTGGGCAAGCTGTACGCATTTTGATTCGTTGACGCCACCGTCAAGGTAGTCTCCCCATGCGAGATGTGCATGGGCAATTGTGGGAAGACAGTCGTTTTTCATGTAAGTGACAAAAAACGATGTGACTTCGTTGACCGTAACATCATGGTCGAGCTCATGAGCTTTCTCGCTATCGTACTTCATGGGTTCGCGAAACCAATCGCCCGGCAGAAGATCCTCGTCCCAAATTACAAGGTAGTCGTCTCCATCAAGGTCACCACCGGAGCACATGCTTGCAACGTCGCGGTCGCCAGTCTGTGGCAAGACAACTACGTCCTTGAGATGGTGCAGGCTTGGAGCGTTGACAGCCCTAACCACACGAATGTCGCCAGGATGAAGAGAAGGGTTGCGAGCCAGGATACATAGTCCTTCAACTATCTTGTACTTGTCGTCAATGTATATCTGCACGAATATCTCTGGCAGGGCTGCAATCTTCTCCTCGAGGGAAGCATCTTTCTTGGGTATCCGATCGGTGAAGTACCCTTTAAGTGTTGCAGTCTCGTCCATACAACCCAAGAGACATGCACCTTCATCGATGGCTATCCTTGCCTTTTCTTTCAGATATTTTAGGTGCCATACCCTCCATAAAGTAAAAAGGGAAGTCACGAACGGCTCGTTTGACTTTCTAAAGCCGTCGAGAACCATTTGACTAACGGTCAGGGTGACTTGCCTAGGATCCACATATTTCCTGAGTAGATAGACTGCCTTTGGGTCACTTTCCATTGCTTCGTCCAGACTTCTCAGCATTGTTCTGAGCTTCCGATGGAACATGCTGTCAGTAACCCCGAGAGTGGAAAGTACAAGAATTAGCTGTCTATTGAGGGTTGCGATAGTAAACTGGGACCAGCGAATGATTTCCAACCCTTGAGACAGAGCCGGAAACTTGTATTGACTCTTCCGAATATGTACCTCCTGACGTTGAGCTTCCGGAGAGACAATGAGCATTCCTTTACAGCCTCCAAGGCGAAATTGATAGGCAGAGGGTGGTTCCTTGGTAGGCGTCTTGATTTTGAGCTCCGACGCCGCCATCTGGGCAAGAAACTTTGATATCTTACCGACGCCATCTGAGAAGGTATAACCATTCCGCTCAACATCGTTGATTTTCTTGACATGTGCGGTGCACCCGGAGAAGGCTCGGGTGGTAGAGAAGCACTGCCCTAGCCTAGCGGCATACTTAGCAATGTTTCTGATGTGACTGAATTGTCCCATCCAGGCGCGAATACTAGCGGCAGTTACACCGTCCTTTGGGGCAAAAAAGTACGCGCCATGCTCACGGAACTGGGAGTTTCCAAAGGCGAGAAACTCGTAACGTGTGCTTCCAATAGTGATACCGTTCGCCAACGCTCTTTTGACGCGGGTAAACACCTCGTCCATGGTATCATCAGCAGTAGCATTGATCCGACCCATGTGTTTTTCATCTGTGAATCTGACTCGAAGGAAGTTGTCAGCAAGGTGAACGTAATGTCTAATAACGCGATTCGAGATGTCGACAGAAGGCACATTGTAGTAAACCGTACTAGGGGTGATTCTTGCAGAACGCATGTGGCAGCAGTAGGATGGTATCTTTCCTACTGTCGCCCCTTTGACAAACTTGATATCAAAAATTTCCATCGGATTGTAGTATGTTTTCTTCTGGAGAGCGACATGTTCAAGAAGCTTTCTTGCCTGGACCTCCTCCAGTTCAGCCAACTTCAAAGCGAACTCACGTGGCATGGTGAACTCGGAGAGATAACCATTACTTGTGCATACTTCCAATAGGTAGCGTACTGCGAAAGGCAAATGAACATGGCTTGTGTCAAAGAGGTCGTGGAGAGAGCTGGACGACGTGCCAGAAGCCTTGGGGTCGAGGTCAATCCACTCCCAAATAGGTGCAAGGCGTTCTTCACGCAAGGTGAATCGATTTGTATCTTCGAAAATAATATTATAATCACCTAGGATGGCACACAAAGAGATGAATCTTGCTTCGGCGTCGCAGTTCTTGGGGTAATTTATCCGAAATGCGTTCCAACGACCTACAAAGTATTAGCTAACCATGCGAAGGACAGACCGATATTTATAACACACCAATGTCAATGATTGGGTTCAACTTCCGTAAGTTCACAGGAACAGTAGCCAGCTCTTGTGGGTTGTGGACGATATGAGCTTGCCTGAACCATGTATCTGTCTCTCGCCATGATGTCTCGTTTGTAAACGTGTTTTGCGTGTGCCTGATTTGACGGTGATATATAGGCGGAGAGCTGAGGAAAGTGAAGTGAGAAACACCCTCAGTTGTGAGATTTTCGGCCTGAAAGAACCTATCAAGCTGTGAGAAGCGAATCGTGAGGCGATATTTCAGTGGAACCGGCGAGCTTAAAGGATGAAGCTCGAAGTATACAACCAGATTTTTCTTTCTCAAGTCCAACACCAGGGAGGCATTCGGCGTCGTCAATGACCTCACAGTGCGCATTGGTACCATCGTAGTCTCATCAACTAGGACTCCGATGTCTACCGAGGAGACAGGTATTTTCTGGACAGTAAATGCTATGTGAGCACGCAGTAACCAGCCGGCAAAATGTTTTCTCGAAGTAACTCACAACTTCTGCTGGATAACTAATTCCCTTCTGGACCGGACTGGGAACTTTCCAGTCCGGAGGCCTGAGGTCAAGGCTCATATTGACGTTGACTACTCCCCCGCTCTGGAGTGTGATACGCCTGGTCCTGCTGTTCCAAAAATCGGTCTCCGGGGGAGGCCTTCTCCGAGTTAGAGTCTCGAAAGTTAGCGAGAAGAGATAGATAGTTTACCTGAACCGTATTTTTGCTTTTTGGTCTCTGGTTCCATTGAAGTCTTCGAATATGTCAATCGAAAGTATGTCGCCCTCATTCTTGAACGCTCTCCAAAGATCCTGGGTGCTCGCTTCTGCGGGGACATTGGTGAGGTTGACGGCCACTGACTCCCAGATTTTCCATGGTGCTAGTATCAGGTACTCGCGAGAGGGCTGGAATGCGGAATTTGGGCGGTTTCTGGGTGGATGCATGATTGACTTGTAGGGCTGCTGCGGGTTGTACGAGGATAAGTACGAGGAACTGCGAGGCTACATCGCCAATTAGCAAGGAACTTGATGAGTGACGAGTGACGAAATGGAAGCGCGAAAGTACAGGAAGAACTTGTGATCTTTATGAAATCTTATCACTTACTCTCGTCGTTGGGATGGGAATCGAATTAGTTGGAGGGAAAGAGGTCAAACAGATGACTGTCCGGTCGAAGATGAGCAAGCGGAATGACGCAAAGCTAGATTCTCAAGCTCTTAACATTCTGCATGACGCTATATCTCCTGATGCTTGTGTTATAATTTCAAGGATGAGGGAATGGTGAATGAGATGAAAGGAGAGGATGTGAAGTGGGTGAGAATGAATTGTCTCTCTTCAGGTCCAAGGAAGAGGTCTCAGATTTTGTGTTGGTTTGATGCCGAGAGTTCTGCAGGCACCCGTTGGACAAAAGCAATTTGATATTATGTTCCAGAAATTGGCAAAAGAGAGGACATATCTGCTTTAAACGGATGGATCTACCGCATTTACGCGGACCTCTGGCTACATGCCAGCAAGCCCGGCCCAATTAGTGGGGTTTCCTCCTTAGATCATTAACTCTACCAGGCTGTTATGTGTGTCAGATATCTTGTTAGTATATATACTGCTATTATGCTGTGCAAAGCTCTGAGTCAAGATAGAGAACACGTCTTCAGAAAATGGTTTCAGAGCCGTTATGTGCGCGCATGTCCGTTAAGTTCGGACATGGACGTGCTGGTAAAAACAAAGTCCTTCGAGAACTCTAGGTCCAGATCTAAGTCTATGTCGTCGAGATGATTTTGGTCCGGGCGATTGAGTTGGCTGTCCTGGAAACTCTCTCGTCGGCTACATGACAGTAGCTCAGTGCCCTGCGAATTTTGGCTGTTCTGGTCGGTCTCTCCAAGAGGCTTTCGTTCCTGAAGCCTCTTACGACTGCTTCGAAAGACTGACTCTCGAGGGTTCTTGATGCTCTCCTGGGACCGTGGAGGCGACGGCTGAGCGGAAGGGAAGGCGTTATTGCGAGGCCTTTTGGGGCTACGACCACCTGGTCGAGGCGTAGCAAATTCGATAGACGTAGCTAGGGGGTCCTCCTCGTGGCTTTCGAAGGTCATGGCCCCTGATTCCGTTTGTGTTTGTGTTGTGGCGGCCTGAGGTTGCTCAGACGAAGGCCGCGAACGCTGTTTGCTCGAGACTCGATGCTCTGTAGGCGCAGGAGGCTTGAAGCCCATAACACCCATTAGCCGGCTGATGTGCTGCTGCGCTTCCGAAAACTCGCGTGCTTTGGCGGCTCGCTCCTCTCGTAGATGTTGTACCTGTACGTGCATTAGATACAAGAAGACAGAATGCATTTCTTCGCTTACTTTTCTCTCCAGGTGCTGGATACGCTTCTCCTTTGTTTGTAGCTCTCTCATGGCATCAGACCTCGATTTATGTATTATGCTTTGCAGAGACTCAATCTCTGACCTTCGCTCCGCAGCCTGTCAATGTCAGTGCTACGATTCCTCAGGAAGGGCTATTCTCAAGAATCTACCTCTTCAGCCATCCTCGAAGCCTCAGCCTCGGATTGCCGTCGTAGCTCTTCCAAATCTAAATTAGACCTTTCAGTGATGTCACGGAGAGCAGCACCAAGTCTTTCGGCCTTGGAAGCTTCTTCAAGCAACTGTATATACGTTTAGTCTCTTAATTTCAAGACCAACGCCTGGCCACATACCTTATTCTGCAGATCTTTTGTCAGCTCGTCTGCGCTCTTTTGCTCAGTTTTCAACTGTTCGACTGTATCATCTTTTTGCGTGATAGATATCCTGTTCTCTTCTAGTTCCTTTAGTAAAGTTGATACCTCATTCTTCAACGCGGCGATTTCCTCGGTCAGAGCAACCTTGTCATGCGAAGCAGTTGCCAGCTTTTCCGTCAAATCGTCAGTTACTCCAGTTCGGCATTTGATCTCTTCCCGGAGTTCATCCAGACGCTCTTCTCTTTCCGTCAAGGACGCAATGATGTCAAGCTCCCTCGACCTGAACGATTCCCTCTCAGTCGATAGAATTTTCTGCGATGTATGCTGTAGCTCTTCAAGCTCATGTCGTGCTTGAGCTAAACTTGCAGCCAGCTCGTCGGCGCGGCCAGTGGCCGAATTAGCCTGCCCTGACAAACGAGATATCTCCTCTTGAAGCTCTGCAATTGTGCTCGTCGCTTGATGTAGCTGAGACTCAAGTCCGCAATTTTGCTCCTTCAATTGTTCCGCCTCCAGGTAGTACTTTGTGCGTTCTTCTTCGGCAACGCGAAGGGGAGCCTCAATGCTGCCACAGCGCTGCTCCATATCATAGCAAATATCCTCGACTTTTTGCATGATACTGTCACTTAACACTCGGGAGTTTGCAATCATGATCTCCCTCATTCCATTTCTCCAATCGTTTCTCGGAGGGTCAGTTGTTTGGTGCATTTTTAGATATGAAATTGCAGTCCGCGATTCTAGAGGTTTGTTCTTTGACGATATGCATTCGGGCTCCGACAACAACAGCTTGCTTCTGTTCAAGAAGCTGGTCAGCGGAGCAGTTGCAGATGAGCATTCCCACTCTCCCATGCTCCGTGGGAGAGCTGCTTCCGCCCAAAAGGCAAGTAAATCGGACAGCAGATCGTTCTCCAGCCTCATGGCTGAACGGTAACAGATAATAGCCCCACCACATTCTGAATCGGACGGCTGTCTTGGGAAGCTCTCCATCAGGTTGTTCACGGCGTTACAATACTGCTCAGACACTTTAACCGTAGATTGCAAGTTTGAAGTGCGCAGGCCCTGAAGCATTAATTTTGATATTCGTAGCTTGGCCAAGCTCAAAATATTGGTCGGACTCGTAGACACTGAAGATATGACAAATGGTAGCACCTTGTCTAATGCAGACTGTCCTAAGTGGGCCTACCAACAGTTAGTAGTTATCTTCATGGGCTGAGAATCAGAAACCCACAGCATGCGCCCCCACTAATAGAGGTATGACTTGAGCAGGAAGAATCTCTAGAACGGCCGAAGCATCCTCTGACACCATCCATTCCAATGAAAGTCTTGCCAGGTCAGGAGGTAGCGATGTAGCAGGAACGAGAGCGATAAGAAAGGATATCCCCTAATAAGATCAGCCATCGCTTCAATTGTCATCAATATTGATATATCTTGTGCCTTACCAGCACCCGTACACTGTGGTCGATACCATTGCGAGTAATCTTCTCCCTAAGCTTAGCGACTTTCACTGAGTTACCTTCGATCCAGCGCTCCCGCTGTTTCTTGTCAACACTTTCGCAGATGCTGATCGCCAGGCGTATACTCTCTGCTGACTCCTCAGTTGTGAGATTCCCGCAGCTAGAAGAGCATGCGAGGATAACCCGCAGGACAACAAGGTCTAGAGTTTTTAGGCCTCGCTTGGGGCCGAAAAAGTGTTTCATGCTCTGCAACCATGGCTGGTTGTTAACAGTACCTTCCGCTTGGCTGCAACCGCTTTGAGAAATTACGAGTCTGGCAAACGTTGCTAGGCATAGCAAGTTGCCCATGTGGTCCTCCACGTTCCGAAGCGTGTTAGTAAGCTCCGTCTGGAAACATGACATTACTTCATGCGGAAGTTCAGAGAATGTTCCGGCAGCTTGAAGACAGCTGGAGATAAGATATAGTGGCCGAATAGTCTCCACGCACGGTTTCACCCTCATCCTCTCAATGATTTGCATAACAAAGACCGCAAGATTGGCAGGCGTTATGGTGTCGTTGGGTAAAGGAGAGGAGAGGAGTGAAAGGCATACCGAAAGGCACTATGGACCTGGTTATCAGCCTTGGTCAGAGGTCAAGTCAAGTAAACCTGACTTAGCGGCAAATTCTTCCAAGTCACTTACATCCGCTTCATTACCTTCGACGGCCTGCCGGAGGAACTGGTCAAGAAGATATGGATATCGCTGGAGCAGGCTATCCCGAAACTCCTGCGCCTGGGCTATTTTATAGGCTGCGTTAATCCAGCCGCACTTGACCAGCTACCTTCATAAACACTTACCAAATACCGTAATCAGGGGCAAGGCTGAACGGGAGCGTGAAAGGCCATCAACAAGGACATCGACGAGAGGTCCGACCTGGCAAGGCTTTTGGAATACCCAAGAAATGACAGCGTTCGACGAAGCCTGCTGCGTCAAGCCATATAGATCCTAGACTCGTTTATTCCATCAGCTAATATGTTTAATTGACCCATTGGATAGTGGGGTTCACCTGGAGCGAAGGCGCATAAGGCGCGTTTACCAACCGTTCCACCTCACGGCTTAGGAGAAAGGATGTGTCGGACATGATGATCATACGTCGGCCCGAGTAGTTAGGCATATATTAGCCGTGGAGCCTGCCTTCAATATCACTGTCGTTGTCGCTGAGGCCTTGTCTGAAAAAAGAGGGGGTGATTGTTGATGAGAGCGAACTCTGCCACTGGTTGCCCCATCAACGGCTCGGGCCAGCGACTGGCTGATATCACTCTCACACTTCCCGATCGCATTTACAGAACAAACGGCGCTGTTCCTCGAGGAATATTGTTCTATCTCCAAGATTGTGTGAATTTACCCGCCACTGGTTCGTAATTACCACTTTCTTCAGATTCGATTTTACGTGGGCTCACAACCCTCATAATTGCTTGGAAAGAAGGTCCTCTACTAGGAGTATATCATCAACCTCATGACTCCTGTTAGCAGCTGTATGCAACAGACGTATATCATCAAGACCAATGCAAGTTTCTGGTCTGCAAAGCGACTAACTCCTGTTTGTATCTAGACTGTCTGGCGACTTCATTCATATGTACATCTCATCTCGTGCGGGGAAGGCCGATCATTCCGCACTCGGCGCTTAGTCCGACAGCCACAATCAACCACCACTTCTGAAGCCGAAGAATACCTTGGAGATGATCTTCTTAGCGTGGGGGATGCAAGCCTGGACATTAACAGACTGTCAGAGGTGGGCGTTGTCGCCATCCCACACTATCATTCGTCATCTTCTACTTCCTCCACTCGGCGGAATTCCGTGGTCGCTGTTGATTGCCGATGTCCCCTTGCCCGGCGGATGACAAGAATATTGTCAGCCTCGGAATGAACTGAAAAGTGTCACGAGGTACGCGGGCTTCTTCTCTTTATACTATACCTTTTCAACCTTTTCTCCTCGCACTCTACATTCTTCGACGAAAGCAATGCGAGCTTCCGGTCTCCTATCTCGGGGTTTCCCCGCAAATCCCCGCATACTGTGTCGGCCAGATTATCGGCCTATCCCTTTCGCCAGCGCCGTTCGCTCTAACAGCTTTGCTTCAAGGGGTAGCGGGGGTGATGGGGAAAATAGCAGGTCGCGTTCTAGTCCATCCCCCGGGAATTCCTCAAAATCCTGGTTTTTGAGCCGGACGATTCTCGTCGCTTCCTTGGCAGCTGGCATCGGATACGGGTTTGGAAGCTCAGGTCATCTGTGGCAGCCGAAGGATACTGGCATCCCACAATATGGAAGCACAAAGGATTTCGAAAAGGTAAAAGTCAAGACACTGCGCGGCTAAACCATAATGTCGCTAATGGTTGCTTTCATGGATTAGGCCATTGCTGAGCTCCGGGCTAAATTGGGGGAAGATACGATCAGCACAGATGAAGACGACCTACAGCGACATGGTTTTTCGGAATGGTCAAGTGTCAATGCGGATCGCTTACCAGTTGCAATTGCCTATCCATCCAGCACAGAAGATGTTTCGGAGATCGCAAGGGTCTGTAACAAATACAAAATGCCAATGGTCCCATACTCCGGCGGTTCAAGCCTCGAAGCAAATTTTTCCGCTCCCTACGGCGGCCTAACAATTGACTTCGCATTTATGAACCATATATTGGACCTGCATGAAGCAGACATGGACGTTGTGGTGCAGCCCTCTATTCAATGGATGGATTTGAATGAGAAGATCAAAGATACTGGTCTCTTCTTTCCAGTTGATCCGGGCCCATCTGCTATGATCGGCGGCATGATTGGAACAAACTGTAGCGGTACAAATGCTGTGCGGTATGGTACCATGAAAGACTGGGTGATCAACCTCACAGTCGTTCTAGCAGATGGGAGTGTCATGAAAACACGACGACGCCCCAGAAAAACCTCGGCTGGATACAACTTGACGGGTTTGTTTGTAGGATCCGAGGGAACACTTGGCATTGTTACCGAAGCTACTCTTAGGCTGGCCCCAATTCCAGAGGAGACTCGAGTTGGAGTTGTCTCCTTCCCTACGATCCGCGATGCTGCTTCTACTGCTATGCAGCTCATAAGAAAAGGAATTCCGGTTCAGTGCATGGAAATCCTCGACGATGTCCAAATGGACGTCATCAACAAGGCCGGCGGGACAGGAAGGACTTGGAAAACGCTGCCAACACTCTTCTTCAAATTCTCTGGGACCAAGGCAGGCGTCGCTGACAGCATAAGTTTGACGAGGAACTTAGCTAAAAGCAACAATGCCGAGGCCTTTGAGTTCGCGAAGAACGAAACAGAAGCACACGATCTGTGGTCAGCGAGGAAGCAGTCCCTCTGGAGTATGATGGCTTTGCGGAAGGAAGGCTCCGAAGTGTGGTCTACTGATGTTGCCGTCCCGATTTCAAGATTACCGGATATTATTGGTATGTTAGACAGAACCCTTCTGGGAGCTTACTAACAACATCACCAGAGATCTCCAAGAGAGAGCTCGACGACCTCGGGATATTTGCTAGTATACTGGGCCACATTGGCGATGGAAACTTTCACTCAAGCATAATGTACGATCCCAATGATGCCGACGAGAAGCAACGTGTGGAGAAGGTGGTGTACGACATGGTCGATCGTGCGCTAGACATGGAGGGTTCTTGCACGGTAACTAGCTCAGTTCCTGTATAATGGCACCAGAACTAACCCTATTCCAGGGCGAACATGGCGTTGGTTTAGGCAAAAAGTCGTCTCTCAAGAAGGAGCTTGGTCCGAACACAATCGGGGCTATGCGCAACGTCAAGAAGGCTTTCGATCCTCATTGGCTGCTAAACCCAGGGAAGATATTCGATCCTCAGGACAATTAGAAGGTGCTATGCAGAGTAGTATGTACTATGTAGAAAGAAAGAACAGCGTTTCAATCTTAGTCCTCCCGGCAAAGTATGAAAACTCCGGAGAGGTGGAGCATCTGCCCAATTAAAGTGTCTGGGGCCCTGAAAAAGGCTGACTCATCGCGGGGCGGATGACTCCCCTCCAGAGCGATATCGCTCCCTCTTTCTGGATTGCCACAATTGTCTCTCTTCAAAGCTTCAATTCTCAAATTGGTGGTAAGTACACTGTCAATTATCGATAGGCTCATGAACTAGCACATGCGCTGTTCCATCTATCCTGCTTGGCCCTTGATTCTCGTCAAAAGTTCTGACTGCGGGGTTTGCCGTTGAAGGTCCTCTCCTTGCGCTGCCTATGCTCTTTGCGCCACAGCGGCCTCTCAACCTTGAGAACTTGCAGTCTGCTGTACTGTAATTGTTCGAAAGCTTTGACTGATTCCATGAGCAGCATTATATCTACCCCAATTTCCTCGAAATACCGATCAAGATGACGTCGTTCCCCAAGAAGAAGTGCGGTATGGACAAATTCACACCGTTTATGAACTCTCCATTTGCTCATACCCACCAGGTGTTCTTGGTGCCACAGGCTCCGTAGGCCAGAGATTTATTCTTTTGCTTGCAGAGCACCCTTTCCTTGAGCTACATGCCATTGGTGCCTCGGAACGCTCTGCGGGGAAGAAATACAAGGACGCAGTACGATGGAAGCAAAGTATGCCCATGTCTGAGAAGCTCAGCAATCTCGTCCTGCGCGATTGCAGGGCCGAGAAGTTCAGTGACTGCGATCTCGTGTTCTCCGGTCTAAACAGCGACGTAGCCGGTGACCTTGGTGGGTGGCTCCTTGAAATTGCTTTTCCCTGCCAATGCTAATAGTTGCTCGCTTACAGAAATGGAATTCATCAAGGCCGATATTCCTGTCTTCTCGAACGCTAAGAACTACCGCAAACACCCCGCTGTCCCTCTCATCGTTCCTACCGTCAACCCCAGTCACCTTGACCTTATTCCTCACCAGCGAAAGCACTTCGGATTGAACAAGGGATTCTTAGTCTGCAACTCCAACTGCGCTGTCATTGGAATTGTCATCCCCTTTGCGGCTCTTCAGGCCAAGTTCGGACCTGTGGAGGAGGTGGAGGTCTTCACAGAGCAAGCCGTGTCTGGAGCTGGCTACCCGGGCGTTCCTAGCATGGATATCATGGATAACGTTATTCCATTCATTAGCGGCGAGGAGGACAAACTTGAGAACGAGGCCCAAAAAATCCTTGGCTCCTTGTCAGCAGATGCCACTGCTTTCGAAGAGCAACAGGGACTCAGGATTGGAGCCACCTGCACAAGAGTTGGCGTCACGGATGGCCACATGGCGTTCGTTTCTTTGCGCTTCAAAAACCGCCCGGGTCCCAGCGCTGAACAAGTGGTGCAAGCCATGAGGGAGTATCAGTCGGAAGCCCAGAAGCTTGGGTGCCCATCTGCGCCGGCACAGGCCATCAAAGTGTTTGATGAGCCCGATAGGCCGCAACCCAGACTCGACCGAGACATCAACAGAGGATACACGGTCAGCGTGGGACGAGTACGCGAAGGTAACCAGGGTGGTTATTTCGATATCCGATTCGCCGCTCTCTCACACAACACTGTCCTCGGTGCTGCTGGATCTTCGATTCTCAACGCCGAGGTTGCAGTCATCAAAGGATACATTTAGAGCGTGAACAGCCAATAAAAAAAGCAATAGACATGATTAATTTCAACCGTTCTTATTATTCCTCCGAGTCTAGACTTCCTATCACATATGCTCCCAGATCAAGGGAACCAGGCTAGCCCTAATTTGGTAGAGCGGGTGGAGCTAGTTTGGGTCTAGCGTTAGGGCATTTTCCCACAACGATTTGGTCACGAGCCCGCTAAGCGAAATTTGTGAGTGGAGCGCATATCAAAGATTTGAGTCCCTGCTCTCAAGGCTTCTTCTCTTCGCGACACTTACGACAACTTACCGTGTTCAAGTCGACAAAGCAGTCAAGATGCCTCGCGGACCGTATGTTTCCCATGCTACAACCATAATTTTCGCGGTACCACGACATTGTTGAAGGATTTCGATTCGCGACACGATGTCGTTTTCGTGACCAACTTAAAATGTGTGATTGATACTGACTGCTATGGTTTTATAGTAAGAAGCACCAAAAGCGCCTCAGTGCGCCCTCGCACTGGCTCCTGGACAAGATGTCCGGAACCTATGCTCCCAAGGCCTCCCCCGGTCCTCACAAGCTCCGGGACTGCCTGCCCCTGATCGTCTTCATCCGCAACCGGTACGAATGGGATATTGCCTGTGTTGGAGGCAACGGGAAGCTGACTTGTGTCCGATTCTTAGTCTCAAGTACGCTCTTAACGGCCGCGAGACCAAGGCGATCATGATGCAGCGTCTGATCCAGGTTGACGGCAAGGTCCGCACCGACCCTACCTACCCCGCGGGTTTCATGGACGTTATCGGCATCGAGAAGACCGGCGAGAACTTCCGTCTCATCTACGACACCAAGGGCCGCTTCACCGTCCACCGCATCCAGGCTGAGGAGGCTGAGTACAAGCTCTGCAAGGTCAAGAAGGTGCAGCTCGGCAAGGGCGGGATCCCATTCTTGGTTACGCACGATGCGCGAACGTGAGTGCATGCTCTCTATAAGTTCCGCGTCATTCAGTCGTTGGACCAAGCTTTGGTTGATCGGCGGAGGACACGAGAACTTCCCCAAATGCGAAGCATCCCTTTTGGGACATAGTAAGGGCTTCGACCATGAGGACATTATGTGCTAATTTGTGCCTATAGCATCCGCTACCCCGACCCTGCCATCAAGGTCAACGACACCGTTAAGGTTGATATTGCTACCGGCAAGATCGCCGACTTCTGCCGCTTCGACACCGGTGTTGTCTGCATGGTTACTGGTGGTCGTAACATGGGTCGTGTTGGTGTCGTCACTCACCGTGAGCGCCACGATGGTGGTTTCAACATCGTCCACGTCAAGGACGCCATTGACAACACCTTCGCTACCCGTGAGAGCAACGTCTTCGTCATTGGCCAGGACAAGCCTTGGATCTCTCTTCCCAAGGGCAAGGGTGTCAAGGTACGCTTTGAACTGCACTCTTTTACTCCAGAACCGTTCGCTAACTCGCTATGCAGCTCTCCATCGCTGAGGAGCGTGACCGCCGCCGCGCCTACGCCATTGCCCAGTAAACGTGGTCCGGTAAGTGATCGTGGCTACGGGCAAGTAAACGGCTTCTATAATGTAAGAAAAAGCCAAACCGCCGAGAGAGACAGCTTCTTGTCTTGCTTTGTGGACTGTATGACGCCTGCTACTATGAATGAACAAAAGTTGTCACAAAACTTCCTGATCCCTCTGTGTAGCTGTGCACTGTTACCCGAGAGCAGATCCATAAACGAGGCGTTAATTACTTTTTTGATGATACCAATGAAGTCTACAAATTTATAGTGTTTTTACGCCAACAGTGCCGCATACGCCCCGTACGGAGTAGATGCCTCGCTTTGGGTATTTCATAGTCCGTTACCTTCTATCGTAGATGTCTTATCCCGAACCCCAGGTTCGAGCTTAGTATCTCCTCTTATGGAGGGCCCGTTCGCCGAATGCACGAATCGCACCTTGACCTGCCTGGAAAATACATCCGAAACTAGCTCGCGCGAGGATCGTCCTGTTAGCCGTGGTGGAACTCGAACCTGTCGCGTGCCTCACTGCCATCATCTGCGTATACGTAGATCCAAAACCGCAGCCACTCCGTCGTCTAGACTACTGACCTGTGTTTTTTGATTCCATCAGACATGAACTAGACAAGAGCATGTCCGGCGAGCGACGCCTCGCAGACTGTTGGAAAGATCAGTGCTACATCCCTGTCTCCAAGTACTGTGCATCGTGTGTGACACATGTCATGCCTCTGCATTCCTGGTATTCTGTGCGGAATACTTTTCCAGCACAAATCGCGTTTAGGAAACATTACCCGGAGCAAATTAGCTTGTGGCCCTCGGCGTGAGGCGTGAGCACAGCACACCCGGTAGCGTGGCTCGCAGGGGTCCCAATTAGGGATAGTAGAGAATCCCGGGTACGCTGTATGTAGCTTGTAACTATTTGATCAAGATGAGACCTGACCATGAAATAGATTGATTGGAGAGTGACGAGTCAACTTCTCCGCGGGTACCCGAGCTATGAATGGGTCGGAACGACGGCCGTTCTTGTCGGAGTTTTTTTTCTGACAAGTATGAAATCCTCCGTCCATGCGATACCAGATAATCCATATCCTTGGAAAGGTGTACCGGCCGAAGGGCACGGAGTCAACGTCTTAGCTCCAAAAGATTGGTCGACATGTCTGATTCCAACCAAGGATTGACTTGCCTATCTGCGTTAAGGTCTTGAAAAGCTGTTCAAGGCTAAGGATGAAGTGTTGGTGATGAGGTGCTCGCATGGACTATCACACACCAGCGAGGCATTAGCAAACTCAAATCACGAGATATCTGATGCTCCAGGCTCATCCAGGCAAGAGGGGGCGGGGATCGAGAAACAGCCCCATCAGGTCCTGTTCTTTCGAACATCTTTCGTGACTCGAGGAGAGTCCGCGGAGTACGGATCTCATGATTGCTTCAAGGTTTCGGGACCTCCGGAGGGTTCCTGGCATGAATATGGCGGGCAATGTACCTCCCTCAAGTATCTTTCTTCGCAGTGGGCCTCGCAGCATGAAACATGATCAGGCAGCAAGCAGGAAAACGACACTCTTGGTAAGTATTCGAGATTCGAGGTTCGATGCCCAAGGCCTAGGCGCTGTTCTGTAGCAAAAGAAGCCGTACGCATGCAGGACAGTTCAATCTTTGGATCTTCCTCGTTTCCTGGCTGCCATGCAACACAGCAGCCACATTCTGCACCTCTCCAGACGAGCCTGCGGCCCTGCGCTTCTCTTCTGGAAATGGGCTTTCTGTCACACAACATATCTGCAACAGTGCCGAACTCTTTTTACCCACCTCTGGGCACCTAGTCCCCATTGTCTTATACACCCAGGTCTCGTGGTCCAATCCGGTTTCTAGTCTCCCCTTGACTACGTACAGGGTAGCTGCTACGTTCCTAAGCAGGATGTTTTCGACTTCCCTGGTCTTCATGATAAGAAATGATGCTGATGCAGTTGGATCCTTGGGTAAATGACCCCTGACCCCTGCCCATACCCCACCCAGAAGCCAAGAAGACATGGTCTCATAGCCAATCCGCGAGAGCCTCGACCATTGAGATGTCTTCCGCTTAACGTTTGAGCTGCCATATGGCGATCGTCCAATGATCGCATCCGATCGCATCGATCGCGATAAAGTATATCTGGAGTAACACGGAGTACTTGTGTTGACTGTTAGGGTGATTCTGTTGAATGTCCCAATTGCAGCTCCAAGACTCAAGCTGACAAAACCTAATGCCGACTGCCCTACTCCATACTCCACACGCCACTTCAAACGCTCAGGAGTCAGGAGGCGAGTCAGGCACAAGCCGAGAGTGGCTGGAAACCGAGTCCTGGAAACCAGGCCCTGCTCCATTGACCAGCTCCAGCGATTGGGGCCAACCGTATCTAGATTCTAGAACGAGCCTCGCATATTTCCGGGTGACGAGTGTTGCTAGGAATTGCCTGTTCGGTCGATCGTTCGAAGATACTACTGAGTTCAGGTTGCTTAGATACCCTCGAGTTTGCTCACCCTCCCGACGGCAACCAACAGACACGAAGTTCGTTTTGCTTTACATACCTACCTTACGGTGCTCCGAGTGCCCAACACGTACCTCACGGTGGACAAGCCCTGCGCCCAAACCGAGACCAGCGACGATTTACCCAATTGGGACAACGCATCCTTTGTCATGGCCCGTGGATCACTCAATGATAGCAAGAGGATATAGACTTGCGGGAGAGGCCGCACTGGATCCATCTGCCCATCCTGGTCCGTGGATGCAGCATCACGGATACCAGATAACTCGCTAAGTCGCAACTCGATCGACCTGTCTCAATCCAACCACCGGACAACGGCCTGCGCCAGAGTCGACACTGATGCCACTCAGCGGGACATACGTGGATGTATCCATCTGCTGAGTACCAGGTAAAACTGTGAAGACTGAAGCGCCACTAAGTATTCTAGTCGCAGTCTGGGATGTTACTATCGGGGCGGTCCTCACTAACGGCTACTTGATTTCGTCCACTAGAGCCCCGGGTGATTTTTAGGCGTGCCTGGTGTGAACCAGGTTTATTGCGCTTCTCCTAAGTTCCGAGCCTTCCTGTGACTCGGCTTGGATGGATCATCCTTCGGAGTCACATCGACCCCTCGTCACTATTACTAATAGCATTACAGTCTTTAGTCTCACCCTGGACAATAATACATGCCGTATTGAACGACAATGCGTTGACTCACATTTATCCGCCGCAAGTGACAGGTTCTCATGGGCTTCAAACTCGCCTAATCCGCGGATTTGGCATGTGCGACGTGGGGCTCTTATTATCGCCATTCAGTTCGTATCGATCGACCTCATACACAAAGCAGGCACACCGCCAGAGAACAGCCAACACCATTTACATCATATCTCCTCCAAAGCGCAGTGTCCACAAGGAACTCGACGAGCCGTTGATCGGATACTCCGGTGGAATTTTCTGGGTCCCTTGGCTGTAATTTACTGCCTCTGGTTACTGCTCAGCCATCCATCTCTGCGAGAACTGACAACTGTTAGAGGTGGTCCTGACCGCTTCTCCTTTGCCATGCCACCAAGTAAGATCAACTGTTACAGTTGGGCAAGCCTGTTGCTGTTCTCGACAGACAGATTTATTGCTAAATGGCCTGGATCATGGCGATGCCGATTTGATTCTGACGTTGATTCAATTAGCCGCCATCCCGCATGGTGTATGAAGACGCAACTAACGACAGATAGGGGAATGAGATGTGGGCTCTTTCACATTGCTTTTTGTCCATGTGGGGAATTATCTCATCACCAGTCAGATTCCTCGACTACTGGCGTCTGCAGGCTGCAGTACTCTGCCATTCAAGGCAGACCTTTGGCTGAGTTTGACCTTAACGGCTGGCTCTTCAGGGGAATTGATCTCAGAGAAACGTCGCTTTGCGTTGACCGATGCAGATTGATTGGTCTTCAAGCATGTTCCACCAAGTGGTCCTCTGGCTTGTTCAGTATCGATCGGCCTAAATTGAGAATATGGATACTGCTTAGCCATTGCCCTTTGGTTTATTCTTAGTTCGGTACCCGCTGAAATCCTTTTCAGCTTCGGCCTCAAACTCCAAAATAATGTTTGGCGTCCAAATACCTGGCTTCCGGGACCCAGAAAGCTGGGACGAGATCTTCTGCCAATCTGCGAAGAGATGCGCCACCGAGCATATGAACCTGCTTTCCGTCCGCCGATGAGGACATCGGCAAGCTCCGTTGGGAGTCGTAGTCCCAGCTGTGACCCATGCTTAGCGTGGCGAGAACTGGATGGAAGGATTGGCGAGCATTAGATAGAATTGGGAAAGCAAGAGGGGCCAACATGATAGGTGACGAATGACAGTCAATCATGACGCCGTAATGCACCCCAGCACTGAGGTTGGCTGCAGGCCGGCCGGGTCCCTTTTCTCTCTCTCGACACTTGCCGAGTATAGAAAAGCCGCTTCATGCTCCGTTTCCATTTTCCGAGCCCTTGACCTTTTCTTCTCAGATTTCGTGGACTGACGTTGGTACCTCCCTAGCCACCAGCCTGGTGGTCATTTCCATTTTGTTTCGTTGGGCCGTCTGCGTTACTTTTCCATACTTCGTCGCAGGGCGACGGGAATTAGATATCTCGGGTGCTGCCCGAGCAGCTGTGTTTGGGGATCCTTGTATCCAACGGTATAGCAATGCACCGTTTCTAGGTGCAAGGTTCCGGGCTTGTCGAACTCGTTAGCCCTTCGGTTGCACAGGGCCAGACCAACAATACAAAAAGGTATCTGCTCGCTTTTTTCTTTCCCCCAGTGGCTTCTTCCTTTTTCTTTCGCTTGTCTTCCTTTTGTATACTGTTGTCTGTCCAGGATGGTAATAGCAGCGTTGCCGAGGTACTGAAATTGCGTGGCTGCAACGCGTGCAGGGGGACCCTTATCTAGTATATATTCCTACAGCATCGCTTGTTGCTTCTTGGGACAATATGTCCCAGTACGTGACCTATTCGTTCGCTGGAGACTCGTCCGGTGCGGAGTCTTACATGTTTGGGCAGCCAACGTACCCTTCCGTTTTTCGAGCGAGTGAGGAGCGGCCTCATTTTAACATTTTATACCGATGGTGGGAAGATGAGGCCACAGCTGCTCTGTGGACCTTCGATGTCGATGTGGTCAAAAGAGTGATCCGCTATGGGCTTTTCTGTGACGAGCAAGTTGCACGGATGGCCCTTCACACTCGCCCCCCTCCCACAGTCGATGATTTTCTTGCTGGGCTCCTCAGGCCCGAGGAGCTACCGCTGTACGCCAATTGCTCGCACACACAGAAGGTGGACACAATGTTCTACCGAAGCAAGCCCACTGCTCCGCCGCTGATCTTATGGAGCTGGCTTCCAGCCCGCTTAGACTGTGACTCAGATTGCCTGGGCATTGCAAAGGCCATTGATAGCGAAAGCCATCTTCATTTCAACCGTATAACGTTCGATGAGCTAATCCGGTTTTCGTTGGGTTACTCGGCTCGTCGGGTGGAGTGGTTTTTGCAGCAGCATACGTGCTTCTATGCCCACTTGTTGGATCATTTTCACGCCTTTCCTGAGCAAATTGGAAAGTATGCGGAAGTTGAGCAGGTTAGCTCCCCACATTTAGCTATGACACTCTTGGGTCAGACTGACTGAGCTTTCTACAGCATCTCCGAACTCGAAGCCCCTTTGCCCACCGTGCTATGGCTCGCGCTCTACAAGACTCAGGTCTCGCAATTGATCTACCTAGCCTAACACCAGGTTTTGGATTCTTTGCTGGCCCGATCCAACGTCTTTTCAAGGAGCTTCAACCGAACTTGGCATTGATTTTGAAGGTGCTTGGTGTGCTAGGAGTTCGATTTGAACGGTTCTATTCACATGCCCCGGAGATGAACTGGTCAAAGTCATTCAGCATCACCTTTTCGTTTCTCGAGGATATCGCCGGTTCAGATTCGCCCATGGACCTTGCGCATAGCTTGTTCAATTCAGACAAACGGGATTTTGCTGCGCTGACGGAAGAGGGGTATTTCAATCACAGTGTAGCTAATCGTTTGTCGGATCGATGGTACTCTCTCTCTACAGAGGTTTGGGAGTGTTGCAAAGCGCTTCCGGAAACGATAGGATATGTCCAAGAGAGTTTGCAGGTTAGTATAACTGAAGCACTTCCTTCCTTGCCGCATAGTCAGAGTGCTTGGTCAGCTAACAGTCTACAGCCCCTGATGGCATGCCGGAACTATCATTCCCTGACGGCCATTCTGAGTGGGCTACACAAATACAGCGTTTCAGCAGCTTCGCTTCGCACAGACAGCGGAATGACTATCTTGTCTCTGATTGAATTGGTCCCCCTCGAGATGTTATTCCTCCTTGACCCCTCCCAGAACTACACCCCATATCGAGACCACTATCAACGAGCACCTGGAATTCCCTTCATTGTTCCTCACTTATACGAGTACCAAGAGCACGGCGAGACTGTGCTCCAATATTTTCACGAACAATTGAGTGCCGTTCTCCAGCCAATCTGAGACGGCGCATACAGCAGCATGGCTTGGAGGACTTGTACTTGCGGTACCTAATATACGACGGGAATGTATGGTTACGACATAGACGGCTAGCACACAGGATGGCGACATTCCCTGACCCGTATATAGAACGGCATTGGACTTTTAGGGATTTACCTATTCAGGACGTTCTGGGCTATGGGCTTTACTCCCACAGGATAATTTTGAGACCGATTGAATTGGAATGCTCCGTCGTTCTTGGTGTTGTGATACTACTAATATGTACTCTTAGCGAACTGGACTACACCAAATGCACGTTGGACACGGTCCTTTGTCCAGACCCAAACAGAAATAAGCCGAACAACGACTCATATGAAAATCAAACTCGCTTCTTTTGCTTCTCGACGGGCACACCTTGAGCATACCCAAAGACTCCCAGAAAGTACAAAAGCCGATTCACAAATAGGAAACCTGTGACCCCGACATTACCCCAAGTAAGCGCATTCCACTTGGCAACATCAAAAAACAGCCCCGGCCCCATAGCAAGATAGGTCACATAGATGTGCCCTACATCAGCAATAGCCAGGGCACCCAGGTAATTGCGCAGCACGTTCGGCTCCGAGGTGGCGTAGAACACACCCGCACCAAGCAGCGCCATAAGCCCGTAAAGGTTCGCCAGCTGATAGGCGAGAGCGAAGGAAGTCGCGTGGATCTCTAATTCTTTTGGCACCGGAGATGAGGGGATTTGGTCGAGGACAAATCCCTGCAGGTCGAATATCGGAGCTAGCCAGCCGCCGATCCTGAGTTTTCGGTGAGTGGGAGTGTTTATTTTTGCCATTGCGGGACAGGAAGGATTTGAGATTTGAGATTATGGAGACGGCCGTGGATAGCGAGCGATTAGGGGGTCGGGGTTGAGATTGGGCACGTACAGGGTTATGGGCTCGAAGACCGCGAAGACGAGATGGGGCCAGGTAGGGAAGATTGTGGCTGGCATTGTTTTGATTGTGCTGTAGATCAGTGGCAATGGTGGTTATGGATTGATTGGTAGAGTGTCACGCTCTGCCGCATATTCATGGGATTTATTGTAACCAGGATGGCGCTCTGAAGCTGCTTTGCGTGACAGGGAAGGTGCATACCCTCAGGGTTAGTTATGCAGGCTTTATACTTGCTGATTCAGCAGTCCGTGCTCACCTGACAAGTGACAGGTAAGTTTCCCCATCTGACCTAGACTCTTCCTTCCCAATCACCATTATTATTCTCAAGAATATGAGAGTTTTCGCACAAGATGAATGGGTCTGAGCTCTCCCCAAGCTTCTACAGTGCTAGCCACCTTTCGTGATCTGTGCCTTTTCCGTGTCCCGGTATCGGCCATGGATCCCAACGGCATCTACCCTCGCAACTACGACGAATCCCTGATCCGCGAACTCCCTCACCTCCGCATTGCTCCTCTCCGCGAGCCGGTCTCCTCCCGCACCCTCAGGATTCCCCTGACCCTCGAACCGAATGCCAGCGGCATCCGGGACCCGAATGGGATATCGAAACCTGGCGGATCCGCAGCGGGGATCTTACCTCCCCGCAATAATGAGGCCAGCGGCCTAGGGATCGAAGGCAGCGGCGCAAATACACCTCGTCTGTTGGTCAAGAACGACTTTCATGCCTCCTCGGAATCGCTCTCGGAGCCCCAGCCTCCGCCGCGACCGATATTACCGGCATTCGTCAACCTCCGTGCCCTTGAGCGGTTCCCTTACTCTTCGTTTGACGATGATAGCCATCAGTCACGGAAACGGCGGCGCGTGGGTCTTGACGTCGATGCTCCGTCTGATTCATTTGGAGAGCACCTGCAGTTGCCGATGCCGCAGGCGCAGAAGGAACAAAGACCTCCGCCATTTGGACCATTTGCTATCCTTAACGGATTGAATGAGCCTCCGCCTAACGCTGCCTTACTTCCACCCATAGAGGCTGGCTCAATAACGCAGCTACTGACCAAACCATCGCGAGATAATCTTGACGTCGTTCCCGAGCCAGAGCCAACGATACTAGCCACGAGCTTCACCCCCGAGGTTCCAAGTGGTGAAAGGATTGAGGGTAGGATTGCGGATATTCTGGACTCGCCTATTGCCGAGAAAGCTAGTCTTCCCGAACCCGTTGCCAACGGCGACAAGACCGATAAGGCGGAGCCCGAGAGAAAGCCGAGTGTTATTGAGAAGGAATTGCAGCCTGCTGAGGCGATTGAGTCGCCGCCTTTACCCAAAACAAGAGGACGTTGTCGAAAGAACCTTCGGAAATGGTCCAACGAAGAAACAGTTGCTTTACTACGTGGCGTTATGAAGTGTGGTATCGGTAATTGGAAGGAGGTGCTAGCCCAAGATGAACCGAGCTTCAACAAGCGCACCGCGTCGAACTTGAAAGATAGGTATGGATATGCCCAGTCAGGTTAAGAGCTGAGACTGATTTACCTTGCTCAGATTCCGCGTCTGCTGCCCCAACGCCTATCGGTGAGACTAGTAGTCTTGTCAAAATACTTCACAGAGTCTCTAACTTCCAGCTAGTGCCTCGAAACCCGATGAAGCTCTACAACACCTCCGCGATGCTCTTACCAAAGTACTTGGGCGGATGGAAGGTGACTCTTCGGCACCTCCAGGTCTCACCCACAGCGGATCCACGTCAAGCTTTTCTTCGGTGGACACAAGCCAAAATATCCCGGAGAACCACTCTCAAAGTACTTCGGTGCCGGAACGCTCTCAGACACTCTCAAACAACAAGTCCGAGCCCGCGGCAGGGGGCCCAGTTATACCACAGTCATACACTCCCGCCAAAGCTAGGCGTCGTTCTCGGCGTCCTTTCACGGCGGCGGAGGATGAGGCCTTACTCAAGGGATACGCCGTCCACGGGTTCCAATGGACACTGATTCAGCAAGACAAGGAGTTGGATCTCGGCCACCGTAGAGCGACTGACTTACGAGATCGTTTCAGAACCATGTTTCCCCATGCGTACCGTGACGGAGGCGCGGTTCGTGATAGCGCCCTGCAAGCTCAGATCACAAGGGATGCGGTTTTGAAAGACGGACCGAACCCGGCCGCAAGCAGCAAGCAGAAGCCCCACGATAGCAAGCCGGCTTCTACCGACAGCCGTCCTAGCAAGCCTGTTAATCCTGGCGCCATGGGGACTGTGGACCCAGTGCTGCCTTCGCTAGCACTTCACCCAGTGACTCGAGAGGGCTCGACTGGTGTTGCTCTTTCAGGGCTCTCGTTTCTATTAGAGGAAGGCCCCGCGAATGATGACAGCGTAGACCTCCCGCCGCTGATCTGGGATGACCTTCCTTAATCAGAATATACCATACATTTCGCCTACAATACCAGTTTCTGCATTATTAACCAGCAAATTCAACATCTTCACTGAAGCAAGATAATCTAAATTATTATCGATATTCGCTTGAGGTAAGATAGACAGTAATAGGAATCAGGCCACGTTTTGGGTTTCCAAGGCAGCAGCTCTCCTGACTAGTTCTGCTAGCACGGCGGCCTTTCCTATCCCCATCTCGCGATTCATGATGGTCAGCTGATGTGATATCCAGAATCTCTGTGCAGAGTCAATTCCTTCCGCAATCCCGGCCACGTACAGCGCCCAACTAATGTGAAGCGCCGACAGGCGGCGCGGGTATTTCCCTTCAGGCAAGGCCTCACTCGGATAGCGTCGTTCAGAGCCTGGACTTGTTCTATACCCAAGATGGTACGGCAGTGAGGCACAGGTGTCATGTGCAAGCGCACGAATCTTGCTATGGGTCATCGCTGTGCCGCTAGCTATGTCGGCTAGCTGCGTGTTCGGAAGCACAAGACAGTGCCCGTATAATGAATTAGCGAGGAGCCTGTATGCTCGCAGACGCAGGCTGTGGGCCAGTATCTGAAGCATGCGGTACCGCGACCAGTCATATCCCGCCCCAAGAGTCGGATATATATAGGCAGTCCTCGTCCAAAGATCTATGTTCTTTTCTGAAGACAGCTGGGTAGTAACATATTTAGATTCTGGGGGGAGGGTACTCGGCCACTCGCTCATTTGATATTCGATTGAGGTTATGGCTGCGAGGAGGGAGTTGGCTCTTGTGGCACCGGCGGCAGCCACGACGCCGTTGGAAGGGAATGATGGCCAGGCATCTCGTTCGAGATCACGGAGTTGCAGGTGGATGATGAGAAGCGCGGAGTTGTAGAGGTTGAGGTAGTCGGTGACTTTTTCGGTCGCTAAACCGTGGTGAAGGAGCTGGAGATCGTTAAGGGTGAATATGAAGGGGGTATCGCTTTTGATGTCGTCGAAGCAGGTAAAGAGCTGTGGTCGAGCTGGTCAGCCGTGGTTCTCTCTTTGTCAAGCACGAAGTCCGGCAGTGGACCAACATACAGCTCTGGTCAGCAATGCACTGTATATCTTTCGGGTGGTGTCCTCGCCGAAGCTTCTACACTTTTGTGACCGGACAAAAGCCATTGCCCCTTCCAGGTGGGAATTTGACGTGGGCCTAGCATGGTCTTCACTGTTCAAGTCCTGCTCAACTATCAGCCGCCTAATCCACGATAGAAAAGAATGTGGGTTATCCTACCTCGTACATCGCGAGGACGAAAATGGTCATAACGAGCTCACATCTCCTCTGTTCATCGAGATGCTCCATCAACTGACGAGTGAGCTGGAGTGCTTTGCCGTAGCATGCCATCGCTTCGGTCAAAGTGCCGTGATCCTTCACGTCGCTCTTGTCTGAGACGAACGTTAAAAACAATGCTGACAACGCGGATGGCAGTGGTGACGAAGCGATTATGGACTGTTCCAGCTCAGCAAGGACGGGCGGAACGGCTGTTAGAAGGCCTCCATGTAACCCCCGTCCCTGCGGAAGACGAGCGATTAGCTTGATGAATGCGCATATATTGTCGCGTTCCTGGTAGGGGAGGTGACCTGAATTAGCGGCCGTGGATACTGGGAGATTTGCAAGCAGTTTGGCCATTGGGTCCTCTTGGCCAGAGCGCTTCCTGCTCGATCCCTTGTTGTTGAGATTGCGATATCCACCGCATACGCGGTTTCCTTTGACACATCGCTTGCAGACAGGTCTTGCCTCGTCACACTGTGCTTGCCAATCAGTTGGGCCTCGCTCCTTGTTCCTCTAGAGGGAATGCGAACCTTGACTTTGCGAGCACGGCATGTGTAGCACCCTTTGCTCGGTCCACCTGGGTAGACCATTTTCGAAACTGGACCTCGCAAGGTCCTAACCCTAACTTGGAATGGTGATTTCGACAGGGGGTATAGATGTGATATACGTCTCCGATGATTGAGCCTTTGGTTGGCTTTTATCCCGTGTTAAATTGATCTTTGTTTTGATTTCATCTACACCGGACAAGCAATAGAAACCACAAGGCGATCAATAAATACTTACTGCCTAAAGACGGGCAATGCAACCGTTGAGCGACGCTGATAACAAGACTGGTGAACATTGACTCTGCGTCAGAAACGCAGTCAGAACGCTTGCGACGCCGGCTTGTACAGTACAGTACACAGCCTGGCCTGGGTTTCTGAGATTGAGAAACAGAGCCAGCAACACACGATTATTGTTGTCGATCTCCTGCGCCCGGCTGGCCTCTCTCCTCCTTGGAACGCCAGGCAACCTTCCCCGGGGCGCCTAAGCTGAGTGGCTGAGTATTATGTATCCGTCCACACATCACAGATTCACATCGATGGTTGGCGATGTTCTTGGCAGCTGGAGGCCCGATGGACTGGGGCGGTTTGGCGTAGTCTCCGAGGAGTTCGTGGTGACTTGGAGTAAAGAAGGCAACTTGCAAGACAGCCAAGCCATCTCATGGCAGGCGCGGGCTTAGTACTCCGCAGTCGAGGCGCTAGCGAGGGGAGATTGCTTTTGCTTTTGTTCGATCCTTCCGCAATCGGTATTTTGAGCCCCTCTCCTCACACTCTATCACACTCACACTGCCCCCTCCTGTTCCCACAGCTTGAGGATACTTACTGTCGTTACTTCGCTATTCCTTAGCTGAGGATAAACTTCGGTCAACCCGCGAGTTAGAGCGATCAGTCCGTCTTCCTAAGCTAGCTAGCTTTGAACTCCTCCATAGATCTAAGATGGTGGGTCTAGCTGGGTTCAGATTCACGCTGGGCCTCCCGAGACCACTGACCAGGCATCCAAGTGATCAGTGGCCGCTGTCTCGGCCCGTTCTCTAGATGTTACTAGTAGGTCGAATGGGGCCACTGCTGATCTACTACGGTGGCATCCAACGAGATGTTTTTTTTTTAGCAACCTTGACACGATCTTCTCTCGAGCTTAATCAAAGGATGGTAAGTGTGGGACTATATGGTATTCGGGCAATTCACATGCAATATCCACAAAATAAACACAGACGGATTCGAGAAATCAACATGGTATAAGCTAGTAATGTGGGAAGAAAAGAAGTAGGTCGAAATGCCGGTAGCAAAAACATGCGCAATCGTAAACATAGACAGAACCATATGCCGGCGTAATCAATCGAAGGTGGTATGGATTCGAAACAAACGCAACGCTGTTTGGACTCTGAAAAGGGAACAGTCGATCAAGGAGCATAGAACCAGCCTTATCAAGTTCTACCAAGCATTGCGGTCCCAGTTCGGATCTGCATTGACATCAGTCAGTAAGCCATTCATCCCATAACCTATGCAAATGTGATAAACTAACCCTGTATAAAGCTAGCAAGCACCTTACTCCCCGTCTGCAGAAGCGGGTGCCCGGCAACAATTTGCAAGAACCGCTGCAGGCCCTCGCGGCGGTGCTCAATCACGTCATCGCTGAACCGGTTCGTAAACACCTTCCCCGGCAGCGGGGGGATCGTGACCCTTGTGCTCTCGCGCTCGAGGATATCGCGGAAGTATTCGAAGTCCGAGTAGCGGCGGCGCACGACCGAGTGTTTCAGCTTGAACGCGGGGATGTTGGTGCGGCAGACGATCTCGTACGAGGTGTACATGTTGCGCGATGTGCCGTGCGTTTGAGGGTTTCGGACCTGGACAGGCACAAGGTGTTAGCCCGTGCTGGTTTCGAGAACCATTGCGAAATGGGGTTGGGGTATGTGTCTCGCGGAGGAGGTGATGAGAGCTCGAGGGAGGCACGTGGGGTAGAGGATCTAGGAATAGAGCTTTACCTCTATCTCGAGAAAATTTTCGGGAGGCCCGTAGATCTCCTCGAAAGTTTGCTGTCGCGATTCAGGGACGGCTTGCATTTTGGCGTATCACGACTGGGAATGGTCGCTGCAGAGTCGGGGAACTTTGGGAGGTGGGGGATCGCGGGGAAGTCGGGCTTGTCTGTGCTCAAGAATGCACGATTCGGGATGAAGAGGAGGGTCGGTGGAGAGCCGAAACGACTGTGTGTAGGTAGTTCACGAGCCAGCGTAGGACAGAGCTGGACGCGGAAGAGAGCAGAATTGTTCGTAGAGGACAAAGTTGCGCATTGTGGTTGGAGTTGGAGTTGGAAAATGACGCCCACTGAGCAAGGCACGTGATTGGGCTACGATCTATACAGCGGTCTACTCCAAGCAAGACATCATTTTATGCTCTCATGGCAAGTTCTCTAGAGCTTTATTCCCAATCGAAAGTACTCGCCTCTAAAGTCGTACGCATCGAGAGGCGCCCCGGTCTCATTCTTAACCGAAATTCGACGCCCGGAGAAGTCGCAGTCAAACCGTTCGCTACTATCGGAGATGACGTTATAGAACGTCCCCTCGACGCCTCTTTCGAAGAACCTCATTTCTCCCAAGCACTCAGGACCAGCGTACGTGCAGCTCTCCATGTAGTCTACTCCGCGCCATTCGAATGCGCACCCGCCATCGTTTGCACGCGAGACATACACAGGACGCTCGCGCATAAAGATGACTCCTTCCACGCCGGCGAGTTTAAATGCGCCCCATACGCTGTTTTTCTCCAGACGAAGCTTCAACCCTGAGTCGTGAGTATCAATTCCTTCGGATTCGATTTTATAAGACGCATTTAGGGCATCAAGTGCCACTTTTGGAAGCGAAGGGTACGTTTGCGGCGGCTGCTTCAACGTCAGCTGCAGACCTGTCATACCTATTCCATCCGATTTCTTTCACTTACTGTAGGGAGACACGAAGGATTCTTTTCAAGTCCTCCTATCCTCCCCATGGGATCCTCTAGTGGGAGTTCCAGCTCTGGAGCGACGAAAGTTTTGGATTCTACACGCCTTGCGGCAGCAATCCTCGAGACGGGCTCTTTCATTTGCCTTGCATCTGCACTCTCCGCGGCCCTGCCCTGCCTCGGCTTACTCATTCCTCCAGATTTGAACTCGAAGCAGTCGTTGATGTCCAGGTCTGACATGGAGAATTCTAAATTGCCCTTCGTGCCCGTGCCCGAACCCGCCATTGCACAGCTAGCTCCAAGCCCTGGAGTGTCAACCCCCCGGTAGAGACTCTTCGCCTCCTCAGAAACAGCATTCCATCTGTTCCATACACCAATAGTCCTCACGTCTTCTGGCATCGGCTTTAGCTTTGGCTCCGACATGCTTTTATTCTTGCTCCGTTTCTCTTCTTCGCGCGCATGTCTCTGCCACTCTCTTTTCAAATCTTCCTCTAGCCTCGCTAGATGCTGAGGAACCGACAACTCGCCGCAGCGAAGCGCACCCAGCAACCGCATTGCCGCCGTTCCCTTGTTGTCCGTTGGACGCAGCCCGTAATGTATCAGCTGAGCCCTATACCAGTGCGCAGGCCGATCCTTAACAGAGTCCGTGTCGGAGCTAGAGAGTGTGGAAGAGTTGAAGAAGTCATCGAGCTCGGAAATCGTGCACCGCCTGTGGCGGTGGAGAGGCGGGATCACGATGTAGAAGTCGTTATTGTAGTACTCGAAGCTGCTTCGGGAGGCTGGCTGTGTCGAGTCCATTTTCGCCAAATATGCCTGTTGACCAAAAGAGGTAGCAAAGTAGAGGGATGATGGACATGATGAGACGAGACATGAGAGAGAGCTAGGTTTGAATCGTGACGAATGGAACAATATTGAGTTACTGGCGAATAGTGGTTGAAACTCTATCGCTCCTACTAGACATGGTTGTGTAGTAGGAGTAAATCAGGCCACTCAATCGCAAAAAGCAGGTTCTGTACAAAAAGTAGGCAAGAAAAAAGATTTGATTTGTTTAATACACCCTGAGCAATGCCCGAAGTAAAGCCAAAGAAAAGCAAATGAACGACCCATGCAGAAAAGTAAAAGCCAATTTCTCCGAAATATCGTAAACAGCAGAAAATAAGATGAGAGGACAACGCAGAGAGACCCAAGGTAAATGAGAAGAGAAAAAGCACAATTCAAAGGAAGAGAAGAAGACAGACGAGATAATAAGTCAGCAGGAACCGCCCAGACACACCTGTAAATGTAACAAAGAGAAGGTGCAGAATTCATGAAGAGGAAAGTCAATGTGAGACCGGGATCATTTACTCCTGCCGACTGCGCTTGGTGCCGTGTGGATTCCACGAGCCGTCACCTACGCCTTGGTTCTGGGGGAAGAAGCCGGTGTTGAAGGCCTGATTGGGGCCCTGGAAACCGCCTATACCTAGTAAATGCGTGGTTAAATATCTAATCCCTGTTCATGCCGTACGGTGATAGAGTGGGAGGACGTACCTTGCATTCCCATATTTCCTCCCATCCCGCCCATCATCGGGTTCATACCCCCAGCCATCGGGTTCATGCCCATGCCGCCCATAGGGCCCATGTTAGGCATACCCATCATGTTGGGTCCTGCCATGCCGCCGCCACGACCACCACGCATCCCGCCCGGTCCGCCGCGCATGTTTCCACCCATCATACCGCCACGGCCGCCGAATCCGTAGTTGCCCATGCCCATCTGGTTATTTTGGAATCCGGCGCCGACCATGGGGTTGTTGAACCCGCCCATGGGATTATTGAAGTTGCGGTTGACGTAGCCGGGCATATTCGACATCCCTCCGCGATTGTTGTATCCTCCTCTACCTCCACGGAAGCCCCCGCCCATGTTGCCCATGCCAAAGTTGGCGTTGCTCTGGTTCGGTGAATTGTATCCTCCGGCCGAGCGCGCGTTGTCCTTGCGCATGGGGTTGTCTTTGGGAAGCGTACGAAAGGGATTGGGAATGGGGCTAGTGTAGTTGACCAAGAACTTGCGTCCGCTTTGGCCTGTGCTGGAAAGGGAGTCGATCTGGTGTTTAGTGGCGGTTGCGGCGGGGAGCGACGTAAATTCAAGGAATGCTTGACTGTTGAGGATGAAAGTGTTAGTATGAAGCGCTCCAAATACAGAAGACAGCTTGACAGCTTACCCTTTACTCTTTCCGTTCACCTTGTGTTCGCTGAAAGTTACGTCCTTTAGTTCGTCCTCGCATCCGGCGTCGCGTGCCCAGCCCCGAATATCATCGTCCGTAGTCCACCAGTGTAACTCGGAAATGAGAAGGGCGGGTGTGGCATCAGGATCAACAGGGCGATCGTCGAGTTCCTTCCGTTTCACACCCTGTTGGGGCGTCGTGTCTTTTTGCATTTGTTGTTGGTTGGTTGCGTCTGGCTGGGATGCGCCCGCACCGTTCGTTGTGGCGTTGGGTTGTTGCTGAATCGTGCCGGAGTCTGTGGAGTTGCCGCTGTTCTGGGGGTTATCGGACGTATCGAGCATAAGATCAGTGTCTTCCTGTTTCATGTCATAGTCCTGCTTGAAGTCACCCTGATCATTGGCGTTGTAGCCACTACCATCCCCGTAAATGTCAATATCGAAGTTATCATCCTCAGTGGCCATCGTGTTTAGGTAGAGCTCGAGGTCTCAAAGCAAGAGTTGATTGTTTGATTTCTTGATCAAAATACAGTTCTTGTCTTTCTCTTTGTCTTCAAGTTCTCGGGTATCAGTGCAAGTACATGTCTGCAGGCATAGGCCATGTATTAGCATGATGATTATCATTATATTCACCAACAATGAGGGTGTTGAGAAGTCAGGTAATAACACCAGGCACCCGAACTGTGCTGAAACCGCTTTGACTCTCAAGAGCACAAAGGAAAAAAGAACTCGATTATACGTACAATCCGAAGCGAACAAGGCTTCAAAGGAAACAAAGTCTTCACCAATCTGGGGATAAGATGGCTCTCAGACAGAGCGCAGGCTTCCCTCTTATTTGCGGAGTCCAAATACAGGTAGATGGGCAGTGCGATGAATATGAAAGATGGGAGGCAATTGGACACGAGTGGCTGGCCCAGGAACAAGTCCGATCAAAGCTCTTCAGCGAGAGCACATGTGATATAGGGGCAAGTAATAAACAGGAAACCAAGCCCTCTGTAGGGTCAGTACAGTACCCAGATACCGACTCCAGGAGTTCCGCTGGTATCTCCTGAACGATGATGCGGTTGAATAGGGGATCGGGAAATGGTTACGTTGATATGGAGGAGTATCACGAAAGAGAAGGCCCTTGCAAGGCGTGTTTGAGAAGAAAGATCGCGGTGGAGCGCGGCGCGAGGCGAGAAGGGACGATGATGAGCTTCGAGCGTGAAGGAGCTTGAGTGCCTTAGCTCGCGGCACGGCTGACGCCCGGTCCGTAACAACAAAAGTCCGGTCCCACCACTACCTATGGGTACCGGAGTATTCTGGGCAACGAATCAACTAGTTATTCACCCCCTGCAGGTCTGCATTTTGAAGTGCGGAGCTGTAGATGAACATGTTGATAGTATGTGTTTCTTGAGTTAACAAGCGCTCTGCGTCATGTTTTCTCTACATTTGAGCATAGTTGTCTCCAGAAAATGGCCTTTATCAACATTACAAGCCCGCCTCCCATGCATCCCATGCCCGCTCATCCTCCCAAGCACGCATATCAATTGCTTTTTCACACAGATCGGTCCGGTTGAGTTCTGGGTCGTAGCTTTCCCCATGAGCGAGTTCCGGGCCACACTCATCCCTGGGAGCGCCATGGTTCCAGGCATGTATTGTGCAGGTACCTGTTGAGCAACCCCAACCGTTCCAAGACGTTGCTTTATACAGTCAGATTTCGCCATCAGATCATGTGGAGTCAATGTGAGACTTACCAGCAATAACAGGAGCATTTGGATGCCAACTAGCATCACGCACGCAAGTCTTCCATCGACTACTCTCGGCTCTACTCACATGCATATGACCTTGGGGACGACTGCTGCGAGGGCGTGAAAAGTGTGTCGCTTTCTGGACATCAACTGTTCCTGCCAAGGTCGCGTCCAGGTTCCACACATATACTTTCCCGTCTTCGCTGCCACTATAGACATATCGAGAGTCCGAGCTCCCCGGTGGTGAGAAGTGACATCTAATCAAAGTTCTGAGGACGCTGTGTCCTCGGAACGTAACAACAGAGCAGTCATGCGGGTGCGGGTAATAGAAGTCCGACGGAAAAGGGTCGAATCGATAGTCGAATCCCGTCCCATAGCTTGTAGGTTCAAGTTTGTCGAATTTGGCTGTGGGCATCATTTTTCGCAAATCCCACAATTTCATGGTCTGATCCTTGCTGTTCGACAGAACATATCGACCGTCACCTTTGCTGTCGACGTAAGTCAACCCTTCGGTATGCCCTACAAATACTCCGGCTTCTCGTCTGTCGGCCATAGACCTCCGGTCCCAGACACGAACTGTACTGTCATCGGACCCAGAGTAGAGAATGTGAGGCGAAGACTTGTCCCCGAAGCACACTGCATTCACATCATCTTCATGGTTTCGTATGCGAAGGACCGGCTGTCTAGTTTCAAGGTCATATACAATCACTGAATGGTCGCCGGTACCAGCGACGATCTCACGGCCATCTCCCGAAAATCGAACAGACCAAACCTGATCGAAATGAATTAGTACGTAGCCAAACACTAACATGATCAATGCACTTACAGCAAAGCCATCCCTTTCGAATATATCCCGACCGGCTCTCCCTTGGGGAGACGAGGCAAAGTCCAAGACAATGGGATCAGAGTCGTCCGTTGGATCCGTTGACGCAAGGCAGACGAGTTGTCGGAGCGAGCTATATGCTAAGAATCTGTTGTCGGGGCTCAATGTGGCATCTGTGATTGTCCACGAAGCGAGAGGATAGTCTACCGTCTTGTAGTACTTCCATTCGTAAGGGTTCGATGTGTCATACATTCTGACTTTGAAGTCTTGGGAGCAGGAAAAGAAGAAATTACCATCATCAGAGAACTGACCCGAGTAGCATTTTGCGTCGTAATGGATGATTTTATCCGCAGTGGTGCCGGGAATGAGATCCTACGCATTGTTGAGTAAGCTAGGCGTCTCTAACGCGATCGTAGACTTGTAGAATTGCACTTACTTGTGCTATTGAAGGGACCCTGCTTCTCTGCAGTCCCTGCCCATCAACCCCTAATTCCCGCCACATTACCTTCTCCGCAAAAGACTTCTTCCGTTTCATACGTTCATCAAGATAGCTGGGAGTCGTCCCGAATTTTCCGGACCTCATCAGCTTCGTTCCTTCATCACTCGGCACCTTGGGATATTCAGGGGGGCCTCGCCGTCTCGGAACCCGCCTGCCTAGCCCTAATATCCCGTACTCCTCTTCTTCGTCATATTCGTCATCGAAACCACCAGGACCGGGAGCGAATCCATGATAGCGGAAAATTTGTTGTAGACCACCAGAAGCCAGCATATTTCGTAAACGGGTGAGGGACACTAGTTATCAATATCAGTAACTGGAATATAGAGGCGCTTTCTTTCCCAAACGGAGAGGTCTACCTTGAGTCGGGCGTCCCGCGGTCTGGTCATTGCCATCCATTGTGAACTCTATGTGAATGTTGCCCAAATTCAATTCGGGTTCTGGAAAGACAGTTTTAGAATCAGTGTCAGAACAGACGACTAAGGCAGGAGAAGGATTGGCGATACCGAAACCGAACTGACCGGCGTAAGACTCCTCATCCCCGTCCGGTTCAGGGTACTCTTCTTCATCGACTCTCTCATCGGGATCTTCGGAATCAGGTTCAAAGTCCATATCGTCGTCGTCGTCTCCTAATTCATCTTCCTCGAGCCATGCTCTTGCTGGGTGCCATGTGCCGCCGGGGCCTGTTTGTGGCGAACTGCCCTGTCGGCCACCGCCAGCGGTAGGGGGAGGAGAACTCATGATCAATCAGGAAATAAAGGTAGCTTTATGATGAAAATTATAACGCAGAGTCCATGACACACATTCAGTAGAGCCAGAAGAAGAATGCAGACTCGACGGCACTATGGAATAGAGGGCCGCTCACTCGAGTCCCTGTATCGGATTCCTTATCGATACCAAGGGTAGGTATGTCATCCGCCTTCGGAGACGCTTACATTATCTCCTATCTCCGTAACTTAACATCAGGAACCCCTCACTTCAATCAACGCCCTGCAGTATTATCAACATCGATGTTTATCCAAAGTACATTACAAAATAATTCACACTCATAAGGAGACAACGAAACAACAGAATATATATAGTGCATAACCCGAAACATGAAACCCGAGATCGAAAACCAGAAGAAACTTGCCGGAACAGTTCAGTTCAGTCTCGGCACCTCCAGGGAGCCGCTCGCCAGCATCACATAGACCTTGGGATTCGGGGGCATCCTCAAAAAGAACACCAGAACATGCACCAACCACGCCAGGACCTTGATTACATCCTCCTGCGGAGGATATGGGATGCCTAGCTCCCAACCGTCGCTCACTTCCGTGTTGTCGATTTCTAGAGGTGCTTTGGAAACTGCCGCGCGCAAAGCAAGTACTCCTGCAATTGCCTTGATGCGGACTCTCAAATGAGCTCGCTTCTTGGGCGAGGCCTGCCTTGTCGCTTCAAGATTCACTTCGGATGATCTGTGGCCCTTCTCCTTGGCCAAATAGAACAAACAATCCGCAGGGATCTTTGGCTGCTTCTCCAGTGCGAACTCGACTCTCTGATATAAAATCTCTGCATTCGATCGCAAGTTAGCACGGTGCTGGTTTGATAAAGGTTTCTATGTGATTGCAGAGGATACGTACCATGCATAGACGACACAATGACCTGCCCAAAGTGCCCAGGTCGTGGTATGACGAGGGTTTCGTGAACATAGGTCAGGAGAGAACCTTGTTTTTGGTTCTCGAAAACGCGAGTCTCAAAATATCTTAGCCGTTGGAGCTCTCGAGAGACTTCGTTGCTGACCGCAATCGACACCGCTTCCTTGCCAGAATTGGGCTTCTCCTTGGGGTCTTCCTCAGTCAGGTCGCCCTGAGTTTTCCCGGGAGAGGTTCCAAATCGGAGACACAGTTCTGCCTCGAAAGTTTCGAGATGCCGGGTGTCGCCATCAATCCACTTAGCGGAGGGAACAGAAGGAGAGTGTTGGGAATCCAAGCCTGTGACAGTCGACTTTGGCTGTGGGAACCCAGATCGAGCCTGTACTGTTGCGGCGCCCTCGAGACCCAATGATCGAAAGCTTTGATAGCTGCAAGGCGCTGCCTCGCAATAATTGTATGAGCCGGTACCTCCCCATGCGCTGGGACCACCAAATTGATTGCCACTATATTGATCATACTGGGGCGCATTCGGCAGGTTCCCATGATACCCTTTACCGAGAGGGGAGAAATACTGGTTTTCACCACCATGTCCGCCGCCATCCCCATCATCCCCGTTATTGTCATCGTCGTCGCCGTCGCCGTCGTCTCCATCCGATCCATTTCCCTGGTCCCAATCATCGGATATTGTACAGTGCCGACAAAGACAGTCGATGAAATCCTCCCACGTACTAATGGGATTATCACATTCAAGAACCGCACATCTTAGTGGTGGAGGAAGGTGCTGGGTGACATTTTCCATCTCCTCTCTGGTCAATCTTGGATGGTCGTGTTGCCGCATGTGTAACAAGTGTTTGTCTTTTCTCGAGAAGCATACTGACCCACCGCAGATAGGGCAGAAATAACGTTTGGTTGGATAGTGTTTAGACGTTATATGCCTTTTAAACGTACCCCGGTTCTTGCACTCCAATTTTCTGTTTGGCGGGCAGAGAATGCATCGAAACTGCTTGTCCTCATCATTCGCGTTTCGCTCGCCCCCTTGGTTTGGCGAAATCAATTTATCAACTAAAGACAACGCTTCTTGGAGGTGCTCCTGTACAGTACGCAGCTGCGTGTTGTTGGGCATGTCGCAGCCAATATATAAAATAGATCCAATCACCACCATGATCTGTATGAGGGCGTTCAGCAGGCCACGGGGCGACGCAACATTGGTTAGCGGCGGTACGGTGGGCGACGTAACAGGTCGACGTTGTGTCGTGATCCTTCCCTGGCCGTTGAGAAGAGACTGGTCCACGGGACTGTAGGGGGAATTGCCAGACTGCGGTTCGCCCATCGATGACTGGAAGGAACTTCCTCGGGATAGACCTGGGGCCTTATGTTGATGTCAGTGTCAATGTTCTGCAAACGCATTCAGGATTCGACGAACCTCGAGACCAGCAACTGCTGAATCAGGGCTGGGGTGCGCATGAAACGCCGTTGGGAGGTTCTGAGCCAAGTTGGGGTCAAGATATACCTGCGATGGCCCAGCCTGGAGGTATGGTGTCGACTGAGGTTCGAGATACTCGCGAGCCGACCCAGCGTGGGAGTTCGGGCTTGGGCCCGGACCGATAATTCGAGGGACGACCAAAATTTGCAGCATGAGATCAACCTGTTCATCATTGAATTCAAATTGTGGATCATTGAATTCAAATCGTGGATCATTGAAGTCATGCAGGCTCTCGTGTTGAAAATTTCCCTGGTCCATGATTGCACAGTCCAGAGGACTAGGCAAGGTTGGATAGCACGAAGGAAGGAGAGAAAAAGAAGAAAGGAAAGTAAAGGCAGGCACACGGCTGTAGAAAAAAGAGAAAGGCTATGAAAATGACGATAATGTGGGCAATGAGGGCGCAGCGTCTGGGAGGTCGATGATTTGATAGGGCAAGGCTGAATCTGTCCAGGTCGTCCAAGGTCTGGACAGAGGGTGGGTTATATACAAGGCTGGTCACATTCGCCAGTACACCAGGGTAATACTCAACGTGGTAAGTGAGAGAGTAGAAGGTTTCTGGAATGAAGTAAAACAAAAAAGAAAAAAAGAGGAAAAAAGGAAGCCGGGTGAGGGAAGGTAAATGTAGACTGATAGCCACAGGTGATACTTTGAGAGTGCCCGGGTTTGATGCGCAGCAGCTGGCCAACTCCTCCACCTAACAATAACTAATTTTATTAAGACTAAATGAGACAGAGAATAATGCCATCTAAGACAGGGCAAGACGCACTTTTCTTATATTGTATACTTGAATAAATTCAGGGCAACGGACACGCCGTGTCGATGCAGTAATGGCAGTGTAGTTAGTAAGACCAGCCAGTTATAATAAGGCTTAGAGCGTGCCACTACACAAAAACAATAAACAAATTAATAAAACATCCAATGCTCATACAATATCACAACAAAGGACTTTCTGCTGCAGCCCAGAAGGCACTAGCAGAGGCTCGAAGCTAGCTTCCCTTCAAAGTGAAGCTCTCAACGCCCTGGCTCTGGATTTGCTACTGCCAGTCTCCCACCCTTCCACACTACCCGCTGGCGTATTCCTTCTTGTCCCACTGGATTCGCCCTCTGTGCTTTTCAATGCTTTGATTCGTCTGGATGAATCTAAGCAACTGCTCTGCTTGCTTCTCTTTCCCCCAGGCGATAGCGCGGGCTCCTGGGGGTTCAGCAGAATCGCCACCATCAGGTATTCTGTGATCAGGCCGCGATACTCAACCTCTCTACCCAACAGCCTTCGGTCTTCAACGATTTGAAGTGTAACAGAACCCTTCTTACCCCGATCTCGAAGACTTTCGTTGGTGGAGAGGAGGTGGAGGACCCTTGCACAGCCACATCTGGCCTCCTGAGTCTGGAGGCAGCAACATGCCCCAGGCTACAGGTGAAGAGAATACCGGTCCTGGAATTTTATTATTTCACGGGTTAGTGACCAGATCTGTGATCCCCCGCCCGGACTCTCCAGACGACGATCAACGAACACCCCGGCCGCTGCCCGCTGTCAAACGTAACTTAACCTATTGCCACCATGAGCCGGAGTCGTCGCTCGGACGCTGAATCTCTAACGCTTGTCAAACATTTGCCTCCCCCTTAAGCCCTCGGTGTTTTGTTTTCATCCATGGCCGTTAGCCGCCTCCTACTCCGTACAGAGTACGCCGTACGGTATCATCATGTATGCAGGCGGATACCTAAAACTACGTCATGCCGATCGCTCTCCAACTGTGGGGTTCATTCTGACTTACTAGAAGCTCAACGGTGCTACAAACGGAGTAAACAAAAGCAATGCTTTCTTCCAATGGGTCGAAATCAATCCCAGGGACACCTAGTGCGGCTCTTACAATGCCGACATGATGCCACCCCTTTCCTACCATCCCAAGTTCCCAACAAGACCTTTGGAGTTGGGGCCAAGATTCATTTCTTGATCGCACGGTGCAACATGATCAGCTTTTTTTTCTATTTTCATACTCTGGTCTACCGGGCCTAGTTACCAGGAACCAGTCTGGTCCGAGAGCATCTAGGCCTTTTGTTGGGAAGTGGCAAGTTCGTCCCCCTACTGCGAGGTCCGTTATATTCTCGCTTGTTGGTTGAGGCTTGTAGGTCCTTAACATCCTACGTCAGATACTATCTGCGCCTACACTCTTTCTTTTTTCCGGCGTTTCATCAGGTTCTGGGCAACAGCCCCGAGCACATTCCAGGTCTGTCGCCTCCTCCGTCCTTCTGGCCTCGTATACCGGTGAGGAGACCGCGCGACCTAAGGGCACCCCTCTTGCAAGACGGCTGGACTGAGCAAAGGTACTCGCTGCCTCACTGATGTCAGGCGCATTTTAGCCATCCCCTACATTCAAGCCCATCAGCAATGGCGTCTGCCTTGGGCCTCGACTTTTATCGGGTTAGAGTCCCGTGCTACAGCAATAGTACGACCGCTTAACATCGGCCTGTGAGCTGGCAATTGAACTGGTCGAGACACGGATTTTTCTCGCGATCGGCGGGAGACAAGATCTGATGAGGCTCAAGTTGGCAAACAGCCGAGGTTGGTTTGATCTTGATGGAACTTGGAAGATGGGAGATGACTCAGGCTGCAGCCTGCCGCTCTCTTGCACTGCCTCCTGCATACCATAGTCTAGTACTTCGTAGACTCCGGAGTATCTCAGCCACCGTTTGTTGTCCCGCGTCGCGGCGTCATAGGTCCTATGCAAGCAGTAAAATATTACTCCCGGGAACTGTGAGAAGCCAACCTTGGAAGCTTCTTACATTAGTCGAAAAATCTTCCGGCATGAACCCAATCTAGCCGGTAAGATTTTGACGTTTCACACGAGGTACTTTATCTGTTGTTGGCTGCCTCAAACTTTACTATCGCCCATGTTGAGTTGTCTTCCCGAGTACGAGGAGATGAAACCACAACCCCGTAATCAAGACCTCGTGGACGAACTACTCCGTAGTCTGTGCTGGACCGTTCTTCGTAGTGGCAGTTGGTGGCCCGGGCAAGTGAATTGATATTGGGTTGCACTTCTACAAGGATGATCCCGGTTTCTCATTTTGCAGTTAGCAGGATTGAGAGCGAGCGAAAGCATTGGCGGGACATGTAAGCCTCTTCACGAGTAGGTCTATCACCTTATTGCTCGCTTCCAATTGTATTCGGCCGCAAGGGTACCCAATCGCGACTGCGCCTTGTATTATCTTGCTGGGAGGGGAGAGCTGAAGGGTCTGATCTCGAAAGGTGCCGGAGGATCTACGGATTCAGCCGAGATTGATACTTACGTATCAGTACACGTAGCGCAGGGGATTGAAGGGGCGCTGCGGATACCAGAGTCGGGGGTACTGGGGTGATATCAAGAGTGAGATATGTTGAAACTAGCGACGCAGCCGAGAATGAGGATCTATTCGTCCATGGACACAAGGTTTCTCCGCCTCGCTTTACGCGGTGCAGTCAAGCCAATGCTCCTTCAGCTCTGATCGTGAACCGGTCAAATTCTGGCATAGCCCGGCAAGTCCAACACAAGCCATCCAATCGAATCTTCTAACCATGGAAACCAGAATGCGTTTTGCTTTTTGAAGATCTTTTTCATTCAGGGGAATCTATGCACAGGATAGAGACGTGCCGGCTCGAGAACCCTCAATTTTCTCGTCACAAATGAACTCCACATTCGGAGGCGTAAAAACCCAGAAAACACCGAACAACCCGCAACCACCGTTCCGATAACCGTCTAGATGTGGGTGTCGTAAGGCAGAGGAGTGATGGTTTCGGGGGCGGAGCCCTCGACGGTGTGAGCCTCACGGGGCTGGACGGGCTGGCGCTTGAGGTGGAGGTGGATGCCCTGCTCCTTGGCCTGCTTCTTCTTCTCGGCGTTCTCCTTGACGCGCTTGATGAAGTCCTCGCGGGAGCGGGAGTGCTTGACGTGCTCGACGCGGACGTTGATGCGCTTCTCGAGGTAGCGGTTGCCGACGACCTTGTAGAGGAGGACACCGACGGAGGACTTGGTGACGTTGTAGACGACACCGGTCTTACCGTTGTAGACCTTGTAGGGCATACTATTTCAAAATCTCAGCATTATTCTTCTTGACCAATCTGCCTAAAACCCGGTCTTTCGAAAAGTCTTCTTCGTCGCGGTTGCAGGTTTTCGAACTGGGAAACGGAACGGATGGAAAATTTCACTGACCCCTTCTGAACGGCACCGTTGACCTTGATGTCGACAATGTCGCCAACCCTATTGTTCTCAAATCAGTCTCCGCTGCCTCGAATTTCGCGTTTTTCGCATCATAGGGATTCGTCGTACCGGTAGGTCTTCAGGTAGGTCGAGAGGTGGATCTGACCCTTCTCACGGAAGTTGCGAGAGAAGGCATACTGAAATGTGCATTAGCGGCCGTCGACTAACGCAGCGACAATCATTCTCGTCGTAACATACCCGGGTGCCGGAACGGAGACCGTGGGAGTGACCCATTTTGACGGTTTTTTGGCGTTGAGAGTTGAAACTTGTCGAAAACGAAGAAGTCCCTCGATCTGCCGCCTCTCTCTGGTGGTGTCGCTTTTCGGGATCCTTAGTGCGCCGTCCTCCGCCCTCAAGGGCTAGCCCTACGCACTAGGCCGCTTTCGCAGTCGACCCACTCTTTTCGCTCCACGGGCTCGGCTAGGTATCGATCAAAAAGACCTTCACCTTTGGACTTGGAGAAACCGTTCAGCTGAGTTATTCGACAACCCTTGCGACAGCGCGAAATCTGCAGTCATGGCCCCCGTCCCGTGAGTATATGCGGCATCAACAGATCATGTCGAAATGCGCATGATTCTAATTTTCGTCTTCAATGCAGGCGCGTCTACTCCAAGACCTACAAGGTCCCTCGTCGTCGTAAGTGAACCTTGGTCGAAATGAAGGATTGAGATATCGCAATTCACGGATCAAAAGCTAACAATGCGCAGCTTTCGAGTCGGCTCGTCTGTTAGTACTCTCCGGCCACTAATCAGAAGCGTGCTTCTGTTTATGTCGTGTTATAAGTTCCTAACCTGGTTATGCTAGTGACTCGGAACTGAAGATTGTCGGCGAGTACGGCCTGCGCAACAAGCGTGAGGTGTGGCGTGTCCAGCTTACCCTGTCCAAGATCCGTCGTGCTGCTCGGTATGTGAACTGGAAGACATGAAAGAGAAGGGAAGGACCCCGACTAATTACGCTCGTTCTGTCCAGTGAGCTCCTCACCCTCGACGAGAAGGACCCCAAGCGTCTGTTCGAAGGTAACGCCTTGATTCGCCGTCTTGTCCGTATCGGTGTGCTCGATGAGTCCCGCATGAAGCTCGATTACGTCCTTGCCCTCAAGGTCGAGGATTTCCTTGAGCGCCGTCTCCAGACCTGCGTCTACAAGCTCGGTCTCGCCAAGTCCATCCACCACGCCCGTGTCCTGATCAAGCAGCGCCACATCCGTGTCGGCAAGCAGATCGTCAACGTTCCCTCCTACATGGTCCGCCTCGACTCCCAGAAGCACATTGACTTCGCTCTCACCTCTCCCTTCGGTGGTGGCCGCCCCGGTCGTGTCCAGCGCAAGAAGGCTGCTGCCGCTGCTGGTGGTGGTGATGACGAGGGTGAGGAGGATGAGGAGTAAATTATCTAAAATAGGAGTATGGACAGGTTTCGTTACGGACAATATATCCACGGGGCTTCGATGTCACTGCAGCATCGCGTATAATGTTGTACGACCTTGCAATTCTACGAATCTAAAAAATGTTAAACTAGGTAGCCTACGGCTCAGCATCGAACCCACGTTGTTAGACTCTGCTTTTGTCGTATACTACTGTAGTGTAAAGCCTATTATCCTGTTAAAGGCGCCCTAACGCCAGAACGCCGCCCATACTTCGTAAATCATGAACCCTCCACATGCACCCGTTAACCTTCTACCCCGACCAGCTTCTTGAGTGCGTCTTCCGCACTCCTATACCATCTTCCTGCTTCTTCAAGACCGTCGCTTTCGCCTTCCTGTTTCTTCCTCTGAGCCTCTCGCGCTTGCATTATAGCCTCTGACTTGCGACGCTCCAGTATACTCAACTCTCGCTCCATGGTCTCGGCCTCACGGGTCTTGCGGGGTAGAGCATTTTGCGCCGCAGCGATTTGTCGGTTGAGTGCAGCGAGTTCAGCCTCGCGTTCCGCCAGGAGAGACAACGTCGCAGGGAGAGGTAAATTTTGAGACGACGATGTATCTGAATTCGCAATCTGCTTCGCCCGTAGCGCGGCGACAGTGGTTTCAAGGTTTTCGATCGATTCAGGGAGGGTAGCAAGTTCGGCCATCTGCAGCTGGACATCTTTGTAGCCTGAAAATGAACCCCGTCAGAAGCAGCTCCATACCCAGTCCGACTGATTCCGGCAAAAAGGAGTGAGTCTTGTTGTTCACTTACGCGTCGCCAGATTCCTTGCCATCTTATCCAATTCCTCTACCATCAGTCGCACTTCCTCTTTACGCGCCTTGAGCTCCGCCTTCACTTCTGCCAGCTGCGTTTCCAACTCGACATTCTCGTTATGACCGACAACCAGGGGAGGATCGCCAACAATCGCACGCAGGAAATTTTCTTTCGTTACTTGTTCAACGTACGAGAAGCGCAGCTTGGAGAATAATTCCTATGATCCGACGTTAGACCGCGGCGAGTTGCGATACGTCTTTTGTCCGTACCTTGTAGTGCGACAAGTCCGCCTCAAGAGATGCCGGTGACACTGATAGGCTGTCGACTGCAGAGACATCCGAATTGCGCTTCGATGGAGACTTATCAGTATCTGGGGAGAAAATCGGCTCGCTGATTCGGACGATGGACAGTTGCGTCTTCAGTTCACCGTGCTCTTGTTCGAGCAGCTGCAGCTGCTGGCGCGTTTGCGCGGCATTTGGTTCAGACATTTTGAGATGGAGGTACGGTCCTCTCAGAAACACGGAAGAAAGGGAATAGGTATGCAGTGGCCGCGAAAGTTGGCGCTTGATCGATAAACTCCACCCCGCGGCAGAATGTGGAGTAAACAAACGCCGCATTCAATCTTGGCATTGGTTGATCAGGGCGGTGAGCGAGCCATTGACTGTCGCCTTCACCAAAATCGTACTTGCCAACTTACGTGCTTGCTTCAATTAAATTTTGGACTATTGCATCTTATCTATCGTTACATAAAGCCGGGGTGATGTAGCTAGTGCTCTAACCCGGCATTGCCTTTCCTTATCCCGACATTATCCAGCAAGTTCTTCCATCATGCCTCCAGGTCTAGGGAAGACAATAGGCGACCCAGATAACGATGACTATGTCGCGCAAGTACTCGCAAAGGAGGCTCGCGATAGCTCCGTGAAGTATTCTGCTTTAGGGATGGAAGCATACATGCCCGCAAGGTGCGAATCACTCAGCTAGCATGGTTCAGACTCTAATAATTACCACAGGCCTACAAGCTCCGCTCCGAAGCCCAACACTCGGTTTCTTCGTCATATAATCAAGGAGACAGATAACCATAATGCGGCGTTGAAGAGAAAGGAGGAAAGGGAGGCCAGGGAGCGTATGCGAGAGCTACGAAACCAGACTGCATCTTCGGCGCAAGCAAGCGGCGGCGATCGCCGTCGCCGTTCACGTAGATCAGACGATCAGTATTCACGACGGGATAGAGGTAGGGAGGATCGGGAGGATAGACATCGCTCTGACCGGAGAAGGCGGAGGAGTCGTTCAACCTCGCTTGATAGGAAGCGCCCGCATACGTCTCGTCGCGAGCGTGAGGTGCGGGGCCGGGATGATGACCGACACAGGAGCTCAAGAAATAGTCGTCGACACCGATCTTATTCAAGGTCACGAAGTCGATCTCCTCGCAGGAAGGATTCGGATTCTTTTGACCGTCGCCGACGCCATCGAAGACGCTCTACATCCCGCTACCGCTCGCCAGGGTCGAGAGAAGACCGCAAGGATCGCGATTCGTCAGGACGTCATCAAAGATCTGCGGCAGGCTCTCTTGATAGAACATCTGGAAATGAGTCGGATCCTTTGGAAGAACTCGTCGGCCCGCTGCCCAAGGAAGAGGCGCCAATTCGTTCTCGTGGCCGAGGTGCATACAAACCCAACAACAGCAGCATTGACGCTCATTTCGCGCCTGATTACAACCCGTCTCTTGATGTACAGCCTGAAGATGATGAAGGGCAAACTAGCCGGTCTAGTCGCCGGCCCGTGGCAGGGCTTATGACTGGAGATGATGATTGGGAACTTGCCTTGGAAGCTCTACGAGATCGGGCACGCTGGAAACAAACGGGCGAGGATAGGCTACGAGAGGCAGGTTTTAATGATGACATTGTAGATCGCTGGAAAAGCAATACCACTCCGGCGGCCACAGGGAACGACGAAGGTTTGGTGGAGAATGTCAAGTGGTCTACCAAGGACGAAGGTCGCGAATGGGATCGGGGGAAGTTTGTGAATGATGACGGTCATATCAGTGTCAAGGCTTCTTGGTAGCACATTTTTGTCTTGTTATATTTATATCGGGCTTCGTTACCCATTTTCTACAGAACAGGGCCATTCCTTAGTAGTCGTGGTTACTCTGCAGCATAATATATCTTTGCCTCTATCATGCATTAGCCTCACTCATACAGACGGATTATGGAATCCCTAACCTTCTATGTCTAAAATAGCAGACTAAAATCCGTTTCAGAAGCTTCCAGTAGCATTACTGCACCTTGAATCCTTATAGATCTGGCGCTATCGTTAATTCCGCACTTTTGTCAGATAGCGGAACCAGGCGCTTGGCCCACTTGCCGTATACAAACAAGATATCTAATCAATCAGTATTATTCTCTGCCCTAAAAACCAAAGCAAATCCCTTTTTTTTTTGTCAATGAGAGAGGTATGTTCAGCATATACTGTTCAAATGACCGATCAATTCGCATACAAATATCCCTCTCCCCTAGAGGGCTACGAGAACCTCGAGCCTCTCCCCGAGTAAGTCCCTAGATGGCGTGATCGGATGAGGGCATGGTTAAATAATTACCCCTCACATTGGAAGTCCCATATTGTTGTTGAAATCTAACCCAACGGACAGTGAGAGAAACGAGGACGGAAAGTCGCTGAAGAACCCGCAACATGGGATCCTGAGCAAGGTTTACGAAGAGTTCCCTGATCCCCTCACCAAAGGTAGACGGGGAGGATTCGATATCCATATTTACCACTTCCAGGTTCATCCCGCTCAGCTTCATGTATAGGCACTTGACCTTCAGCCGTGACGCTGACGCATGCTACAGAACAATCCAGACCAAGTAGCCTACGCCAGGGCGCTATGGGAACGTATTAGACGGGAGTGTAAGTCCCTTATCCACGTCAAGACTCAAGTATCCCGGCTCAAGCTGACATACCTATGTGTAAAGTCCCCGAACTCCGCATTTACACCTTCTGGGACAAACCCGTTGGTCCGCACCCAGTGGCCATGTTCGAAGTGAACCTCTTCACGCCGGCGCAGTTTGGGGCTTTCGTGCCCTGGCTTGTTATACAGCGGGGGCCGCTGAGTGTACTCATTCATCCCAACACGGAGGAGCATGAAGATGAGCGCAACCATACGCAGCGCGCGGTGTGGATGGGGGATAGGATCCCCTTGGATTTGAGGCCGTTTAAGCTTATGATGGACCGGAGGGAGTCGAAGAAAGGGAAAGAGAAGGAGGGGAAAGGTGAGAACTTATAGATATGTTTGGTATCAGTGGTGTGTATGTGAATAGTCGGGCTCAGAATCTTGGATAGTGAAGTGCTTGAATGGAGGTGTAATGGCTGATTGGAGGGATGTATATATGTGATCAAGGCAGATGATGAACATGGAACAAACCTCCGTACATCATAACAACTCTTAAGAAAGCGCATAAGCTCCAGGGTTTTAGGGTGCATGATCCGCTCAGATGACGGGACTCGCCCGCAAGCGGCAAGCCTACTCCGTCCCCGGCCATAGCAACCTTAATCCCCATCCATCATGCTTATCGATCTTATGCATACCAATGCATACCACCGCACGCAAGGGCGCCAATAACCTTGGGAAGGCTGAGCAGGAGTCCCAAACAAGCTCCAATGCGCGTCATCACCCGCGCACGAGTCCGCCCACAGGGCATTTGTTGGTCGTCATCCGCTGCAACCCCCTCGATCCTCGAGGCTCCTTTTCCTAGCACACGGGGGTATATGAGTGGACGGACCAGGACCCGATGCATTGCGATCGGGGCTAGCTGGTCAGTGATCACCGGCAGCTGAGGCCTGAGTGTTGTGCAGGGTTTGAGGGCCAATGTAACGGACCCTGGTACCGGCTGGGATATATAAGTGTGTGGGTGCGGAGGGATTCCCCGCCGAGGACTAAATTGAGAGAACTCAGGTGCCGAACATGAGAGACTTGAGCTGATCGAGTCGCTGATACCTATGGATATTTACTTTTCTCGCTCTGTGGACGCCGTCCTGACTGCCGCGGCTGTCCCGGACTACGTACTGGAGTATGGTGAGTTTGCCTACTATGGAATTTACTTCCGGAGGGGAAAGGCAACTGACAAGTTAGCCCCCTTGGTATGGCTGCATAGCGAGGACCGATACAGGCCTTCCGGCATTGCTGAGCATCTGAACCATGTCGTGCCGCAATTGGACTACGAAACGATTGAGGGCGTCCCGGCACCACTTACCTTGGATAACCTGAGCCAGCTCAATGCGCTGGGTAACGAGAGCGTGTATCTGACTTCGCAAGAAGGCATCAATGCCGATCCGCAGCCTGAATGGTTTTATGGTGCAGATATCGATGCGAACGGCCAAGCCAGCGATGTTTCGTCGATCATCGTCGTGAATGACCGCGGAGATGGCGAGGTCGATGCGTTTTATTTTTATTTTTATTCGTAAGTCCTCCTCCGAAGCAGGGTGCCCAGCGCCGTTCTGACCGTGGGTAGATATAACCAGGGCAACACTGTTCTGGGCATGGAGTTCGGTGACCATGTTGGCGATTGGTGAGTAGCGACATTCGCGGCTGTACTCAATCTGACAGTGGCTGTTGCAGGGAGCATAACATGATCCGATTCCAGGACGGGGCGCCGCAGGTCATTTGGTACAGCCAGCACTCTGGCGGACAGGCGTTCACATATGAAGCGACAGAGAAGCAGGGAGTGCGACCGATAGCGTACTCCGGAAATGGCACTCATGCTGTATACTCCATTCCTGGGTGAGGCCTCATCGTAGCCTCCGTTTTCTTGAATTGTATTGACATGCCTAGTGGCCACGACCACACGATCCCTGGCCTTAACCTCCCGGCCGGGTTTCTTGTTGATCAAACGGACCGGGGCGTCCTGTGGGACCCTGCCGCGGGCGCCTATGCGTATAGCTATGTGCCAGCCACACAGACATTCGAGCCCTATGACCCCAGCTACCCAGTCAACTGGTTGGGCTTCAACGGCAGATGGGGAGATGATGCGCTCCAAGGAGGACCCGAACTATTCGGTCAGGCCAAATACGCTGGAGGGCCCAATGGCCCGAAGTTCAAGAATATTCAACGAGAGGACGTGTGCCCAAGCAGCCCATGTATTGTCCTCCCGTTCCTGATTTGGAGCGTCGAGTCAGCAGAGCCTGCCTCTGCGACGCAGACAGTTTCTGCGTGATATGGCCCATGAGAGGTCCTTCTTTTTTTGCCGCGCGAATCTGTGAGCCCGGTAAGGGTAGTTGCGGAGGGGTTTAGATCTTAGAATCGGTCGATCTTCTGTCTTTTGTATGTCGCATAATGTTGACTCGTTCATGTAATCGAGAATAGTAGCAAAGTAATCGGGTATCTTGCACAAATAATGTCCTTTTTGCGACAGTATCTCAAGATCGAGAGTCGGATGGTTTCTAGTGCGATTCTGACAGTCCGACGCCGAGTCAGGGGCCGCGTATAAGACGAACTGAACATCAAAACAAGAGCCTAAGACGGACAAAAGTTTCCTTTGTTAGCGTCAGCCAAAGAGACTCGCCCTTGAATCCGGTTCAGTCGGACAGTGCTGCTTGAATGATCGGAGCAGCCAATCAATCAGCCAATTTTCGGCGTTTCGTCGGGCAAGGTGGATAGCGCAAGGTCGTACGGCAATTTCACTTCAAGTCATGTCCGGCTGCCAATTTCCTGCAGCGAAATACCGCCCCGGGACAGGGTCATCATCGTCGAAATAAGTTGTTCTGGATGATTCAAAAGCACACAAGATGAGTTCTGCACATGCAGGCAGACGGAGAATTTATGTGCAGCAGAACTGCATCTGGGCGGCAGATTATTGGAAAGTTGACAGGCGGAGGAATGCCGACTCCGATCCCCACGTGCCCACTCCACGGTGTGAACTGTGAGTCTGTGAAGTGTTCGGCCCACGGCCGGATGATGCCGCAACGCCCAAACACAGAGGTCGGATCCTGAGACTCGAGAATCGAGGTGTCTAGCAGGTCGGTACTTCGAGTCAAAGCATCCAGATCCCGAAGACCGTTGGATAGGGCTGACCGGGTCCGATTCGAAAATTGATATCATCTTGTTGACTGCACGAACGTTGAGATGCGGATGGAGTTTGGCGATCGTCGGGCCCAATTTAAAAGGCTTGGGCCAGTCGCGCTGGGTCACAACCAACAAACCTCAATTAAACCGGTCAAATCCCGTAACTGGGTCTCTGGTGCTCAGGATCATGGTGAAACCGCAAAAGCAACCATCAGGAGATCCATTATTCCAGCTTGAGATTTGGCGCTGAGATGCGAGAAACCTTTTGAATTGCAAGGTCGTCCCAGGCCGAACCGAAACCCAGCCAAGCCAGTCGGAGTGGGGGGAGTCTAGACTTAGTTCCCTTGACGGTTTTGCCCCTGAATCCCTTCAGCTTGAGCTCGAGCTGTCTCTGTACGAAGGAACTTTTTGGCCAAGAGGCGTAGACTAGATTGCTAGAACAAAGTAGATGAGGGAAGTTTCTGCAGTTTGAGAAGCTCTTGCGACCCTTCAAATATCATCTTCACCCACGCCATCCCCTGTACGCCCGTCAGTTGGGCCGCAGCACCTCGTGCGCTGCTGTACAAGAGTTCATAACTCCAGACTCCAGAGCAGCAGTCCTGACTCCTCAGGCTCAGTGCTCACTGGCCGATCTTCATTCAGTCTGCCCGTCCAGTCCGCTTGTTTCCTTTCTCTTCCGTCCCTTCTTTCTCCCCTCCTTTCTCTCATATTGCATTCCTTCCTTTCCTTCTCTGTGTGGATTATTCTCACTTATATGCGCCGCATTGGCCGGACGCTGTGAGCAGGCAATTTCGTTTCTCTACCCCTGCAATTCAAGTTTGCGAAAAGGGTGAAAAGACCGCAATTCCCGTCGCCTGAATCCAAGTACAACGACGTCTCTTGCGCTCGTCAACCTTCGTCAAGAAGCAAAGGTTCAATTCGGCATTCGCTTGCTGGACTCGTGAAGTGTCGATATAGATAGCCTCTGCTTCCTTGGGATCGACTTCCAGGGTATATTTTCCGTCGCGGTCTCCATCTCGATAGTCACAACTAGGGACCCATCGCCTCGATTTCAGGACATAGAACCAGAAGTCAAGCCCGGATCGAATTTGAACCAGAGTTTTTTTGTGCCTGCAAAGCCGGTGAGTGCCTGATGTGACCTGTGATTTGTCGCAACTAGATATACCTCTCATTTGCGCAGCATCTTAATCTGAGACAATGTTCATTCGCAGGTCCCCACTCTGATTTGACAACCCCTCGTGTTACAGAGCCGAGTCCTTCCCGATGGCGGCTACTACTGCAAGCCGGGGCCAAGCGCCCATCGATGCTCCTCCTGCCCCGACTGAAAATGGTCACACCCAGATGAAGGATTCGCGCAGAACATCTTCCTCTCTGGGTTTCCTTCGCCGTTCCAAGTCAACAGAGCCAATCGGAGGAAAGTCCCGCAGCAAGAAGATGTCCAAAGCCCAGATGGAAGAGGAACTCCGGCGCCAGCGCGAGGCACGGCCCAAACAGCCTCCGCGTCTTCCTGACCTCTCGCCCCCACCGATCATTGAAACATTTGGCGGCGACGAAAACCGTGAGCCTGTTGCTGAAGTCAAGAGCCCTCTCTCACCTACTCAACCCCGTGAGTCTCGCAGCGCAATGAGTACTCCTGTGCCTCCCGACTATAACAATGACCCCTATGCGCGAACTGAGAGCATGACACACCGGGGCCGTTATAGCTATGCTAGCAGCTATGTCAGCACTGTCAACAACCCGCGCAGACTACGCCGCCGCAAGGACCCTACGCCGTACAAGTGAGTAAAGGTTGCATCCCGGATGCTGTCGAAAGCATGCTAACACCACATATAGTGTTCTTGTCATTGGGGCGCGCAACTCGGGCAAGACTTCGTTCCTTCATTTTCTCCGCAGGTCGTTGGCCCTGCCGCCGCATAAACACCCCTCGCGCTCGCCCGAAGAAGTGGAATATGATAGTCATAATCCCGCCAGCGAAGGATATACTTCCCACTACCTCGAGACCGAAATCGATGGCGAGCGTGTTGGTTTGACCCTATGGGACTCTCAGGGACTTGAGAAGAACGTCGTCGACATCCAGCTACGTGGTGTTACTGGTTTCCTAGAGAGTAAATTCGAAGAGACGTTGAACGAGGAGATGAAAGTCGTCCGTTCGCCAGGAGCCCGAGACACCCATATCCACTGTACTTTCTTGATTCTCGACCCGTCTCGACTGGATGAGAACATTGCGGCTGCGGAGAGGGCGGCTCAAGGAACGCCTCGTGCGTCTGATTCTAAGGTCCTAGGAGTGCTTGACGAGAATCTCGATCTTCAGGTGCTGCGAACTGTCATCGGCAAAACTACCGTCGTTCCGGTGATTAGCAAGGCCGATACCATCACTACCGCGCACATGGCATACCTCAGGAGGGCAGTATGGGACAGCCTGAAGAAGGCCAATGTTGACCCCCTTGAAGTCCTTACTCTTGAGGACTCGGAGGAATACACGTCTGAGGAAGATGAAGATGAGGACGAAGACGAGGAAGACATCGAGACCTCGAAAGCTGAAGGAGCCGCTACCGAAGCCAGAGACGGTGAGACAGAGCAGGAAGAGTCCGTGCCCAAGGTGATAGGATCCCCAACACAGCACAGTGAGGGCTCCCGCAAGGATTCCGTTTCTCAAGCGGCTACTCCCCTTCTTCCGTTCTCGATTCTATCGCCCGACAAGTACTCCTTGGCGGGCGATGGCCCCATCGGACGCAAGTTTCCTTGGGGATTCGCTGACCCGTACGACCCTGAGCACTGTGACTTCCTCAAGCTCAAGGACTCTGTGTTCAGCGACTGGCGATCGGAACTGCGTGAGGCTAGTCGTGTTATCTGGTATGAGCGCTGGAGAACTAGCCGCCTCAACCGCCACGATGCCATTGCTTCGCCGAAGCAAAAGTCGTTTGGCGGTAGAACAGGCCCTGATTTTGGACGTCGCCTACGGTAAGCAACGTCTGACACCACAGCCATTCGGCAATCTTTACTGCAAACCTCGACCTTTCACTTGATTCAATTATCCCCCTCTTCTCCGTTCCCCTTACTTCATGTGCGGTCTTGTCTTACTTCTGATCGCCTTGAGATGAACCGAGTCGATTTGTTGTTCATCGTCCCTGTTCGATCCAGCCTCCACGAATTCTGATAACGTCCGACTATAATGATACGCAGCGGTGCTCCAGGCGCTCAAATCGATAAAGCGGACTTGACTTGTTCGATGCGCGGCTCCAACGTATTGAGGTTCTGCATGCATAGCATAAGATACAAGCCTCGACACTTTGGGTTCGAACCCACAAGCTGTTGATCTGCACTATGGCCCGCTATCTAACTTGGATGCGCAGTTGCGAGATATGTCATATTTCACGTTTGCCCTTTTGTACTTTATTGGCCCCCTGCCTTTTTTATGTTCATTATACCACTTTCTGTTCTACTACTAGGATGTCACTGCAATATTCAAGTCCCTTTTACCCGTGCGTCTCCTTTTGTCTACTCCATGTCAATCAAAATTGGAAGCACTTGGCTTACCGTCGGTCAACTCCGTTCTCTCTTGCCTTGCTTCACCACATGTATTCTTGATTACATGCAGTCCAACTGTCGAGGAAATACCACAACCGCTTCTTTTCTAAGTCACAGCGTAATGCGTCGATATCATGACCCCCCGAAGCGCCCGGGCTCTTCCAGGTTATGAATCCTGCCACTGCAATCACCCGCTGATTTCAACGAGGAGTAGCCAATGGCGTGACACTTGGATACGGACTCGGGCTTGGAGGCAGCACTCGAATGGCCCGACAGTCTTGCTTGCAGGCCCCGGCTGATGCAATACGAGGACTAGCCTGGCCCCTTGTGTAGCCCATTCAGCTGAGTTTGCTGCTTGCCGTTACACATAACGCGCTAGAGCGTCACCAGTCACGGACCGTCCATACAAGCGATCGAGGCAGTGGAGCTAGTCTGCTCACCTGCAGTAGTAGGGCCTTGGGCGATGCATTGTAAGCTCCGGATGCGGCTCCAAATGGCTGAAGAGGGTGGCGACGATTGGAAATCGCACCGCGAAATCACTAGAATCGCAGACCGATTGCCGATGATGATTTATCTGCATCGGAAGCAGGTTTTGGTGGGAGGAGTTGCGGGCAGGAGATGTGTAATTGTGTAAGTGTGTTCAGCTGGGGGCGTTTTTTTGGTTCAGCCGCGCGATGGATCGAGATTGGATTCAGACAAAAGGTCGGTGATCGCGCTCGTCCCCTCATTTGGTTTCCAGTCTCGAGTCTAGACGCTCTTCCTGCCTGCTCTATTCTTCTTCTTCTTCCTTCTTGTTTTTTTTTCTCCCTTCCCTCCCATTTCTCTCTTGCTTGACCGCAGGGTTCGTGCGAATTTCGTTTGCCTGTAACCCCGCAGCTGTAGTACAAACGCACTGCACCAGCTTCTGCTGTCCGTCCTGGGCATCCTAGGTTGTTTGTGGAGAAGCTCTACTGCTCCAATATCGCCAGCTTTGTTAGGAATCTGTCTTGCTCGCCTACCGTTCCATGGACTCTCTCCAGGTCAACGACCCACGGTCGCGTGGGCGATCCAAGTCCCCCAGCGGCCGGACCCGTGATCGTTCCACGTCTCGCCAGCCATCTGTTGGCCCCGATCCCGCGAGAAAAAGCAATTTTCTATCCGCCGACCCCACGGACGAGAAGGCGAGCACGAGGTCCAGAAGTCGCGGCGCCAGCCCTCTACGCGGCTACCGCAAGACGTCCCGCTACGACTCCGATTCGGAGCACGAGCGTGATCGCCAGCGCGAGCGCGAACGCGAGGTCAGAGATTATACGCGCTCACGGACTGATCGAGACTATTACCTCTCCGATTCTGGGGATGGTCGTGATGCGACGAAACGGAGCAGCCAGCGGTATTCTCAGCCGCCGCCGCGGAGGTCTGCGCAGCTTGATACGTATTCGGATGAGGACATTTATTCGGACTCGGATGACGATTTGGCCTATGGCGATGTCCCTGGGAGTTTGGAACGTGGGTATTATGGACACAAGGGCAGTTCTAGTGCCTCGCGGCCCCTTGCGGAAAAGCCGCTCATGACGGGAGCGCTCAACCCTGGAACCAGCCCGAGGCATAGTCCCAGGCACAGCGCAGAGGCAGTGAGTGGCTATTCCAAGTATGCTTCTGGCCAGCCTGCGTACTCGGGACCGCCCTCTTCGCAGCCGCAAGCTACCTGGGCTGCTGTCCCAGATTGTGAGAAACCGGGCTATGTGCCACCGACAACAGGAGGGGAATCAATGCCTGGGGCGTTTCCGACTACGACGTCAGCACCACCTACGACGCAGTATGCAAGCCCGAGTACTGCACAGAATCCGTATACACAGTGGAATACGCAGCCCCCGATGTCTGGCGCACCATATGCTCCTCCCGTGAGCGCTGCGAGCCATCAACGCAGCGCATCCGGAGATCCCAACCTCTATGCGCAACCGGCTGCTTTCCAGTATGCGCAAATTGATCCCAATGTGCGGTATTCCGCCAAGCCCGCGACGGCAAGCACGTATTCGACACCTTCAAAGCCCGCTGTACAGACCAGCGAGGGTCAGTACGGCGGAGTCAGGTACACTACAGCTCCTCAGCACTCGACTACTGCTACAAGTGGACACCAGTTTGTCGAGATTGCACCGGGAAGTCGACACACGCGTCCGCATAGTCTCAGCGTTTCGACTGGCAACAGCTTAGGTGTTGGAGGCCCTGACCCTCACAACCCACCACCTGCCAGCCCGTTGCTTGAGGCGTACAAAGGGACCTACCAAAGCATATCTCCTATGCCGTCACCGATCCTCATAGCACCTAGAGACGAAGACATCTCCGACTTCGAGCCGCTGGACAACAGCACGGATAGCGAACGGCGAAGAAGGCGTAAGTCGAGGAAATCCAAAGACGAGGTAGGCCTAAAGGAGCCTACGGGCGATCGCTCCAAACGAGGGAGCAGCCGTATACGACATGGCCGCCACGATTCCAAAGACTCCAGGGGCGGCGGCCGCGACTCTCTCGCTATGATACCCTCTAGCAGCGACCGACGAAAGGAGGTATCATTCTACGACGCCACAGACGACGCCCTAGCACTCCGCGACGCGCTCTCCCACGCCCGAAACATCGACACAAAAACTTTAACCCAGATCCTCCCCCACCTAACAAATCACGAGATGCTCGACCTCCGAAAAGAATACAAGAAGCACGTCAAAATCCACGGCAAGGGCGTCAACCTCGCCAAGCACATCCGCGTCAAGCTGGGCAACAGCTCCTTCGGCAAAGTCTGCTACGCAACTGCCCTTGGCCGCTGGGAGTCCGAGGCCTTCTGGGCAAACTGCTACTACCAATCCGGCTCGTCCCGCCGCGAACTCCTCATCGAGTCCCTCTTCGGCCGCAGCAACGGCGAGATGCGCGAGATCAAGGAGTCTTTCAAGGACTCGCGGTACGTCGACAGCTTGGAGAAGTGCATGAAGGCCGAGCTGAAAGCCGATAAATTCCGCACGGCGGTTCTGCTTGCTCTCGAGGAGAGCAGGCAGAGCGAGCGCGATACCGTCGATGCGGAGCTCGTCCATCGCGACGTCCAGGCTCTCCATGCAGCTCTCGTTTCACGGAACGGTGGCGAGACGGCAATGATTTATATTATTGTGCGCCGGAGCGACTCGCATCTACGAGAGGTCCTCCGTGCCTACGAGAAGATCTACCAGCGGAACTTTGCGCGGGAGATGATTCAGAAGTCGCAGAATCTTGTTGTATGTTCTCTTCTTCAGTTCCTCTACTTTGTTCTCTGCTAACTCACTTCGATAGGGCGAAACCCTAGCGCATATTCTCAACGGAGCAATCAACCGGCCTATGCGCGACGCCTTGCTTCTACATCAGGCTCTTCGGGAGTCAAGGTCCGGTAGGGAGAGGTCGGAGTTGTTGATCTCTCGGCTCGTTCGTCTCCATTGGGAACCGAGGCATCTTGAAAATGTCAAGGTCGAGTATCGGCGCCGGTATGGAGAGCGCCTGGAGGAGGCTATTGCGGAGGAAATTCTACCGAGTAGTGGGGGAAGTGAGTGGGGGGAGTTCTGTATTCAGCTGGCGCAGAGCTCAAAGACGCATGCTGCGAAGGGTTGAATCTGAGCAATCTATAGATGTCGTTGGTTCGTATTGGAAATGATTGGGTGCTGCGATACACTTTTTTTCTGATCTTTGTTTTGGCTTAATTTCAGGGTATGGAGGCAACCTGCGTGACGAGTTATGAGATTTCGGACGGGCCATTTCTGGATATTTCTGCGATTTCCCAGAGTATGGATAAAACATGGGCGGAGAATACAAATCGGACGTTATTTGCTCTTTCTATCGCATCAGTGATACCTAAACGGAGATAGAAGACTCGGAATCTCACGGAAATTGCAGTCAGTGTTACGATATGTCCTTTTCAAGTCAACTGACAGGGATACCGAGTTTTGAGGTACGACACCATGAAATGATCCGTGTACAAAATACACCGTGCCGTGTACCACGTCAAGCAGCAGCAGCTGGTGCGAGTTGAAAGACCTCTGGCGTATAACTGCTGCGATGCCGAAGCATAACCTTTTTATAGTTTGGAGGCTCCGGTGCCAGCGTATAAGCACTAACCGAACCCTGGTTCGCTATGTTGTGAGAGGAGTCAGCACGCAGTATTCGCCTATCTACGACCTCGGGGGCTGGGCACCAAGTTCTGATTGCCCCATGTCCTCCGTTACCTCTGTACCTGCGTGGATGACAAGACCTATCAGCTGCCGTGGCCAGCCAGATTCGAGATCGTCCCCAGCCTGTTCGCCCGGCGTCATCATTATTCATTCGTCTCACTGCAAAACCCATAAAAGACCCTCGCGTTTTTACCGGCCATGCTTATGCTTTTTTGGCGGCCGTGAAAATTGCGACATCCGTGGACGAGGATATACCCCAAGCCGAAGGAGCGATAAGCATTGTGAGAAGTCCACGTCAGCCTGTCAGGGCCTCCGCAGTTCGAATCGAACCTGGCGGATTGCTTGGCTGGGCTGGGTCATGCACGGATCTGCAATGGTACCATTAGGACGGAGTACGGAGTAAGTCTGCTGTGATGTATGCCGGTCCTGTGATGTACTCCGTACATAGGAGGGGTTGAAGTTCGGGGCAGCCACTAACTTTGAAGGGTGGAAACGGTCACACAGCACAGGCACGGGTTTACAGATAGCCAACCATTCTGTGCCCAAACACTGACTCGGCCAGTTGGTTACCAGGCTGACGTTGCAGCGCAGGGAAGCCAAGAAAGAGCATGGGAAATGGGAGACATGAGGGCAATATTGGTTCCCGTCTCACATGATCCTATACCTCGATGGTCACTCCGACGAGGGAGGTTCAGGGCCGGTGTTGTGGGTAATCCTTGATGTGAGAGGGTGTGTGCAGGCTTGAAGATGAAGATCGCTTGATCGCTCAAGGCGTTCCGACTCGTGGGATGGCACCTTCCTTACTAGGCACTCTCCACTCCCACGTTTTCCTAGGTTGTACCCTCTGTCTGATTCCTCTATTTTGTTCCAGTCCCTTCTTCTTTCTGCTCTGAAAGTCAACCTTGATTCTTGCTCTAACTCTCCGAGAGCTGCCAGTTGTGTCCGTTACCGAGGCTTATCACGGCGAGTGACTTTGATGACGGCAGAACAGGTTCACCTTTGTTTGATCTAGCTCTATGCTCGCTAGCTGGAGCTTACTTCTATGCTTGTCTGCTATAGGCTCTGACGCCCTTCTGAGTTGATCCTTCCCCGGTCAGTCCCATTCCAAATCACTCTGCGGAGTAGCGGTGGAGCATAAAAAGAAATACTAATTGATTGTTTCCTATAGGGACCGCATCTACTTTGTGGAGTAAACACCTACTCTCACATCCCTGCAATTCCCCGTTTGATTGGCCATTGTCTCTTGTTTCCCTCGCTGTATAGTGTCGACCGCATGAGCCGGTGCAGATAGAATAACCGGTCAGACGACATTACTCGAGAAAGTTATGCCTACGCATGTGCAGATGCTTTGCCTCGAGTCCTCGAGAGTCTAGACAGAACATTCCACATGCTGACTACTGACTGTTGGCTCCTAGACTCCTATAAAGAATCCTTCATCCGCCTGGAATGCGAGATCTACCCACTGTAGAGCCGTACCCAGCATTCCGCTACCCATTCATTCCCAAGGGCCATATTATTGTTCGACTTTTTGTCACTCCTTGAGCTTGCTTTATTATCTCTCTGGTTGCTAGATCTTCCGGGTCACAGTCGTTAAAAGGATGTTACATGGCTGATTATCAGCTATCCAGATCATCATGCACTTCTTTTCATTAGGCTTCCTGTGCGCATCCCTGATTGCCCTCACAAATGCCCAATCAACCTTCTCCCCGGCTCGCCCTCCGGCTCTACCTCTAGCGGTCAAATCCCCTTATCTGAGTACCTGGCTATCTGCCGGGAGAGACGGTGGCAATGGAGGCTATCTTGCAGGGGAATGGCCAACATTTTGGGAGTGAGTCTTCTGGAATCCGAGACCACTGACACTGAGAATTGATCTTTGAAACAGAGGTCAGGTAACAGGATGGGCTGGTCTAGTCCGTGTTGATGGTCAAGTCTACACGTGGATGGGACTTCCAGGCTCAACCACTGTGAATCAAACTGCGTATGAGTACACTTCGACGAAAAGCATCTTCACCATGCACGTTGGTGATGCGGTAGAGATGAAGATAACCTTTCTCTCACCAATTACGCCAAACGATCTTCGACGACAGTCACTTGTGTTTTCGTATCTTGATGTGAGTGTCACCTCACTCGACGGAAAGTCCCACAGTGTACAGCTGTACGCCGATATCTCAGCTGGTGAGTTCTGCCATATCTTCAGCCAAGTCAACAGTGGTTATTGACTGTCTTCTAGAGTTTGTGTCTGGCGACCGCTCTGCCATAGCACAATGGGACTACGGTGTAACTAGTGGCGGCGTTGCCTATCACAAAGTCCACCGTCAAACGCCGCTCCTCTTTTCTGAGAATAGAGATCAAGCGGAATGGGGCGACTGGTACTGGGCAACCGACAGTGGCCCTGGGCTCACTTATCAAGCTGGGCCAGATGTCGATGTTCGAGGAGCTTTCTCGAGTAGCGGGAGACTCAGCAATAGCAACGACGCCAACTATAGGGCGATCTCGAACAACTGGCCAGTATTCGGGTTTGCTCATGACCTTGGATCTATCAGCTCATCCACTAGTGCTCTTTTTTCAATAGGCCTGACCCAGTCCCAAGCTATTCAGTATGCTGGGAGTTCTTCTACTCTATCGCCAGTGCCGTCCCTATGGACAAGTTACTTCAACACTGCGCTCGATGCCGTGAGTCCTCTCTCCGTGGTATCAAAATGCTTTGAAGTTGTTAACAAAGTCTGTCTCAGCTCAATTTCTTTCATCATGACTATCAGGAAGCAAACTCCCTCTCCTCAGATCTTGATCAGCGCATCGCTCAAGATTCCATTGCCGCTGCTGGCCAGGACTACCTTACCATCACATCCCTCAGCATTCGCCAAGCGTTTGCTGCAACTCAGCTTTGTGGGCCAGCGGACAACCCCTATCTCTTCATGAAAGAGATCTCTTCCAATGGCAACATGAACACAGTGGACGTGATCTTCCCTGCTCATCCCGTTTTCTTATACACCAATCCCGAACTGCTCAAGCTTCTCCTGCGACCTCATTTTGAGATCCAGGAATCCGGCCATTATCCCAACTCCTACGCCATGCACGATATTGGGGCTCATTATCCCAATGCTACGGGTCATCTGGACGGGAATGATGAGCCAATGCCACTGGAAGAGTGTGGTAATATGATTATCATGGCTCTAGCATATGCGCAGAAGGCAAACGACACCGCGTACCTCGAAACTCACTTTACGATATTGAGGCAATGGGCGAACTACTTGATTGAGGATTCTCTTTATCCGGCCAACCAAATATCCACAGACGATTTTGCGGGCTCATTGGCGTATGTTCCACCGATTTACAGATCTTATTGAGTCAGCTAACAGCAGATCTAGGAACCAGACGAATCTTGCCCTCAAGGGCATTATTGGCATTGAGGCCATGTCGGTCATCGCCGGTTTAGCGGTCGACTCTGAGGATGCGAACAACCTTACCAATTACGCTCACGATTATATCGAAACATGGCAGACTTTGGGCATATCACGTAGTGCAGCCCAGCCGCACACGACATTGTCATATGGGTCGGACAGCTCCCATGGTTTGTAACTCCCAAGACGTAGCGTTTGTGCAATACTGATTGTTTCAAGGCCTTTTGTACAATCTCTACGCTGATCGTGAGCTGGGTTTGAACCTGGTTCCGCAGTCCGTGTACGACATGCAAAGCAGTTTCTACCCAACAATCCAGGGTCAATTTGGAGTGCCACTGGATACCCGGCACCAATACACGAAGGGTATGTTGCCATTGACCTGTCACTGAGGGAGACTGACGATATGACTAGCTGATTGGGAGCTCTTCACGGCGGCGGTCGCATCAACGAGCACACGAGACATGTTCATCAGACTTCTTGCCAACTGGATAAACCAAACGCCCACAAACCGCGCACTTACTGACCTCTACGATACTACGACTGGGGGGTAAGTGTTTTGGCCCTAGAATTTTGAAGTACTCTACTGATTCAACCAGCTATCCATCAGTAGTCTTTGTTGCCCGGCCTGTCATGGGAGGGGCTTTTGCTTTGTTGCTTCTGGATGGAAATTCTTGAGCTTAGGTATTTGCACACCTTACTGTTAGACAGAGCTAGTTAGCCGATAGGCTAGCTAAGTGGTTTATCGTTGACCACTTGAGTGACTGTTATCTATGGCCGTGTTTAGATATGTAACATGTTGTGGCTGTATATAGCATCGGTTGCATCTGGATAGGGGAATGCTCTGGAAATGCAGATCTGTACGGCTTGTTTCAGATACCGGCCAGTGTACCTACCTTTAAGTCTGATAGAAAAGCAATAAGTGACGTGATGATAAGATGCTGTCAGGCACAGACAGGACCTAACCGGCACTTCGTCATCATGTCGCTTATCAAACGCTATTGACGTGCAACTTATAGGTCGCCAGTCCTAAGGTCACCCAGACTCTCGTCTCCAGTCTGTTGCTCAGGGGCATCCCATGAGTCAAAAGCGCGGATCAAATCTGTGATACTCAGTCAGCTATTTGGACCACGTACTTAAGGATCAGAAAAAAAAAACTTACCATAATACAACATCATTGCCTCGAGGTGGGCATCGATGCCGACTCGCTCATCCACGGTGTGGATATTCAAGGCCCGGCCCTCGCGCGCGGGACTCCAGCGGTAGATATTCTTAGATAGATTCCAGTATAGCCTGGTATCGGTGTTGCCGGTCGTGATATCACCGCCGACAACGACGGTCTTGCCTTCAAGGCTCGGAACGGACTCGAAGACAGAGCGGGTGACACCGGCAAAGCGCGCCCAGACAGGGCTGGTCTCTATATCAGTAGGGCTGACGGGGGCAGGCTGGAGAGGAGAGTTCAGGGTCGATAGTGAAAGATGACCGCTGCTTGCCGCATCAATGACGGGTTCGTCCTCGGTGTCGGAGAATCTCGACCAGGTCAGATTGAACTTCTCCACGATAGGCTCTATTATCTTCTGTGCCCGCTCCTGGAGCAGTTCTGGAGTTTGATGGAGCGCAATACGATAGTTCACGACGGCGTTGATTTTCTCCGGAAGCGCGTTGCTCTTGATGCCTCCGTTGAAAATATCCGCTGCCTGGGAGGATTGGAGAGTAAACCGAACGCTTTGACCACGAGACTCGGCGATTGCTTCGGCTGTCGCTGCCTGGTCGTCTGAGTTCAGCGCTGACGCAAGCCAGTCCTCCACGTATTTCGGAGAATGAGCGACTTGACACTCGAAGACTTGGCGAGAAGGATGGCTAGACCCGAGGATTGGTTCGAAAACATCCAGCTCGGTGTTCTCCAGTTTGTAGATAATCTCAGACATTATCCCGACACCAGTGTGCTTTGGTGGAACGGAACTATGACCACCAGGGACGGAGAGGTCAATAACGATGGTGACGGCACCCTTTTCACCTACATCTGGGAGAGCATAAATCACACTCTCGTCTTCGACTGTTTCGCCAGTGGGGGATAATGAACGGAGAGTCGTGAGACCGCCTCCTCCTTCGTCTAGGATGAGCTCCACTCCATCTTTTCCATACCTCTCCTCCAAAACTGGTGCGATGCGCGCAGCACCAATGTAGCCTTGTGCCTCTTCATCGAAGCCAAATGCCAGAACAATAGGTCGAGAGGGTGTCCAGTCTTGACTCAGGAGATCCTCGACGACAGAGAGAAGACCGATAAGGCCGTTCTTGCAGTCGCTGCTTCCCCGTCCCCAAAGGAACTCACCATCAAAGTATCCAGAGAATGGAGGGTGCGTCCAATCTGAGGCGTCGTTGATGGGAACGACATCTTGATGAGCTGTGAAGAGAAGTGGCTTTCTCTTCCCGGCAGTCTCTGATGTGGGGTCAAGGGTTATGATCAGGTTGAAGCGGTTGACGTGCTCGATATTTGCCTTGGAGTAGCTGTCTAAAGTCAGTTTTGCGAGAAAGAACACGATTGCTCTGGGAACAATTACACAAGGGGAAAGAGCTCCGCAAGAAGCTTGTGGAAGTCAACGAAAGGCACAAAGGCCTCGTCGTCAGGATCGATCATAGAGTCCGTAATTTGAGTTGGGATTTGAACGGCCTTGGAAAGCCTTTCGACCTGACGCTGAAGGATTGTTCCATTCTGGACGTATTGGACCGATGGGAACAGGCCGTTGTCTTCGGGAAAGACCTTTTCAGCGAGAGGGCAGACCTTCTTATCTGCAGTCGAGGCGCTAAGAATCTGCTGCGGGGAAAGAGGAATTGTGAAGGCATCTGCGTGGGAAAGAAGGCTGAAGCCAATTGCTAGAGGGGTGAATGGGGACCGCATTTTGGCGCCCTAGAGCAGCTTTGATATCGCTGTGAGCGGTTGAAGAAGGAAGAGGAAGAGGAAGAGGTTGGGAGGAGGATGGTTTGTAAAGTGACATCGGAGGTGTGGGGTAGGCAAGATTTGGGGTAGATAACGCCATCTCGTAGATGAGATACCGACGAATGGTTCACAGCTCGACGAATCCCTCTGCAGAGGTACATCTACAGCTAATAGAATCAATATAACAGTTGTATAGTCGTATCCTGCTACCGGGTGGTCTGCCCGGCCTCATTGACCAGGGCAAGCTGTGAGCCGCGGCTCGTCGGTTCAGCTCCTGCCAATGCTTAAATACCCCTGGCTCAGCCACCTGTAATATCCAGAGCCTTGTTTATCCTCGATACGTCACATCAAGATTGTGTGCAAAATGCCATTCAAAACGTGGCTAACGGAGACCCTTGGGATTAAGGTCCCCATCGTACAAGGAGGTGAGGCCTTTCCGTGGTCCTTATCAAGACGTACTAATTCCGCAGGAATGATGTGGGTTGGTCGCGCTGGTGAGTTCGCCGCAGCGATTAGACTTCAGGCGTTGACTTCAAGAAGACATGACTTCTGCCGTTGCGAACGCTGGTGGTCTTGGGTTCTTGGTATGGAACTCGGCCGCTTATCGATGGACAGTCCTCTAATGGGTTAGATAGACAGCCCTAACTCAATCATCACCAGACGCCCTCCGAGCAGAGATTCGTCGCTGTCGGAGCATGACAGACAAACCGGTATTTCTGGGACAATTCTGGGAAAGAAATATGTCGCAAACCTGATCCAGCGTCTCTAGTTCGGCGTCAACATCACCATGCTTCCTGCCATGAAAGCCCCCGACTACCTGGGCTATGCTAAGGCCGCCGTCGAAGAAGATATCAAGATCATTGAGACTGCCGGAAACCCTGAGCCTATTCTCAATTACCTGAAGAGTAACGGTGTGATCGTCATTCATAAGTGCGTTTCGCTCGGACATGCATTGAAAGCGCAGGCGAAAGGTGTGGACTGCATCTCCATCGACGGGTGAGTGAGCCTTCAATCGCATTTTTGGCGGCTGGTTTACAACTGACATGAGTGGTAGTATTGAGTGGTACGTTTGCCTTTCGAGCCCTAGATATCTAGGCGGCGACTAACATGGGAACTTTTCGCAGCGCCGGCCACGGAGGCGAATGTAGGTGTCTACCTGTCTTGACCGAAGGTGAAAATCTGACTGGCCGAATTAGACGATATCACATCTATGATCCTCCTCGGAAGGTGCGCTCAGGAGTTGAAGATCCCATTCATAGCATCTGGCGGTTTTTGCGACGGCAAGGGACTGGCCACTGCTCTTTTCTTGGGAGCGCAAGGGTATGATCACGCTCGCTAGAAAATGCTCTCTGCTTATATGATCAGGATCAACATGGGCACTCGCTGGATGTGCACCGTCGAAGCTCCGATTCATCAGAATGTCAAGGAGGCGATCGTCAATATGGACGAGAACGGCACGATCCTCGTCCTTCGAAAATTCCGCAATACAACTCGATTAGCCCGGGTAAGATTTGCCCACCAGTTGGAATACTTCCATGTGCTGATTTTTGAATAGAACGAGGTCACATTAGAGGTCCATAAGATTGAGAACAGCAAGCTAGACCCTCAGTTTCAAGAAGTGGCTCACCTTATGTCTGGTGCTCGAGGAAGGAACGTATACGAGACTGGAGACATTGACGCCGGAGTTTGGTCTGTAGGTCTTGCGGCTGGGTTGATCAAGTCCATTCCCACATGCGAGGAACTCGCCCGTACCATTGAGAAGGAGGCTGTCGAGTCCCTGTCAAAGGCTTCTAGTCTGTATACCAACCGCGCCAGCCTTTGAAGGGCTAAAACGAGTTGGTCGGGAAAAGATGTATGTGAGAAATAAATCTGTCTCATCTATACTCACTTGTTAAGACTCCAACTCGTCGTGCTTTGAGAATCTGTGTCCAACGAGAGATGTAGATGATACCCAAGGCCTCAATATCCTGCCCAGGGTCGCCAGTGCATCACCCCGCCTCCTATCCATGTTCATGGAGAATCTCCAGACACAAAGACCGGTACTGAGCGTAGATCATTGGGGGATATTCTGTTCTCACATGCTTGTTTCATACTTTATCGTAGTTTGTGACCGCACGGTATAGTCGTGGAACTCCTCTCCCAATGTGACCGCTCATAACTGAAAGCGCGCTATCTCGCAGAGCAGGAGCCATGATTGAGATGCCATCCCTCCTTCTCTGAGTTGACTGGGTCAAACTCCCAAGTAGTCCTTCCCAATAGTATCTGCGCATCTGAACCTAATTCAAGAGTTGCTCGGTTCGGCCGAGGTTCCAACAATTCCCATGACCTTCCGCCAAGATCTGCACTCGTGGAGGACGATCATATCGCATACTCCGGAGTATTCCCCGAGCCACGCGGCAGCGCAAGGTCAGTATTAATGCACACTTTCGCTCCTCAAACTTTATGCCGGCAACCTGCTTCGCCAAGAGGCCGCAGAGCTAGGGCTAATTATGCCCAAGTGGATTCGTGCCAGCGGACTCGTCATCGTGAGCGATTTTGCTGCCGTCCGTCATTGTACTCGGTAGCGATGCTCGCTGCGCCTTGCCTGTCGAAGCAGTCAGGATCTCGAGACCTTGATCGAGGGTGCCAATTCAAGAGAGCCTTTAGTGGATTCTGTTCGGTTGGAAACGTTGCATATTGCAAAGCGAACTGTCACCTTGTGGGAAGGCAAAACCCCGTGACGTTGTGCGACCAGCCAAAAGTCCCTAGATGCCGGACCCTCGCAGTTTTCTCGGGCACCAAAGGCTATCACTATTTGGAATAAGGCGTCTGCAAGGCTCGTTTTCGCATTATTATTGCATCTGAAAATCGGACGTTCAGAATCATCCTCGGCTCCCCTTGTTTGACAGATACACCTGAATCAATAGCGGTCGATCCGTGACATCATCAGGGCTGAAACGCACCATTCAAATTCCACCGGAGTTTCCTCGCTGAGCCCAATTTCGAACCGACCCATCAGCGTCCCCGAAGCGAGAAACACTTCCCCCGAACGGCTTCGAGAAAGTGTGGAACGGTGGAGCACGAACCGGTTCGAGTTTGGCGCTGGGGCATGTCTGGAGATCGCTCGTGTTTCAGACTGCGATAATGATGCCAACGGGCCCAAGGGGGCGGATCCAATTCCATGGGGATAACCAGAGGGGTTCGGGAATTGAAGCTGGTGGGGGTGTTGACCTCCTGCGAAATGCGAATAATGCGATCCCATGCCATGCCTGTCCTGGTTCCTGAAAATTGGTAGGTAACGGTCCACTATTAAATATGGCAGTTCGTCCTCTCGACGTCGAATCTGAGGTTTCGTTTGACTGAGTTTTGCTTTCGCTTTCAACCTCTACCAACTCGCCTACTCCATCTACTCTTCATTCTTTATATACCGAGACGTTCTCGCTTCCGCTCCTTCAATCTATACCAAAACTACACAAAATGCATATCTCCAAGACCCTCATCCCGCTCGCCCTCCTGGCCCCCCTAGCTGCCGCTATTCCCGACGATGGGAGCTTACTAGGGATCCTCACGGCCGACGACTCGTCCCCAGAGTCCTCCTACAGCGTCAACCCAACCGTCGCCGAAACCGCCGTCGGCGCGCCTGTCGGCGTCAGCGGGCCTGTCGCAACTAGCAGCTCTTCTGCTGAGGACGAGTCCTCGAGTACCAGCACGGATTCCAGCCCTACAAGCACCACCACCAGCAGCGCTGAACCAGAGACGGCCGAGGACGCAGCAACCAGCACTACGACGTCAATCCCTACGAACATCCTCACGGCCATCGACTCGGACCCCACAGGTTCCGCCGTTGGGTCACTGACCACCGTGATTGGCACCGCTACCGCTACGGCCCAGCAGCAATCAGGCTCGCTTGCCGCCGAGACCTCGTCTTCCGCTGCGACTGCGACTTCCTCTGGCGAAGACGAGGGTAGTGCTGCGTCCCCGACACCGACGGATGATGCCGCGGCTGCTGTGCTTGGGAGTCCCGCTTCGATGCTGGGGGCTGTTCTGCTCTCGCTGGCTATTCGTCTGTTCTAGATTCAGGCTTGCCGCTGTTGCACCTGCGCTGTACTAGGTTGGCATCGCAGAGCTGGAGATAGCTTCTGGCGTGGGGCGCTCTCGATATCGCTGGACGATCCGACATCGAGACTTAATTCTTAATTGGACCAGGGCAAGTCGCCCTGGGCATTCGTTACTTTACATACTCATCTACTATACCTGCCTGCCCCTCTAGGTAGCTTACTACAAGATACCACAATCGTTATCCGTATTCGGAACTGACTTCAAAACTGTGAGACATTTGCATTCCAAGAATAAGACCCGAAAAGAATTAGAGTATTAAGTAGCATCTGCATCATCAGACTAGGTATTAGGTGCCAAAAAAACACATAACCGAAATAGCCTAGCGCGTTGCCCTTAACGCTTTGAGTTATAGGCATCCATATCATGCGGCAGGACAGTTACTCCCCGCTCCAAAAGGTTCTTGATGTCCTTTTCTTTCATAGTCACATATTTGAGGTAATCAGGGATGGGAATTTCGTCACTATATCATGTCAGTAAGCAAAGACCACAGACTGCACTTGGAGATACCCACCGATAATATGATATTTTCATATTTCGAGCTCGATCTTTAAATGCCACCTGGTCCCGGCCTTCAATGCGCACTTCGCCTGGTTTGGCAGACTGTGCTTTGTTTTCCTTCTCTATTGATGACCACTTATGACCAAGATCCTTCATTAATCGTATGAGTCTGTTGTCTTCAGCCTCCGTCCAACTACTCCGTGCTCTGGATGTGTATCGAGCGGTGGAAGGTTGGGAGATGATCGTCGGGTGGAGCACTATTCTTCGCCGTACTGGGCGTAGAGGCTCCTCTACAACATCGTCTTGGTGGGCATCAGCGCTGGCTTCCCTTTGTGTCGCCGCCACTTCCAGCCGCGGCTGCTTGCTTCTCCGCTGTTCTGGTGGCTTCTCCGCTCGCCGATGCTCGCCATTCATTGGACGAATATCAGAATCGAAGTCGGAACCGTCGCCATCGGAATCCGTCTCGGTACTCGCTCGCGCACGCTTTCGAGATGCACGCTGCTCAACGCGTGTAACGGCGCTTTGAGAGTCATTGTCTCGAATCGGCGAAATCCGCGCGGCGTCTCGTTGGCGGTCGATGAATCGTGAATTCACGCTGCGGCTAGGACCCGATGTGGGCTGCACAGAAGTACCACGCTTGGCTGTTTCCCATACTCTCTGACTCAGTGGCACTTCTCCTGTCCTTTGAGCGGTAGAGGTTGGCTCTCGGCGCCAAGGCGTACTTCTGGGAACGACCGAAGGGCTGCGGGATCTCTCTATCTGACTGTTCTCGTCTCCGTTGGCAAGCTCTGAATCATCTCCAATATCGATCTCCGGTTCCTCAGGCACCAAAGTCGGTTCTTCATCGAAAGACGGTACACGCCTATGAGAGATATCTTGCTGGACTGGGCGGCTTGACGGTAATGCTGAGGAACCGTGGGGACCGTCAACACCAGACTGCTCTTGGACAATATCAGGTTGCCCGAGATTTTCAGAGGGTTCAGTTCCTGTTCGGAGGCGCTCTTGTCTTTGTGCGACACGTTGAATAGCGATGGAGTTCAAGTATGAACTGCAAAGATGTTAGCAAAGTTGACTCATCCTAGGGTAACAACTTACGGCCTGGAAGAGCGTCTCCGCTGCGTATCCCCACGATCAAGCCGAGACTCAGGCTGCTGTTGTTCTGGCTCGGGCTCGGGCTCGGGCAGCGCAAATGTTTCTTGCGGGACGTTCTCCTGTCGCGTCGTCTGCTCATCGGCTTCCCGGGTTTCACCAGTTCTTTCGACCTCTGAGCCTCCCAACGTGCTGGTTAAACTGGAGTTTTTCGCATTAAAAAACATGTAGTGGACAGTTTGCGTGCTCATGCGCTGTTGCAGCTCCGCGTAGATTTCTTCTGTTCGTTTGCGGACCCAGTGGGCTGAGTGTAGGACAAACCGTTTCCAGCGATAGTCCTCTTTCAATTCATTGACGTCAAACTTCCCATCCTGCTCGACCAGAAGAATGTCATTGTAGCGCTTCTGAACGTCATCCATATATTGTGCGGGAAGTGTACCATCGGCCTTGTTGCTGAAATTTGGCAAATTGAAACCTCGCATCGGCGATTTGCGAGACAATGTTTTGAAGAAGCAAAGTTTGACAGCATGCCTGGCGTTGAACTTGGAATCTTCCTGCTTTTCTTCTAAATGCATAATCAGAGACTGAGTGCGAATTGACAACGCGAGGTCAAAGGTCTCCTTTTCTAGAACACTTTCCCCGGGCGCTTTGTCCTGTCCAGCGCCAACTAAGCCAGTCATGAAAGGCCGAGGGAACAATTTCTCAATGTTACGGATCGCCCGTTTCCGTGAGTCTGGATTGGTGCCTGCCAGAAGTATCTCAAGTGCAAAGCGAGCGCAGTTTGCCATTTGCACGATAGGATCCGGGCTCCAGTCCTCAAAGTCCTCACGTCTGCTCGCAAGGACGGGGGAGAATATACGATCAATACCGTCGAGGTCGATGTAGGTCTGGTTACTGAAGATTTTCATGTCTCCATCGAGATTCTTGATTAACCGGAGCAAGCGTTTGCTTTGGGTATTTTTGGGATCGCTGAGCAGTTCGGCCTTATTGACGATCGTTGCCGGGCTGGCCTTGGTAGGTGCAAGGAAATCCAGCACACCTTTTCCGGTTCGTTCAAGGTCCGGCAATGCCTCCAGCATCATCTCTGGGTCAAGGTCTGTCTCAGAGTCCGGTATGAAAGTTGTCCCTGTGATGTCCGCGACATCGGGCTCGGGTGTGACTGCACTTCCATCGCGAGCGCCCGTTTGATCAAGCGTTCTGGAGGGAGATTGTTCGACCACGGGGTCAAGGACTGTTGGAATCTGGGATAAGCAAGACCGTAATAGATAAGAAAGAAGGGAAGGGGGATGTAATTGTAAGTGATGGAAGAATGGTAGGAAAGCGAGGCGAAGGACCGTGTCCCAATCGGGACGCGATCGAGGTAAACAAAACAAGCTCAAGAGCTCAGAGCCACGTACCCTTGCTCGGGTTCCTCATACTCGGTATCACATTTAGCCTGTTAGAGCTGATATGAAGCCCATCAACTTCACGGCTTCGACTTCTCGTCACACGCCTGCGGCTTGGTGATCCTTTGAATTTGGAGAGAAGAGCTTGCCGTTCTCGCGACGAGGATCGCGACCGATGGCGAGTGCGTGATGACATGATTTAGGCCGTCACCGAAGCGAGGGATGCCAAGTATAAATGCAGTGGTTGGCAAACGATGGAATATCGCGAGGACTTTGATGGTTTGATAAAAGAAACGCTCAAGCACTATCAGCGATGCTGAGTGTTGAGGAGAAAAAGAGAGGTCGGTCTGGCGGGAAGGGAGAAGGGGCGGTGATCGAGCTTGTCTTGGCGTTGAGTTGCCCCCGGGGGGAAGGGCCAAATGCGGGTGGTCCGATAATTCTTATGGATTGCTAGGGTTAGGGTTAGGGTTACCCCAATGGTTACCCCAATGGTTACTCCTAGGGTTCTAGGGTTGCAGGGTTCTGGTTAGGGTTCCAGGCTCTTAACATTTGTACAGGTCATCAACCATCATTGACAGACAAATACAGATGCATTTGTACATAAGATCGCAATGCATTACAATATATCCATCCCTAAATTGAGTCTTGAGTCTATTGGCCTGACCTACAATACACGAGAGGGGCTTACGTTCGATCAAGAACGCATTACTACTAGTTGCCCTGACCATACCTGCCTACTTACCAACCAACTTTCCAAGTGAATTGAAGTGTGCTTGAAAGATAGTTTATTCTCATACTCTACATTATTAGATCTAGTCCACATCGTACAATTGCCCAAGATGACCGACTCTAAAACAACGCCTCCAGCAAATAGATACAACCAAAAATCAAGAAAGCCGCAGCGCCGCCAAGTGTCACTTCGATAGATTAGCCACACACTCAAGTCTTGCGAACAGGGAATTGCTTGGGAATACATACCAACACGCATGCTGACTTTACCAGCAATAGCACTGCCCCCAATGACTGCCGCTGCGGTACAAAGACCGTGTCCGGTAATGGCGCCAATGGTTACAAACCAGTAATCTTGTCCTGCAGCCATGGCAATTGTCGCGATTTGACTGCGATCACCCCACTCGCCGAGGAAGGTCATGACAAATGTCTGCACCCAAGCGGGGCTGAGGAGAAGGGAGAACAAGTTGTTCATGCCAACAAGAAGATCATTCCACCTCTGGCTGGGGCGAGGCGACGACCCGCGAGATGAAGAGGAAGACAAGCTTTCTGGAGGCGAGGGAAGACGATTCGCAGATGAGCGGGGTGTGCGTCCCAGTCGTCCGGCTTCCAAGGAATGCGGTGTGATCGATGAACGGCGGCGGCTCATCCGTAGTTGCTCGTGCTCCTTCTCTTCCAGCTCCTGTTCGACTTCCCTCATCTCCTCGCCGACACCCTCATCAGGCGACATCTCCCGACCTTCCTTCAACATCTTCGCGCCGAAGATAAAAAACAAGACAGCTGCGAGAAACTTTGTGAACGTCTTGGGGATCAAGGTGGGAACGGCGTGACCGAGGATCGCGGAGAGTACAGTCATGCCAATCAACGCGGAGAACGCCGCAGAGAAAACAAGCAGTCGCGGATGTCTCATGGCCATAAGAGCGGCCACGAGGAATGTCTTATCACCGATCTCGGAAACAACGATCATGGTAAAAGAGAATAGGAGGGAATGGAATGCGTCGCGTTCGCCCTCGGGAAGCCCTTCGGTGGCAGTCGTTGAAGATCCTTCTTCATCCAAGCCGACCGGGCTATCTTTGACGGTAGTCGGGGATTTGGGAAGCGGGATATCGTGAGGTTTGCCTGGCAAATCTGCGGGTCGCTTTAAGATCAAAGTTAGTTAAGCCCGATGTCAGCTGGGACGCGGCGTGGGGATTATACCTCAAGCACGCCGAGAGTCGAGTCGGCGCTGGAACCCTTCGTGTCCGTCGCGCCGTTGGATCCCGTGGTCGGGAGCTTCTGTTCTTCACTGTGCGGAAGCGGAGGGGCCTCCTTCGGACTATCCGGCAACTTGTCCCCTGTGTAGGTGCTTTCTTTGAGCTTCCCAGACACACCACCTTCTGTTCCCCGAGTGCCTTCTTTGGGAGCCGCCCTGTTACGGTCATCCATGACACCATCATTTGAATAGGGAATCGGCTCCCCATCGGAGTCCAAATATTCTGTAGACTTTGTGCCTGGCTGAGTCTGTTCATCTAGAGCACCAGATCTCTTGCGATCCCGCTCCGCAGTTGTCTCTACCCATGGGCCAGCGTGGGGTCTGCCATCTTTGCCGTCGACAGGGGCGTCCTGCGTCCCTTTCGGAGACGGCTTAGGTGCGAGCTCATCAAGATCTAGAACAAGAGCGTTGGTCGCAGAGGTGTCGCGTGCCGTGACAGCATAATCGGTGACGCCGTCAACACTAGAGATCTGATCGGCGAGTACAGTCGTGATCGCAGGCAATAGAAGGAGGACCCGGGATGAAATGCGGAGCTTCATTTTTGAATGATGGAATGCCACTCGTTTTGAATCCAGACCGTAAAAATGCGATTTGGAAAAGAAGACCGACTTGCTGCAACAGAATTAAAAGTTCGTAATGTGCAAGAGCAATGGGAAATTGGCGGTTTCGATGAATTCGAGGTTTGACAGGTGTCAACGACTACGCCACGATGGTATTCGACGCAGGAATAATGGGCAACAAAAATTAACGTAAATAAAGAAGCCCGTATATTTTCGCGAGTTCCCTCATAAGCCCAGAGACCAGAAGAAAGGAAAAAGAAGGGGAATTGAACGAAAAAGGAGGTGGGAAAAAGAGTGACGACGACCTTGGGGCTGGAAGCCTGGACGCCTGCATTTTCCGGCCGCAAAGGGGGGAATTCAAGGTCACGTGCGATGCTGCCGCTTGCGGTCCGAAACCCCAGTGTTGAGCCTCGATGATCACCACCAATCTCGATAAGGCTGAATGTCATCTTAGAGAACAAGGTCATCATAGTCAACAAACATACTAGGGCGTGAACCTAGAGAATTTATGAGGCGGAAGTGCATGCTGAAGAGTCTTAGAAAAGCTACGGGACGAGATTCCGGCATCATGGACGAGGGCGAGTTTGCGGCACAAATGAGCCTGGAATGGGCCTTGAATAAAAGAATGGTAATGAGTCCCGCATGAATCCTTCCGGCAAAGAAGAGTCATTGTCATGACAATGGTCTTTTTATTCAATCTATATTTCCTTCACCTTGATCTGCTTGCCCTCTGAAATGATTGGATCAAACCAACACAATAGCTCTGAATAAGGCATTCACTTAACCCCGTCAACACTGAGTGACTTATTTATCCTCATATTTACTTCACTTGACCTCCGTATTCCATAGACTTCTTCGGATTATTTGATATGCTCATGGTTTCTTCCTTCTGATATACTCTCTACCTTTCTCCCATCGCGTGCGTTTCAGCTGTCTCTTCCACCCATCTTCCACCTACTAGGGCCACCGTCCTTCTAAAGAAACCTCGACCAATTCCTTCAGCACTACGATTGAATCACGAATCCCGGCACCTCTGCTCTACAATGGCAGAAAGCGAGGATACAAAGCCAGTCAGCTTGGGGCCTGTCCTTGAAGAGAAACTCGGGGATCTGGCGACTTGTCTGAAGAGGTAAGTCAAGCCAGAAGTGGAAAGTGGACGCATTGAGGCCAGATGTTAACGATTACTCCAGCTATTACCGCAGTTCGAAGTTTACCGACCTGACTATCACCACTTCGGAGCAGGAATTCAAGGTCCACAAGCTCGTGCTTTGTAGCCAGTCGGGCTACTTTGCCAGGATGTTCAACGGTGACTGGAAAGTATGTACCGTTCTCTGAGCAATACGACGGCGAGTTACTCATGCCTTTATCCTTAGGAAACGCACACAAACATGGTCAAGCTGGAGGGTGACGACCCCTATTTCGTCCAGACCATGATTGAGTCCATGTATGGCATCGAATACACCACCGCTGACCACGGCGTTATGTCTACCATGATGTTTCATGTTGCTGCCTACCAGATCGCGGACAAATACGATGTCCCGAACTTGAAGGACTATGCTAAGAAGAAGTTCGAGCACGCCGTGAAGGCTAATTGGGCGATGGACGACTTTCCGCCCACAATCGTGGAAGTGTACCGGACCACTCCGATGAGCGACAGGGGTCTCCGCGATCCTATCGTCCGTGTCGTTGGGGACCATTACTTCGACCTAACGCTGAGGGAAAGTTTTATGAAGGTTCTTGAGGAGGCACCTGGTTTTGGGGCAGATATGACAAGGCACTTCTGTGTAGCGTTCCGTCCACCTGGACCGCCTGAGGGCTGGTGAGTAAGTCTACTATCCCCACCGTTCCTTTCCTCGGCGTTCCTTTGTCCAGATGCGTATCTTGCATATTCCATACCGCAGTGCTAATAGTTACCTTTGGTTTATTAGTAGTAGTATGTCTGGCAGTGGGGTCGACCATGATCAAGATTCATCTTTGGATGATGAGGGAGAACACGAGCCAGGATATGGCTGGTTTTGATTGCCCGTTACGGGACTTTCTTTTGGATCTTGCGATATCCATAGGCGTGATTGAACTTGGTTCTTATAGCCATAGGCCATGAGCTAGCTTGGGGCGAAACACTAATGAGCTTGTGTCGAAAGGCGCCAGGAATAATATCAGCGACTTTTCAAGCAGGCCAAACTAGCATAGCTCGAAATCGCAACGAAAGGCGCAGCCCTCGTCCAATGGGCCTTATTCTATTTATGAATGGCATGGGTAGACTTATCATGGGGCGTTTTAATCTGGTCTTGAAATGATGCAGTCCAGTTACGTCCAGCGGCGCAGCAGGAGTAGTGCCCAGTAGTAGTTCTCACGCTTGTTCCGTGAAGCCCCAGGAAAACAACACTGCCTCCGCTGGTCGTGAGAACAGGGTTTAAATGATGCGCAATTATTCTTTTCATGCCTATCTATCCTTGCTAATGTTTTCACGGCGTTTCAAAGACGTCGTTGGGCAAACAGAATCCAGCAAGCCCGTCCACCGGAATGACTTCGAGTGCTGATGACCAGCCTTCCATCCCTTCACATCCTCGCCCCATCAAACTCATCCTCCTTCTTCCGGCTCCTTCCAGCACCCTATTACCTCCATGTTCAGCTCTCCACCAGCCATTGGCGTCAATCTCCCAGCTTCCTCTCCGAGGTTCAGTTTCTCGTCGCCTTATTTCCAGACCGAAAGCCCTCTTCCCACTTGCACCAGCTGGCCAGAGCCCGGCAACTCCAGGCAAATACAGAACCCCTAATTTTACACCCCATCTTTCTAGAGATTCAACCACCTCAAAGACAGGAGAGCTCTTCACGGCGCTTGATCTTGGTGCAGACACTCCGGAAGCGGCTGTAAATGTGCCATCAAATCACTGTCCTCAAACGAAGCAGATATGACCGAAGAGGATTTCTCGAATGATGCGGCCCCCGCGGAAGTGATCCTCGCACAGCTTGAAGAATGGGCTTTGGCTGGGCTAGACCATCACCCCGATGGACGAGAGCTCTTCACTACGGGATCGAAGCGCGGGACATAGTTGACTGTCGGGAAGTAATAGATATGTTTACAGTGCATCGTGAGAGCCAGACAGACTCGCGATCTGGCCTTATGCTAAATTGACCAGGTAAGTGCTTGCGTTTCGGAAGAAGACCGTCTAACCACACACTTAGGGTTTATCTCAGGTCGCCCGTTCCACGAAAGGACTAATGATACCCGATCTCCCAGGTAACTATCATTTCTTTGGTCAGTGCTAGAGCAACGTCTAACCTTCCTTTCATTGGCTTTCGAGATCTCAACCACGCTAGGCGAGGTCACAGAGGCCGTACGCCAGCCCGAGCTGGCCCAACGAGTGAGGGCTGCAGGTGCAGACTTGTTTAGATGAGGCGTATCTTCTGATCCTTGAGCGATTGCGAGAGGGTGCCGCTGGAGGTAGATAATGTTTCTTGTTTTGGATCATGACTACTGGGCGTGGACAAGCACCAAATTGCAATCCTTTGAACATGCTACCACGGTTACTACGCCGTGTACACGACTATAGCGTTCTCGCCCCAGTCCCAAGGTTCTTTGTCGCAGCCTTTGATCGAATCACCGTCCGCCCTTCGCCGCTTCAACGTCCCGAGTCTCGTTTCCCTTTCATCACCCTGCCTAAAATAATCTGCCTCCGTTGAAACCTTTGTTGGCCGAGCCGGAATGGCGCATCTGATCATGCACATCCCACGCCTGCATCCGGCAGCCCGTACTATTTCAATCTCACTTTCCCACGCTTCCAGCCCCAGCCCCAGCCTTCATTATCACCCATAGCGAGTTGTCTCTCACAGGGTAGGCAGTCAACATGTCCTCCAATAATTCAGGAACATCAGCAACAGAATCCTCAAGACCTAGTACAGCGACCTCGTCCTCTGCCAAAGCGACGCATACGATCAAAGTTGGGCCTAAAGAAGATCCGCATGGCTACGTTCCACACTCACTAGACGCCAATGTCGGCGATTTGATCGTCTTCGAGTTCTCCCCTCGCAATCACTCTGTTGTGCAGGCAGACTGGAAGGCACCATGCATTCCTGCCGATGGGGACTATTTCTTCTCTGGGATTAAGAATGATTTCGACGAAGTAAATGGGCAGGTTGTCGGTGCATTGCCGACGTGGAATTGGACTGTCGAGCGGGACGAGGTATCTACACACCTCCTTTCTCGTCTATTCCCTCAGAGAGTATACACGGCTTGGCTGACTAGGAGTGCGCACTATACTAGCCAATATTCTTCTACTGTACCGGCAAAAACTCATGCATCGGAAATGGCATGGTTGGCGTAATCAACCCGGTGAGTACCCTCCCTTCCTCCCTCGCAATCTACTACCTCCAAACCAACCTGACATCCGCAGAACGAAACAAGAACATGGGAATCCCAACGAGACGCCGCCCTCGACTCCCCCTACATGCTCCTCCCCGGCCAACCCATGCCAGCCGAAGGCTCGAAACCCGGCAGCGGCACATCCACAACGGACCACGCGCCCCCACCCTCAGCAAGCAGCTCATCCTCCCACGGCCTCAGCCCCGGCGCAATAGCAGGCATCACCGTCGGCGCCGTCGCCGTCGTCGCGATCCTGTGTGGGCTCCTCTTCGTCCTCGGCCGGAACACGATATACAGGAAGTGGCTTTCGCAGAGCGCCGAAGGAAGCGGCGGGAGCGCAAGCTCTGCGAAGAATATCCGCACCGCCCAGTGGGTGCAGTCTTCGCCTTCTGCGGGCGATGCGGCGCGGAGCGAGGGCGATGCCGGGAGTACCGGTGTCCCCGGGTACATCAACGTGCATGGGTCTTCGCCGGTGAACGAGCCTGCGGGGCTTGCGCTTGGGCATGGGCATGGGCATGGGCATGGGCTTGGACTTGGATCCCGGCCGGCTACGGGGATGGGATTCGTCTCGATGGATCATAATCTGCCGCAGACCCCGCCGCATAGCGGTGTGTTTTCGGCGCTTGATGGGGCGTATGGGGTTAAGTCTCCGTCTCCTCTGGGGACGCCGAGGCCGGTTCCGCAGCAGCAGCAGCAGCAACAGCAACAACCGTATTGGATTTGGGATCAGAGCATCCAGCCGTATCACCTGGGTGGTCGGAGCGGCGGACCGTCAGAGCTGGAGGCGAATAGTGGCAAGTGAGATTATGCATTGCTATTCTTCTTATAGCAAGGTGTTATGTTATGTCATTCATGGCTTTTAGAACTGGTTCTACTCACCGAGGCTCGTTTCGCTGAGAGAACGACTTTGTTATATCACAGCGCTTGAGAAAAGATTCTTAGTAACTAATAAACAGATTAAAGACGGAGTATACAGTCTAATTCGAGTCATCCTTGGAAGATAGCTGTGCGAGACCCGGCAATTCATGTTCCAAGTCCTCTTCGTGGAGCATCTTGGGATTCAGAGACATGGATCCCCGCGGTACAAACGTGGCTACCAAGACCAGAACAGCGACCACGCTGAACTGCACGCTGCCCACGTTTCGGATCGCTTCGAAGATATTGCCATTTCCATCAGGCCCTCCCGTCTTTTCATAGACGTAGTCGATATAGCTGCCCAAGATAGGAGAGGTGATTGCGTAAAGAACGATATAGGCCGAGTAGAGGAAGGCCATGACGGCGCCCAAGGAGGAGACGTTTTTGGTTTTTGACTCGACCCGAGCAAGCGCAGCTTGAATATACGCTGCCAAGGAAACATCGCCGGCAGCCCATCCGAAAGAGATTGGTAAGAATGTGGCTGCGGCGATCCAGGCCATGGAAGCTTCATGCATTTCAGGCCGCCAATAAGGTAGGTACCATGTTATGAGCAGTAAAACAGCATCTAGTCGCAACCACGGGATCGGGGTTGCAACGGCGTTCGTACTGAGGATCACAAATAGCGCACCAAAAAGTTCGCCTAGATTCGAGCCACCGACAATAATCTGCGACCAAGCTGCGTTTCCAAGATAGCGTCGGGCAATAGCGGGGGCTACACTGTTCTCCAGATACCGATGAGCGTACAGCGCAATCGAGTATCCAGGCAGCAGCCAGATAAACTTGCGGGAGGAGAACAGGAGCCGAGCACCGGTCCAGATCGATTCTAAGAAGAGCCAGAATCCGACGACAACTGCTTGGATATATGGCGGTTGATCTTCGAGCACTTGGGTCCGTTGACTCTGAAACCCGTAATCGGTAAGGAAGAACCAGCCGACAGCCGCGAGGGCAAAGCAAACTGGCGTGATTAAAAAAGAGTAGTTGTTTCCGAAGTAAGGAATAAGGGCCAATGCGGTGCAGAAAGCACCACTTGTTCCTGACACTTCGTAGAAGATATGCACCAGAGCATCCACCTGACGTAGTTTCTGCACATTACCGCCAACAAGGTCTCGGGGAATTACACGTCGGATCAATTCCACCATGCCGTACGCAAGTCCGGCAACGCAGTAAACGGGGATAATGCCATCAGTATTATAGTTCCCGTAGTAGTGGAAGTCATGTTCAGGATGCTTGTCTCGAAAGGCGGAGGGCACAAATTGACCGCCTGTGCTGGCGTCGATGATAAGAAGCAGAGCGCTGAGAAGGCCAAAGACCAGAACGGCCCCGGCCAAAACCAGCCGCGAAGGGAACCTCCGTATTAGCGGGGCTATCAGGATAGACCCGACACATTGACAGGCCTGGTTTAGGCCCACCATCAGTCCAACGCGCTGAAAGGTTTTAGGCGTAGTGGCGGTCAGGTAGGCGTCATAGTCGTAACGATTAGTCGCGAGGGTCACGATGGATCCGTTGAAGGCCTCGAGTCCGAATTTGTACATCATAATCCCCAAAATGTAGATAGCTATGTTGCGCCTCTCCGTGGGAGTGAAACGGCGCCAGTTCTGCTTGACTGCATCGTAGAAAGGTGCCATAGCATGGGTCGCCCCATAGTCATCATTCAAAGGCGTGGAGTGTTATCATAAAGGCGCTCAGCAATGGGAGCTAGCTTGAAATATAAGTAATAAGTCGATGAAAGCCCCAGCCGTCAGAGATGTTGTGCTCAGCCTGACATCCCAATGACTGACTCAATAGCGTTCTTCTTCCCCCTGCGGTCATCCCACAGCCCATCTGACTGGCAGCTTGGCGAGCCATGTCGCGGACAATGGGAACAAATCCAACTCCGCGGTTTGAGCACGTTGAGTGGGTAAGTGACAGGGGCGGGAGATAGATGGCGCCAGATTCTGGCTTAGCAATAAGACGAAAGGATCTGGAAGCACTCTTGGAAGTTGTCTGGAAGGGCTTGGAAGACTGGGATGCATCCTGGTCGTTGTCCATGATGGAGGAATCGTTTGCCCCCTTCGATGCACGTGGTAATGAACTCTAAACGCGGCTACCACCAATCACGTGCAGATTGCGGGAAGCACGAGCCATCGCCAAGACCTGTGCTCTATGCCTCAGGTATAAATTTCGGGGTTCAGCAAGGAGTAAAAGTACCCGATCCGAGAGCCACAGAGAATGCCGTTGGATCTCGGGACCTTTTATATAGAGGCCGTTACGCACCAGCGAGTGTGACGAATATCTGTGAATAGGTTGCTCCCCGTGGGGTCTTGCATACGCTCGAACAATCGCCACATTCTGCCAAGGTTGCCTATGCAGTACTTCAGGACCCCGGACCCATACATATTCCTCTCCCAGTGTCGCCAGTTCATGGCAGCTAAGCTCCAAGGTTAGACGGTTGAGCTGCCACAGCCAATTTGAGCGTTCGCCCCGCTCTGAGTATCATGAGTACTTCACCAGATCATGTCCGCCTTCGAAAATCACTGGGTAGGATCACATGCTGAGCAACCGGTCGATTACGAAGCAGACCGAGCTTCAGGCAAGACAGGAAGCGGCAGTAACGATGGACTTATCGGCGAAGGAATCTCTGAGAAGATTAACTGACCGCTATTAACGCGAATTCTCAGCCCCATTATTGCTATACCAAGGATGGCTTGGTTTGGGTTTGACCGGGCGTTCCTGACTGCATGCAGAAGATCTGATTTTGATGCCTGAGGCCGTTATCACAACGCCGCAAATAGCCTTCAAACCTTGTCTCAAGAGCCGCTCCTGGCTGTGGTTCCCTGCGACCTCAGTTCCCGACTCCTTCGCTGCTCGACTTGACGGAGCTCAGAGCCACCATCGACCCCTCCGTCTCATCCTCAGCTTTTGCCAAAAAATTCTCAGACGTCAGCGTGCAGACTCATTGTGGTCAATGACCCTTGTCACATGTATGGCATTGTCGATCGGAGCTAAGTGATTGGATCGCTAGGAGGACAGCGACAAGCTACCAAGCCTCTTTTTTCGGCACCAACCCTCAAGTCTTCGACTGATGCGAGTCAGCCCTTGCCTGCCGTTAGATGAGCAACGTTCGCGTGACTTGTGCTGTATCTGGCTTTGACCGCTGCGGGACCACCGCATGACTGCTGAAACGTCTTGTTGTTGCTCCCCCTCATTGCCTGGGTTGTCACTGTCACATAAATATGCACGTTGGCCATCGACAGCGGGGTTCTTTGGCTCTGCCTGCTACAGGCTCTGATCGTGGGCGCTGTCCCCCTCAAAAATTATATGTGAGTATTTTCTTTTTCTGCCAATCGCGGAAGCTGCTGCTAGAGCCCGCTAACCAAGTGCCACACCGACTTGTAGAGAACGCGTGTTTCATAGCATAGACCTGGAGTTTCCTTTGTGACTTCATCGAATTGCGTATTTCTTCGCTGTCAGCATTTTCTCCGTCGTGCGCTGATTCCTTTGCATAACAATGGCTCCATCCGAAGGCGACATGGCTGCTGAAACGGAGCAGCGACACGAAGGCTTAGACTCACAACAATCAGATAAGCGGTGGTGGAAACGGCTGTTTCAATCTGAAAACTCCAGCTCGAGTACTGAGGACATGGACTATCGCCCAAAGGCGACCTTGGGTATTCTTAGCGATCGGGAAACCGACGAGGTGCCCGGTACGAATGTTTTCCTGTCTGCTCGAAAACTTGTTAACATGAGATAGGTACCGTGCTCCTGCTATCTTCCAACCGCAACGAACCGCTAGGATTGAGGCATCAGCCTCAGCGTACATCAGCCTCATCGCTTCCTGTTCCGTATCCCCCATCCAGATCCTCTTCACGTGCCTCCGCGCCTCCAACAAAGAAGACCGCCAATGGAAAGATCGTCCTGAATCCACAGCCGGACGATTCACGAAATGATCCTCTCAACTGGCCGGTCTGGCGTCGGGATGCCGCTCTGATATCTCTGGGCTTCTACTGCCTGATGGGAGGTGGCATGACGCCTATCCTTGCCGCCGGCTTCAAACAGGTCTCGGAAGACTACGACGTTGATACACAAAAGGTTGCATACACTACAGGATTATACATGTTGGGGCTGGGTATTGGGTCGGTGATCATGTCGCCTACTGCAATTCTGTGGGGAAAGCGTCCGGTCTATTTGTTAGGCGCAACACTGTTCATTATCTCTGCGGTCTGGTGTGCATTATCCCCCAACTACCCGAGTCTCGTGGTGGCTCGCATCTTTCAAGGCATTGCAGTCAGCCCGGTCGAGTGTCTTCCGTCGGCGACAATCGCGGAGATCTACTTCTTGCACGAGAGGGCGTATCGAGTTGGTATCTATACACTTCTCCTTCTTGGTGGTAAGAACCTCATTCCACTGGTTAGCGCAGCCATCATCGAAAGCCTAGGCTGGCGCTGGGTGTTTTGGATCGTCGCGATCATTGTTGGGGCGTGCCTCGCATTGATTTTCTTCTTCTTACCGGAGACATTCTGGGATCGTACCCCGCGACCACGTCGACACCACAAACGTCCCGATTTTTATCGAAGCGTGTCGGACATGGTATCGCATGGACTCCATCGAGGTCGCGGCATCGATGCTCGCCCCCATGAAATTTCTGAGGATGCTCCGGATGCCGCTTCTCACAAACGAATCAAGAAGGGCCATGTTGGATTTGCCGACAACAGATCCGAGACTGAGGACTTACATCAGGAAAAACAAGAGCCATTAGAAGGTTCAGACTCGATGCAGAAGCCGAATGGGCCAGAACAAATCGCGGGCCCATCTGTGGAGCATTCTGCTCATTCCGAAAAGCCGAGTGTCCCACCGCTATCCACCGGCGACTCCGTCCCACGTCCATCTGATCTTGAAGCTGGAAGACTCACATCGCGATCGCCTGCACGAAGTGAATCACTAGAGCCCACTGCAGGGTTAAGCTTGCCCGTGCAGTATACCAATCGGCTCCGTGAGCAGTCAGATATACCATACACTTACTACCTGCGACCTTGGAATGGACGGATCTCGCAAGATCGTTGGTTACGGGTGGCTATCCGTCCGTTTATCTTGTTTGCTTATCCAGCGGTTCTGTGGTCAACCGTTGTTTATGCGCTGTCAGTCGGATGGCTCATCGTCTTGTCGGAGCTCGTTTCCCACATCTACCAAGATAGTGAGACGTATAACTTCACCTCTCTTCAAACCGGCCTGGTCTACGTCTCTCCGTTTGTTGGGGGCCTACTAGGGACAGCGGTCGCGGGTAAGATATCTGATGTTATTGTCCGTTACATGACACGACGCAATGGAGGGGTTTATGAGCCGGAGTTCCGCCTTATAATGGCCATTCCTATCGCATTATCCACGACAATAGGACTTATGGGCTTTGGTTGGAGCGCGCAAGAGAAGGATGCTTGGATTGTCCCGACCATATTCTTCGGGTTGGTGTCGTTCGGGTGCTGTTTGGGAAGTACAACGTCTATCACGTTCTGTGTCGACAGTTACCGCCAATATGCTGGGGAAGCCTTGGTGACGCTAAATTGGAGCAAGAGTGAGTACGCCGATTGCGAACCGCTATGTGATCAATCTAACAAAAGCACAGACGTCTTCCACGGTTTAATATTTTCTCTGTTTGTCGTCGACTGGATGGAGGCCGAAGGAGCACGAAAGGTCTTTATTGCCCTGGGAGTAATCCAGTTCGGACTACTACTCTTCTCCATTCCGATGTATATATATGGCAAGCGGGCTCGGATGTGGACAGTCCGGAAGGGGATGATGGAGAGGTTCTAAGTCATTGCATTTTTGGGCAACACATAATGATTGTTCTAGATTGCATAGGGCATATTAGCACAGATCGGTTAAATGTTTAGAAGCTTTCTAGATCCAAGACGGATATGATGGAATGATAATCTCAGATAAGCCGCTAAGCTGTTTGACACAATCTGGGGTATGATGCCCGTTCATCAGATGATATTAGGCTGATTGGAACAAGCTAATGCAGAATGATGTGAGGTTGTGTCATCTATAATTCTTATGCCCTACTCCGGAGAATGATCGGGCGATCCATTATTATATTGAGGTTGGCTGACGCGGGCCAGTGGCGGGTCCGGGACGAATAGCCGCAAATCAGGGGGGACCCAGCGCCGGTGGGAGCTGACAGGGGTCTTCCGCCGCCTGCGACCAGAAACCGGTTGTGCTTCCTCGAATAATCGCGATCGGATCAGGTTTGTTGCCATCAGAGCCACAATAATAAGTCAATAACGGCAATAATAATGGCTCCATATCGCCCCTCATTCGCCCATGACTCAGATCAATCATCAGCTGCTGTTGATGTACTCTCAGCGAGGGAGAAATCGTCAAACCACTGCCTTGCCACAGCCGTGCTACGCCGAGAGCACATTACCAGGTTCGTTTCCAAGTTTTGGAAATGAAGGGCCGCGCATTCACACTCCATCCACAGCTCCCTGCATGAATCCTCCGTGGTTTGACCCGACTTTTTGCATCCGTTTCAGATTTTGTGCTTTCCGCCCTCTATTACCAGCTTCTTCCCTCTCACCATCGTTATCCTACTACGCTTCACTACCTCAACACTACACGTCTTCTACCAAGAAGATTACAGGCCTGGATTCTCAATATGGGGACTCGGTGAACGATCCTCTAGTATAATTTATCTCCTATTCGCAACCTCTCTATCCCTTACCCGGATTAGACGATTATGGCATCGTCAAGCTCGAGAGAGCAAGAGCATATCGATGGTCGTCGAGCCCGCGAGCTCTACCGTTATTTCCAACCACAGCGCTCTCTTTCCGCGGACAGAATACCGACACCCTCTACAATTGATTCGGACTCCGTACAACTGGGCGTTCCTCCGGCTAGAGAATCTGCTCTTGCTACTCCTCCATCACCCGCACTGTCTGCTCAGCATGCCGCAACCACCGCCGGTCTAGTTCCTGAAGCTCTCATCCTCGGAGAATACAATGCAACTTTGAGCTCTTTCGCGCAGCTGGCGGCCTTACGCCTCGATGTAGAACGAGTTATGATTAGGTGCGTTTGAAGCCATTCGATTTCTCTCACAACACCATTGCATCCTAACTGATTGTATGAAAATTCCAGTGTCTCCGACCGAACCTCTCAATTCATCATAGCTCAGAGCTCGAAATCCCTACTTGGTGGAAAGAGGCAATACGAGTACGATGGGAGTGGGACATGGGATGGCTGCCATACACATACATCCGCTGCGTGGCCTATGTGCAGGGTGAGCTCCCCGGAATATAACCGGAAATCTGCAAGTTCCAAACACTAATATGCCGTTGCGCCTTCTGCACAGAAAACCGTGAATCTTCCGCCGTCCAACAGAGAACGCGGGGAATACTCCTTCCTTGAAGTCAACGATCTGAGCCGCGATGACCGCTACAAAGATATCCCTTTCGTGAAAGACGACCCGCACTTCAAATTCTATGCTGGAACTCCTCTGACAACAGAAACCCCGAGGATCAATATTGGCTGTTTATTCCTGTTGGATACAAACCCTCACAATGGTCTCACCGAAGCAGAGAAGGAAATCATGGGATCAATCTCGGTTTTGATCATGAACTTCCTGAAAGTGAGCCGGCAGGCTTCCGAGGGCCGGCGAGCCGCACGACTGTCTCGAGGGCTCAGTTGTTTTGTCGAAGGCAGCTCGAGCTTTGTGGATACAGCCAACCACTCAAGCACGGGCAGTATTTCTGGTTTACCTAGTTCTCCTCCTTGCTCTGCGCCTAGAGGCAACCATCTTTCAGTACGGTCCTCGAATAGCTTGGAAGGGCTCTTGAAGAGATCACATAGCAGCGATGCTCGATCATTCAGCTCATTGTCAGATTATAAAATCGATCTAACACGCTCCTCCAACCCGACAACCAATCCGCCAACTCCGCTTCCTGAATGGTGGTCCGGAACCCAGCGCAGAGAGCTCGAAGGCTTAGACCAGTCACATAGCAATTGCTGGGCTTTCAAGAGAGCCGCAAATTTACTGCGCGAAAGTCTAGAGCTGGACGGCGACGGTGGTGTTGTCTTCCTCGAAATCGGAACCACTCCAGCGGTTGACATCGACTCGGGAAGTGACTATAGTACAGCGGAAAACGTGAGTCCGGCATCGATCTTGGCCATGTCCACTAACGAAGAGCCGTTCGCGCCGTCGCCTGGGTCGACCGTCGCCTCCCCCGCAGCTAACCTTGATACCGCATTTCTCCAACAGCTTATACGCCGATATAGTAAAGGAAAACTATGGTCATTCCATCGAGATGGCAGTGTTTCAGGCTCTGATGATGAAAACGCCAAGTCTTCGAAAACCAGCTCTCGAACCGCAAAGACTCAGGATCTAACAAAGGGCGCTCCAAAGAGATGGAGAAGCGTGGAGAATTCTTTGCTCAATACCTATTTTCCTAATGCGACCCAAGTACTGTTTGTTCCCCTCTGGAACGCCGCAAGCTCGCAGTGGTTCGCAGGATGCTTTTGCTGGAACACAGTGGAGAGTCGCGTCTTTAGCTCCTCTGTCGAGCTGAGCTCTGTATTGGGGTTCGGTTCCTCTATCATGGTTGAGCATAGTCGCCTCGAATCCCTCATATCAGATCGGCAGAAAGGCGATTTCATTGGAAGCATTTCGTAAGTGCCCTGCTAAAGTCTCAATCATCCGTAACGGGGCTAACTTCTATCTCAACAGGCACGAACTTCGCAGCCCATTGCATGGAATATTGGCAGCGGCAGAGTTCTTGAGTGGCACAGAACTAGACGAGTTTCAAGGGTCGTTGCTTGATACCATCAATGCTTGCTCTGTCACGTTGTTGGACACGATGAATCAAGTCCTTGACTTTAGTAAAATTGTTTCCCTAGAAAGGAAAACTCGCCAATTGAAACGGAAGACAAAGCAATTGCCTGCGGAAGCCGACGATAAACCATCCGTTGGTTTGGACACCTTTGTGGCTACTGATCTTGCGCTCTTGGCAGAGGAAGTGGTAGAGGGCGTATGCCTTGGACACGCATACAGCCTGAAATCATCTTCCAATCCCATGAGCCCCATTACGGAGATTCCCAAAACGGGCCAGGATGGTCGACCTGGTGCTGAGATGGGCGTGGAAGTATTTGTCGCTGTTGCTCAAAATAACTGGATCTACGATACACAACCTGGGGCGTTACGGCGAATCATCATGAACGTATTCGGTAACGCCATGAAATATACAGAGGCAGGCAGCGTTTGTGTCCGTCTTGAAGCTGCTGAATCTCCTGACGGTCGCCGTAGCCAACCGGCAGAGGATCTGGTAACCTTGACAGTTTCTGATACTGGAAAAGGCATTTCCGAGGAGTTCCTTCGGGGTCGACTATACACCCCGTTTGCACAAGAAGATACGCTCGCTGTGGGAACGGGTCTTGGACTATCGATCGTCCGCAGCCTGGTCAAAACTCTGGGTGGCAGCATCGACGTACATAGTCGCCCAGGTGAAGGAACGACTGTGAGGGTCACCATGCCTCTAGCGCGCCCTGGAGATGATGTGGATGTCCTTGCGCCCAACACAGCCGACTCGCAAATTGTCCGTTCAACATCCGAGAAAGATTCTGCAGACGATTGTGACATTCTTCGCCGCAATCACCCCAAGAAACAAGCCGCGATTCTGGGGATGGATCCCGTTGATGCGGGCACACATCCTTTGTGGTCTAGTGTTATGAACTACCTGACTAAATGGTACAACTATGAGCTAGTCTCGTGGGGGTCTGAGCTCCCTATCGACGTTGTCTTAGCGGATGAGCACATATTGGCCGAATATTCGCCACCTGCTTCCACCGCCACATCTCTGCCTCCACTTGTCATTATTTGTAGCCGGTCCATCGATTACATGACCGCGCGCTCTCGATGGTCTTCACTTGCCGACATAGTGAGCATCATTACTCGCCCATGCGGTCCCTACAAGCTGGCGCGTACAATTCAAAGATGCTTCGATTCTCAAAAGGAACCCGTCTCAGAACAACATGTCAAAAACCTCCCTATTCGACAGAAGGCAACACTTTTGTCGGATGCGAATGCTATGCCCGAGAAGAAACCAAAGACCTTTGAGGACCTGAACGACACTCCTGACCTGACTGATGCAGCGAGTTCGACCACTCCAGGTTCCATCAGTTCAGACAGGTCTACACCCTCGCAGGCAAGCTCCGAAGTGGCCGATCCTATATCGACCCTAACACCCTCCTGTCAATTGCAATCTCCGCCCGTGACGAAACTCGCGGCAAAACAGGGACGCACTCCAAGGGTTCTAGTGGTGGATGATAACTTCATCAACCTCAATCTCATGCTCACCTTCTTGAAGAGGCGCCGGCTAGAAACTCTGGAATCTGCTGAAAATGGACAACTGGCAGTTGACGCCGTGGAACGAACGCCAGGAGGGTTCGACTTGATTTTCATGGACATTTCTATGCCCGTTATGAACGGGTTTGAAGCCACGCGGGCCATTCGCGCTATTGAAAAGGAGCGCGGCACTGAGGTTTCTACCCCAGCGACCATCATCGCGCTCACTGGACTGAGCAGCTCGCGCGACGAATCCGAAGCCCTCTCTTCAGGCATCGACCTCTTCCTCACGAAGCCAGTCTCGTTCAAAGAGGTCTCTAAATTACTCGACGGTTGGATTGCGAAGACTGTTGTCTGATTTACTCCAGTTTGCTTTCTCCAAATATTTACCGCACCATCACGCGATAGCAGCGCTACGAACTTACGCATCATGAGACATAAACGTCAGTCTCGGTTTCCTGGTGTTGATGTTTCCTGTTTTGCTTACGGCCTGGTTGTATTCTCAATGGGCGGGTGTTCGGTCGGGATATCGGGTTTATTTCGGTTGATCTTGTTTTATTTGTTTTTAAATCTGGTGGGGTTGCTTTGTACACGGATAAGAAAGCTCGAGTGATACCCCTATTTGAATAGAGACAGCATGATTTGATTTGATTGATAAACATCGAGACTTCTGCTTCGTGAAGATAGACTACTTTGGCCAAGTATAGTACTGAAAGGTGACCCGTGCACACGCTAGGATCTGCCCGGAGTCCATCTCCGTGGCCCGGGCGCTCGTAGATTATTCCTGTTTGGGTATCTGCAGGTCAACAAATCTACTCCAAAGCCGAAGCTGTAGAGCTGTCGAGGTGAAGATAGGGATCCGAACTGCCGAGGCTGATCATTGTCAATTGTTTCATCTGCCACGTTCTTTTGCGATCGTCGCTGGGCCTACCTTGAGCTGCCTAATCCAGTAAGCCACATGCCCTCCCTGTCTCACCTCATCTTTTCTTCTTCTCCTGGCTTCCTCTTCTTCCTCACATTTTCTCCTCCAACACTTCTTTTTTTCTCTGAACTTTCTTAAGACCTTTCCTTTGTTTCTTAATCTTGGTTCTTTTGCTCAATTTGTTGTTCTGCCGCCATGGGTTCTCTATCTTACCTTCGTCAACTCATCCAAACACACCCTCTCATCGATAATCATGCTCATAACCTCCTCTCTCAGTCCGCTGCCCGCGATTATGCCAAATACCCTTTTGAGCAGATTATATCAGAAGCCCAAGGGATCGCCTTGGAAAACGCCCCTTCTACGCTCTCGTTCCACCGCGCTGCCACCCAACTCGCTACTTTATATGAAAGCTCGTCATCCGACTGGGAGCAGCTCCGGAATGCCCGAGACCAATTAGTCCAACGTGACTACGAGGGGCTAGTTCGCAAATGCTTGGACGGAACTCACACTCTCCTCCTCGATGACCTCTTGACCGATGATGACGTTGAGCCATTCGATTGGCATGACCGCTTCACCGCATCAACCACCAAGCGCATTGTCCGTATCGAGGCTTTGGCCGCCCGCGTCTTGGCCCAGATTGTCCGCGAAGGGTCCGTTCCACCAGAGTCGTCTGACGTCTCATCCTTCCAGGACCTCTGGGAGTCATTCTCCCGGGACTTCAGCCTCCTTGTCTCCGATGCCATTGCCGACCCCGCCGTGGTGGGGTTCAAATCGGTCATATGTTACCGTACTGGGTTAGATGTCCAGCCAACCGATGACAGTGATACAAAGCAATTGATCCAGTCCTTTGCGCGTACAATCTCTCAAGCGGCCGTCTCCACTCCTCGGGTAGAGGACAAGCCACTGAACGACTGGCTTGTGCGTCAGACGCTCAATCTACTGAAAGCTGCCAAGGTTACTCAGCCAAACAAACCCTTGCAGCTGCATACTGGCTTGGGAGACAACGACATCAACTTACTCCGGTCAAACCCTGCTCATCTCCAATCTCTTATAGCGCAGTATCCCGAAGTCGACTTCGTTTTGCTACATTCGTCATACCCCTATACACGCGAGGCCGGTTATTTGGCCTGTGTCTACCCTAATGTCTATTTAGATCTCGGGGAGGTATTTCCCATGGTTAGTCGTGATGCGCAGGAATCTATCTTGAGGGAGAGTTTGGAGATCGTTCCCACCACTCGGCTGCTGTGGAGTACCGATGGCCATTTCTTCCCAGAAACTTTCTGGCTGGCTAATAAGCAGTTCCGGGACGCTCTGGAAAAGGTTGGGAGTCTCTGCGTATTCTGATAGAAGCGATTGGAGCTAATTTGGCGCAGGTTTTCGTGGATTATGTCCAGAATGGTGATTACACCGTCGAACAAGCATGCCAGGCGGCTGTCGATATTCTTTTCCACAACTCGAACCGGCTATACGATTTGAAGGAGCAACTTCCATCTACTGCTCTTTGTGTATCTGGGGCTCAATCACTGACTCCATCTTCAACTGATGCGCTTGAGACTTTCATTCGGAGTAACCCAGGTGTCAAATACATCTGGATGCAGTTCATTGACTACACCGCGACAGTCAGACTCCGGATGTTCCCCATCTTGGAGTTTGCCAAAATCACCCGCAAGCAACGCCGAATCGGTATCTCCGTGGCCGTTTTCTGGATGTTGCAGGACGATGAAATTGCCGGAGGCTCAACAACAGGCCAATTCTACATGCTGCCAGATCTATCCACCCTGAGTCCAAATGTTGGGGTCAACTCCAAAAGTGCCACCGTACAGACCTGGTGGAAGACCGAAGAAGGCGAGCCAATGGAGGAGTGCCCACGCACCAACCTCCTCAGAATCAGCAACAAACTCAAGGACGAGTTCGGCATCCAAGCCACTTGCGGCTTCGAAATTGAAGTCGTCTTCCTGAAACCAACTACGGACCCAGAAACCGGAAAAGAAGACTGGGCTCCTTCTACAACGAACCACTCCTGGTCCCAAATGACGCGCGAAACCCGCAGCTATCTGCCACTCATCGAAGAGTGCGTCGAAGCTCTCGCCTCCATCGGTATCTACCTTGAACAATTCCACGCCGAGTCCGCTCCCGGCCAGTTCGAATTCATTCTCCCTCCCAATACCCCCGTCGCGGCAGTGGACACCCTCATCAAGGCCCGGCAAGTCATTACCTACGTCGTCGAGCAGCACGGCCTCCGCGCCACACTCCACCCACGCCCCTACCCGTCCGCCGCCGGCACAGCCTCCCACGGCCATGTCTCCATCACCCCTCCGACAAAAGAAGAGTCCTTCCTCGCTGGCATTCTCCATCATTACCCATCCGTTCTCGCATTCACCCTCTCCGGCGACAGTAGCTATGAACGTGTCAAAGCGGGTATCTGGGCCGGCAGCGAATGGGTCGCTTGGGGCACGCAAAACCGCGAGGCGCCGATCCGAAAGATCTCCCCGGGTCACTGGGAAATCAAGTCCCTCGATGGCCTGGCGAATATGTACCTGGCCATGGCAGCATTCCTGGCTGCTGGATATGCCGGCGTGAAGGAGGACCTGCCGCTTACTATCAAGGATTGTCACTGTTCGTCTATGTTCCTGGCCCTGGAGATTCCTGTAGCTAACGGTTAGATATAGATGACGCGGCATTGCTGTCCGAGGATGAACGCAGTGCCCTCGGCATCACAACGAAACTCCCCAATACCCTTGCTAAAAGCCTTGAGGCATTAAATTCCAACGAGACCCTCAAGGCGCTTCTTGGCCCGAAACTTGTGGAGAACTACACCATCGTGAAGAAGGCCGAGAGCAAGAAGCTCAGTGCGATGGACGAAAATGTGCGCAGGAAGTGGCTCGTTGAGAGGTACTGAAGCTAATGGGGACTTTTGTCTCGAATGGTGATCAAATAATAGATTCACGACATATAATTGATGAATATATACTTAGACATAGCAAAACATGTTACGAGGTAATGTCACAAATTGGGGGTAGCATTTCAATTCCAGCCAGCACACATCATCAAATCAATATTGCCCATCAATTGTCAAAGTTCCAGTCTTGGTAATCAAGTACTCGTTCACAGCCACTTCCTTTCCACTCTCCTTTCCGTATCCTGATTCCTTGATTCCTCCGAACGGCGACTCGGCCGCCGACGAGTTCCCTGTGTTCATGCCAATCATACCGGCGTCCAGATTTTCCAGCAGTCGCCACATGCGATCGATATTCTTGGAAAAGGCATAACTTGCCAGACCCATGCTAGTGTCGTTAGCCAGCTTGACGGCTTCATCCTCCGTCTCGAATTTGTAGAGGGCCGCGATGGGAGCAAAGGACTCCTCGCGCGACACCAACATGTCCTTGGTCATATTCTTCAAGATCGTCGGCTCAAAGAAGTACCCCTTCGTCCCCTCGACACGATTTCCGCCAAGAATAACCTCCGCGCCTAGCTGTCGTGCATCTTCAACCTGGCTAATCGCCTTGTCGATACTGCGCGGGGTTGTGAGGGGACCCAACGTTGTGCCTTCGCTTGCACCATGGCCGATCTTAAGTTTGGCCGTGCGCTCCTTGAGCATCTCCGCGAACTTGTCGTAGACGCCAGCCTGCACGTATACCCGATTCGCGGTGATACAGGCCTGTCCTGCATGACGCCATTTGAGAGCCATCAGCTGGTCCAATGCCTGATTGAGGTCTGCATCGTCGAAGACAAGGAATGGGCAGTTGCCGCCCAGCTCTAGTGTGACCTTCTTCAGGCCGTGCGCGCAGTGAGAGGCAATCAGTTTACCGATGCGGGTTGAGCCAGTGAACGTAACCTTCTTTACTAGCGGATGCTTGCACAGAGCTTCGCTGAGCGGGGGCGTGTTCTCCAGGTCTGTCGTAAGCACATTGAATACACCGGCGGGAAACCCGGCCTTCTGGGCCAGATGGGCCAACACCAAGGCTGTAAGGGGAGTCTCGGGACTGGGCTTGACAATCATCGTGCACCCAGCAGCCAGAGCTGCACCGGCCTTGCGTAGAACCATGGCAATGGGGAAGTTCCAGGGGACAAGAGCCGCAGCGACACCGATGGGTTGCTTAACGGTGAAGACGCGCCGGTTGGGGGCAGCAGGGACAGCAATCGTTCCATGTATACGCTCTGCCTCCCCGGCGAACCACCAGGTAAAGCCAGTTGCGTAGTCAATCTCACCATAAGACTCGGCAATAGGCTTGCCCGTCTCGTGAGTCAGGATCTTGGCCAAGTCGGTCCTGGCCTCGCGGATGAGCGTGTCCCATTTCAAAAGCCATTGGGCACGTTGGCGAGGGTTGACTTTTTTGAACTTCTCGAAGGCGTCGTGGGCAATTTGTACGGCGGAATCGACGTCTTCGGCCGAGTTTGTAGGGCAGCTTGCCCAGGGGAGATCCGTACCGGGATCTGGCGCGACTGATTAGAACGTGAAACGGGGAAGCAACATCCAAAGCTTACCGATGACTTCGAATCGTGCACCGCTCTTCGCTGTGACCCAGGAATTACCGACATAGGAGTCGAAATGGAGCAAGTCGGGGTTGTCCAGCTAGAAGCGAGCAATCAGCACCAGGATACCGCTGTCCAAGAGATGACGTACCTCGAACGGAAGCTTATATTGCTGAGCCATGATTTTCGATTCACCTCCGATGGTTCAGAGTGTTCCTGATGACGAAGATGAAGAGGAAGGAGGAGACGAGTGTGCAGAGATGACTATTGGTACTGACAGTCTGACCCCGCAACCCCTCATCTTATCGGCTCCTCGGTCCCCACGGCGATGATGAGCATTTGGAGATACTCCAATTGATTAGAGTACTTGCGCTACTGGCTACTGCGAGGTTCAAAGTGGAGATAAAACGGAGTAACCGTTATATAAAATCCCAAGTGCTAGAAGTAGATTCCTGGTTCTGACTCTGCTAGTTGCTCTGCTCGTCCTTCTCTCGGGTATCCTGCAGACGAGGGGGCATTCCTATGACTATTGTTGTGACTATTCGGACTAGTTGGCGCAATAACGTCCTTGTCTCTCGTGGGTAGACCCCATTCAGAGAGTGCTGCATGGTCCAAAGTCCCATACACCTGCGCTTTCTCGGCCCACCAAAGCTCCAAGTCCTCCGCGTTGCGCAGTGGGAGGCGTGACCATTCGTTGACGGCAGCCGTTCGCGACTGAGCTGGTTGAGAAGAATCAGGCATACGAAAAGTCCTGGGGGCGAAGGTCCGCAAGTAAGAATACGAGCTATAGAGAGCTTGTTCAGTTGCCGCGAGTCGGCTTTCTAGGTGCGTTATATAGCCTTGCGGAAGGCCGCGTTTCCCGCTTTCTGGATACACGCATTTCGCAGGGTCGGAACACTGCGAACATGCGGGCCTACGGCCGTTAGTAGAGTGAATAGGGACAAAGCAGTGGTGACCCCAAAAAACATACAATATTCGGTCGCACTGCGAAGCATCAGTACATGGAATTCAGGCGGAGTAGGACCAGAAAAGCGAGAGCAAGGGAGAATTGGCGGATATATACCTTGCACTTCTTCTGGCGACAGGGCTCGCATGCGATAGGATTTTGCTTGTCCGCCATTTGCCTGGGAGTTATAAAAAGGGAGAAAAATTCTAGAAGGACAGGAAACATGGGGAACCAAAAAGCCAAGAATGATTGCTGTGACAAAGTCGAGATCTTTGCGGAGAAGTTGCAGCAACCGGCCGGTTGGGAAAATCCTCCAGTGCCGAGACACAACACAACGCCTGCCTTCTTTCCTCGTCTTCTCTTCATTCCTCCAATGTCATCCGTGCTGGCGCCTTTGCTTTTACTTCTTCATGGACTCTGGCAATTCTAACCATGGATCTCCCAGCAAACGCCAGAAGCTTACTCCCAAGGCCCACGAGTTGGGGGTGATGCGCAAGTTTACTGACAATGGCTCGGAATCGGCGTCTTTCCTGGGATCCTCGAGCGGAATCCACTTCATTCGCGTCGTGTACAATGCCTTTGCGCGTCGGTCGGCCCATCTCAAGCAGCCTCAGCAGGCGTCTAAAGGCGCTCAAGTTCCTGGAGAGGACGACCAGCTGCACCAGCAGTATCCGGATCTGTGGCTGCCCCATGAGCTAAACCTCCAGGCAACAGCGCCCCTATCCAGGTTCGATTCGCTAGTCCAGTGGACGAAAGGGTATTTTGAGAACTGGCATCCAATTTTTCCATTTCTGTCCGGGCCAGGCTTCCTGGTAATTCTCGAGAATCTTAGTCGTGATGGGTTCAGCAACCTCTCACCTGCAGACGGGATCCTCGTGCGCTCAATCGTCTCAATATCCCTCATGGATCGCCGGCAGACCAATGCTCCCAGCACGCAGAGTCCTGTTCCAGCAGCTCTGGTTTTCCGCTCCGTTCGACAGGCCATGGAAAGTCTCTTTACTCTGCTTTGCTCACCACCAACCATCCCTATTCTCCAGGCGGCTTTTGGTGTCCAGCTGTTTCTCACCTCTCTCCTTCGGCTCAACGCCGCCTCGAGAATTGGGGGTATCATTATACGCACAGCATTCCACTTAGGTTTGCACCGGTGTCCTGCACGCTATTCATTTACAAGTCTTGAGGTAGCCACTCGCCGCAGGTTATTTTGGTCCATCTACTGTCTTGAAAGATACCTCTCCCAGGCACTGGGAATCCCTCTCGGTATCAAGGACGACGACATTGACGTGTGCTATCCGAACGCCGAAATCCATGGTTCGGTAGACCAAGGTAACTCTCCTCCTCTCTACTTGAGATATCCGCACTTGTAGGCGCTAGATTCTCACTGCTCGGCCTCCAGATCACAGACTACGTCTGCTAGGTCACCTATCAAAGTTTGCCAGTCTCCGCGGACGCATTGTCGAGCTACGCAACAAGTCGATCAACCACAGAGAAGACTCTGTGGACGCGACTCAGGCCCTTCATGGGGAGCTAACCCACTGGTGGAACGATGTTTATGACGACGTCTACCCTCTTGAACACGACGATACAGACAATAACTTAGAGACTCCGATCGCACAATTTCATCGGACTCTGCTCATAGTCCTTCGCCAGGAAGCCATCATTTCCTTGAACCGCCCGCTGCTGGCAGCCGAGGCGTCCTCCCCAGAATATCGCACCGCTTTACAAGTATGCATTGAATCTTCACGGTCTCTCCTCACCACGCTGCGGCAGTACCTTGTTGATACTCCCGGCTCTGTTCCATTAGTATGGCCATCTTTTACTTGGGCTGTGTGGATGAGCTGCTTGATACTGATCTACGCCGCTTGGAAGGGCGAATTTTCCACATCCTCAGCATCGAGGTACTCGCCCCCAGTTTTCTCTTCCAGTGATAGTTGAAAGCTGATATGTAGAGAGAAGATATGCTAAAAGTGGTCTCGTTATTCTGAAAAATCTGTCGCGCCGTGGCAACACATGGCCGCAAACTTGCATCGAAGCCATTCGCGACCTTGATTCCGCTCTTACGACACCAGAACAAACACCCCCAGACCCAAGCACCATCGATACCAGTCAGGACAAAAGCAAGGACCCGAATGCTTCCAGAGAAACCCTCGACTCCGACATCCAACTTGATGATCGTTCCTTACAACAGGTGCCCCCTTCGACACCCGGAGAAGGACTCCTCCCAACGCCAAACCCAGTTGTGTCGGCGAGCAATCAATGGAGCAACTCGTCCATGATTTTTGGAAATCAAGCAATGAATAACCTCGGTGCGGCTTCGGGGCTCGGACTAGGAATGGGCTTGCCGGACTTTTCCATTGGCGGTGGCGGTGGTGAAGATGTTCTGGGGATAGGTGATTTGTGGAGTTTGGCAGATGGACCGTGGTTGATTCATGAGAGTTATGATCTTGCGGAAAATGTTCCAAATAATACTGATTTCATGCTGTAACATAGGATGTTGGTTTGGAGAAGCAATAATTGGTCTTTGCCGCTTGCGTCGTCGTAATTTCTAGAGTGGATCGGACAAAGACAAGTCCGCTGGGTAGTCCGGACATGTATTGTCCGGTGCGGGGGCGAGATCGGATGAAGAGGAAAAAAAGGTATTTAAACTGTCCAATTCCATTCCCCGGACTAAGTTAGACAGATCGCATTCAATTCAATTGACTCCCTTGAAAAGGAAGCTAGAACGACAAAATGGTCAAGTCCTACCGCATCGCTACTATTCCCGCCGACGGAATTGGTCCCGAGGTCATCGACGCTGGCGTTACTGTCCTGGAGGCCCTGGCCGACAAGCTCAAGTCTTTCTCTCTTGACTTCACACACCTTGACTGGAGCTCTGAGACGTTCAAGGCCACCGGCAAGTACATTCCCGATGGCGGACTGGACGAGTTGAAGAAGAACGATGCTATTCTATTTGGAGCTGTTGGCGCACCAGGTAAACAACCCCGCATCACGCATTATGCTATCTTGAGAAGAAAATAAAAGCTGATAATGAACGTAGATGTTCCCGATCACATCTCCCTCTGGGGTCTGCGCCTCGCTATCTGCCAGCCCTTCCAACAATACGCCAATGTCCGCCCTACCCGCGTCCTCCGCGGCACACAGTCTCCCCTGCGCAACTGCTCCACCGGAGACCTCGACTGGGTGATTGTGCGTGAGAACAGTGAGGGCGAGTACGCGGGTCAGGGTGGTCGCTCGCACCGCGGACACCCCTGGGAGGTTGCGACGGAGGTGGCTATCTTCTCGCGTCAGGGTGTAGAGCGCATCATGCGCTTTGCATTTGAGACTGCTGCTAAGCGGCCGAGGAAGCTGTTGACTGTTGTGACCAAGAGCAATGCTCAGCGCAACGGCATGGTGCTGTGGGATGAGGTCGCCAACATTGTTGCCAAGGACTTCCCTGAGGTCTCCGTGGACAAGATGCTCGTTGATGCGATGACCACGAGGATGGTGCTCAAGCCTGAGAGCTTGGATACCATTGTTGCCAGCAACCTGGTACGTTGATCCCCATCTCTCGACCTTGTCGACAGTACTAATACTGTGATATAGCACGCCGACATCCTCTCTGATCTCGCCGCCGCCCTTGCCGGTTCCATCGGTATCGCACCCACATCGAACCTCGACCCTACCCGCCAGAACCCCTCCATGTTCGAGCCCATCCACGGATCCGCGTTCGACATCACGGGCAAGGGCATCGCCAACCCCGTTGCTACCTTCTGGACAGCCGCCGAGATGCTCGAGTGGCTCGGCGAGAAGGAAGCCGCCGACAAGCTGATGCAGTGCGTCGAGCGCGTCTGCGAGTCCGGCGTCCTAACCGCGGACCTGGGCGGCAAGGCCAACACCAAGGAAGTGACCTCTGCCGTTGTCGAGGAGATCAAGCGTCTGAACTAGATCCCTCTGTATATTATACCTCTAGCCATGCAAGTTACGTTGAACATAGAATAGAATGCACGATTTGATGAGCCAACTTTCAGTTCAGTGTCGCGACCATCTCCACCACCGCCGTGACCGCTCGATTTTGACTTCTCTTTGAAGCCGTCGAAGAACCCATTCTTCTCTGTCTTGAAGAGATTCAACCCGCTCTTTCTCTCTTCCGCGCTCGGGAAATTCCTCGACGGATATGGATCGCAAGAGACATTCAGCAACTTCAACGATCATCAGAGTAATTGGGATGAGGAGCAAGAGCACGAGTGCGAAGAGTGCCCCGGCGTATCGCTCTAGTCGACGGTATGGCTCTTGCTCAGCATGTAGAGCGTCGATGTAGGTAATGGTAGCATTTGGCGGTTGCGCAAGCGACCTGTTCCTGTCCATGGGAATGAATGTGCCGTGGTTGATTCTCAAGCCGAAACCACGTTTTGACTCTGCTGACTCCGCTGACTCTGCATTTGCGTATGCGTCTTTGTTCTCGAGAAGCGGCTGTTGTATAGGGGACGTCAAGTCGAGTGCGTTGGAACGAGCGTTGGTGTTGGTGCTGGGAATAGCGAGAGACAGCACAAGCGGAGCGAAGGTCAACAAAGTGAAGGACTTCATGGTGTTGACGCCGATGGCCTGATGGATAGGACCGGGACGGAATAGAGACGACGCAAAAGACCCTGAGTGCCCTGCATGTGGTCAAGCTTCTCTTTATAGTGGTTATGCGAGTTCTCGATAGCTTACTATTCCTTTGTGTCGTCGACGGCTCAGAGAAACCCTGACTGCCCCGTGGCGCGCGGAGCACGGCGATTGGCTGCAGCCAGGGCAACTACACAATTTAGGGACGACTTTCAATTTATTGGAAATCCATAATGCATAATGCATTTGGTTGTCTTTTCAACTAACTAGTAGATAAATAAACTTGTTAGGAAGGAAAAAGCTGACTGGGCTACTCTAGGACACTCTCACTCTTATCTCTAACACCCGGTGGTGCGCTCAGGGGGTGCTGCATCCGCACGCTGGGCAACGCCGTCCTGCATCGCCTTTACGTGCTCAAAGTTGTTTGTATCCTCGCCCAGACTCCAAGCGAACACCCCTCCCAGTTTCTCTGCGTCCACGATGTCCGAGAATTTGCGAGCGATCAGCTCAGGCGTATCCCAGCTCCAGAAGATGTGGTTCTCGGTGTCCATGTAGTATTGTCCGCCAGCCTCCTCGTCCGTCGTGCCCTCGGCGAGAGCGCGTCGCCACGACTCTTTGATTGGCGCGCCTTTGCATTCGCCAAAGTCGGAGTCACAGTTAGCTAAGCAGAAGTCATCGGTCGTTCCACTGTTACGGTTAGCCGACGTTGTTCCTCTTGATGAGGGAAAATAGGACTTACCAATATCCATAGATACTGCAGCATTGCCCAGCCGGACATTTCGTTCCCTTTGCCGCTCCGCAAGTCCCGTCAGTCGATTCCTTCAGGTTAGTGGGCGGAGCAGCCATGTTCTGCGGTTCAAATGTCATAGAACCCGACATGCCATTGTCGCTTCCATCTTCCGCCTCCATAGGTACCGTCGGACATCCGATGGGGTCACTGCCGCAGTCTGCGTCCGCCTCGACTGTGAACCATTTGGCATAGTACGCAATGCCTAGGTTGAGCTTCTCCGGGGGTGCGCCAATCTCCAGATACGCCTTGATGGTATCAAGAGAGTTCGCGACGCCACTGTGGTGGGAGGTCTCGTTGTCCCGGCGGTTCATCAAGTCGTAAGACATCACATTTACCATGTCAACAGACGGCCAAATGTTCGGACCCTGTTCCTTCGTATACGCGATCATATCCCCGCGCTTGCCGGGCGTCGCAATGGAGACAATCTTGTCATCTCCAACAGCCTTCCTCAAAGCCTGGATGAACAACGGAAAATTCACAATCTCGTCGATCTTCTGCTCGTTCGGAATCTGTTTGTAGTCCGCGCCATTTCCACCGGGGTACTCCCAGTCGATGTCCACGCCATCAAAGCCATTGCTGTCCAGCATCGCGGCGACGTTCTTTGCGTATCGCTCCCGAGAGGCCTCGTCCTTCGAAGCACTAGAGAACCCAGCTGTATCCCCCCATCCGCCAATCGCGATCAACACCTTTGTATCGGGCGAGAAGCGATTGCGGAACGTTGAGACCGGCTCGAAAGGCGCGAAAGCGGCGGGCGAATCGCTGTCAAAGAGCGTGGATTGGGCGAAGGCCATAATTGCATGTGTGATGCCCTGGGTCTTGTCGCTGCCCGGTAGGTTTTGGGTATGCCATCTCCCTCAATTAGCTCTTGTTTCTCACTGGTTTTAGTGGGTGACATGGTACTCACTGGTCAACATACATCGCGAAGCGGAGACCCGCAACGCACTGGAGGGCCGCCAGGGCCAAAGCAGCGTGTTTCAGCAGCATGATAATCGATTTACTTCGTATTCGTAATCCAGAAAAAGAACTAAATTCTGAAACCAAAAATCGACAGAGAAGAAGTTATTTATACCTCTGCAGACTGACGCTGCTCAAAGGGGCCTCCAGAGTACTGAAAGAAAGAGCTGTCTCCTTCAGTCAGAAACAAAAGATGCAGGAGACGAAACACCAAATAAGTAACACGCGACGAGGTCACGAGAGGAATCCGCCTTGTTTGTACTTTGTCTTTCTTTGTTCAGCGCCATTTCAGTGAGAAGGTATGTTGCGACATTCCTGAGGTTCTTGGTTGTGTGTAAGAAGCGAAGCGTGGGTATTGGATTCAAGTCTGGCATGTTGGGCAAAGAATCTTTCCACCCATGGCATGCTTTCAGGAGTTTACAAGGTAAACATTCCTCGGATTTGGCTAGATCAGTGACTCTGCGTTCTTGCCATTATTTGTTAGTAATGAAATTTAAGTCCAGAGGGACTAACTCATGTCTGGTGACGCTGCGACACGCTTCAGAACTCAACAGCCAGAGGCATCGTGGTGACAGTCAACTCTAAGAATATGAATTGGAAGAATAGAACAAGAAGGTAATGGGGTATCTCATACGTAGGCCATCAATCCCAATGCCGTCGTATAATCGGCCGAGCGGGATCCCATGGCCCGGAGACAACATTTTTATACTTCTGGAGGCTAATAAGCCACCAACTACAGCCGCCCATCGTCAACGCTGTTAGGACGCTTCCCAAGAATGACCCGACTATCGCGCCCATCCACCCACCCCGTAATGTAATACCCACCGCTCCACCGGCGAGCATAACCAGTGCCAAAGTTAAGAATATATGGCCGGTCCACGAGATATGACGCAGCTGCCGCCGGAATATTGGAAACAGGCCAAACACCTCGATAGAGAATAGCATCAAGCTAAAAACATGGGTTGTGGATGGGAGTCGAGAGGCAAGTACCGTCGATGCCATGACGGCTGCATTTGTGGATAGAGATGCAGGAAACTTGGTGGCGCCAGCGCCCTCGCCGCTTCCATAATCAAAGGAGAATATGTTCATGATTAACAACCAGCAGCTCATCGCCCAGATGGAGTCACTAGCGGTCGATTTGGTAAGAGATTTTAGAATAGGACTCAGTCCGAGAAGCGAAAAGTATATGAGGAAAGCCGACTTGACCGTGGACAATCGCTGCCGATTCCTCGAAAGGAATGACTGGGGCTGCCAGCTTTGAGGCTGAGATTGCGCGCTGGGCCCGTTCGTATAGCTAGCAGGAGGTGAGCCTGGGGAAGGAGAACCTGGGTCCTGCACGGTGAAAGAGTCAGCGCTGAGCCCCGTGCTCTGGCGCCTTAGAGGCCCCGGCTCATTTTGCGCCAAGCTCAATCCAAGTCCGTGAACTTGGTTTTCCTTCTGTCCGCCGCCCCTTTGGTTGATAGGATTAACAGAGCTTGTCGTGGAGCTCGAACTCGACCCATCATCACCATCCACAGCGTGCTCAAGAGCCCTCCGGTTCTCTGCATGTTCCGTGAACGCCCACCAGTCCCAGAGTATCCACCCGACAGCTGTTCCAACACTTCCCCAGCAAACGACAGAGACAGGGCTCACCCGACCCTGAACAATGCCGACGAAACAGCAGACGAAGATAGCCACCGAGCAGACATGTTGTACGATAACGGTCGAGTCAGCCACTAAGGGCCAAAAGTCATACGGACGCACACGCGGATTTCGTTGTAGATGGTCGAGGAACGTTTCGGTGTCGGTGTAATTATCCGGGTCTATCCGTCTAATTAGCATGCGCGAGACAGAATGCTCCAGCCTAGCTAGAACGCGTACATGACTGCTTGACCCAGAGTAGTTTTTTCCAAGCACCTTTTCGCTTCTTCCGCGCGCCTGATCGCAGTTTCCGATTATCCTTTCTAGGGACAGCCCCTGGTACAGCGGGCGGGGGTCGCAAGGCCGCAACGGACGCGGCGGTAGCAGCAGTACCGTTTAGGGGACGGATTGGATCCTCATAGTTAGAGCTACCTGGTCGACTCCGGAGAAGAGAGGGTGAATAATATGCGTCTTCGGGGGCGAGGCGAGTGGGATCGGGGAGAGCGCGCTGTTCCCCCGACGGAGGTTTTAGCCCGCCTGTGCGGTTCGGATGAGTTTCGACAGGAACTGGAGGAGGGACTGGAGGAGGGACGGGCGGCGGAGGCGAGTCAGGCAAAGAAGGCATCGAGTCAGCCTAGTCTTTATGCTTGGAGCATGGCGATTGCAAGAAAGAAATAGAGCAGCTCGTCGGCTCAGAGTTGCCAGTCGGAGCACGGGGAACAGGCCGGGGCGGAAATAAACTTGTCACCAAGATTAGAGTTGTCCGTGCGTAGTCTAGTGCCTTCCCTTTACAGTATGGTGTTGATAGCTTAATCGATTTCTTATCAGTGTTGACATTATTATTCTATACAACATGTGCTCTAGATCAACGAAAGCTCTGTACTACAAAATACCAAGTCCTCTTGCCCAATCTAATAGACGTGATAGTTACAACTGGACAAGACCCACCTCAATGGTCAAAGGCTTCCCCGTGCTCCGAGCAATGTCCTGAGCCTGCCGCACAAGAAGACTATATTCGCCCTCGCTCCCCGCAAAGATGTAATGCTGTTCTGGTCGTGAGGAAAGCTGGCAGGATAGAACGTCCACTTTGAGATTCCGGCCGAATATTCTGTAGAAGGCGGATGCCTTCTCAAAAAGCGCCTTACTTGTTTTGCATTCCTCCAGAGGGAAATCACGGACATGCTGTACTGTGAACTTGAAAAAGCTTAGTTTGAATAACAGCTCTGGCCCTTGACTTGGTACTGATGGAGGCCTATTGTCTTCAATGTCCGGGCGAGGCATTCTATCGGCGTTGACCAGAGGAGGCCTATTGTCTTCAATGTCCGGGAGAGGCATTTTGTCGGCGTTGACCAGATGAGGCTGATCGTTGGCGCTATTCCCCTGAAGACTGGTCCGAGTATCAGTATTGGTGTCATTTTCATCGTCGTCATCCGAGTCTTCTGAGCTCTCTTCGTCACCTAATGAACTCAAAGAACTGTCCGTTTCTTCCCAGGCGGAGGGCGATATATCCCTTACGTCCAATTGGCGTCTCTTACTGTCAGACGTGTTTGTGGTTCCCGGAGCAGCAGCTCGTTTTCGGGTCACGGACTGGGGGGATGGTTGAACTGCAGATTGCGCCCCCGGGCGTGTTACTTGCTGCCCTTTTTTGGTCTGCTCTTCCAGGTAGGACCAAGCCTCTGGTTGATATTCGATGATTTCTCCTGGGTCATGAAAGCGTCGGACAATGCATGGCTCTGATTCAAACCCGTCATCCCAGCCTAGCCATGCCTGCAAGTAGGAGCCATACTTCCCATGATGCTTTAAGTAGCTGCAGACAAATTTCAAGCCATTGTCGGGAAAACGAGCGGCGATCACTTGGTATGAAACTGGGTTCTTTATCACGAAGTGTGTCAAGTCCACCTCTCGACCCTCTCGGTCAAACGCTTTCCAGGGCCGTATGCCATTCCTCCATTTCGGGTTGTAATAATGATATTTGCAAGGCGGTATTGTCCTCCCCTCCTTCTCGTGCCATGTTTCGAGTATCGCTTTAAGATCAGGATCAAGTTCCACAGGCTCTGATGTGAATTTGGATTCTGCGGTTACCGTGTGCGCGGATGTTGGGCTGGATTCGGGTTGTGTGCTGCTCCTTGGGGGCTGTGAGATGTTCGTCAAGCGTCTAACTGCAAAGAGAGGAGCATCCGATTCAGCCGAAGCCTCGCGTTCTTGTTTAATCTCAATATCATGCGTGATAGCAGTATCAGTAGGATCTGTATGCGATTGAGGGGCATGTTAGTGAGAGGCGGGCGCAATTGACGCGTTAAAATCACTACTTGCTTGTTTCCATGACGCCCTTCCGCTGTACTGTTTCTGTTTCCTCAACACTCGGGGCCAACGAAGTTTACACAATGTTGCCAGAGGAGTAGTTCGAAGTCTAAATCAGTTCAAATCGATCAACTCATGAGAACTCAGTAAAGTCCGAAAATTTTCGGTTTTTGACGTTCGTATGCGACTGCATCGCCCCAGATCGGTCCAAAGTCTTGGCGGGGCCGCGCCTGCGATCTGCGCAGGTGCAACCAGTCAAGTTTGTTGTTGATGAGGATTTGCGATTACGCTGGATCGTAGGGATGGGAAGGGTCTTCATCTCCAAGCCAAGTAGAAAGTGAATGGTGACTGGCAGCGATCCCATGGTATAATATCGTTTATCTACGGATCAGCTCTAAGGATCAGCTCTAAGAATCGAAACCTAACTTCGATAACCAAGCCCGCACGGATCAGGGCCGCTTGATGCAGTCAACAGGAAAGAGATTCTATATGCAATTGTATGGTTCTTGCTAGCCTCTATCCCCTAGACTGAAAGGAAATGATACATGCCAAGGCTTTTTGAGATGCCAAATGGCGACATCGTCGCGCAAACAGAAGCCCGAACAGGACAGTATAAAACCAAGAAAACATCGCCATGTACCTATTTTTGTACAAATGCGCGCTCGCAATAGAAACGTCTTGTAGAATCTGCCCGCAGAAAACAAAATCAGATCTGGCAAGCACATGGATAGTTGAGACCAAGATGCATTGAATGTCAACATGATTAACGGGTATCAAACGCTCAAATGTGGTGTTGAGGCGGCCAGCAAATGCGGCCAAATCCCATGAGATCTGTGTTCAGATCCCATTATTAGCAAGTGTGTGCTCATCAACGCTGTTCCGGCGGCCCCAGTTAACTGGCTTCCGCCGTAAGAACGCGCCAACTGCACCGATATAGCCCTCATGACGGAGGAAGTACGCTTGCTTTTCGCCTTTCGACCAGAAACGGATAGCATACGATAATGTGTTCATCGTTTGTCGGTGTCCTCGAATAAATGAACCGCCAAAGTAAATATGCTTGACTTGGTGTTTTTCGGATTGCAAGTATGCGATTTGGCCAATGTTATTACTGAGAATGTCAGTGGCGAGCATACCAATAGATCAGAGTGTCTTACCTTATAGCGTATAGTAGGCTCCTGCTCATATCCTCGTGCTTAAAAATTGACTCATCGGTTTGGCCGGCCCCGTCCTGCGGTGCCTCTCCGTCGCTCGCTTCTCGCTCGCCGTTCTTTAGCCGGAAGACCTTGCCAAATGTGCTTGCGATAGCCGTGCTCTTGAGACCGATCTTGCCGTAGTCCATGCCATAAATGTCACCGACTAACATGTCCACGCCGCTGTTATCCCCTCGGTCCGCCATTGCTAGCATGTCGTCGAAGGTCCGGGCACCTGTCAACAACGACATGATACCCCAGAACGTTCCACCACCGAGATGCGTTCCTCCAACACGCTGAAATTGTTTTGGCCCGGACACTTTGATCATTGACACTCCAGATCCGATGTTCACTAAAAGGTATGGGTACACATCCGGTCGGGCCTCGGCGAACTGCATCGGCTCGGTTTCGCTGTACGTGAATATCTCGTTCGGTATCTCGGTTATGAAGAAGTCAAGACCTAGCAGAGTATCGATTAGCTAGTTGTACGTTATATCTGTCGACGGCGTGGTGAGCGGATGCTGAACATACCCGTAATGAGGCATTCCATCTCATCTTCACGAATAATGTCCACATTCAAAGTCTCCTTGAGTTTGTCATAATACTTGTAGGCGCCTCCGCCGGTAGCCACGACACATAGTTCCTCTTTTGAGCCTCCATTGGAATCCCGGTGTTCTTCTTTGAGCCGTTTGATGAATTCCAGGCAAAGGTTTATCCGGTCAGTCTCGAAATTGATAAAGTTCAGCCGCCCGCCATTGTCAAGTGAGTCTAACTCGCGCGTGAAGTAGACCAGCTTCGCTAGAGAACCGCCGATCTACGGAGTATCATGGTCAATGGTCAGTTACACAGCGTGCTTCGTTGACGGTCGGCAAAACGCGATTGCGGGGAGAAGATGTGCGGGGAACCACGGGCGCAAGGAAAAATTCAGGAATCTCACATCGACAGCAACATGGCTCACCACGCCGGTGTGGTGCGGAAGACGAATGTCCTGGCCCTCGTAATGAACACCTTCTTCTCTTACGGGACTCTTGGAACGAGGGTCATCGTCCACAATGAAAGCCCCCTTGACGTTGATCTTGACGGTCCCCGGGTTGGTGATGGCCTGCTCGAGCCGAGGGGTTCGGGCGGGAGTAGGATCCGTAGCGGACATGGTGCTGCAGTATAGGTTTGAGGTAGAATTGGCGCTAGGAAAGCAGACGGTTCACATGGAGAGCAGGAAGGAGATTATTATAAGAGACGGGGTTGATGTTTCTTTAGTCTACCATATCGATATCGGCGGTATGGAGATCCGTGATGGCCGGTACGGCGTAAATCCCGTCCTTCTGCCCGGAATTTGTTGAGAGCTTAGGTGGATCAAGTCGAGAGGCCGAGGATAAGCTGCTGCACTAGGTAGGATCAGTACCTAGTGGACAGGATGCGACATCATGCTTTTGTGGAGGAGTAACCGATTGACTTCCCCGGACACTCATAGATAGATAGCCCTTGATGCTGCCCTTCTGACAGCTTTCTTCTTGAGGAAGGGGTTCGGTTCGCGGCTCATAAGATGAAACATGACGTCTGCCAACTCGCCCCTGTCGTTGATCGTTTTCGTCCTCAGGCATCCATCTGCAACTTTCAGCTTCATCGACCACATGATTCTGGAATAATATCAGGATATCTAGCAAGCAATTAGGACAGAACCGAAATTGCCATGCTGTCGGTGAGGCATATTGGATTTTCAAATTCTTCTCTGATCTTTAGGTGCCAATTACATAAGGTAAACCTGCCAGGGACGTCCTCGTTTCCGTTGTAGTTATCATGAACTTGGCTCGGAAAGCCAGACAACGCCCTGTCACTATGCTGTATTGACAGTAGTTAGAAGACGCCTTGTGGACTGAAGAGATCTATACATTTAATTAGCCCAGAGGTGCCTCAGTATCCGAGATATATGATTAACTTCTGATGTTCGCCTATCCGAACAAACACATGGATGTAAGTATCCGGCTCTGCCATGTCCACCAGCAAGACAGGACAAACGCCTGCTTCTCACTGAATCTCTGACTTTCTCAATTAGATTGTATCATCTATAATGTTGGCAGTGTCAAGTACAAATATGAGTTGGCTCACAGCTTCATAACACTATCTCCCTTATCCCCAGACCAGAACAGCAAGGGTACCTGGATTGTGTGTATAGCTTCATAGTCTGCCCAATTCATGTATGGTTAGGTAAGGTCTATCTGTGATCCTCTCATCTGGCCACAATTGACTGCTGACTGGGACTTAATGTCTTCCTAAAAGCAGTCTGACAAATGTGATGCTGGTTTGTCGCCAGATAAACAGCTCATATCAACTGAAACCTGCCCTGAGATCATTCCGCAGGGTTCCATCAATCACTTGTGTTGCTTGCCTCTCATTTCTCTTCCCTTTTTTCCCTCCTTTTCTTTCCCTCCCTCCTTTTCCTTTCTCTCCTTCTTTCTCCCACCTCTCCTTTTCTTCTTCTTTCTTCATCTTCAAGTTTTCCACCAACAGTCCTCATCAAGACTCCACGAAGTGAGCTATCCCTGTCTTTCCTCTTCCTCTTTCTTCCTTCCTTTCTCTAATCAGAGTCTATTCTCGTTCTGGTCGCTGACTTCTGTATCCATTGTCTAGGCCCCTCGCTCTTGTCACCATGGATGACACTCAGAGCTTCGATGTCTCGTCAGTCAGAGATGCTCTGGCAGATGTCACCAATGCCCAGACAAACAGGAATGCCGAAGCATCTGCTCTTGCTCGCGAGAAAGGCTGGGCGGCTCCTGAAGGCTATGATTATGATAAGTATGTCGGTGTTCCTCCTCTGGAGAAACCTGCCGAGGACAGCCAGAGCCTGCAGGAAGAAGCCGTTCCTGAATGGGCTGCCAATGCTGCCAAGTACGAATGGAAAGAGGAATACGGTGACGTTGGTCCCGAAAATCCTCGGCTAGAAGAACAACTCTTCCGTGGAGAGTTCATTAACCGGACCGGTCTGAAGATCGGCAAGTGAGTACTCTTCCTCTGCTGAATCATAATTCAATCACTGACCTGATGCAGCCTCAGAAATATCGAGGTGGTTGCCGAGTCTCGTGAGCGGCCTGCGCCCATTAGATCGGTAAGTACTTTCTTCGGTACCATTCCTCCATTCGCTCCTTGATGTTAACACTTTGGCAAGTTCGACGATGCCGGTCTTCATCCTGTCATGCGTCAAAACATTCGTCTTTGCGGCTACGAGCAGCCCACACCTATTCAGGCATACGCAATACCCGCTGTCTTGACGTCTCACGATCTGATCGCGATTGCTCAAACCGGTTCGTCCTTATCGAAACATCACACATCCAATTTCATGCTAACATGGCTAGGCTCTGGTAAAACGGCTGCCTTTCTGATCCCAGTCCTTTCCCAGCTCATGGGAAAGGCGAAAAAGCTTGCGGCACCTCGTCCAAACTTAGGTGAGGGCTTTAACCCCAAGAGTGATGCTGTTATTGCAGAGCCTCTTGTTTTGATTGTTGCTCCCACTCGCGAATTGGCGATTCAGATCTTTGACGAAGCTCGTCGTCTTTGCTATCGTTCGATGCTGCGTCCATGCGTCGTCTACGGTGGTGCTCCCTTTATCGGCCAGCACAGGGAGCTTCAGATGGGCTGCGACATTCTCATCGCTACACCCGGTCGACTGCTCGACTTCATGGAGAAGCCTCATACCCTCTCCCTGCGTCGTGTCAAGTATGATGTCCAGCAGTCCTGTAGCAATCTCAACTGACTGGTCTTCCAGGTACACCATCATCGATGAAGCTGATGAGCTCTTGTTGTCAGACTGGGAGGAGGATTTTAAGAAGATCATGTCCGGCGGAGGTAAGATTTCTGTCATTCGAACCCGCAACTGTTGCTAACAAAGGCAGACGTAAATGAAGATGCAGATCATAGATACATGATGTTCTCGGCGACATTCAACAGAGGCTGTCGTGAGTTGGCGCGTAATTTCCTCGCCGACGACCATGTCCGCGTCCGCATCGGCCGCCCGGGCAGCACCCACATCAACGTCAATCAGAAGGCAAGTGCCCGAAATGAACACACATACTCTTTCATTTACCTAACGAGACTGGCCGACGACAGGTTTATTGGGCTGATCCTTCTCAAAAACGAAAGGCTCTCTACGACTTGCTTCTTGCCATGCCGCCTTCGCGGACGCTTGTCTTCGTTAACTCGAAGGCAACGGCTGATCAGCTCGATGACTACTTATTCAATCTCGGACTGCCCAGCACTTCGTTCCACTCTGACCGTACTCAGCGTGAGCGTGAGGATGCCTTGTAAGTTGTTACCTACTCTTCTCCAGCGAAACCTTACTCATGCATTATAGGCGTGCATTTCGCTCGGCGAAATGCCCAATAATGGTTGCCACCGGCGTCTCAGCACGTGGTCTCGACATAAAAAATGTAATGCATGTCATCAACTTCGATCTCCCCAGTGCTATGCACGGAGGTATAACTGAATACATTCACCGGATCGGTAAGTTAATTAGCTGGGCCAAGTCCCCTACCCGAGTAATCAGACAAGCCCTAACATCTGCCAGGACGTACTGCTCGCATTGGTAACGAGGGCCTTGCGACCTCATTCTTCAATGATCGGGACGTGGATCTAGCACCTGACTTGGTGAAGATTTTGGTTGAGGCGAATCAGGACGTCCCTGACTTCCTCATGGACCATAAGCCTCCCGCGGGCGAAAAGCTCAATTTTCACGATGATACAGATGATGAGGATGCTAACGAAGCTAACGGTACGAACGGCAACGGCGACGGAAACGGAGCCTGGGGAGGCTTTCAGCCCGCCTCTGCGGAGGAAGCGCCTGTGTCTTCTGGCTGGGAGTAGGACTCAATGTCTTGTCTTCCGCGGTGGAAAGACGTTCTCTCTGTGTACTTCTGCTCTTATCTGTCGAGGATGACTGACCGAGGCAGTGCCTCACTGTTGGCGGTACTTCACACAATCGGATAACCTCATGTTCTTGTGGCTTTTAGCTAGTTAGTCAGTCAATGAACTCTATTCGCATGACTCAACTCGTTCCTTTCCTCATTATCAATTCAAATGTCTGTATCTGACGCCCTGTCAGGCAAGCGTCTCTTGTCTCTGTCATGGGCCTCAGAAGATCAGTTCCAGGTTTAGGCAATTTCATAAGTCCTCCAGCTAATGAGTCATCCGGCTTTGCCATATTGTCTTTAACGTAGCTTCCTGTTGAGTACTGACCTCACCAGGACATCTCGAGAGGTCGTTCTTTCCTCTATTAGATAGGCGGCGACTTTGAACCGATGGTCACAGCTCGGCCACATCTCAGTGCACGCTCGTTGTCTTTCAAGACGCTGGGCATATTTACGAGATATTTCTAGTCCTTCATCTTCATAGCTTTCAAGAATCAACGACGGATGCTACCATGAGGCCCACGGTACCTCTCAATCAGGCAATCCTAGCCTTGACGCCCCTCCTTTTCACCACGGCAGTCCAACTCCTTCCTCCTCCACCGATTCCTGTCAATTTTACGGCCGCGTTTATACACAACCCTGCGTCTCCTACTCAGCATACTAAGAACAGATCATCCGGCCTGGTTATCGACTCCTTTACTGAGTCAGAACGCAACGAGCTTGGCTTCTGGCACGGTCCCAGCACCAACCTCGCAAGCGAGCCCGGTAATGGCTATGTGCGTCTCTTTCCTTCAGACCCAGATCAAAACTACCACACAGAGCTCGGGCCTGCAACCTGCTTCGACATGCGACCTTACGAGCATATGTACCTCCATGTAGTGTTTTCGGGGTCGACAAAGTTCAGTATCTCACTGAATCAACATAACGAGAAGTGCGATTCTCGCCGCAGCCCCTTCCTCGAAACGTGGGACAGTGTCGAAACAGAGCGGTACGCGCGGGGAAACGACATTTATGTGCCTTTGGATCATTTTGACATCGATCAGTCTCGGACGGTGTCGGTCTCTTTTCACGGGTTCTACTCTCCGGAGACTTTGACATTATACAAAGTGGAAATCGTCTCAGACCTCCCGTGGGGATTTTATGTGCCCCCGAAGCTAGAGACCGGAAAACTGTATCTTCATTGCACAAGACCGAACTCCTTTGCCTTTGGCATCGACGACGGATTGCCGCACTTGGTGCAAGACGTCATGGATATCTTGGAAGAGGAGGACATCCTGGTCACCTTTTTCGTTGTGGGCGCTGGGCTTCGAGACAAGGAGGCCAACTTTTCGCAAGTGTACCAAGAAATGCTGCGGAGAGGACATCAGATAGCCTTACATTCGGATACGCATCAGCAGTGAGTATTTTCTCAATCCAAGCGCATTGTGTGCGAGACCGATGCTAACTCCCTTCAAGGATAGAAGGTCTCGACACCATAAAGGCTATCGATGAGGAGATTGTTCACAACATTGAGACGTTTCAGAGACTACTTGGGATTGAATGTACGTGATGCCTTTATGAAGCGTGTTGGCCTTCCTCCTTCCAACTCTCTTTGAAGGTACAACTACTGACTTAGCAAGCTCGTTATTTCCGTCCACCATACGGCACTGTCGGCGCTAGAACCCGGCAGCGGCTGGCAGCATACGTCAAAGACCCCAACGTCATAAATTGGAGCGTCGATGTCGAGGATTGGCTGTGGGCAGAGAGCAAAACACCGGAGCGCCAACGTGATGCATTTTTCCGCGACGTAGGTCGAGGAGGCAACTTGGTGGTTATGCATTATCTCAGTCCGACAACGGTCAAGTACTTTGGGGAATTCATCCGATTCGTCAAGAGTATCAATCTCGACATCATGCGAGTGGATCAATGCCTCGAGGATCCCGACAGTCCTCCATTCGACACATTTCGATTCAGCCAGCAGGGGCGCGGGCGATACAGGATTCAGTCGAATAGAAGGCCTGATACCAACCCGCGCAAGACGGGGTGAAACTTCTCGATACAAAGGGCGGGCTGAGAGACGGCCCTTTTGTGATTCATGCCTCATGTACATTAAGCCAGAAGGATAAGCTGCGAATAATGGGCAACCGGCAAGTTGTATTATATTAATCCTTGACACCCACAATGCAAGATCTGATGAGTCTAAAACTAAAAGTACAGAAAAGCCTTTGACGCTTTTAGTGTCCAAATGGTTTCGGCCAGCGAAAAGAAAGAATAGAAAGTCAGATCATAACCCAAAGTCCGGTCGAACACATTGAGGTGCCTGGTCTACCATGTTCTCTATCTTGTTTATGATCCATCCAGACCGGGCGTCCGAGTTTTTGGACCCAAGCCGTGGTGTCGCACCAGTGTAGCATGTTCCATCACGCATAACAAACTGCACACAATCGGCAGCATCCTCGCAGTAAGACTGGCATTCTTGGAACGTAGAAAGCGACGACTGTTCCTTGTCGGAAAGGTTATCCCAACCATTTCGTACATCGGAGAGCTCGGGGAAGATGAGCTCCTTGAAAACATCGCTGTGAAGAAGAGGTCCTTTTGCAGCCTAAAGAAAAAAGAAAAAAGACGTATCAGCCGGTGTACCATGTATAGGTCTTAAAGAAGAAGCCACTGACCTTCGCAAGCCTCCGCTGCTCAAAGTCAAACAGAAACCGGATATCGTCCGGCGAGAGGTGGTGGAATGCCACAGCCGGGAAACACCACGGCCGGCGGTAAAACATCGTCGTGAACTCATCCAGCTCCCCGATATTCGAGTTCTGCAGGATCGGCCACGAGAAGGAGAGCGGGACGCCGACGTTCGAGAGGACCTTGCCGAGCACGCAGTCGCCCGCCCAGTGGGCGTCCGTATACTCGTGCAGTTCGTCCGGTCGCTCGGTGTACTCGTCCGCTGCGAGCTTCATGGCTGGGTTGGAGAGCACGAAGCCCGACCCGCCGTGCGCGAAGATGACGTCTGCGATTTGGGTCTCCGTGCCGATGTAGTGTGGTTTGGAGGTGTCGAAGTGCGAGAGCCAGGAGAGGAGTGTCGGCCACGAGTAGTATGTGTCTGCTTCCATGAACACGAACCATTTGGCTTCTGGCTTGTGCGTGTAGGCCTCCTTGACCATTGGCAGGAACTTCCACTTGTCCAGCTTCCAGCCCGGGTTGTTGGGTTTGCCGATGGCGGAGTTCGCCTCGTCGGCGAAGTCTTGTGTCTGTAGGCCCTCGCGGCCGCGCTTGGAAAGGCGATTGTAGATTTGGAAATCCTCGATGTTCTCCTTGACGACGGGGCTGACGTTGCGGAAGGCGTCGTGGATTTGGACGCCCTCGATTTTCTCCTCAAAGTCGGAGTAGATGATGTAATTGGGGATGCAGCGGAGGGTGGTTTGGAAGTGCACGGGCACTTTATCGAGGGCTTCTGTGACGCCGGTTTTCATGATGACGAGGACGTCCTCGATGCCTGGGAGGGGCGGGCATTGTGGTTGTTTCTTGCTAGAGCTCGAGGTGGAGCTGGGGCGTGCATTGTTCTTGACGGAGGACGAGGGTGAAGAGGGTTTATATGGGACGGAGCCGAATGTGAAGTGGTAGATGAGGAAGAGGGTGAGGAGGGATGCGACCACGGCGATGCGACGACGGATGCCGCGGTGGGAAGTCATTCCGGCGGGGTTATGCGGCGCTAGATTATACGTAAACCGGTCGAGCTTCGAGGGCGTCGTGCATCTTCAATTTCTCGTCGGTTTCCTCCTGTTTGCGCTTTCTTGCCGCCGGCGTTGATGTGAGATATACCTGCGGTCGCGGGGACGGAGGGAGTAGGACGGAGGAGGGGCGGGTTTAAGGGACGAGGAGTCGGCGTCTGGCGAGGATGAACGAGGAAAGGGGAGGAGGATCGACGTTGGCAGTTCGTTTTAAAAAGGAGGAGTATGGAGGATCATCGGCCCATGCCTCAAGGCGAGGGGAAGCTGTTGAAGATCGAGGAGCTCTGATGACGCGTTTAGTCCGTTTCACAAGTAACGAGCCTGGGCCGAAGGCAGACGTCAGCTTCTGAAACTACCGTTGGCCCAAGTGGAGCTCTGGAGGCAGTCAGGAATAAACTCACGATCCAGGCTAAGTCACAACTCAAAGTGGACTCGACACAAAGAACAGGTTCGCGACATTCAGTCTTCCGTTCAATGATGACAGCCGGACCGTTGGAAGTCAACTCAAAAGAGATCAGCCGTTATTCCTGAATATGCTGGAATGCTGGAATCTGGTCGGCGGCTTGGAATGTCGATCACCGGGACAGTGGAAACTGGAAACTCTGTCCATCTCAATCATTCTTCATGATTCCTGACCAATTCCTTGAAACGGGGTGAGGCGGATTCGAACCCTCGAATTCGAGCACAATGGCTTCATTATTAGTAAGATGCATGTATAATACCAGGGTTATGCCTCTGTGCAGCATTCGCCTTGCACAGTATTCTGTACAGAATCCTCAGTCCTTCAGCAGTTGTTTCCTGTTAACCGTTACTTTTACTTCTCTTTTATCACTTAGGCTATATGTGAGCTCTTCAGCTGTGCTGTATATAAGCTTATGGGCGGATTGGTTGATGGGACTACGGAGTGCAAAGATCGATTGAAAATATATATCCACGCGGATTAACGCCCTGCTGGCGTCTTGAGATTCCCTCGAGCAAGTTGCATAGATCGGAGAAGATACTAGAATTCAATATACGATAAGTACTTGAATATACATAAATGACAGGAAACAGCCTTTCAAATCCCGGGAACTACGCGATCTCAAGCATTTGACCCCTTCGTTGGTCTGGGCGTCCGATTAGCCCTAAAAACTCACTGCCACTCTCTCGATGCCAACCCCTTAGCCCTGCACACCACCGAAGCTCGCACCATAAGAAGGTCTGGAGTACTTAAATATGACCGTGAGAGGGAGCATCAAATATTGATATTTGAGCCCAAGCCGGATGGGCCGTGACTCCAAGATTATCGGTAGCCCGGATCCCAGTGCCGTTAGAGACCAGAACATACTCCGCTCCAATACCAACGATATTCTGCAGACGGACGTTAACGTGGTTATTGTTGAGGCGCCACAAGGCCTGCTGGCAAGAATGGCGGTCGATGCAGTCTTGAGTGTATGCACTGAACCAGGAGTATGTGCCGGCGCTACTGACATGGATATTCTGACTTTCCGTTATGATGACAGCCCACGCCTCGTCACAGCCGTTGAAATTTGAGTTGCAGTTATAAGCTGGATCGGAGGGGTAGACCCCGACCTGGTTACTGAAAGGTGCTGGTGGCCGTGGATTAGGCTGGTAGTAGGGTGGTTCTGTTTGGATCACGGTGGTAAAGATATTTTGTGCGTGGTGAAAGTTGTACTGATAGAAGACGCTGTGCTCCGAGGCTGTGCCATAGAGCCAAGTAGCAGAGGTGCTCTCGATCAGCATTCCACGGGCGACATAAACACTCACTTGCGGCTGCAGGCTGGTTAGCTGGAATGTCTCTCGCAATCATCGAAAGACGAACCATATCATTGTAGGCATCATTGAGATCAAGGTCACTAGCGGCGAGATAAAAGGTTAGCAAACAGCATTTCCGCGAATGATGAACAGATGACTGGGGCTGCTGGAATAAACATACTCAATAAGATGGTCAGCTACCCAGAGCCACATATTCTCAAAATATCCTGAAGCCTCCGGCGTAAGGTGTAGCATGAGGCTTGCTGCTTGACAGGACGCCGGGTTGGTGCCAGTGGTCAAAGCGGGACACTCTGTTGGAGTCAGGGATGTCCCAATAGCACCACCAATTCGGGCATGAACGTCTTGAAGAGAATTGATATTAGTTATGCCCTGTAGGATGACAAGGTTCTGGCATAACATACCCCATAGTGCGGCAGCACCGGCGCTAGCCGCTTTGACATTCCACTGCATCAGCACCGCACCAGCTGTGCCTCCTTTCGTTGTTAGGATCAAGTCCTGTACCTCAACAGTCCCCACGTCACCCCTATTGCCGACTTGGAGCATCACTCGAGGATTGCTAAGACTGCCGCGTTAGTAGATACTCATCACATACAGGTAGAAATCATGTACTTGGCATCGGAGAAAGCACTACCAGCGGCAGCAAACTGTGACCAGGCTTCCCCAACTATCTTGGCATCCTTAGGGACTATCACTGTGTTGGTCAGAATGTAAGTGCCGGAATCCACAAAGATAATTCGGTTTCCGCTGCCGTAGTCGTTGAAGGCCTTTTGTATTGCGGCAGTATCATCAGTAACTCCGTCACCTGAATTGAGTTAGATAAGCGAGCAAAAACTGAAGACATATTAAGAAGAAAGCGTACCTCTGGCACCGAGGGATTTCAATTGGACAAAGTCTTCAACAGGCCGGTTTGCATATTGATTCTTCTTTCGCTCGAAGTATGGGCGTTTATTGAGGCCATCAACGCTGCTCCCTAGCAGCGACTGCTCCCGCGTATAGGACGAGACGCTCGCCGAAGTCCAAGCACGTGTATTGTCGCTGTATGTCGGACCAAGCACCCAGTTGTCGTGATAGCCTGCTGCTAGATATGTCTTCCCAGCAGTATCAACAATGGGGCCATCAATCCTAGTATTGTCCAGAACCAGTCCGGTGGTACCGGAGCCTGGAGTTGAAGACGCAGGGGCTATGATGATAGCGGTATTCACGCTGCTGAATTTCGAGTCGATGAAAGTGACTGAACCAATATTACCGCCGTCGGTGCCTATCAAACGGAACCCGACGTCGGCCCCTTGTATACTTAGTGATTTCCAAACCCAGGCCCAGTCCCAGATAATTTGTACGGCCGTTGCACAGCCGATAAAGGTCATTCGATGGGCGCTAAACTGCTGATTGCCACCGTCTGTCCGTCTTGTCAGCACAAGCATGCCTAGAATAAATTATCTTCGAGATTCGCTGCTCACAGAAACCAAAGTTACCACCTCTGAACGTGACGTCGGACATCATACCGCCACTGCCATTCTCAGAAACTACCCTGGCGTTAATGATATTCTGCATGGTCACCGAGAGAAGACTTACAGATTCCTTGTTGTGTGGTTTCAGTTGTGGCAATCAACTCCACGTCCTGCAGGCTCGTTGCCTGAGCTATCTGGTAGTGGATTGCACAGACATAGGCGTTTGGATCCGTGGATGTGATGTCGATGCGAAGGTTGCGAATCTGGCTGTAGAACCGGGCGGTGTTGACATAGTACTCGCCATCGCCGCCGTCAGGCCCAGTACCACCCACATACTGATTAGTCGAGAGCACGCCTAGACCGACAAAGCTGCCCGCTGCCCTGATAGTCGGCCAATTGTTCGCCTGTGGGTGTTAGCAATACTCCTTTTGATGAAGAGCCCAACTTGCATCGCCTATAATCTGTGTAGCAAACAGCACTTCGATGGTGCGGGAAACGAGGTAAGTCCCTGGAGGAAAGTAGACGATGGCGTTCTTTCGAGTCGAACCATTGCACTTTGCTCCGCAACGGTTGCCGTCGTTGATGGCGGCCTGAATGGCGGCAGTGGAGTCGGATGCACCCGTGGGGTCGGCATGATAGTCGCTGACAACGTTTCGAAAGACCTTTCCGAGACAGTTGGTTAGTTGAGGTTGTGTTCATTTCACCGACAGTCCGCCATGGCCGAGGAAAGCACGTGCATCACTCCGATGGGCCCCCTCCTTTTCTCTTCTTGATTATTTTCTGCCACGAGATTCTCTTACCTTATACTGGGCGTCATTTCCCCAGGGCATCGTTCCCTGATGCTTGATGTCCTGCATCCAGAAGGTCGCGGCCGCCGGCCTGATAGGCGCAGAAGTCCCATTAGCCTGCTCGGCTGCCACATCTGCCTCCGCGACAAGAGCCGCGGCATGTGCAATGTCCTCTGTGATCTGCAGCAGAGGAGGATATTCGTCGTCATCCCGAGTGCTGTTTGCTCCAAATCTCAACCTGTACGAGTCGTGAATGGGTTTGTCCAAGCGGGCTTTGTTGAGCTTCGTCATGCGCGCGATGGCATCGTGGACGACCATGCGTGCTTCGTCAATGCTTGCTTCAGTGGCCTCGGCTAATAGCGGCTGCTGAGTACTGAGTTCATCGATCTGACCAACAATAGGATGCGAGTTTTCCACTCGTGGTTCGATTAAGCCATCGGCATCCGAGAAAGGGCTGGCAAGGGCCTGCAGAACAATGCAGGCCCCGAGCATGGTTATCAGCCGACAATGAACCATTATAGCCTGGCACGACTATCCACTGGAAAGCGTCCTGAATGCAAGATCGAAGCCTGAAATAGAAGAACGACAAGGGGGAGAAATGACCAAGGGTGTATGACGCTTCTGGGTGCTATCGAGATCCTTTTATAAGCTTCGCTCGAAGGGCTTGAGTACCGCAATTCCGTTTTATTTGCGAAGGCTGAGCAGCCTGACCGAGCACCATTCTCCAGAGCTCGATCGCACATGGCCAACAGCAAGGGGGTACGGTCGTACTTGCCTCGACCGATCAAGGAGTGTCATCGTTACACCGGAGATGGTCAATCCCACCTTCACACCAGATCTAGTCAACATCGGCACAAGCACGCGTTGATCTTCTGACGTGAAGCAGAAACCTTAGGTCCCCCGACAGCTGCAAGAAACTTGCAAATCCCGTGCGAACTTGGATGATCCTGGCAGTACCTAAATCTGACTTATTGAGGATTGAGACGTCGATCAGAGAAGCAGCATGGCCAGTTGGCCCGATTTGCAATGCAGCCATGGAGGTGACTATATTGTGGATTCACCCATTGCGATGGGAGAAGGAACAGCTCACAGGACATGCCAGTTCCTGCCCTAATCAAGGCTAGCAACCCTTGTTTTGGACGATGAGGCGACAGCCTTCGAGGCAAAAGGCGCGTACCAAGCACGCTGCACGGGTATAAACCAAACGAAGGACTTTATTGTTCATGTAACCCAGCAAGCTTGGCTTGCAGCTGCAAGCTCTAGGTACTGCGTCAGAATCAATCCCTGTTTGTCACCAGACGCATACCTACGACGCGGACCCCCGCCTTTCGGCGCCACTACGATACCTGATTACTCCGACGACTTTTTCATGTCTTCCGGTCACTCTAATGGCTGGGAATGTTCTTTGAAAAGTAAGTGGTGTTTGTATGTCAATCCCTCCGGCTATACTAAATACTATCTTCTGAGGAGCTTATAAACCAGGTACATACCTCCTCGATCTGGACATGTCAGCCCGATATAGCAAGATATAAGTATCAGTAAGCGTAAAGGTTTATGACCCCTGGATCAGCTGCTCGGAGCTTCTTATTTTCTCTCATGAGAATCCATCTCATGACCCACGCCAATATCACCACCCCGGCCGAAAACCCAATGCTGGCGTACATGGCAGGCGCAAACCTGGGAGCATCGCTATCCGGCCAAAGATATGGTGTGTACACACTGGCTAGATTTCCTAGGGTATTGGTGATCGCGATAGCCACGGCCTTCTTCTCATCAGTCTGTCCGACCGTGGCGGCCACCCAGGCGATGTTGATATTGTTCACTCCGTAGGTGGCGCCAACAAACAGGATCATGGCAAAGTATCGTGCCCCAGTGTTTAGGCTTCCACAAGCAACTGCGAACCCCACAATTGCGAGTGCCTTGGAGATTGTGACGTGCCATGTCCGCTCGTTGAAACGGCCTGAAGACCAAGAAACAGCGACCGAAGTGAAAGTCGCCACGAGATATGGCGGGCAAGTCAGTACAAGGGTGACAGTCGAGTTAAAGCCGAGCGTCTCAACGACGGTTGGCATGAAATTCTTAAAGCCGTTGGCTGAGAGATGAAGGTTGCACATCAGGGCGAAAATCCAAGTTCGGTAGTCCAAGCACGCTTCCCGAAGCCCAGTCCAGACACTCGTTCCCTCTGCCTTTTGAGTCGTGTCTCGCGCGATCCTATCGTGAGCAAGCTGCCGCTCCTCCGGTGTGAGCCAAAAAGTCTGCTTGGGAGAGTTCGGAAGGAGAAAGAACGCGGCAATGGCCACTGCCACGGTCACGACTCCTTGTATCAGAAACAGCCACTGCCAGCCAGCAAGGCCATGTTTCTTGTCGAGGGTAGCAAAGACAGCAGCGGAGATAAGGCCCGAGAACGAACTCGCCAGCATGTTTCCAGTATATAGTACGGCCATTCGTGTGGTAGCTTCTTTGCGGTTATAGAAGAGCGAAATCATGAACAGTGCGCCTGGATAGAATGGTGCCTCCACGACACCAAGCACAAGTCGACATGCAAGCATGTGGTGATAATCTTTGACAAGGCATGTGAGGGTCGATACGATTGCCCAAGCCATCATGAAGCCAGCCATATACCACGCGGGCTTGACGCGGTTGAGAAGCATGTTAGAGGGCACCTGTCCGACAAGGTACCTATTGATGCAAATGCGGTCAGAAAAGCGAACCTGGGAGATGACGGATGGCAGGTCCTCACCCGACGAAAAGAATGCTCACGCAGGTATTGTACTGGGTTCCCTTCAAATTCAAGTCTTCGACAAGACTGTTGAGCTTGCCGTTGACGAGGGCATTGCGGTCCAGAAAGTTGAGGAAGTACATCGCCCAGAGCGTTGGCTGCATTCAAGCCGTCAGCTATCGCCGGCCAAGGAGAGAAGAGGTCGCCGAACCATCATGTAGCAGTCAATCTTGCGGACCAGAGCAATCTCCTTGGGGTCGACCTTGGCCGCAGCCCCAAACCTGTCATATTGCGGGACATGCTCGCTCTTCTCAACGTCCCCAACGTGTTCAGCGTAAGAAGCTTCCTTCTCGACAGTGCCGTGGCGAGATATATCGGTCATTGTGAAATTGCTGCAGCGACTAAATGTTGAATTCGATGATGAGACGGGATAGACCGGGAGATTATGGTTCTCATCCATGTCCCGGAGGCCGTGGACCCTGATATAGTCGAAGCTTTCCGCGCTCCACTCCCCCGCTTCTGCGAGTCCGGGGTAGATGGCTGCGCGAGTGATGACCACCAGTTCCGAGAGGCTGTCTAGTGCGTCTCGGATACGACGAAGGCCAATCGGAAGCCGCTGATATATTGGGACAAGGCAGATGGCCCTGTCCAAGGCCATCCTGCAAGCGAGGGGTCTGTCTCCCTTACTCGACTTCTGCTGATTGTGCGTCTCGGATATGAGCTGACTGCTGTAGCTTATCCGACAGCTCTTGTTCTTCAGTCGCAAGGTATGAGTTTGCCTTCCGGGATCTGATACATCAGGGTGGTACGTATGCTGGATGGGAGGTTACCTTGTTATCCGGGTCTATCTCAACCCCTGCAGCCCCGTGATCAACTCAGTGACTAACTGCTGTACCATGGCTGCTGCTCAGCTGGCAGTGCGTGCGTTTGCATGCGACTTAGGTAGTTCTACCACGAGCTCGCCATTGCCAGTGAACAACCCCCTGTGCTTGAAGAGCGCCTTGAGCAACGTCATACTGCATGACCTGAGTACCAATGGCTAGAGAACGGGGCCGGTGGTTTATACTGCGTGATGAAAAAAGGGTACTTGGCCATCATAGAGTCATTGGCAGGTACATTGCTCGCGTAGATGAATCAAACGATTTTTAAGGGCACGCATACTTTAGATATAGGTAGGGAAGAAAGATACTATCAACTTATTATTCTTATTAGGAAGGAACATAGAAAAACCTTCCAGAAGAGCGTGTAAAAACTATGAAAACAGATCTGAATATAGCAAATCTGAAAAACAAGCCTTCATCCTACCACTCACTTCTCCAGGCATCGACAAACTTCTTGATCAACCCACTCTCAATCAGTTCCACGCCGCCCCTCAAAGAAGGACTAGCAGCCTCAGACTTCTCCATCTCAAAGACAAGCTCCGATCGACCCAAATTATCATTATCGTATTTCTCGGCGAAGAAGTCCAACAGCTTAACAGCCGGGTTCTTCTTCGGATCCTGCTCGCCTTCACGCAGGCGCTGAACCCACTGCCTCTTCGGCAAGATTTCAAACTCAAGACCAGCCTCTTTTAGAGCTGGCAGTAGTTCCTCCGTCCACTTGAATGTCCTTGCATTCTGCACGTGGTAGATTGTACTCGGGTCATGCGAGAACTGTCTCAGTATCGCGGAACCAGAAACAGAAGTTTCATTGAGGCCACTGAGATCCAAAACCGCATCCGCGACGATATCCACAGGGAGCCATGACGGCGTTTCATCTATGGCCGGTAATGCTTTCAGCGTGTGCGCGGTTTGAAGCATGAGAGGGATCGCTTCGGTGGTGTTCCATTTCCCGGTGACGGTGTCGCCGACGATTTGCCCGACCCTGAGAACTTTAGCGATCATGCCGGTCTTCTCTGCTGCGGTCTGGACGATTCGTTCGGCGACCAGCTTGGACCGTGCATAGCCCATGCCTTGGGCGTGGGCTAACTCGGGGACTGGGGCTTCGGCGATGGTAGCGGGGAGCGGTGTCCCTGCGGCTGCGGACGCGGACGAGCAGAAGTAGAATTGTGCCGGAGAGGATCGGTTGCTGGAGAGACATAGGTTGATCAAATTGTGCACTCCCCGGATGTGTTGCGCTTCGAAACTGCCGACGCCCAGCGTAAAGTTGACGGCCCAAGCAGAGTGTATGACTCTGGTCAACGAAGTTCGAAGATCGTTAAGGACTGAAGGGGGCAGTCCGAGATCTTCTGAACCTAATTGGGAAGGTAGGGCCATGACTTTTGAGACATTCACCATTGGTAGCGATCGGGAGGCTAGGTTGGAAAGAACTCGATCCAGAGCATTGTTGGGATTGGATGCTCGCACAAGACAGTAAATCTTCTTGACATTAGGCTTCTGCATGAGGCGAGAAAGGATATAAACACCGAGGGAGCCAGTGGCTCCAGTCAAAAGCTAGATGGAAATAGTAAGCAACTGGATTGGCGAGGAAGATTTGTTGATGCCCAGGCAACTTACAATGACTTCTTCTGATTCCGGTCGTGGTATAAAAGACGAGTATTTATCAATCAGCCGAGACATAACAGCTAGCTCATCCTCTTCATCTTGTTGGCTGCCAGTACGAAGAGCGTACAGATAAGCGGCGAGCTTCTTGACATTGGCAAAGTCGAAAACCACATTGTGGCCAAGCTCAGCAGGCCCAATATCAATGTCCCTTATGATTGAACCTCTTGCTTTGATCGCCTGAAGACTATCGACGCCTGCTTCGAAAAAGTCGGAATCCCGACTCAGGTCATGATATCCGAGCTCCTTCCTGAAAAGCTCAAGCAGATACCTTTCTAGTTCCGGGAGACCTAGAGCAAGCTTCGGCACGCCATTGGAAGACCCCTCTTCCAACCTTCGGTATGTAGCCTCAATGAGGTCGCTAAACTCGTTGTAAGAGCGATTGCGAATCATTGTTCCCTTGTCGGTGGCCGGATATGAGCAACCAACGTCTAAGACGACAACCATGTCGCGAGATATTTGACTGAATGCTTCTGCATTCTCGTTGGCGGCCTCGATGTCGAACCATACCTTGTCGAGAATCTCGTCTTTTGTCATGCCCTGACATTCAGCGCTAGGAACAATGATCAGACCAGGCAATGGCCTTCCCGCCCCGAACACAAGGTTATCCTTCACAAATTTGTTCTGGCGGATGCGGTGCTCAATGGGCACTGGTAGCACCTTCTCGCCATTAACCAGTGTGACTCTATCATCGATGCGGCCCAGGTATTTCCAGGCATTGGGAACGCTGGGATGTTTCAGGAATGTGTCGCGAGTACGAAAAGAATTTGGCGGGTCATCGCAGTTAGAGCTGACTTTGGCGGGCAGTCCTTCTAAAGCAATGCACTCGTAGGAGCCGTCCTCCAGCTCTTCCATTCGCAGATAAGGTTGGGAGCTTTTCAAAGGGCGAACATAATTCCATAATTTGTCGTCAATAGGCCGGTCAGATGTCATCAACTGACCTAACTCAGTCCTATAGATAAGATCAGTGTGTTTCCTTCTAGTAGACCCTGGTCAAAAATAAAAATAAAAAGGGGGACTGCATACGCTCCATAATGACTGATCAGTCGAACTCCATTGTCCACAAGGTGATCACCGAGATCATCTGGACAGCTGCTTCCTCCAAAAAGAACTTGTTGGCATTTGGCTAGTGCTTCTGTCCCACCATCAACTTCACTCAAAAGCTTCAGAACGTATGGCACCCCATGAAAACTTTCTGGCTGGAACGCTTTCATAACTTCAAGGACGTTCTGGCCGGTCAAGGGTAGGTTTGCGTTGTAGATGGCAATTGGCTTTGCCTTGAACAAAGATCGGAAGAACGTGCATAGGCCATGATTGTGGTACAAGGGAAGAGTCAACAAGGCCCGATACGAGTTGCTCGTGGTGTAGTTTGCTATACAAGCCGCATGGGTTTGGAAGATTGGCTTGGGAAGACCCGTGGAACCTGAGCTGTGGATGATGAAAGCCCATTTCCGAGCCGACTCAGCATGTCCTGCAACTCCCAAGTCCGATGACTCGGTGCACTTTGCATATGACGAATACTCTGGTATCAGGAGTGTATTGAGATTTGGCGTCACGCCCTGAATAGATGCCACGGCTTTCCGGGTCGAAGACGAGTATAGGATATGACTGCAGTTCGTTTGCGCAAGTAGATTGGTATAGGCTTCGGTGCTAAGCCGAGTGGATAGCAAAAGAACTGCATAGCCCAATCGAGACAGGGCGAACAGCGAAACGATGTAATCGAGATTGGACGGGCCAAGAATTGCTACCACTCGGTTCGTGGTGGGATCGGAGAACTAAAAGGATACGAGTTAGTAAAGGGGTATACCGTATAAGATTCAAAGTTAGCTACCTGTGGAAGTCCAGAGCTCTGAAGAGCTTTACTGGCTCCATTGGCAAATCTGTCCAAGTCTTTTGCGGTATAGAATGTATAATCGCTGACTCCATGAGAGCTTTGTGGGTAAGCAACTAGTGGTGCTTCTGGTGGGTGTGCTAAGCGTTGCAATAGAATATCATTGACCGTGTACAATGGTACTTCTGGCTCGCCTGGTGGAGTTGGAGGAAGCTTAGCAGAACTGATCGCAACGTCCATCTTGTCCATTGAGACATCGCCGCCGACTTGAGATGTAAACATTGTTCAGATCGAGGAATGCGTCGAGTGCGACATTGAGAAGTTCTGCATCAGAACTGGAAGTATTAATCCAGGCTAGCATATATTGCTGCACCTAGTAATGAAGCATGCTATCCCTCACATGGCACGAGGACTGCACCGCAGCATCACCCGTTATCCGTATGCTCCGAGAACCACCATATCCGTGTTAGGGCAGTGTTCGGAAAAGCAAAGTGGGGCTCGGATAAGTGAATATTCATATCCGATTTGCCCGACACGGGGGTGATGAAGTGTCCATCATGGGGGTCAAAGCGTTCGTGTATGGGTTGCCGTTCGAAGGAGACCCCGGAGTCAGACGCCCAAAGCGAGGCGATTGTCTGACAATATCAGATGAATGTTGACGTGATTGTAGAGTTGAAGTCCTTGGCACGGCCTGGAGTCCGGACTTCCAGATGCCCATTACAACAGCCTGCATTGTTGAGAATATGGCAGGGAACTGGGCTTTTAGTTTAGTAGCTGGCAATTTAGGACTGCTAGCGGAAACGAGAACCAAGTCTGTCACATTAGGAGAAGAAGTATGGCTCTCCAGTAGCTGCATAACTTCCCATTTCAAATCACGGTAGCATTATCAATTCGCTGCGCACAAGTTGGCTCATCGGTGCATGAACAAGCAAGAGTTCTGGCTGCATACTGTATCAAACTTTCAACCTTGGAAGTCCGGCAGGTTGTCGGAAGAGAATAGATATCCTAATTCTCCCAACCCCGTTAATGCCAGCGAGTCGAACTCTCCCCAGCCTGTCAGACTAGGAGCGTAGGTTCCTGGGCTGTTGTCTTGTAGCAGGGTTTCTAGCCAGGCGTGCTGCTCCGGCTGCATGTTCATGAGCTCTAGGGACGAATTGTGGGTGGCTCCTTGTTCTGGGCGTGTGAACATAGTTTGAGAATACCCTGTCCGCTCATGACCGAAACTTCCCCCGGAAACATTTGGCTCTTGAGAACCATTCATTCTCACGTTAGTGCTGTTGGCAGCTTGCTGGCCCGTATAGCGATCTACAGCCACCGGTTGTTGTTTTTGTTGGATGCACTTCTGCGCTTCCTTACGAAGCTCTTCGAGCACCATGGCGTAACGCCGGGCAAAGGATGATTGCGCTCCACATGCTGCTAGATGTTGTTGAGCTCTCTCGCCCGCTTGAAAATGGGTCAAGCTTGCCTCCACGTTTTTGTGTGTACAGCTCTGGATAAAATGGACGTATAATACGACAATGGCTGAGAAAGCATAGTACTGAGTAAACTAATGAATGTTAGGGCGAAGCGCAGCACTTGTAGAGCAGAAACCTACCCAGAAGGTATGGTACATTCTACCGTTTTCACACAGATCACGCAAAATGCCAGTGATTTTCATGGCAGCTTCTATACAATGTCGGGTGTTCTCGCTGAGAGATTCGGAGAGATGATTGCTGTCATCGGATGCCGGAACTGCTAGATTCTTGAAATCTTTGAGGATAAACGGACGATATAGTAAGATTTGAGCGTGATAGAATGCAAGATTCAACACTGTATATTGTCGCTGATAGGTGAGCATCAACATGTCGACACTCGGCAGGTCAACAAATGCAGAAATTTTGTGCCGCCATTGTGCAAGATCGGCTCCATGTCTTGTGGCGGCTGCAGCTTGAGACTGAAGAGTCGTTCGTCGTATCCCGTATAGATCACGAAGTATCCCGCTAATTATCTTTGAAAGCTTAGCATGATAAACAGGAGCCAACATAATGCTCTGAACGCTGGAAGCAGCGGGAGCAACACCGCTCGATGTAATTTGGTGATCATTAGCAATAGCAGGCAGCTCCTGGTCTATCTCGTCGTCGTGAAAGATGCGGGGACGGCCCAACGCGGCGCTGAGATAATTATCGAGGCTATACATGCACCAAAACACTCGCTTAGAGCACTCAAGCTCGACGAAGTTCTCTTTGAGATCTCGCCGCCGGCCGCGGTGCAAGCCAATCGCAATGGCGAGCCGTGCGGTAGTTCCAAAAAGGCTCCAGCAGTGATTTATCCGAGAATGACCTAAGAGATAGAAGCACTGGGCCAGCCGTGCTTGTACGCTGGTAAGTCGGACGGGTCCAGTTTCGGCTGCAAGATGATGCTCTGAAGCGGCAAAATAGACTGCGCTGTCGAGGAAAACTCAAGTCAGGCGAGTAAAACAACATCAGGAAAGACTGACCTGTTAACGCAGGAGCCTAGAGATTTATCAGAATCCGGCAAGCATTGCTTCGCGTGGGCAAAGACCATGAGCAGCAATGCTCTTATCGCCATAGCTCCGGGTTTGGGAGAATCGGCCACCGCTGGGTCTCGGTAAAAGTCTTCAAACCAGGCCTCAGCCTGTGGTTGGTGCAAGAAACGGTGAGTTGGGAAAGCAAAGTCAAAATATCTATCCAGAAGTCCCTTCGCTTCGTCTTTAGGGGGAATGACCAGGAAAGACGGGTCGTATTTCGGGAGCGGCGCGTCACCGAAACTGAAGATTGGTGTAGTTCGCGGGAACGAAATATGCTCATGAAGGCGTTTCTGTACACGTATCAGAAATGAGACACCGGAAGCAGGGCCAACATAATGCCCCTCCATATCAGTTTGGTGAGGTTCCGGCGAGTTGCCGGATGATGGGAGGTTGATTTGTTTCTCTGGCTGCAGAAGGACATTCTGTGCGGCGGCCTGTGGGTTTGATGGAGATAGACTATCTATGCTGGAATTCGTTGATTTCTCTCGATGCTGGACAGCATCGTCCATGCTAGCAGCAATGGGAACCGGCGGCACCTTTCCTCGAGTGTAACCAGCGGTGTATTCGCATTTCAACTGGGAGCGTTGGCACAGCGAGCAAGGTAATGTGCCTGAGCAACGCAGCTTCTTCCTGAATATTTAAATTAGACATGGCGCAGAGAAAGGCTCAGTGACTGACTTCTTGCAATGGTCGCAGGCGCGAGTAACGCGAATTCGGTCCTTGCCGCATCGCCGTTTGTTCGGATGGGCTCCTATCGGCTCCATCGCGGGTATATATCAAGATAAATGCATCACATATAATATAAACATGCGGTGGATACTAGGTTTTAACATGCCCAGACCCGATTATCAAGGTCTGGGGTGGGACGTGGGGAGACCGAGGGAATTTCTGGAGAAACGGGCCAAGGCAGCTGTTTAGGTAGCGGCTACGGTACCTAGGGTGCACGTGCCAGGGCCGACAGCTACTGAGGCCATAAACAGCCGGTCTAACCTCCCCAAGCTTGATAGGTGGACAGCAATACCTAGGAGCCCAGACTTATGGGCCATGTCCCGGCATGTTCCTTCCCTCTTTCCAACCTCCAAATTCACTCTACCTACCCCCACCCCAATGCCTCCACGCGCCATAACAAGTAGACAGCAAAATGTGTTCCTATTTATTCCAAATCTCATTGGTATATATCCTGTTTCAGTGCCTCATTTTAAGTGAAGTGAAGTTGACTGTTCAACATAGGATACTTCTGGATTGTCTTTGCCATCACATTCCTCTACTACATGCCGTACCACCCCCGAACCTGCTCGCTTCTGTACAGTGTCTCCTGCCTTCTCGATGCACTTGATGGTGCAGCTGCCAGACATCTCAATCAGTCCACTCGGTTCGGTGCTGTCTTGGATATGATTACCGACCGCTGTACTACCACCTGTCTCCTCGTGTTCCTGGCGAGCGCGTTTCCGCGATGGAGTATCATCTTCCAGGGCTTAATCAGTCTGGACTACTCGAGTCATATATTCATATGTATGCGACTTTGGCGACCGGTAGCAAGCAGGGTCACAAGGACGTTGATGAACAGTGACCTTGGGCCCTGCGGGTTTACTACTCAAGCTCGGTATGCTATATCCAGGATTATCCGCGAAATAGGCCACTCTACTTAACAAATATACTCTTAGAGCATTCTTTTCAGCGTATGTGCGCTGAACAAGCTGTTTTTCATCGCGTTATACCTTCTGTCCTTCTCTGCAGATTCTACTGCACCAATTGAGGGCTTGGATTCAACCTGGAGTGCTGGGACAATGGAGATGGCTCGGTATGTTTATCTTCAGCATAGAAGGTTTGAATGCTAAGTGATGACTTCCAGTGCAAATAAAATCCGCCGCTACTGGCGCTGTTTTGCTTTCTATGTTTCTGCGCCATTTATGCTCTTTAAGCAATATGTTAATGTGCTTCAGCTTATCCATGCTAGTAGGCAGATAGCGCAGAGTGAAATTAATGCAAGGCGTCGGAACAGGGCTGGGTGAAAGGCATGAGTTCAATGCATGGCGATCCCGGACAAGGGAAAACTACGTGGTTGACTGGCTAGAATTTGGAGCTTCTTTGGTATCAATAACTGATTCAGGCAAAGAAGATTAAGCGTTATCAGCCGGTATATCACCGAAATGCACGCCTGGACACCATGATCAAAATAGAGAGTTGGAATATATTTCGACTTTGGATGGCTAGTGCAGAGATCACCACTCCCTCAATTCTCCTCCCGGCCCTATAAAGTGCGGACTCCTCCAAGCAGCTGCATCTATGGCAGCTGCTCGAACCTTTTCTTCGTCAATCTCGATCCCGAGACCCGGTCCACTCAGAATATCAATCAGTCCATCCTGCACCTTCCAAACATCCGGATTCTTGATGTACGTGTCAATATCTGCTGACCCTGCGTTGTAGTGTATCCCCAAGCTCATCTCCTGGATAGCAAAGTTGGCACTGACAGCATCGACCTGCAAGCTCGCCGCAAGAGCAATGGGACCCAACGGACAATGAGGGGCCAACGCGACATCATACGCTTCCGCCATAGTGGCAATCCTACGGATCTCCGAAATTCCACCAACATGGCAAATATCTGGTTGAAGGATGCTGATGGACGCAGATTCGAGGAACGGCTTGATATCCCACCGGCTATGTAGTCGCTCACCGAGAGCAATGGGAATCGGGACAAGCTTGGACAACGCCGCGACGGACTCTGGATGCTCGGAGAGGAGAGGCTCTTCGATGAATAAGGGCTCGTGCGGTGCTAGCTTATATGCGAGTTGCTGTGCCATCGCTTTGTGGACTCTACCATGGAAGTCGACACCAGCGTCAATTCCCAACGACTTGACGGTCTTTAGCCGTTCGACTGAAGTGTCCAAAGCATGGGGTGAGTCGAGCCACGACAGGTCCTCAGTGGCATTCATCTTCACAGCTTTGAATCCTTGCGCCATTCTAGCTCGACTGCGAAACGTCAGAAACCTAAAGTCCGAACCGAACGGAGACAATGTCTCTTACGCTTGTACTTCGACATCGCTCGGACGGTCCCCGCCGATCCAAGCGTACACTTTCAGCTTATCCCGCAGTTTGCCTCCAAGGAGCTGATAGATTGGGAGGCCGAGTCGTCTCGCTGCGCAGATAGTCAGACCGACCAAGTCGAATGATGACGGGGTCTGCTCACCTTTGAGATCCCAGAGTGCTATATCTATGCCTGACAGAGCGCTCATAAGCACCGGTCCACCCCTGTAGAAACCCATCCTGTATCCGTGCTGCCATATATGTTCGATATCGCTACGGACAGAAAGTGTCAGCAAGGGAAACGAAATGATAATATCAATTCAACTAACTCCGCGTCCATGTTGGTGAATCTCTGAGCGAAAGCATCGAGGCAGCCCTCCACGGCTTCTGTATGACCTTCAAGGGACGCCTCTCCCCAGCCGTAATTTCCGTCCGCATCAGTTGTCTTCACGAAAAGCCATCGCGGTGGGATGCGGAAATACTCTATTTGAGCAATCGGAGCCATAACGGTCGCTGCTCTCTATGCTGGCTGGTATATACCGTCGTTTGAAGGGTACCTATCGCAAGCTCCAACAAACAGATGGATGCACAATCGCACATTGACCCTTTTTTTTTGCCAAAGAAGAAGCTCAGAAAGAAAATGACCCTGCCGGTATAACTCCGTGTGTTGATACAGCCATGGTCAACCTTACCCCGCAAGCTCCGCGCAGACCCCCGCATCGGCCTCGGAAAAGACCACGGATAAGCAGCAACGATGGAAGTCTGCGGAGCAACGCCGAGATGACAACTATCGAGATTGGACAAATCATTCGCTTCAAAATGTAAAATGGCGATCCCATCAGACAATCGGCCCCATCAGCGCAATGGAGAAGGAAACTCAGTTCCGGAGAAGTATGAGCATCGGGTTCAAATCCGGGGCCCATCCTCTCCGACGTACATAATTGACCGCGCTACAAATCTATACCTAGGCAAGATTGTGAGAGATTGTTGAGTATCTACAAACAAGCAACGTAACAATGGCGTCAGGACGCACGTTCAAGCTCAACACAGGCTACGAGATTCCCGCTGTCGGACTGGGAACATGGGTATGTGCAGCCCAACTGTCTCTGGAGGCACCCAGAGCTAACAAATACTCTCGTGCGCATAGCAATCCAAACCAAACGAGGTACAGGCGGCGGTGGCTGCAGCGCTGAAAATCGGCTACCGGCACATCGACGCTGCAGCTGTCTACGGCAACGAGCGCGAAGTTGGGGATGGGATCAAGGCATCTGGTGTACCGCGCGAAGAGATCTTTGTGAGTTCTGGGTCAGCCTTAACAGGATACACGGTAGTGGCTGACATGGGAAGCTCACGAGCAAATTATGGAATACTCATCACGACCCTGAGAACGTTGAAGCTGCGGTGGATCGATCGCTCAGTGACCTTCAAACGGATTACCTTGACCTTTACCTTGTTAGTCCTTCTGACTCTACAAGAGTCTCAGTCCAGTCTGATCATTGCTAACACCTGGGCTCGCCTATAGATCCACTGGCCAGTCGCCTTCCGCTACTCAACCACAACCATCCAGCCCGTAGACGAAAAGACGGGCTTGATTGACGTTGTGGATGTACCAATCAAGGACACATGGGCTGCAATGGAGGCACTGGTAGCTAAAGGAAAAGTGCGGTCGATTGGAGTCAGTAACTTCACCCGGGAAAAGATCGAAGAGCTCCTGAAGACGTACGTTCATTACTCTATACGACAACCATTTGTTTCTGACCGGGACCTACGTGAGTTTAGGGCAAAGATACCACCCGCAGTCAACCAGATCGAAGCTCATCCCTATCTTCAGCAAAGAGACCTACTTGAATGGTCGAAGGAGCAGGTAAATAACCGACTTACATACGTTCTAAATAACAGCTGCTGAAAGACGGTCAACCAGGGCATCCTAATAACCGGGTACTCGCCGCTGGGAAACAACATTTACAACATCCCTCGGTAAGCAAGCGACCCCAATACTACCATCCAAAACTAACAGGAATAGAACCGTTGATGACCCCCTCGTCATCCAGATCGCCAAGTCCCTAGACAAAACACCCGCCCAGGTCCTTATCAGCTGGGCCGTCCAACGGGGAACAGCTGTGCTTCCTAAGTCGGTGACCCCAGAGAGAATCGAGAGCAATTTCCAAGGTCCGTACACTTACCTATGCTTCCATACGGGACACGCGAGGTCCGTACTGACTGCTCGACTCAATAGACTTCGTTCTACCCGAGGACGCATTCCAGGCTATCCAGTCGCTGGAAAGGCATCAGCGGATGAACTTCCCTGCCCGGTTGGGAGTGGATATCTTTGGCGAGGCTGGGGAGGAGAGCGTGAGAAGGAGCGCGCTTGAGTGGGCGGAGGGACAGAGACTTTTGAAGGCTCAGGCTTGATTCTGGTTGCGTAACTTGTCCTGCATGAGTCTGCGATGGGTCGCGTTACTTCGATGGGAGGATAGAACGGGGAGCTATGGGAACAAATAACATAGACCTCTGGAGCAACTTTTGTCCCCTCCCTGCACCAGAGGGTAGTTTGAGGCACAAGGCATGCAGGGAAGCACAGACAGGGTGAAGGGAAAAGCCCAGTTGCTATCTAGGTAGTTCGATAAGAATGAAGTGGTCTAGATTTACAGGCATGACTTGATAATGAAGAAGCGAAATCGCCTTGATAACGAGTCTAGTCTACACGTCATACATACATAATGCATATCCGTCTATATCTGTACTCCGATTTATCAAGCTTCAAGTCGAAATCAATCCCGTCCGGGAGTCAACCTCCAAGCCCGTAACGGCAAAGCCTGCAACTTCAGAACAGCTGGCTTTATAAACATGATAAATGTGATGGTTCCAAGCAGGACGCAAAGGATATTCGTCAAGTAGTACCCGTCGCGCGTGATGTTGCAGGTGCCACCGCCGTCAACGCAGCGGGCCCTATCCGGCTCGACGGCACATGAGAAAGGAGACGTGACTAGGTCGCCTTTTAGGGAATCCGGAGCGGGAGTTTGCGAGGGGGGGATGCAAGTAGCTTCGGTGAGCATGTCGACGAGTTTCAGGATGAAGTAGCGCGGGAATGTGCCGCCGAGGTTTGAGACTCTGGAGGGATGGTTAGTGAGGAAATAAAAGAAAGCACTTCTGGGAGTCAAAAACGTACGTTGCTAGCATGGTCATGTAAGTACCACCGATAGCAGGGTCAGAAACGCGAGCGTGAAAAGCGGACACTGCAACGAACATGACCGTGTTCATGAATGTAGAAGCGACGTGCTCGAAGATTACTGTCAGTATGTACCAGGTTGGAACTTCCGAAGCAGCTGGGTAGATCATGACGGTAAACTGGGCTAGAATAGCAGCGGCGAGTCTTCCGACGAATGCCCAACACCAGAGGCGCATCGGAGTGTACTCAGTCGACCATTTACCGGCGTAGTAGCCTAGGCCGATTTCGAATGGAAAGTCAATGAGAACAACCAGAGCCATGTTGTCCTGGCCAAAACCCTTGTCCAGAAGCTTCAAACTGGTCACTCCGTCGTTGGCCTGGAAGCCGATCTTAGCAATCAGATGTACCAAGATAATCGTCTGAACATTCTTGAGCTTCAGCACACGCCACATGCTGCGGTAAACGGCTGAGATACTGTCGCGCTCCGAGACCTGATCTTCTTTTTTCATGACAGCTAGGCATGTGGTAACGACTAGGTACGCCCAACCCCAGATTGTGAGGTACGTGCCGAGAGAAAGAAGGCCATCGTCGGCGGGAACAGTCCGGAACCACCGGTTTGCAAAGTCCTTCGAGTTGAACGCGAGGAAGACCGTGTACGACAAGAAGTGACCAGCCGTCAAGCCGACAGTCTGCGCAGTAGAAGCGTAGGAAATGTTCGGCGGCGACATGAGAGTAATCGCCCACCCGTCCACGGCAATGTCCTGAGTGGCGCAGAAAAACACCAGCAGGAACCACCAGTACGTAAAGTTCCACACACCAGCTCCGCCATTGGCGCCAGCCTGCTTCATCATGTCTTCAATATGTCCTCCGAGATAGATCATGGCGAGCCCGGCAATGACCTGGACAGGGGTAATCCAGCTCTTCCGGCGGCCAAACCGGCGACTCCATACAGCGTCCACTACAGGACTCCAGAGTAATTTGAGTGAGTAAGGGTAGGAAGCTAGAGAAAAGACACCGATCTGCCCGTAGGAAAGGTACGGTTTGAGCAGGAACGGAACCGATCCTGTCGCCAACCCCATTGGAACACCCTGAAGGAAGTATAGCAGACATAGCACCAGGAAGTTTCTCTTATCACTAGACGGAAGGTCGGTAAAGCTTGTAGTCGACAGCCCAGGCGTTTGGGGAGTCACCGGCGGGTCTTCATCGAGGGTAAAGCTCGATCTAGACATGAAGCGATCTGCCCGCGAGGACGTGGAGGATTCGGCGGAAGTGTCCCGTTTGCGCATTTCGATGTTGGAGTTCATTTCGCCGCGAGCGTTCCCGTTCTGGCCGGTCGCAACGCTGAGATTGGGCTTTGACCGACGTTTGGAAACAGTGTTGTTCTTGCGCTTCATCTGTGTGCTACGTCCGCGGTGGGAGGACGCTGCGTCGCCGAGGGGTCGCGTGCCGGGGTCTGTCGCAGAGGAGTACGCGTCGGATTCGGATTCGGATAACGAAGCGTGGAATTGGCGTCGAGATGCTGATCGTTCGCTTGAGTCTGCGCGTTCCTGATCACCTCTGGTGGTGCATGCTAGAGTCTGGAGCTCGGCCTCGTAAGCGTCTAGGTGGGTAGTGGAGGGGCGGCGACGGTAGGGATCCTGGATATGGACAACGAAGGGAGCGGAAGGAGAGATGGGAGAGGAGAGAGAAGGACGGGGGTCCGGATCGTCCTGGCTCGAGCGGTGCATGCGAGGGGAGAATAATGGAGAAATAATGGGGATGGAGTGGCGGATTTGGCAAGCTGGCCTCTCTGGCCCGAATTTCCCAGGGACCCGGCTGGACCCTTTGGATCTGCAGCACTGGGCAGGTTTCAGGCTTCAGTTCGCGATGACCTGCAGGAACGTCATTCGCTTTGTAGAAAATGGAGTCTTCAGAGTCCACTTCATCTGCGAGTTGCTAGAATTCCCCGACTGCTTTTGCGGCATTGTGCCGATCCTGGGTCTTTATAATTGAGGGTATGATTTGGGTTATATCTGCTCAATGAACACAAAGAAAACCTTATTGAATCAATGAAGCCACTACTGCTTACGAGCCCTAGCATGTACTCCGTAGCTACGATAGAATGGCATTCCTAAAGTCTCAGTTCAAAAATAAGAGCAGGGATTGCAAAGATATGCTAAGAGTCACGTGACTGTATACCAAAACAACGGCCTCCATGTCCCGAATCCAAACAAACACCCACTCCACAAGACAAACATCACGATGGACCTAAATGACCCAACAACACAGTTAGAAGAGGAGCTTGACTCGGAGATATCTAACATCCGTCGCGAAAGTCTGTCTTTACCCATTCCCTCAATCAGCACCAACACCAACTAACCCCTACCTCAATCGCAGTCCGCAAGCTCCAAAGACGCCGCCGCTTCCTCGCATCAAGCGTCCTCTCCTCCGAGGCCCTCCAGAACCGCCTGAAACCTCAACAACCTTCTACCTCGACCATCTCCAGCCTAAACGAAGACATCTCCCCACTCGTCCGCGCCGCAGGCGTACACACTCAATCGAACCACCACCGCATCGCTTTCTCCACGACCACATTCCCATTCAAGGACCCTTCCCCGGTGACCGACGCCGAGAGCGAGAAAGACTCGAAGAATTTGCTTGGTGTGCGGATTGATATCTGCGTCCGGAATGGCCGCTTTACGAAACCGTACTACCTCCTCCTGCGCAAAGTGCGCGCGGCCGAACACGCAGAGAAGAACAAACCCGAGATACGGCTGAAGGTCCACCGACACACAATACCCGCATTTATACCAGTACAGCGACTAGAACGTATAATGTTACCTCAACATGACCCCCTACCTGTACCCGGAGACGGCGATGGGAATGGCAACGGCCACGGCGCTATAGAACCGCTGAAGAAGAAACCGAACCCTCCGGCCCGCCAACAGAATCTTCAGATGTTCATCCGTGAAATAAGGCGACAGCTGGTCTCGTGGCATATGCGGTTGGATGCGATCCATCTTATCCGTGAGCAGCTAGGTATTATCCGGCGGGGTGTAGATCCTTACCCGGATGACGAGGAGGATGGGCCGTGGGATCGAGATATGCTTGTTGATGTGGGGTTTGATTCCGGCCTTGGAGAGACAAGGTTAAAGAAGAACGATTATGGGATCGCGTCATTTTCGCCGACGGCGCTGGAGGCGGCGTATGTCCGGGTGGAGTGGGAGGATGGTCGGGTTGGGCGTTTCAAGATCTCCGACTCGGGGACGGTTGAGCGGGCGGTTGTTATTGGTGATAACGGAAGAGACAAGGTGCTGGAGGCTGCGCTTACTGGGGGCGATAGGAGTGTGCTCACAGTCTTAGACCGATTGAAGAAGGACGCGTCACCCGGACGAGATAACGATGCGGACTCGAACACGGGGTAGCCGCAGGCTGAGTGTCAATATATGAAGTTCAATTAGTATATTTATGAGTAGTATCAATAATGGCCATCTCTTCTAAACTGAACATATCTATCAAAACAGACAGAAGAGCTAGTCATCCAGAACCAAGAAGGCTATGCACAAAAGTAATTATCATGAAGCCGTCCCAGATATATCCATCCCAATTATCAAAAATAAATGACCAGAAGAAAGGTAGAGTGGCCCGCAAATTACAAAATATTGTAGGCGCAATGCCCGATGTTCCGGCAAGAGAAGTGATGAGATGATCCGCTGGTGTATAATGCCGCTCTGTGAATGCGAAAGATTAGGAAAAGGGTATCATGATAACATCAGTTCGTAAGCTTGGGTGTAGATGCGGGGTCAAGAGTCCTTCTGGCGCTGGGCTGGTGCTTCTGCTTCGGTGTCGTTGTCCGGATCTGAGACGCAGATGGCTGAGTCGCGGGTATCAGACTGCGAGTCAGTGAAGGATAGCGGGGGTAGAGGGCCGTAGGGGTTTCCGTCTCGGGCTTCTAGTTTCTTTCGTAATATAGCCTCTTCGAGGACCCATTTATGTCGAAGCTTCGTCTTCCTCGCGTTGAGTGCTTGGAGTGTGGTTGCTTCCTCCTTTTGGTGCTCCTTTTGAAGCTCGGTAATCTCTGCCGCATGCCTTTCGATCATGGCATCGAGTTCTCGGTCCATTCGAGCGATGGCTTCCTGCAGACGGATCTCTTGCCGGTCTCTGAGGACTTTGATTTTGGCAGCGTGGAGTTCAGACATGGACTCGTAGTCATGATATTCCTGGGCCAACTGGGCTTTGTGTTGCTGCGTAAAACTCCGACTGGGCGTTGTCAGGTCGGATCCTGAAAAGGATGGGGAACGCGAGTCCGGTGGGCTGGAGCTGCTCAGATATCCTTCCATATACTTGATGCGTGTTCGTGAATTTGTTTTGGCCCTTTCGAATTCCCGTACTTGCTCCATTTCCACGACCAGCTGTCGCTCTTCCATGCGAGCGGCGTCTGTGATGTTCTGGAGGATGGTGAGTATACTCCAAAGAAAATGGCATACGGACATACCTTTTCACGCTTCTCATCCTCCAACTGGCGGGTTTGTGCCAGTTTCTCATCAACTTTTGGTCGCTGCGCCCGTCGGAGCTCACTGATAAGATTATTTTGAAATGAGACGTGCAAATTCCTCTCCGATGTTTGGGTATCCCGCAACTGTTTTAATTCAGAGTTCCCCAAGCTCCGCAAGAGGGCTTCATGGTCGAACACCGGGACCTCCAGCTTCAACTTTTCCTCCTCGTTTTCTGGAGAGATCGACCGGCTTGTGTCATTTGGTTTTGACTCGACGTAGACCTTTTCAACACCCCCCTCACCTTTCGTGAAAGTGATCTGGGCCGCGGGTGGTAGTAGTACCGTAGAGGGCGTTCTCCGGCGTTTCCGAAATGGTATCTTGTCAATCGCATGTTTGATGCCTGACCGCCGTCTTTCTTTTTTCTTGTCGCTGCCAGATACCACACTCAGGAATGAGCTGTTATTTCCTAGTGGCCTGATGGCAGCACTGTCGGTCCTTTGTGCCAACCTACCCTCACTCGAGCAATAGGAGGTCGGGCGTGTTGAAAGCGAACCAACGGAGCGGGTGCTTCCGCCTCTAACCGGCGGGTTGGACGAGATAGTATAATCGGAAAGAGACGTAGCTAACTGCTCGAGAGCTGAGGAATCGTGCGTGGTTTCGTACATCGAGTGGCGACCGGTCGAGGAGCTGGAAGAGAGCATCGGGGACGAAAGATCGACCATTCCCGACGCAATCGAGGCAGCCAAAGATGCCACAATCTCGATCTCCGGAACTTTGAGCCCTAGCTCCTTCGCTTCATCTTCCAACCGCTGCTGTTGTGCATTTTCCTCCTCTTCAGATGAGAGGGAAAGAACTTCCCTGCGGTATTTATCCTCATCAATACCAGCGAACTTTATCGACTCCATGATGCAGTTGTAAGACCCTTTGTTCCCCACCGCGCATGCAGCGCATTCATCAACAATGTTTTATCGGGCGGAGCTTCGAAGGTGGCCTGCACAAAGACCCCTATATGCGACAGGTCGACCGGCGGGAAGACGTTGGAGGGAGGGCTATTGAGAGACGGATCGCGCAACACTCATCGGCTCGTCCACGGTACCTGACGCACGGTGGACGAGAAGTAATTGCCCCAGAGCAGCATTCGACTTGCGGAAAAGGAGAGGACTCGAAATTATTGACTGTTGAGTTTTGAGAGGGACCGGGCGGAAGAGGAAGAACACGAGAGGGGAGCGCAACCCGGCCGCAGTCACTGAATCGATAGTGTAGCGATGGAGAACTGGAGCTGCGGATCTTTAGTGAACGCAACTGACGACCTGATTTGGGCGTTGAGTGCGGGATCCTCCTAATTAACGGGATTTAGGAGGATATTACGGAGGACTTCTTCACAATAATCTTGTTAGTTGGGCCCTGTTTGCAAGAGGACCCGCCTGACCGAATCATGATTACGCTGCCACCGGCAAAGCGTCCACGACATGCAGTCAGGAGGGACCATATTCGCTTGTTAATTCGCCTTGTTGGACGTTATGCAAACAAAAACAGCAGAACTCTGTGCGTTGAACGCGTCCGAATATCCAGGCCCAGAGTAGTGAGGACTAGTGGTGATGGGCCATGGTCGTGGGGAACAGGGAGAGCCATGGTTTCAGCCCACTACTAGACTGCTTCACTTAGCCGTGGTTCAGGCACCACGGCTTCAGATTGTCAGGAGAGTGGGACTTTGCACTGTCGCACTCGCACATGCATTGTTGATCTACATGACTGTCTGTCTCATTCAGGCGTGTATCATTTCAAATCGACCTTTGCGGCCCTGGCTCCATACAACTTGCGTTTGTCTTAAATAGTCCGCGCATCATAAACCGATGGTCTTATATAGCCTAGTGTAGTGCTTGTGGCAAAGCACATGCATTCCGGCCTGTAAGAAATCATAAAATGAAGCTATCGGTGGGCCTCGCGATAAGATCCCGTGATGAGTTCTCCCCGAGTCATCCTAGAATTCCCCGCGGCTGCCAGCTTACGCTGTCAAAGGCTGACGTGGGGACGTGCATCTAGCAGCAACGGCCTTTGTTCACCGCAAGTCAACCATGGAGACAAAGTCATCACCGCCTATTTAGCATCGCAACAACCATGTTGTATGCTTTGTCTCTTGCTTCTCGTTCCACAGCGTTCTTCGGCGAAACGTTCCAGCCATGATTGCAGCCATCCATCCTCGCGGCGACCACCTCGCGACCGCCCTCATCCCTTATTTTCACCGCCAGTTGCTCGGCTTCTAGCGCCAGACTGTCCCCGGCTGCCGTTATGATCAGGATGCGGTCTGGGAAACGATCCGGCTGGGCATAATAGGGTGAGATCCTGGGGTCTTTCGGGTTATGCGACGAAGGGATATAACATGCGTCAAAAAGCCGAGACAGACGCGCGGGAAGAGGCTTTCCGGTAGGGTCGGGTGCGGTCTTGGAGCCGGGTTCGGTGTCCAGGTCGACCGGTGGATAGAATGCGAGAACAGCATTGAACGTCTGTTGTGGGAAGAGAGTCGACGATGCCGCAAGAGCGAGATTACCCCCTGCACTGAAGCCCGAGAGTGCAATTCGAGCGCGGTCAAACTTTTCCGGCTGCTGTAGTAACCAGTTGACGACATCTTCTACATCGTTGAGTGCCGCGGGGAACGGGTTCTCTGGAGCAAGTCGATACTGGACGTCTAGAACAGTATAACCCGTTCTCTGGCTCATCAGGCGGCAAAATTCATCGTCCTGTCCATGGAATGGGAAGACAAATCCGCTCCCGTGGAAGTTGATGAGGACGGGGCCGGGCTGTGATACATTTCCAGACTTGTATACGTGCGCTTTGATACTTCTCCTAGGGTCCCTAGATAGAATCTGTAGGATTTCATCCGGCTTCGGGTTGGATCTCCGACCAACGATGGCCCTCAAAAGGAACACAACAACTTTGCGATACAAGTATGTGAGGAAGAACATAGCGCCACAACTGAGAAGTCATGCGGGGGAAAGAAGTCAAATTAGACTGTTCGTTTTGGAGAGTCGATGATGCCATATCGTCGGTTGGATCGGAGTTCGAACCTCTTCAGGCAGTGCTATAACCAAACTGGTGGAACTCCCGACTGGAGACAAACGGGAAGAAAATCCGCCATGTTGCAAGTGTAGCCTCAGTGCTCACCGGAGGATATCTAGATAGGCCTTTTTAATTGATGCACGCAGCACTGGGGAGATTCATTGAGAAGCTGCATTGTATGTACTCTTTGTAAATTGATAGTAAGAACGGTATCTTCGCGTGAAGAAGGGAGTGCAACAAATGACAACGGCAGATCATGAACGAGTCATGTGCCGCATTCCGGATGACAGCACGAGGCCGTGGCTGAAAATCAGACTTTGTGGTTTTCTTCGACGTGACCTTATTGCAACAGGCTATTTTTTCTGCCCACGCCGAAGCATCAACCGCGCAACCGCTTTCATCTTCCTGACTGTCGCCTCCATCGCATTACGGTCATCAACATATTCGTTGCGCTCTCGTTGAACCTCTATAGTAGCTGCATCTAATAACTGTCACTACCCATATTATTGCAGGCCCTTACGCTATCGACTTTATATTCTCCGAGTTGCATGCAGCACCTCTACCTATCATGCCATCTCCAGCCCAGCCAGGCAACACCAAGTTTACTGTTCTCATCCGCCTGCCTTTCCCCAGAGGTGGCTTTGTGGACCCTCCACCTGTGGGTGTCTTAAGGCCTGGAATTGTGGACTGCTACTCACTGTCGTTTCCAGGTGGAATGGAACGCGGCCAAGGACCAAGCCCTTTGGGACATTCTTTCCCGCCCGTCAAAAGGAAATGATATAGACTGTATGCTTGGCCGCAGGTCCCCACTTCGACATCTTCTCACTGACATTTTACAGGGAAAGCACTGTAATGAACTGCATGGTCTCGTACTTATTGTAAACTGACTCCCCATAGTGCAGAGAGCTTTGATGTGACTCTCCAGTTTCTCCTCCAGCAAGCAGCGTGGCTCTACGACCGCCAACTATCGCAAGTCCGCGCGCAGATGCGCAAAGTACCTAACCCTCATTCAAACACTCCTTCTCCAGCTCCCGGCTCAATATATGCTAGCACGGCCCTAGGGCAGCCAGCCAAAACTGGGCAAAGCAGCAGTAAGACTATGAGGCATAATCGCTGGTCCCTGACCTGGTTGGCTAATTAACTGCTAGATTCGCGGGCTCCCTCTCGACTGGCTTCACAAACCAAAGAGACTCCGCCGATACGAGGTAAGCATCGTTCGTTCATCTGATCTTCCAGCCGTTTTAACTCTACATAGCGCCAATCCCTCGACGTACTAGCTCGGGTAACACCGTGCAGCAGATTAAGGCCCAAGCGTCGCATCCAGGGACTCCAACACTGGAGACTAAGGAGTCGAGGTGGGAAATCCAGGGCCGACGGCCTTCGACGAGCAAGCGCGAGCAAACTCCAATTAGCGCTGCTGTTCAGAGGTCACCCGCGCTCGAAGAGGAAGATCTAACATCTAGCTCATCTGAATCCAATTCTGACGACGACAGCGATGCTGCAGCAGGTAGAAGGGGCTTAGGGTTCAAACGCTTTGGACGCTTCTCAACCCATCGACCGGGTTTACGAGACGATGATGATGACGATGATGAATCTCCAGCCTTTCTTCCACTTTCTCGAGGTCATGGATCTGCGTCCCATGGGGCATCAGGCCATGACCTTAGTACAACCTTGAGAATGGAGCAAGAGGGTGTATCTGCGATGCAGCGAAGAGCGACTGAGCCCCCTCATGGCTTAAGAAAGTCGATTACCACGGAGTCATCCGGGAGCTCTATCAGCTCTGGCGTGCCTGTCACCCGTTCTCGTACCCAGAGAGGCAATCAATTTAATAGTTCCAACTCCCGACGGGTCGCGGAAGCTCCCCCTGTGAGTCCACGGCGTTCTACGATTTCTGGGAGAGATATAAGCGACGGAACACCTAGTATGGGGAGCAGCTTTAGCGATCTAGATGGTGAGGCCGGATCCGTTCTTTAACTCCGAATGTTTTTTGCGGGGATATCTATGCTGACGTGTGCCATCCAATAGGAGACACGAGTGTCACACAGTCAATGCTCGAGGAGGCTCTTTTGAGCAATATGCAACACGGTGGAATGGCGAGTAGGATGAGCACGATCAGCCAAGCACTCCGCAGCCGCTATCTTCCTTGATCGCCATGTTGGCTTTAGGAGATGGCACGTGGCAGTATTCATTCTGCTCGTAATAACTGGCCAGTAAATAATAACCGATACATCGGATGACGCTGCTAAACCTCCGCTCCGTATCTAGTAAGTCAAGCTGCGTTGTCAGCATACATAGTCCTTCCTCGAATCAAGCTAACCATTTGCAGAACGGAGCTGCCGGCGTGGTAGGCTTAGGTTTAAGCTCAGGCTTCAGTTGTGTCAGCTCAAACTCTAGCGTCGGCTGTAGGAATCGCTTGTCATTGATACTTCTATCACCTCAATCTCTAGACGCGCGCTGCTGTTGCTTGGCAGATTCATTTTTTCAAGTTCCAGTCTTCAACAAACCTCGTATTGATGACAGACTAGCGCAACCTGCTGACAATCCAGCGAAGCCATTCGGCATTGATACCAAGGAGATATCTTGAGATGCAGGAAGGAGTGTTCCTTATTCTCTTAGGTTACGAAAATGTATAAAAACCCCGGTTCTTCCTCTGGAAAAAAGGAATCACTCTCGATAAAATTGGATTATCAGACGGACAACAGACTTGATTTCGTGCGACACTCTCTCACCAAGCCACAACTGACTCAAATATGTCTTTCTGGAATTTCGCACCCGAGCCCAAGACCCGTCTAGGGTATCATCGGATCCTCTCCCCAACTGCGGGCATCAAAGTATCTCCTCTATGCCTGGGAGGAATGAATTTCGGCGAAGGCTGGTAGGTGAACGCATGCACCAGCTTGTCAAGAGGCGACTAAGTCTATCTTAGGGAGCACTTCATGGGAAAGTGCAGTAAAGAGGAAGCATTCGCCTTGATGGATGAGTTCTATCGGATGGGTGGCAATTTCATCGATACGTATGCTTCAATGGCTCCTTGCCTAAAAAGATGGTGTGACTGACCGTTGAATAGCGCCAACAACTACCAAGAAGGTGACTCAGAGCGATGGATCGGGGAGTGGATGGAGTCCCGTGAGAATCGAGATCAGATTGTGTATGTCTTCGCCCATCAGTTCGAAGTGGTTGGCACTAAACTAGCTGGGATGCAGGATCGCTACCAAGTACACAACTGGATTCCGTGACTCGCATTTCGACACTGAACGGATCCAGACCAATTTTGTTGGAAACTCAATGAAATCCCTTCAGGTCTCGGCCAAGCACAGTCTGAAGCATCTACGCACCGATTACATTGACCTGCTCTATGTGCATTGGTGGGACTTTACCACTGGCGTTGAGGAGGTCATGCATGGCCTCAATGCCCTCATCACAGCAGGCAAAGTGCTCTATCTAGGCGTGTCAGATACGCCGGCCTGGGTTGTTGTCAAGGCGAATGACTACGCCCGTGCTAACGGTCTGCGCCCTTTCTCTGTGTACCAAGGCCTGTGGAACCCGTTGCGTCGGGATATGGAGAGTGAGATCATCCCTATGTGCCGAGACCAAGGCATGGGTATAGCCCCGTGGGGTCCTCTTGCTCAAGGCAAGTTGAAGACTGCTGAAGCTCGGGAGCTTACGGGCGGAGGCCGGTCCGATGGGGACATGTCGGAGGACGAGATTCGTGTGTCAGATGCTCTGGATGAGGTTGCGAAGAGCAAGAACACGACTCTTCCAGCGGTGGTATGCACCTATCGCTCATGCCCAAGCCGTCCTGAATATGGCTGACACTGGCAGGCCCTTGCATATCTGCTCCACAAGACACCGTACGTGTTTCCGATCATCGGGCAGAGAAAGCTCGAGCATCTGAAAGCCAACGTGGAAGCTCTTGGAATTGAGTTGACCAGGGAGGATATGGACAAGATTGATACGGCGGTGCCATTCAAACCAGGATTCCCGATGGACTTCATCTTCCACGGCAAGTATGACTTGACCCTAACTGCTGCCGATGTGCCCTTGACGCGGAAGGCGGGCCACATTGAAGCACCCCCTCACCAGGGCATAATCCCCGCAAAGAAGACGTCGCAGAATTAGTTCGCCTGCAGTCTATGCGAGCTGTGTACTCAGTTAGCCTGTTTGGCATCATGGTCGCTAAGTAGGTAGCAAACTGCAATGGAAATTGGGTTACCCCGAGAAAACCCCGAGGCAAATCATGTGCTTGTTCCTACCGCAAGCCGAAGACGGCCTAGCTCCGCGTAGGTACATAGCTCATCCTCGGCAATCGTCGGCCGCATTTTAGGTCCCTACTGTTCTGACATCAGCGGCACGTCCAGTACGTCGTATAAAAGAGAACGGTCTTATCAAGCTCAATTTTAAGGAGTTTGCGTTTTTAAGAGGTATGGCGTCCGGATGCCGTCCGTCTGAGATTTCTTTCTCGTCTTCTCCCGCGCAGACTTGATCTTTCTAATCGGCGTCGCTACAGCAGGGTCCGCCTGCCCCGCCTAAGGAAATGTCGCCCGCAGACAGCGAGTCCGCCTACTTCAACAACTACCCTCCACCAAAAGCTCTTCCCAAACATGAATCGCTGGCCAGATCGTTCATAGAATACCATGTCGAATCCAACCGGCGCGTGGTGCTCGTTACCTCCGGAGGAACAACAGTCCCTCTCGAGAATCAGACCGTCCGCTTCATCGACAACTTCTCCGCAGGAACCCGAGGTGCGACGTCCGCGGAGTACTTCTTGCAGCAGGGGTATGCAGTAATCTTCCTACACCGACAGTTTAGTCTGCTGCCCTACTCCCGGCATTACAGCCACTCGACCAATTGCTTCCTTGACTTCATGGACGAAGCCTCCCCGAGCGATGTCAGCAATTCAGACCACGGCCATATCGTGGTGCGCAATGAGTACCAGGACGAAATGCGCGATGTCCTACGGAAGTACAGATACGCCAAGCAAAATAACCTCCTTCTTTTGCTTCCATTTACCACGGTCTCAGAGTACCTTTTCGAACTGCGCATGCTTGCGAAATGCATGAACCCCCTCGGTCCAAATGCGCTATTCTACCTAGCCGCGGCGGTTAGTGACTTCTTCATCCCGCGCGACCGCATGGCAGAGCATAAGATCCAGTCGTCCGAGATTCCGAAGGAATTCCGAAGCCCCGAGGAAGCTGTTGGCGCCGACGACATTTACACGGGCGGGTTCGAGCAGAAGCAGGAGTCCAGCAAGAAGCTCGTCGTCAACCTGGACCCAGTCCCCAAATTCCTCCACCAGCTCGTCAACGGCTGGTCACCAGAGGGAAGCATGATTGTTTCCTTCAAGCTCGAGACAGATCCCAACCTTCTCGTCTATAAGGCGCAGACGGCGCTCGAGCGATACGCCCACCACCTGGTCATTGGAAACTTACTGTCGACCAGGAAATGGGAGGTCGTCTTTGTCACACCGAACCCGCCGCATGAGCGATGGATTCGAGTCCCCAAGTCGCGCCGGAGTAAGAGCATTTCTGGTGTTGAAGACCAGGTTGGAAAGGCTGAGGCAGCGAAGCGGTCATTGGGGGAGCAGACCTCCGCGGCTCCTGCCGAAGAGCCGACTAAGGAGGAAGATACTGGATACATCGCGACCCGCGAGGGCACGGAGATCGAAAGCTTGATTATTCCAGAGCTGGTCAAGCTGCATACGGGCATGATTGAGAAGTTCAAGCGATAGTGAACAGGCCGTCCCTCTGCTCTATACTGTCAATATACCTCGTTCTTTATGAGTATCCATAAGCTTCCGTAAGGCCAGAAGTTAGGTACAACGGCTGCAAATTCGTGACGGGGGTCTAGTCTTGTCGGGTAGCTGTCATGGCTCGAATCTGTCGTGTGGACGACAATATACCCCCAACTCCATCCACGCATGAGGCATCCTACACCACCCTTTCTTGAACGCCAGTCCCTAAGGTCAAACGGCCGATCCATACTACGTTTTCTATACACCATCAATACCACATCCTAGTAACCCCGTCCCTCATCGTCTTCTGAATCCGAAATATCCGATACAGCAATGAATCGGCTGTGGCGGACCTGCACGAAACCAGGCACATTTAACATCAGCAACCACATTCCAACCTCAGAGGCAGACAACTTACAGCCCGGAACATATACATCCACCCGGCAGAATCCAATCACACCTCCTGACAACCGCATAACTATAATGATAGTACCCGCCCCAATTCGCACAGCTACCTATGCTGATTACATACCGCGGCTCACGCATCTGGTCATACACCTGCCTCATCGCCGGCGCCATCTTATTCGTCACCGTACCCGCCACAACCATGAGGTTTGCCTGTCGGGGTGAGGCCCGGAGAAGCAGACTCAGCCGGTCGCCGTCGTAGCGAGGCCCCGCGATGTGCATTATTTCGACGGCGCAGCAGGCGAGCCCGACGCTTAGAGGGTAGAGGGAGGATTGCCGGGCCCGGGAGGTTATGCGATTGAGGGCCGTTCGAGTCGTTCTATAAGCAAGTGTGACTGTTCAGCTTGCCTCTTGGGATCTTGAGTGAGGGCACTTATGGAAGACGAACAGAGCATATTGGACTGCACTGGTGGGAGGCTGTTGGCTTGGTAAGACGACTTCTTCTTTGGGCTTGCCGCTGATGGCCAGGGATGGGCTTGGGTAGTTGTGTCTCAAGGCTAAAGCCTGTGTCGTGAAGGCCTTTCGTGTGAGGGCTTTGGTCCTTGGTGTGGTAAACTAGTACTTGAGAGACTATGTGTGGATAACCCCTCTGCAGTTGACTCACTCTTTATTACAGGTAACAGTGACATCGTCTGAAGCAGTTGTCGAGGTATAACCACAACAGTGCCAGAATCCCAAATAAGACCGGGGTGCCTGCACCTAAATATCAGCAATCAAAGATGTTTCAGCATTATAGGCACAATCGGGCCAACTCCATTAAACCATTAGGAAAGCCAATAGCACGGCATATACATGAGCACAGTTTCAGATCAAATACAACAGCCCTCGCCTGGCTTCCGCTCCAGCTATCAGAATATGATCCCTGCTTCCCTAAACTGCTCAAAGGCCTCCATCCAGCCCTCAAGAGGGTCCCGCTGCTCCATGAATCCAACCGATCTCAATCGTTCAGAGCTGAACTGCCGATCGAACACTAGCCACCAGCCAAAAGAATCCAATTGCTTGTTTCCAGCTCCAACGCCGCACGCCAATGCCTTCGGCTTGCCATTCTCGGCGAAAAGATGGCGGTATTTCTCGATATATTCCCCTGGCTTCAGTTTATCATCATCGCCCACCAGCCCAACTCCCTTGAGCCCAAACCACGCCGCAATGCCAGGCCACAAATCGCTCGCACTGACGGGCTTGTCCTTGTCCAGCATGTTGATGACTTTCCCTCCGCACGTCCCCGGGTTAAGCGCTGCATGGATCGCGATTTTACCTAGGATTGGACCGGACACGGGCGTGAACAGCGATCTGTATCCGGCTTCGTTTCCTGGATATGGAACCTCCACCTCTTTTCCTTCAGATAGTTGGTGTCGGTGGTTATACGCGTATAGAGAGAGGTACTGCGCCCAGTGGAGAGCGAGGGAGAAGGCCGAGCCGTTCGGCGTGAATCCGATTACGGCGTCGGGGCAGAGTTCGCTCCATGTCCAGCTTCGGCCTTTGCTGGCGTCGTTCAATATTTTCCGAATCCAGGGGTATGCGACCGTTTTGGCGTAGTCTTCTGGTAGGGTGTCGGCCATGGACTCGGTCAATGGTGGTTGGAAGATGCCGCCGGGAATGTAGGTGCCGTAGCCCTAGAGCTCTGAGTCAGTCCAGACAGCAACTAAGAGGTGGGTTTTGTATGTACCCTTGAGCCACCGGGGTAGATGAATGATTGCAGGTTTAATGCAAGTGTGTTCAGCGCGTCCACCACTCGTCGCACCATGTCACAGTTCTGGTTGCATTCCTCAACGTGATCACCGTTGAATGGTGAAAATACTGGTGAAAGTTCTCAGTATCTCGTTGCATGGACATCGGGGTTGAGACGTACCGAAATAAAAGACATGGGTGATGCTTTCAACATCCGGAACTTTCTCCTTCAGCTGCTTGGCCAGATCACCAGCCGTCCCTTGCAGAAGGTTGATCCCGGAAGCGATTTCAAGAGCTGGCCGATCTGGAGCTGGGGGTAGATGGAGGTCGGACTCTGACACAGGGCGATTCAGGATGGCGGTAATGCGGGAGAAGGGGCTGGTTGGGGACAGCAGTTGGTTCAGCGTCGCCCAGCCGAGTAGGCCGGCTGCCCCGAAGACAATTGCATGGTTAGTTGACGCCATTATGCTGTATAGCACTTCTGGAAGTTGAGCTGCTGCTTAAGTATAAGGGTTGCTACTTGACTCAGGATGACTCAGGGCGGGGTTGGTGGTCGGTTACCCTTTTGGGTATAAAATCGAGGTATCCTCTTGGTTCTTGCTCCACAACGAAAATTACACGCCACATCTCAAGGGTCTAAGCAGATATCGTACATATCTCTTTTGCTACCAAGAACACCAGGCTAGCTGCCTCATATATTCCACCTCTTTTCATCCGAGCTCATGCCGCAGCCTTACTTCGCGTCTCCAAAGGAAGAGCCAACCAAGCTCCCACCATGGCAATCCAGATCACACCACAGAACCAGACAGGACCTCCTCCAGCAGCAGTACTACCCGCATACACACTGATGATCTGCGCAACCAGACCGAACAGACCCCACGAGAAGCCCATTACCGCGAGCCCGGATCCACGGACAGGCGATGGGAGCACCTCAACCGTGTAGGTAGTCAACACAGCAAGGCCAGCAAATTCCAAGAAGGATATAATACAGGAGAACGCCAGAGCCGCATCTCGGGACCGCGCAACGGTAGCTAGGAACATGAACAGACCGGTGAGTAGGGCGAGCATGGCGCCAGTGCGCTTTCGCCCAAATCCTTTGGCTTCAATGAGAAGAGCTGCGACAATGGGGCCCGGGATAGCACAGATCGCGACATAGAGGTACCAGCTGAAGAGGTAGTCTGTTGACACGCTCAGCGGTGTCACTGCTGAAACCCCATGGCTGGCCTGGTAGTTGCTGATGTACGTTTTATGCAGGATGAATGTCAGACCAGTAGTGATCCATAAGATGAGCAGGACAGGAAGGCCAGTCGGTCCAAGAGATGAGACGAGAGCCTGAGTTCGTGATTGCCGACGGGTTTCGGTGGAATCAATCGTCGAGTCGATACGGGCGAATGATGCCTCTGTCAGCCAAGTCTGACGTTTGTTGTAAGCCGCAATGTCCTTGACAATCTGTGTGGCTTCGGCATCACGACGGCGCGCAAGGAGATGCTTTGGGGTTTCCCGGAGAGGGAACAAGAAGCGGCAGAGATAAAGGAAGAGGGTAATGCAGCCAAAGGTCCACCAGACATAGCGCCAGCCTTTGTTGGATACATAGTGGCAGGAGCTGCCGCTTCCACTCCCGGCACGCTTCTGGTGGCCTAGAGCTTGTTCTGTGCTGAGCTTGTCGGGGCCGGTACCGCATGTGTACTCGGCGATGAATGCCCTGAGTATGTTAACCGTGTACCATGTGCTGGGCTCAAGGTACTCACCATCCAACAGCATAGGATACCAACTGACCAAGACCCCAGAACAGACCTTGCATGGCAACAAGGAACTGATGCGAAGCAGGAAGCGTTTCCGCCAGGATCATCCCCGAGATAAGCTGGTTTCCTCCGATCGCGATACCCACTACACAGCCTACGACGCAAAGGCCGGTAAACGAAGGCATTCCAGCACCGACCAAGCCGCCCATGCCCATGAGGACAACAGTGCTCGTGAAGATCCACTTCCGGCCTAGAGTGTCCGACATCCATGGCCATGCTGTTGCACCGACTGTCAGGCCAACAAATAGACTGACAGGCAAGTATGCCGCCTTGTCTCCGGTAAAGAAGAACATGGCCTCGTCGGATGCAGCGGGGTTGATAACAGTGAACGATGCAATCCAGAACTGAGGTCAAGGCTTTAGCATTGGGTCGAGTGCAGAAAGATTAGTCGGGCACCTACACTATCGAGAAACCATCCGACACTCGTGATGAGGAACAGAAACCACTGGTACCGGCCCATCCCAATATCAAGCAGCGCTTGATTCAGGAGCTGCGCTTTCGCCCTCAGAACAGCATCAGCTCCAGCTCCCGTTTGCGAACAAGAAGTATCAATGACAGAGCCATAGATGGACTTATACTCCGGTTCTTTGCCACATGCTTTAGAACGCGGGGCTTTCTCAAGATCCGGAACAAGCGTTGATGTGGCAAAGGTGCTCTGAGTCTCTCCATGTTCCTGCATGATGCTCTCATCAGCTACTGGAGCCAGACGTCCTTCGTTCGCCATGATTGCAAAGGGCACGGTGTTTGAGAAATAGGAAACGTGCGGAAGAGGAGAAGAGCAAGATCAAGACAGCCCGAGGTGGGCAGACTATATACCCTACCTCTACTCCACACCCGAGACTTACAAGTTGGAGAAGAGAACTCCTCGGAGTTGGCATGTAGGTTCTCTGCCAGCCACTAACAATTCCGCTCTAGATCAGATAAGACGTCCGCGGATTTGTTCCTAACTTCCTTCTGAAGTTCTGCACTGGCCAGGAAACCTGTCCGCTTACCCACAGAACGGTGGGTTGAGGACAGTGCGATGCTTAGGGTTATTGAATCTGCTCTGACCATATTCCATCAGTCATGCCATACGTCCCTCATCTGCACTGAAGCCGCGGAGATAGTGAAGGCGTTGAGCGACTCCACGTTCAGCCTCGGACGAGATTGCTTGTTCGGTCTAGTGCGGGTACTTAGGGCTTCGGATGAAGTCTGGAGGAAACGATTTAAACCACCAAGACTGTCTGACTATTGAGTCTTGACTCTAGGATCATGAAAATGGCAACTCTCTAACGCTTGAAAGATAATTCTGTCTAGAGTGATGTAAGGACATAAAACAGCGCAATCCAAGCGACATCTACGGTTTAGAGCGACGACGACGTGCTACTTCCAAGCCACGCGTCGCCTTGGCTTCTCGGTAAACGCCCAGAGAGAAAGCTTAGGCGACTTTTCCTTCAATGGCTATTCCTAATTCCGAACGATTCATGCATTTGATAGGGGACAAACGCGCTGGTTAAGAGGCTAAGAGTTTAGGGCTCTTGGCTTTTCTAGGCACCGGAGGATGCCGGCCGGGCTTCGGAATACCTATGCCCCAGCATAGGCCAGAGACTCATGAACATGCCTACGCTAAAGATCAAGCCACGCAATGTGTGTTCAATAATGTTGATCTACTTAGAGCAGAGTGCATGACTCCATGGGTACCGGGGTACAAAGTATATCCATTCGGGATGCCTTCTGTTCCTGCCGTGCTAATCACAGACTCAGTTGTACCATATAGCATCCGTTTTTCTCAAGCCGTGCTTTTTGCATTTGCCTCGAGATATTGGGTAGTCCTGTACACCGTACCCGATCACTGCACATCCTCTTTTCTCCATACAAAAGACACCCGCGCACAACCCTAGCCCTGTTCAAAAACGAAGACCCCAACCTACCCATACCTAGCATCCACAACCTCATCATCAAACCAAACCGGCTTCACCCCATAATTCATAACCGTACTCTTCACCTTGGTATAGCCCTCATACGCCTCAACCCCATTCTCCTTGCCAAGCCCACTCTCCTTGAACCCACCCCACGGCGAAGACGGATCATTCAAATGGTGCCCGTTGATCCAGACGATCCCCGCCTCAATCCTATCCGCGACGCGATGAGCCTGCGTAAAGTCGTTGCTCCACACCGACGCACCAAGCGCATACGCTGTCCCGTTCGCAACACGGATGATCTCGTCCTCGTCGGCGCACTTTATGAGCGCGAGGACAGGGCCAAAGACCTCGTTGTTCGCTAGGTCAGAGGCAGAGTGCGTCTCGATGATCGTGGGCGCGAAGAAGAACCCCTTGCCTGACGGGGTAGGATGCAGCTTTGTTCCGCCGCAGAGGATCGTCCCCCCCTCGGCCGTGGCGCGAGAGACGAAGGACTCGCAGCGCTCTATGGCAGCCGCGGAGATCACGGAGCCGATTTGCGTCTTTTCGTCGGTTGGGGCGCCGACTCGAAGGGCGCGGACGCGTTTCTCCAGGAGGGTTTTGAAGGTATCGTAGATATCTTGGTGGACGAGGAGTCTGCTTCCAGTAACGCAGGTCTGGCCGCTGGCGATGAAGCCCGCGAATAGAGCGGCTTTAACTGCGGTCTCGACGTCCATGCTTGGGAATAGGCATACGGGTGCCTTCCCGCCTAGCTCTGCGGTTACGGGAACCATGTTCATTGCCGCGACGGGGGCAATGGCCCTATACGTTGCGATCCCGCCTGTAAGGTCGATCTTTGAGATGTTAGGCTGTTCGCAGAGGTATTTCCCTGTTTCTCGTCCGTACCCGGATACAATCTGGAGGACGCCATCTGGTAAGCCTGCTTCCTTGAACAGGGCACCGAGCTTCAGCACGGAGAGGGGTGCGAGTTCGGATGGCTTGACAATAACGACATTTCCAGCCGCCAGTGCTGCGGCGATTTTCTTCATTGCGATGAGCAGGGGGTGGTTGTAGGGCGTTATTAAGACGACGACGCCGAGCGGGATGCGGGTGAGGGTGTTTGTGACGGCACCCTTGAAGGGCGTTACGCGGCCTTCGTGGACGCGAGCTAACGAGGCAAAGTAGTCGAGCCATTCGGGGACGCGAGCGAGTTGGGTGCGCATCTCGCGGATGGGACGGCCGGTTTGGGCGGTTTCGAGGGCGATGAATTCATTGATGCGGCTGCGGAGGAGGGTGGAGGCTTTTGAGAGGACGGTGAATCTGTCGCTGGGGTCCTTCTTGGACCAGACGCCGGAGTGGAAGGTTTTCCAGGAGGCTGTGATGATCTCGTTGACGGCTTCTGAGGATGTTGCGTTGATAGTTGCGAGCGATTGCTCTGTTGCGGGGTTGATGACTGGGATGGTGGTTGCGGTGGGAGGGGCTTCCTGGCCGTCTATCCAGTTGGACTGGTGAATAACCATATTGACCGTTATCACTTTTTGAATTTGAATTTGCAGCTTTTTCTAGATATGAGATGCTGCAGTTCAGGTTGGAGAACAGAAGGTCTTATACCCCGCATGGCAGAGATAAGATACGACCCAAGACAAGAGCGTCTCCAACAAAGATAAGATAACAATCAGGGCATAAGACAGAAAGATGTAGGCCCGAAATACCACAAATGATCCCTTAGGCTCCCCAGTTCTCTCCCCAGATTCCCTCCCTCATTATTAACCCCCTCGAGGACCTGAATATCCGCAGTCGTAACGGGCTCTTCAAAGGCAGACGTGATCCAGTACTCCGGCCCGGACTGGCTGTACTCTGCCACCACCAGGTTTAGGGCCGGTGCCCTTGATGTACGGTACAGCACCTTCGGCACTTCGTCATTCAGATGTGTAATGCGGTAGTTCCTGCCTCTGTCACTGTCCGACATGTTTGTGATGAATTCGGCAAAGACGTAGTTTCCAATCGAGGGTGCACCGAATGTATACTGGAGTAGTCAGGCCAGTGTCTCTAGCAGTCCGCCTCGTACCGAAAGAGATAACCGGAACTTACAAAATCCGCATTGTATCCCTCGTTCCTCAGAGAGACCGCATAGAGCGTGGCAAGTGCGCCTCCCAGGCTATGTCCGGTCACGGCCAGTCCGTAGTCGGGGTATCTGGCCTTTGCATGCCTTATAGGCCGCTTCAGAACTTGTCCGACAGCCACGGCAGCAGACCAGTACCCTTTATGTGCTAGACATCCGGAACACGCGGCGGATGCGTCGACCTGAGAGATTGTCCAGTCGGTAATGACGTTTGCCATAGTCATGGTGTGGCGGAAGGAGATTATCAGAAGGCCATTCGTGTGATCGGCCGCAAGGTAGCCAGCTGTGTCGCCGGGGTCAATGCTGCAAAGCAAGACTGTTAGCGTCTATTAGGGCATGATGTCTGTTGGAAGTCGAGAAGGATGTGGATACTTTGAGAATCCGAAGAGTATCTCGGTATCTGCAGCGCTAATAAGCGGACAGGATTCCACTCCGCAATACACCGGACTTCCAACGGAAGTAGAGTTATGATTACCCCTGCAGGTTGAGGCAGCGGAGTATTGAGAGAAAAGGGTGAATTTGGTGAGCAAAGCGCGAGGTATCTCTGTGAGTCGGCTTCGTCAGTTCGAGTCCGTCAACCGAGTTTTAAGACTATACGTACCTTTGAGCGCTTGCAACAGAAGTGCGGTGCCGAGCACAGGCAGAAGGAAGGGAACGAAGAGATGCAGTCTCATGATGAGTTGGTGAGGAACTTCGAGGATCTTGTACTGTAGGGATTGATGTGCAAGGCAAGTAGGAATCGTAGCTTCGGGCTCCAGTGAGATTCCAAGGTTAGGAAATGTAGGATGCAATAGTGGCTCAAATGGAAAGAACGATAAAATACTGCTATTTCCCCACCAGTGACAAAGGCTGGAAACCACGAAGGGGGCTTTCCTCTATCGATTCCGATCGTTGGATATGAGCCAAAACTCAAGATCAACGTAGTACTTGGAAACAGCCAGGCAACTTCATTGTTAGCAAAGCTTGTTAACTGTATAATCCATTCTATCTAGGTATATCGTGTCAGTATTTCTTATATATACAGATATGTCACCATATCACAGCCCATCAGGGTACTCAATGCCGTGTTCTGCACTATATTTCCTCCAGAACTTCGCCGTCTCTACCGGGAATACTGTCTCCTCTATCGGCAGCTCCCACTCAGGGCGATGCTCCTCGGCAATGGCCAAGTACGGACTCAAGGTTTCGTTGAAATGGTCTTTCGGCGTACCCGGGAAGTGAACAAGAAAGTCCCCTGGGTGTACTTGAAGCTCTGCCGGTGAATCCTTATTGAGTGACTCCCCATCAGGCGCGCGCATGTATGCGTTGAACCACCTCAAAGGTACGTAGGCGACAGACCGGGAGTAGTACTCGTGCTCCTCGAAGAGCCAGCAAAGGGCGGACTGCTCTGCCCAGTAGAGGCCTTTGCCGGGACTTGTGAAGGGGTAGCCTATTGCGGCAGAGAGCAGTTCGATGGACCAGGGATGGACGCGGATGGGGAATACGCCGGCGTTCATTCCGTTCCAGTCTTTTGAGAGTACGATATGGACGTCGGTGAGATGCCGTGGGGGGAGAAAGGTTTCTAATCTCATGTTGGGGTTCATGACAATTGTATCGCTGTCCGCCCAGCTGTACAGGATTAGCAGGCGTACTACAGACTTTACCGGCAGTACTCACAATAACCACTCCAGCCGTTCCTCTGCCGGCTTCTCTAGTTCTTGCACGATGAGGGAAATGAGGTAGGCGAGCTTGTTCCACACGCCGTCAAGAACCTGTCTCCGCAGGAGGAAGAGTGGATAGCCGAGTCGTTCGCAATGGTCTTTATGCGTTGCTACTGCTCGCTCGTATACGGTATTGTTGCCGTAGATCATCATGACTTTGCCAACGGTCGGGCGAGGTCGATTATTGACAGATATTTCCGTAGAGGCATTTGCTATGGGATGTTAGTTGGTAGCGCAGCTTGCGGACCAGATATGATAACGCACGGTATATCGCAAACAGCCTGAGCAAGGAGAAGCAGGCAATAAACGCCGCCACCACGCGCAGGACTGACTTGAGCTGCAAAAGGCCCCGTCGGCGGGGCTTGAAGCCTTGGTTCATGGCGGGTAAAAATAGAATATACAAGAGTGCACGTTTTATATACAGAAAAGTCAAGATTAAGATATCATTTCGAATCCCCGGCGATTCGAAAATCGACGTCAACGAGGAGAGGAGATCGAAAAGCGGAGGACAGCTGGGCAGCTCAGGCTGGAGTCGCTGGACAGTGGACACCGCCAGGAAGAAGAAAGCATGAGCAGCGCTAACAGCTAGTTCACTGCCGGGCTGCGATAGACCCTGGGCAGGGCCCTGTGATTGGTGGGCCGCCGCAGGGATGGGCGTCCTTAGCCGCCGGGCTCGAGCCGTCCCAATCAACACCGAGAGTGCTGTGCCTGGGCTGTGACAGTCAAAGAAATGCCCAAATTAAGTACCAACTAGTCCCAACCATCAACAAGCGTTCGCACGCCGTAGCCGCCTGCGCCAGCCTGTTTCCCATGCATCCCCTTCCACCCCCCAAGTCAAGGCCCCTGCCCTGGCTCAAGAGCCGCTCGTTCTCCTGCTCTGTCTGTTTGCTCCATCCTCTCCCTCGAACGTGACGCAGGAACAGCCATCAAGATGGGAAGCAACGGCATCATAACTTCGATGACGGAGGTCTTTACTCCTCCAGCTGCATGTGCGACGTCCTGGACATACGAACCCGAGGGTGCAAACAACGTTGATGGTGGCCTGATAATGCAAAATGCGTACACACTCGTGTCCTCCTGTTTTCCCTCCGACTTTGACGGCATAGGACGGATGGAAGCGTCCCAAGTGTATAGCCCAGGGTACTGTCCTGTAGGCTATGCCTCTGCCGATGTGGTTGTCGATAAGGAGGTCACTACTGCAATATGCTGTCTCTCGTGCGTCCGCTTATGCCTCGCTCAATATACATACTAATCTAGAGTGTAGAGGCTTCGACTATTACACTTCCATCATGACATATAGCAACGGCGGCTCAGATACATACGCGGGATGCACAAGCACTTACCCCAAAGGCAACTCGACCATTATACCCGTTCGTCAGGAGACAACATCAACGCAGATTGTCGGGCCCGTCACCATGTGGGCGCAGCCGATAACCGTCGCGCTGGAGTCCAGCGACTCGAGTCTGTTCGTTCCCCCAACGACGTCTTCTACACCCTCTGTCGCCAGTGAAACCGCTGCTTCGAGTCCAACCACCGACCCGGGGAGAACCACATCAGCGAACGAAACAGATGCCTCTGCTACAGAGTCTTCGCAGCCTGGGAGTGAAGACACCCCGTCTGGGGGCGGACTTTCCACTGGCGCAGGGGTTGGTATAGGAGTGGGGATCGGGGTCGGTGGTCTAGCTGCCTTCGCCGCCGTGGGCCTTTGGTTCTGGCGCTCACGCAAGGCAAAGAAAACAGCAGCTGGGCTGGCAATGGGCGGTAATGCTACTGCTTACAACGGGCATGGGCCATACTACCAGGACCCGCGCGCATGGCCGAAGAAAGTGAGTGAGGTAGACGGGTCAAGCAGTACCGGCAGGCACCAGGGTTCTCCCCACGAGCTGTACGGCTGACGGAAATGACGCCGTGGAATCATTACATATATACTCCGGACTACGAATAATGGTGGAAGTCGACATATCGCATAGACAGGGCCCTTCACTTCGACGTGTATCTATCTTACAACCCTTGTTGCCTGACGTCTTTATAATGCAATGTGATAATAGAAGTATTGCTCCGAGAGTCCGAGTATGTTTCAAGTTTAATTATAGAGAACTGTTAGCCGCCTGAGGCTTTTAGGCCAAGGGCCGGACTGACGCGGATCGACTGCGCCGCACCGGGATCGAGTCCACTTGGAGCCCTAGTCTAACGCACTCCAATCACACCTCTTACGTATGCGCCTAACTGACTCAAGGTCAAAATAATCTCAGAAACAGGCACTGCAATGCAATCACTGAATCAGAATGAGTGGGTACTTAAATGTGGACACTGGACATTGGAGTCTCCTCCGCACGTCAGACCACGAATCCAAGCCCGTCTGACCTCATTTCTTCTCCTATTCGACCTCACATTTCCATTCACCAAAGTCTGTCATTCCTTCATCTCCCTCATTATCCAATCTCTTGCTTCATCTTCACCGCCACTGGACAAAGAACTGTCTACTATACCTAATGTTGATTGTTGGCTCGCCGGAGAGCCGCCATCCCCACCTTCGTCGCCCTCTTCTTCCTCCTCAACATATTCTACTTCTGGCACAAACACACGAGCATCGTTCTTCCAATCTCAGACCAGCGATCGCAGCTCTGGCAGCGTCTACATCCGCTGCTGGAGCGACACACGCCGCAATGTCCCGTACCAACGCAACATGACGGACCAGGCGTCGTGCGCTTCGACGCAATCAACGAATTTCCTCGACAGAATTTCATCACCAATGCCAACGAACTGGAGCTGCCCATGCGAGAGGCACATGATGGCTTCGTCAAGGACATGCGCAGGCTCAAAACACCTCGTTCTTACATCCCAGGGACGAAGGGCATCGTCTCATCCGCGGGAGGAACATACCTACCCACATTCGTCGTAACGCTGAAGCTGCTCCGACGGACAGGAACAACGCTCCCAATCGAGCTCTTCCTGAAAGACCAGTCCGAGTACGAGCCGTACATCTGCGACGTGATCCTCCCGCCACTAAACGTGAGATGCCTCGTCCTCTCCGACATCATGAAGCCTGAGCCAGACTCGAGCCAGAAAGAGATCTCCGGCTTCCAGCTAAAGGCCTTCGCCATGCTCTTCTCCTCCTTCGAGACCTTCCTCTGGCTCGACGCAGACTGCGTACCCCTCCACGACGCCGAACCCCTTCTCACCTCTCCCCCATTCACAACCAGCGGCCTGGTAACCTGGCCCGATTTCTTCGCCAACACCGCCGCCCCCGTCTACTTCAACATATCCCGCCAGCCTGACCCCCCCTCCACAGCACGACAATCCTCAGAAACAGGCATGATCCTATTTAACAAGAAGACCCACTTCCAGACTCTCCTGCTATCAGCCTACTACAACTACCACGGGCCCGACTACTACTACCCGCTCCTCGACCAAGGCGCCCCAGGCGCAGGAGACAAGGATACCTTCCTGCAAGCCGCAACAGCGCTCAACGCCCCATTCTACGCCGTCAGCGAGAGCGTCATCGACCTCGGCAACATCACGCCGTGGAACGACCAGATCGCCATTAACGCGGGGTACATCCAGGCGGATCCCGTAGAGGACTACGCGCTCACCAGCGCGGGAAGATACCGCGTCGCCGACCCAGCCGTTGCAAAGGCACCCCGCGCCTTCTTTATCCACGCCGGCGCGCCGGAGTTCAACCCGGGGAATGAGCTGATGGGCGAGAAACTGCGTGGGTTCGACGGCCATCCGACGCGGCTGTGGACGTATCCGCAGAGTGCGATGAGGCGGTTGGGATTCGATGCGGAGAGGATGTTCTGGGAGGAGGTGAAGGGTGTTGCGTGTGAGCTTGAGGATGTGTTTGAGTCGTGGCGGAGGAAGAGGAGGGTTTGTGAGAAGGTGAAGAGGCATTGGGAGGCGGTGTTTGCGGATGGGGTTGTTAGGCCGGAGGGGTTGGCGTTTACAGATGATGATACCAGGGTTGAGGGGTTGAGGGTTTGACATAATTTAATGTGTATCTACTCCGTATTAGAGATGTTTTGATATGCGCGAGCAAGCCTGTTCAGCTGGTCTGACATGACAAAGTCAAGGTCATTAATTCCGTTCGATGAAAACAGATACTACAGAGCCACCATTAAAGCGAATACCAAGCCAACAACCCCCGCAACCAACATTCCCTGACTGGACCCCCTCAAGCCGGCAGCCCCATCATCGGGGGTGAAAGTCTCACTCCCCGAGTCCCCCGTCGGCGCCGGCTCAGCAGTAACCGTAAGCCCCATGTCTGAGTCGGACGTGCTCGTTTCCGCCACATCAGTATCGTCCCCAGCATCAGCATCATCAGTACTAGTCTCAGTCGCCGTCGAAGAGCTAGATCTCGTCGACGACCCAGACGTAGTCGTCGTCGTCCTCGTCGGCACATCATCGAGGTCCGGTGTCGTAGTCGCACTAGCACTAACGCTCTCGCTAATACCGTCAAACAACGAGTCCGCAGCCGCAGAGTTCGAAGCCGACACAGTCGCCGTCGAGGACGTCCGCGTCGACGAAGACGTAAGCGAGAGCGTGCTCGTCTGCACCTCGATCTCGATATACCACCATACCTCAACGTACCAGTACACCCAGTAATACCAGTATATGACCTGCGTGTATGTCGAGATGGACGACGACGAGGACGAAGAAGTCGTGGTTATCGACGTCTCCTCCTCATCGTCATCATCGTCATCGACGATAGAAGTACACCCCGAAACCGGACAACACCCCCTCTCCCCATTACGAATAACGCACTCCTGCCCGGCAGGACAGTACCCCTCGACAAGACAGCACTCGCCGTCGGCCGGAGCACAACCGCTTGAGCAGCACTGCTCGTCGGCCTCGCAGTAGCCGTCGCCGATGAGACAGCATTTGCCGTCGTCGGGCATGCACCCGTCGTCGCAGCAGCTTCGGCCTTCGGCGCAGGCGCCCCCGCCTAGACAGCAGGATTCTGTGTCGGCGATCACGCACGTTCCATCTATGCAGCAGCTGTCGGCTGGGGAGGGGCAGCAGCGGCGGGAGACTAGATATTCGTTAGAGGGTGTTCAGGACTGGATTGGGATGTGTTGATGAGGGGGCATACGAGCGCAGAGGGAGTAGCCTGACGGGCAGGTGTACTGGCGCTTTTCTAGAGAGGTAGCGAAGGGGTCGAAGACGTCTCTGGCGGCGATGTCGACGATACTCGAATTCCCACGCGAAGCTGACTTCTGCCGGTCCTTGGTATGGACGGGTTGGAAGAGACTGCGGGCTGATTTGGAGGCATCGCAGAGTGTGGAGATGGATAGGCAGAGGAGGAAGAGAACGGGCCAGCGGTGTGAGGCCATGATCGGATGAGAATCGAAAGTTGTGCTAGATGACTGCGCTCAACCGGGGACGCCCGGCCACTTTGGAGGATTATATAAATTTCCTGAAGACGAGGCTGCATCGTGCATACTACCCAACGCTGTTAGCCTCTCCCCACAAGGCCTTGGCGGGCGCAGCATCTCGTATTCCTGCAAGTTAGCTAGTCAGTGCGCCCACCCGTGGTGCGCTGGTTGGCCGTGATCGGGCTGCAATAGCAGATCAGCGTCATCCTCGTATTTAGTTGCGGGTAGAGAGGCCTGAGCACTACGATGAGTGCCGTGCGTGCGGCTCTCCATGGTCCCGGCGCCCTGTGACCACCTCGTATTGGCCTTGGAATGAGCCCATGGCAATTCAAGGTTCTGAGTGTACTGTGTGCTGTTTGCATGAGGAGTATCCAGCAGGATTTTCGGCGAAGCCACTGTGACACATCCGCTGCGGGGGCTGAGTTCTTAGCTTTCCGTAGAGGTTCCGTTCCTGGCACGGTCCGTACCAAGAAAAGTGTTTCCGCGGCTCATCTTGGCCGCGTTCTTCAAGGTTCTTACTTTAGCCTTTTAAGTCTTCGTGGAAGACACGTGTGAAAGTTAATGCGACTCTCAAGGGTTGAAAAGTCGATTTAGGAATGAATGTTGGTATATTCTCAGGGTATATAGATCATCTATTTCTAAGAACAATGTTCATATACCTGTAACCGGTCAGCACTTGGGCATAGAGTCGGACTTGAGATGCGAGACTTACATGCTCATCCCGGTCAACGCGATGAAAATCCCCATGACGCTCTGGCGCGGGACAGCATGGTTGTTCCACGCCCAGCCCAGCCCTACAATGATGCAGGTTTTGAGCTGCCCAATGACCGCGCCACTGACTGCGCCCGCAGCGTCAACAATATAGAACTGGGAGAGGTTCACCATGCACGCGAGAAGCCCGCTCTATATCAGGTCAGCGCTGTAGCAGCCACAAGGGAAGATGAAGCGTACCAGTAAAACCATACTCCACATAGACGTCGGCACAGCCGACACGGCAGGAGTCGTCTCCGTCCATGGTATAGCGCACAGGAGCAAGAATGCACTAATAGGTGCTTGGTTCAGAAGCAGCTGCATGCTGCTCAATTCGAACCGTTTATGGTATTGCCCAATCCAGACGGTGTAAATCGAGCTGGCACAGACTGCGGTCAGCGCGAAAATCACGCCCTGGGTTGAGGTAGTGCTCCCATTATCCGCCGACGGAAGCGAATCGTAGTATGTGACGACTCCGACCCCAGAGCACAACAAGACCAATGGCATGAGCGCGGCGCGGGGAGTCTTGATTCGGAAGAGGATGTAGTTCAACAGCGCGACAGCGGGTGTCAAAAGAAGGCGCGCAAGCTGGTGGAACATGACGGAGGAATTTGCGAGTGATAGGTTCTGAAGAACAACTTGGATGGCCATAGCGGCGGCAATTGGGGTCATTTGCGTAAGGCCGACCTGTTTCGCGACAAAGACGCCGAAGAACCGAGTCGAAGCAATCCAAAGCGCAGCACCGGTTATGAAAAAGTGGTAGCAAGCGAGCGAGACTTGGCGGTTTTTGAAGGAGGGATCGGACATGATCGATTTGTTTGTGAATACCTTTGGCGATTAGCAGAGTCAACAGGCTCGGGTGTCTCGGGCAATAGTACTCACAATGCCGACGGTAGAGGTGACATTTAAAATCGTCCATATCAAAAAGCGCACATTGCGACTTGCTGGCGTCTCGGTTGGCTCCTCGGACTTGCTCAAATCAGGGTCGTACTTCTCCATGGTCGGGGATTCAGGGTCCTTCTCGGCAAGGCGGAGATTAACCTCTGCATCGCGCTCATCTGAGTTCGGCGGCGTGTAAACCATAATGAGAGGGATTGAGTAAGAACCAAGAAAGACAGGAGACCATCTTTAGAGGCCGCGAGCAGCCGAGCATGGTTGTTTAAGAGAAAGGGGACAAAGGCGTGGGGAGTCAGCCGGAGACATAGCCTCAGCACCGAACGGGGCTAGTTGGGCTGCTGGAGCCTTCAGGCCTAAGCGAGCGTCCCCATTGGCTGCGGTCTCCGTGGCAGCGCTGACACATCAACTTTCAGAGCGATCCGGATCGATCACAGGCCGACTTTTCTTGTCAAAAGAGGGTCCAAGGTAAGTCACGGTGGGTCACAGGGCTGGCTCTTGTTCGTCTTGTTCCTGGCGTTCCGGGGACTCGGGGTTGCACTGGTCGACTCGACCTTTTATGTTACATTATATTAATGTGGTTGGTTGATTAAGACAGATTGATGAATGCAGCTATCCCCGCAGCAAATACCCCCGCGGAATCTGCACCTCTCGCGGCTTGACCTCGCTCTTGGACCATGGCACAAACGAGGTGTTCCACTGCGAATACACCGTCTCCTCCCCCGCAAGCAGCCGCTGCAGGTTCATCCTCGTGCTGTACACCATGTTGAACGACGCCGCGTCCACCCACCCTGTTGTACTATAGTTCTGGATGTCCGAATGACGCGAGCTCGGCCCTGCCGGCTTGAAAGTACCAATGACGTTCGGATACACTCCGAAACACCGGATCTGGCGCCGCCCGAAGTAACCTCCACAGAGATCGCCCAGCGAATTGTCTACCTCCGCGCTCCGCTCCAGGGAAAGAGCCGCAAGGATCTTGCGGGCTCCTTCATATGTCACCGCGTATCCATACAGGCAGCAGCCAGAGTCTGCCCGGTAGACGAATCGCGTAGAATCCATAGAGACCTCCGAATGCTGGTTTCTCCAATCCTCGTGTGGCCCGATGGGACCTCCCCACGGACCACGACGGTCGAGACTGGGGGTGGTAGGGTCGTCGGGTATCATGTACAGATCAGTTTCATTTTTGCCCTGCAGAGTGGCGCACCCGCCAACCCAGAGGAGGTCCCAGTTGGTGCCATACGGTTCTTTCCTCGAGGCCTGTTGGTTGTTGGAGAGCTCCCGGACTCCGCGGGCGATCTCGCGCAGCTGGGGCCTGATTGTGACATCCCAGTCTGCATCGTCTTCCATGATGAGAGCCGTCGCATACTTGTTGTCGACAACGCTGTCCTTGTTAGTAAACTTCATTGCCAGTGCAACAGGACGCCTACCTGCGTAATGCATTCATGTGCGCACGCCAGCACAAAACGGCTGTATATGGGATATCTGGATGGTCCATCCCCTAGTCGCGTAAGTAAGTATCGCGATGAATACAATGAGGACGTACCGGCGGTAGAGCCTTTTGGGATACATCGCCAGGCCGAACGCCTTCCAGCCATTCGACATTCATCCCTGTTGCCGAGGCGGCCAATGTGAGTGAATCATGCTTGTCTGTGCGCTCCTTAAGGCCAATGGCATAAATATGCTGAAACTGCAGGCTGTCAGTATTATATACTTGGCATGAATTGGTAGGCTGGCAGCGCACCCCCAAAGTCTCATTTTTGATCCGCTCAAACATCACATTCTCTAGGCGAGACCGACCGGCGTGGATCAACTTTCTGGTCGACTGATAGCCATCCTGCCTGTTGTTGAATAGAAAGGTAAGAGTCACACACGCGCAGAATAACGCGACAGCCGTCTTTATCAGCTTGAAGTTCCTGCGGGTCATCGTAGTCATGGCTGCAAGAATCGAGTCAATCGACAGGGATCGACACTTTTGAGGAGCGCTTTTGCTGCCATCCTTTTGAATAACTTGGGGCAGCAAATTATGCAACCCACAGCATCGCCTGCCAAATGCGTTGCCCTCACATTCCGGGCGAAGGCAATGCTGGACTGATCAACTATGGTAGAAAGCGGCTGAGACAGGAGAACGGTGGCTTCAGGCACCGGCCAGGAACAGACTCTCGCTGACCCACTCTTGTATTTTTAGACCACAGGGTCCAGTTCCACCCTGTCATTGGCCAAAGCTTGCCTGGAGCGCCATACTTGCCGCATCCGGAATGTCAGCTGAGGCCAAGCTCCATTCCGTTTTCGACTCAGACTCAGAGTCAAGGAGCTATCTACAGGGACTTCAATTATTGCTTTCGTCTGAAACTATTATGTGCTGCTGTACTGTTTTGCTTGTCTACTACCTGTTTCCAATCTCCATAAAGCTCCTCGCACTTCGCGGATGCATATGACGTCACTATCAGCAGCATTCAAACAATGCCTCTCTCGTCAATTCGAAGACTGGCCTGATCCTTCTCAAGCTTCTCAAGTAGCCAGTGGGCCAATATCGACTGTTTCACTGGCTTCTGAGTATTGACTTTAAAGCAACGACAGCTGGACAGCTGGCAGTTTACGACACTCCGTAAGACGTCTCCGCTCTCTCACATGGCTACCCCACGTTACCCCTCCTGCCGCGACCTGCGGCATACTTCGTCCTACTTTTCTTCACGACATCAATTGCTCGAGTCAATCCCTACAACTAGTCTACGTGAGCAACATGAGTTCGACACCTGTCAAGCCCCCTAACGAGATCCATCGTGCTTGGTGGAAGGAAAGCTCTGTCTATCAGATTTGGCCCGCTTCCTACAAAGACTCTAACGACGATGGCATTGGCGACATTCCAGGAATAGTCTCAAAGCTCGACTACATTCGGGACCTCGGAGTCGACATTGTTTGGCTATGTCCGTCGTACAAATCCCCCCAAGTGGACATGGGATACGACATTGCGGACTACTACAGCATCGCAGAGGAATATGGCACGGTCGCGGACGTTGAGAAGCTCATTCAGGGCTGTCACGAGAGGGGTATGAAGCTTCTCATGGATCTAGTCGTGAACCATACCAGTGATCAGCATGATTGGTTCAAGAAGTCGCGGAGCTCGAAGGATAGCGAGTTCCGCGACTGGTATGTCTGGCGGCCACCTCGCTACGATGAGAACGGGAATCGCCAGCCCCCGAACAATTGGGTATCACACTTTCAAGGTGCTAACTTTTGGTTTCCGTACATAACGCAGAGTGCTAACGTGAATAGGAAGCGCTTGGGAATTTGACGAGCCGACGGGGGAATATTACCTGCATCTATACGCCGTCGAACAGCCCGACTTGAACTGGGAGAACCCCGCCGTTCGAAAGGCAGTCCACGATATTGTGCGTTTTTGGCTGGACAAAGGAGCTGATGGCTTCCGCATGGATGTCATCAACTTTATCAGTAAAGATCAGGGATTCCCCGACGCACCCAACCAGGATCCGGACGCCATATGGCAATGGGGTGACAGGTACTACGCGAATGGGCCTCGTCTGCACGAATACTTACAAGGTATTGGCAAGATACTCAAAGAATATGACGCCTTCAGCGTCGGTGAGATGCCTTTCGTGAAAGATACCGATGAAGTGCTGAAAGCGGTTCGCTACGACCGGAACGAGATCAACATGATCTTCAACTTTGAGCACGTCGACATTGACCACGCTCCATGGGGCAACAAGTTCAAGCCTGGGAGCTGGAAACTCACGGACCTCAAGGCCTTCTTCGAGCGCTGGCAAGTGTTCATGTACAACAACGGCGGCTGGAATGCTCTGTACTGGGAGAACCACGACCAGCCTCGATCGATTGACCGCTACGTCAACCCGCCTCAAGCTCTTCGGCCGGCGGCCGGGAAGATGCTGGCCACCGTTCTGGCCCTGCATGCGGGATCTCCGTTCATCTATCAAGGTCAGGAGATAGGCATGGGCAACGTTCCTATTGAATGGGACATGGGCGAATACAAGGACATTGACTGTCTGAACCACTGGAAGGGGTATGGTTCTCTTCCTTGAAACAAAGCAGTGCTAACTATCTCAGTTTGCTGGAACACAAGCCGACAGACACCGAAGCACAGAAGATTGCCCGACAGGAATACCAGAAGAAATCCCGTGACAACGCTCGCACACCAGTGCAGTGGTCAGCTGAGCCCAATGGTGGATTCACCGGGCCAAACGTAAAGCCTTGGATGTCTGTTAACCCAGAGTACACTCGAGTCAACGCGGCAGACCAAGTCAAGGATCCCCAATCCCTTTATCACTACTGGTCAGAAGTCCTAAAGCTCAGGAAGACGTATCTCGATATCTTCGTGTATGGCAACTACAAGCTTGTCGACCGTGATAACCAGGAGGTCTACGCCTACACTCGGGCATACGACACGTCGCAGGCCTTGGTGTTGGCGAACTGGACAGACAACGATTTGGCATGGGATGCCGCAGCACACAATGTTGATCAAGTTAAAGAGGTACTTCTAGACACATATGGCACTGCAGGCGCATCGCGGGAGAGATTCTCAGGTGGTCAATGGACACTGCGACCGTACGAGGCGGTCGTGATTTTGCTAAAATAGACTTAGCCTAGATACACGGCCCGGATGAGAGAACTGCTCGCTGGGTACGGGCTACATGAATGAAGCATTAAAAGAGCAATGGATGTGCCCATGAAGACCTGTCTTCTCATCATCACTTGAGGCGTACGGCGTAGATGAATCTGATGAGGCCTTCGTTGGACGACCGAACCATATCCACGTGACTTGCATTTCTGCCTCAGGAAACAACAAATCCCGATCAGCGCATCTGGAGATCCCGCAACTCAGAAAAGCTTCACTTCAAGACTAGCCGCTCAATCGCACAATACAACTGCCACAATGTCCGTACCACTCCGATCTATCACGCGGCCTATTGCCCGCTCAACCCGGCCGTCGTTCCTCGCCTCCCAATCCCGCATTCAGCTCTCACAAAACATCCCCCGATTCACAACACCACTCCGCACACAATGGCAGCCCTTCTCAACAACACCGGGCCGCCCGAAAGCGCGCACAATGGGCCAGCTCCGCCAGCGCAACAACACGGGTCCATTCTCTTGGAAGGCTGCGTTGCTGTTCGTCCTCACCGGCGCCGGAATGATCGTCTACTTCCGCGTTGAGAAGGACCGGTTGGAGCGGAAGCGGATTGCGGAGATGAGCAAAGGTGTCGGAAGGCCAAAGGTCGGCGGGCCTTTTGTGCTGAAGGACCTGAATGGAAACACCTTTACTGAGGAGGACTTGAAGGGGAAGTATTCTTTTGTATGACTCCCCGATCCCGGTCTCTTTTAGCCCGAGCCATACAGTTGACTGATTGATTCGTCCTATCTAGGTCTACTTCGGCTTCACGCACTGCCCCGATATCTGCCCCGACGAGCTCGACAAGATGGCTGAGATTATTGACCAAGTGAAGGAGGCCAACAAGGGCGAGAACATCTTCGTTCCTGTCTTCATTACATGCGATCCCGTACGCGACACGCCCGAGGTGCTGCACAACTACTTGCAGGAGTTCCACAAGGATATTGTCGGCTTGACGGGGACATACGACCAGGTGAAGCAGGTCTGCAAGGCGTACCGGGTGTACTTCAGCACGCCGCGCGATGTGAAGCCTGGCGAGGACTATTTGGTTGATCACAGTATTTACTTCTACCTGATGGGTGAGTTTGCCTTTGGTCTTCCGTTGCGGAACCCTGATGCTAACACGGTATGATGTGGTAGATCCCGAGGGCGACTTCGTCGAGTGTATCGGACGACAAGACACCCCCGAGTCCGCAACGAAGACAATTATGCAGCATATCAACGACTGGAAGCGAGAAGGGAAGCCCTTGAAGGAGGACTAGACTGTTGTCCCCCACCATCTCTCCTTATACAGCCATCCATGTATCCATAATATTCGAAGTCAAGCCATGTACTGTACCATAGCTCTCCAATCCAATCACACCGACCCATCCGCCTCCTTCTTCCCCATCAAATTCCCAAACCCATCCCTCTCCCGATTCTCCCTCCACTCCATCCCCCCATCCACAAACTCCTCGCGTTTCCAAACCTCAACCCTCTCCTTCACAACCTCAAGCACCCACTCCGCCCCCCTCCACGCCTCCCCCCTATGCCCCGCCCCCACCGCAACAACAATACTCGCCTGCGAAACCGGCACCTCACCCAGCCGATGCGCGATGTAAACACCATTCAGCCCAAACTTCTCCACCGCCTCCACGGCGATCTTCTGTAGTGATTTGAGCGCTAGCGCCGGGTACGATGTATATGAGAGGCGCGCGACGGGCCGGTCGTCGAATGTGTCCCGTGTTGTGCCGAGGAAGAGGATGTTTGCGCCGCTGGCGGGCGAGGAGATGTGTGCTAGTGCGGTGTCCGGGGAGAGGGGCGCGTAGGTTAGTTCGAGGTGGATGGGCGCGTTAGTGGCTTCGTGGGCTGTGCTGAGGGTTCGCGGGTAGGTGTTTGGGTCGAGGTGGGGTGGGAGGGGGTCGGTTGAGGATTGTGCGAGCGCTTGCGATTGAGGTTCGTCGGTTCGGGACGACATTGTGGATTGGGTTGCGGTGTTAAGGGGATGCTGGTGAGTGCGGGCATCGGAGTTGGACTGGTGAGGGGATGGTGGTTTGCAGATGGCTGCCTTAGGCTGCGAACCGTGAATCGGCAAGGCCTACTGTACGTATTTGCAGAAGACTTTTATTGAGGCGTATATCCACGGTCGTATCATCACTAGAATTACAGATTACTCCCGCTTCCTGCTCCGAGTCTATGTGCTGAAACCATGACGAAGACAACTGACTGACTGAAAACAAACGCAGCTGGAGTATCGCGGCAAGAAACAGAAAGAAAATGAAGGAAAAGACAAATAAACCCGCATGTGACCAATCGCAGAAATATGATGGAAACCAAAAAGAAAAGAAATCTCATGTAGCAGTCGGAGCTCACTGTACACTCCTGCTCGCCTGGCTGGCGCGGCTTGCACGGCTAGGGGTCGTCCTGGGCTCCTCCTCTTCCAGGACATCGCTAAGGCGCGTCGGATGGCGATGACGAGGAGTAACAGATTCCCATCCAGAACCGACGCCCCAGCCAGATCCGCTGTAGTCGACCGACTGCTCGTAACCCGCGTACATAGATCCAGACGTTGGAGGCATAGTACTTGCCACGTACCCGCCTTCGCTGTCCTCAAGCGACGCCTGCTCGTAGTCGTCGCTCTCTTCTGACCGAGGGTAGGCCTGATGGCGGCTCTGCGGGTTTTGCTGATATCCATAGTCGTCCCCAGGCTCACTGCTTGCTAAGCTGGATTCGTGGCCCGCAGCGGTGCGAGGGGGATAGGTACTCTCTGGCTCGTAATAGCTAGCATAATGTCCTTGGCTCTGGGCACCGGTGGTAGGAGGAGCCGGCGCCTGTGGGTAACTTTGTACATCGGACTCGTGGAGCCTCTGCCCTTCCATGAATGGATCGGTCCCAACAGGCGAAACCGGGGTATCTCCGTACAGGTCCTCCGTCGGCTTCGATTCACCTCCAGTGTAAGGGCCTTCCCTGGTCGGAGGGCGTGCCGGGTCCCGACGAGGAAGCCCTGCAATCATTGGAACCACCTGCACTCCGCCAACCAGAGTAGGCTCTCCGTTGCGGAGGGAGTTTGTGCGTTCCCGCTCTTCTTGTTCGCGACGGCCAAGTTCCTCCCAGGCACGGCGAGCTTCGTCTTTCGAGATCTGGAGTTCGCGGCGCATTTCTTTGAGCAGATCCTCCATACGGGTTTTGTCGCCCTCCGCCTTTTGAACAGAAGCCATCGCCTCCGTGCGGGCCTGTCGTTCGGTCTGAATTTGTCTTTCTAGTTCACCCTGCAGCTCCTTGGATCGTTCTTGCTCGGCGCGCGTATCAAAGAACCATCGCTGAAACTTTCGCTCGGATGATGCGCGCAGGCGCTGCAGCTCCACAACGGCATGGAAGAGATTGGCACCAGCGGCACTGAGGTCGGTAACTTGGCGCGCCATCTGCTGGCTGAGAGGGTCCCGCTCGAGTGCCTCGTTGTTTTGTTCAAGCTTGCGAATCCAGTAGCTGGTCAGTCCTTCCCAGTGAGACGAGAGCGTCTCCCACCGTTCAAATGCATGAGGAAAACCAGGGCGTCGAGGCTGTTGGGGCTGCTGTGGTGCGGCTGTCGGGCCTTGAGATTGTTGGGAGGGAAGCTTGGACTGCGAGGTTTGCGGCGGGACCGGCTGAGGCGCTTGCTGCGGTGCAAACCCAGCAGCAGCAGGTTGCCTGGGTTGAGACGCACTGGCGGGAGCGTCCGGCCGACGAGGGCTCGTTGGGGATGGTCCGGGGATGTTAGACGTAGTGCGAGGCTCCGGCCCAGCTGGGGCTCTCGGTGCAGCTCTTCGCTGCGTCGGTCTTTCGCCAGCAACGCCAGCAGGGTAGGGCTGGGCAGCCTGGGCTTTGGCTTGCTCCTGCTGTAGCCGCTTGCGCTCAGCCTCCTCTTGCTCCCGATCTTTTGCTTCTTGTTCCGCTTTTTTGCGAGCTTCTCTATCACGCCGCTGCCTCATGATATCCGTGGGCGTACGCACACCGCTGGCAGCGTGTGGGTTGACCGGAATTGGTCCTTGGGCCGCCCGGGAAGCTCCATTTTGGCTCCGGCCGTTTCCTCCAAACCCAGGTACGCTGGGACCACCTGCTAAGTCCGACATGGAAGCATTCACTTCGTCCCAATCGGGGGTAAATGGAAACGGTTTGCGAATGGCCTCCTCTAAAGTCCAGAGTATCGCGGACGCGGTCCCAGGAGAAACGCGTGTGGATCTGCGAGGCCAATAACTCCCGTTCCCAGTCTGAAGACTATCGTCGAGCGCGGAATCACTATCCTCGCCCTCTGTTCTTGTCACCGACGGCGCTGGGCGCGGCGCGGCTACGTCGCGGGTGTGTTCGGAGGCAGGTCGGACAATTACCGGGATCGTCTGCTCTATATGAAAAGGGCGTCCCGATGCATCTACCGAGCCGGGTCGTCGGGGGGAATATCGCGAGGTTCTCCGTAAGGTTCGCGGGTGGTTGTCGAGAGCGGTAGAAGTGCGATGAAGCGGGTAATTAGTGGGATTAGAAGCAGGATTAGAAGCAGGATTAGGAGCAGCCTGCTGCTGGCGTTGCTGCGATTGGGTCGTGAACGTAGAAGGGTCGTGAACGTCGTAGGTCTCGTCAAGGGTACGGAGGAATTGGTGATGCACCGCTGAGGTACGTTGTGTTGGAGGCAGACGTGACGACAACGTGAGGATTAAGCCTCGGAATGCCGAACAGCCTGACGCAATTCAATGACACTTTCCAATTGAAGGCTGTCAGTCTCTGTTCTGCTGGGCCGGTTCAAGAGACGAGCAACTAAGCGAAGAATCGACGGGCCCGGAATGTGGGTATAAAGTACGGAGCAATGGATCAAAGATAGAAAAAGTGAAGAAAGGGTCCCCTAGAGACCTCGAAGGAGAGGACAGCGCTGGGCGCCCCGAGCAAGGACGGGAGTCGTGCAGTGGCTGGGCGAATAGTGAGCGTCCCCGTCCGGAATTGCGATGGCTGGGAGTACAAAGACGGGCTCCTGCTCCTAGACCACAACGAGCACTCGGGGAAGCCCGTAGTGGTCATAGAGCAGAGCTGATGAGCTCAATGGCCTGACGCGCGAAGGAAAGGCGCGAGCACACCGCGATTTCAAGTATGGAGATGCTGGGAAGTGAGAGGAGAAATTGGGGCGAGCAAGACAAGTTGGATTGTATTTGTTGGAGGCTTGGAGTAGAGACTCGGTAACGTCCGTCACGTACCTCGGTAAGATTGGGCCGGGACACTGCAAAATCTGCCCGATTAACGCGCTTGGGACGTGTATTTTACGCGTAACAAATTATCGTTGGAGAGGGTGAGACCTTCTTTTGGGAGGCTGAACATTCAATAACGGACTCGACTCATCAGGCTGCGAGTCTTATCGCTTCATCAATTTCTGGTTGAATCTTAACGGTTTTCCTTTATATAACGAGATATAGCAAGAGCTGGTGGATTGGGCCTTGATTAGGGCCCAGCAAGGACCGGCCTACCTTACCTCTCCAGGTCAGTCGCCGAACGCACGGAAGCTGGACACGGCTGAGGATGAGGCGATGATGTCTGAACACGGCAGAGTCTGAATGATCCTACGAGGATTACATTATCCAGAGGGATGCCCCAGTCATCCTGACGACCATGTCCTCGTCGATACATACAGTAGTCAATTCGGCCTGATGAGCTGGCAATTAATGCATCCAGTCGGGTTAGTTGATGCTGTTTGTCCTTTGTATTATAATTCTACCCAATTACTCTGTTTCAACTGTGCATATTATGCTAATGCCTACGCTTAGGACGTGGGGTTTTCCTGAAAGCACAACGTCTCTCTAGTCTCTACCTACCCTAGCAAGGTCTGGGCTTTGGGGTCTGGACCCTAGAATTTCTGGCCATATAGTTGGAGTATACGTCAGAGATTTGGAATATCGTCTGCTCAAGGGCAATCACAATTAGACCCGAGTTTTGTTTCTTTTGACCGGCCAAGGCCCCTTCATCAACCTCATCTAAGTGCCAGTACAAGGAGTGCGGGTCTTCCAACCTCATCACCCACGACCACCAAACAGAGGCCAAAAGAGTCGGATCACGGCAATTGCCCTCGAAGACAATTGCAAATCCGCTAATCAACAAGTCTATGCTCCGTCAGGGAGATCGTTTTTCGGGAACCTCCATCGCTCTTCACCAGATTCCTTACATGAGCATGTCTCATCCAGCACTCAGCCATTGGTCCTCACCAGTCACCACCAAACGCGGAAACTTACTACCCGTGTCGCTCCTCAGCCTCTTTCGTGCCTGGAATCAGCTGGGCCCCTGTCTTTCTTGGAATGAGTTGTTAGCCTCTCCTCTTTCAATCGGCTTCAAGGACCAAGGTTCGAGTCGCACCCGCCATCGGGTTAACTCGCTGTGCTCCCGATCAGGCCATCCTCAAGTACGGTCTCGCGGCTAACACTGAACCCACATGTTCAAGAATGTGAGCTGGGGCTCTCTGCGCCCCGGGGGATCTTCCGAAAAGGAGCCCTCGCATCATCCCGAGACGTGGAGGCAGCGGATGTCTGAAGTGCAGCCGGCGGTGAAGCGAGCCGCCTTTAGGCATTTCCTTTACGGTTTGAGGCGAGGCCATGCAGTTACCTATGTATCAGATGGCTGAAGAATGTTCTGCCTGAGGTAAGAGTGCTCTCTGTTCCGGGAAATGCGTATAGAACTACACGCATATCCTCGGTAAACTCGAGTGACTGCTCTCGACGTTCACACCTTACTCCGTGCACTTGCAAGGTGAGGGTAGGTGCACCTCTGGCCTGCACAAAGACAAGATCCACCTCTTTCGACATCCATTTTGTATGGCCATGGTCCTTAGCATGGATAACAAGAAAGGTGCATCTTGATTATATGCAGGCCAGAAGACATAGATGGGATTGCTCGTATTTTTCTGACCTGGGGGTAAGCAGATCCCGGGAAACGAACCCTGCTCCGATTGTGGTACTGCGGCGTGCGCATTCGGGGCATCCGGAGTGGTGGCGGGAGTCAGATTTATAAATCCTATAGATATTTGATACATCAGTAACATCACACTCCGAGCTGTCAGCTTCGACTCAACTTAGATAGCAAATCAGAGTACGTGAGTTACTCCCGATTATGAAAATTGATTGCTGATGTTATTCCGAATGTCGCTTGGGTTGTTGCTCCGTTCGAAGTAAAGTGTTGTATCAAAAATATATTGCCTAACGTAGCTATGCTTTCCCGGGAAACACCAAAGCATTTCCACCACATTACTCCATAACTTGTATATGTTCCATCTTATCTATAACGAATGACTTGCAACAATTCCAGACGTGGTTCATGTTTCAAGAGCTGTCTCCTGTAGACTTCAGACCAATCCCTCCGACTCCAGATAGCAGCACTATAGGCACCAGCTTCTTGGAACCGCGACGTGTTCCACTTACATATGACTGTGCAACACCTCGAATGTGATTTATGCACATATAAATCCTTGAACTTGAGCTGGAATATCTAGGCGAGAGCCAATCGGCGTTGCAACCTTGTAGATTTCTACGGCCGGTTACACAGTCACGGGCAGTTCCTCGCTTAGGGAACACCAAGACCCTGGTCGTACACACAATCCCACATTTTCGGCCTTACAGTGCCAATGGCTCAAATTTAACCGGGAACAGCTCTTTACTTTGGATCTTAGGAACAGCAGCAGTGAGTACCTACTTGCAATTAGCCATTTTACTAGAGCTCAAGTGGCCAGCACTAACGCAAACAAGAAGTACGTACATTGAGCTCCCGTACCTTATGCAACCAGAGGATCATCCTGCATGATAAACCGGTGGGTCGAGCATGTCAACAACCGCTCACAGTTACAGGCTCCTGCAGCTGAAGAATGTGGCCGATGCACCTCTGCCTCGTCGATGTCAAACTCGACTCGATTGTATACTGGCCCTGGCAGGACGCCGAAACTATTGATGCCATCCCAGACGACATGACTCGATGAGCCCATCGGATTCCGCCATCTCGATCATTCAGAGAAACCTTCGACAAGCAGACTGACAAGGGAATCCTTGACCCGAGCTAAATAGAGCCAGACCACTGGGATCTCAGGATTCAAAGTTGCATAATCACAGTGTTCTGTGTACTTCTAGCAATTACTCGATTGGCGGGAGTTATTCAAACTAGGATGATCCGTCAGGGAACCAGGCGGGTTTCAAATATCGAAGAATAAAGAAGCAAGTCTTGCGATAGGTCAGATTCAGTTTGGAGCAAACATCAGCGTACAGGCTACAGCTGAAGCAGGGCTCTCAGCAAGTGCCGATGTGCAGCGATCCTGATTTCTGGCCTTTTGCTAGTTTGTATCACGGCAACCGGAATGAACTTGGGAATGCGGGCCTCCTGCTTCGTGTCCTGCGAGCATCTAAGGGCACACGAGCAGTGCCTTGTACTTTTGGCGATGGAGGTGGACAAGCTTCAATGATGAGACGGGGATGACTGAGCGTCTGATCTCTCACATTAAGGGAGTATTACTCCGTGCTCACCACCTACTGCTGAGTTCCCTTGAGATCTCGCGCCTGCAGAAAGATCACTGCATGCCCTGCTCCCAGCCCAGCCCAGCTCGAAATCATCGACTGCATTGCTGCAGTTCCAGAATTCAGAAAGCAGAACTGCGGATCTCCTTCCGTCTCCTCCTTGCAGCACGCGATCGCCTTGCAGCAGCCTCGACCCATCCCTGGGGAAGGAGAAGCTGTAAGGCCGCGTCTCTGTGCTCGAGCTTTGTTTACACGATGCTTGCTCTGGCATGCCATCGGCGGCTCTCTTTGCTAGCCACCGCTCGGCCCCTGCTCGTCTATAAACTGCTCCCTATTCACCCCGCCGGATTCCCATTCTTGAACCTCCCATCCCCCTTCTTGTTCCTATTCGAACCAGGAGACTCTGATGACTGCAGCTTGCTCCACTGTCACGACCACCAGTCAAAACACAGCCCATGGCTAACGGATACGCTCGAGATTCCGGCGAACTGAACGCTCTACCGAAAAGTCGGAACAGATCGCAGACCACCATAGGTCTACCGCCAACTCCGTCGCCGCAGAAGAAACGCGCGTCTTCCTTCTATCCTCCTCGCGGCCCGGACTTACTCGAGGAGACAAATCCTGACCCCTTCTACCTGGAACACTCTCTTACCAACACCACGAGCTGGGGATCTTGCCAACAGGGCCTCCGCAATGCGAGATCGGGTGAAGACATTCAGAAATATTTTATGGTGTCTGTCGTGAAATCTGGCAAAGACGCCGCGGTCCCACCTGCTGCCCCTCGTACTATCAAATCTCAAGCCAACATTGATCGCTCTACACTGTCTGCCGTCGAACTTGAACATCAACTGAGCCTGCAGGAAATCGGGGGTCAGTCGTGGCGAGACTCTCAGACAGAGGCCACCCCAGACCTAACTCCGAGCAGCTCATTCTCTTCCAATCACTCATCTCCCATTTACCCAGATCCGGTCTTTAAAGCTACGGAGCAACTCTACCGTTCATTTAAGCAAGCACAAGCGCCTACTCTGAATCGCGCGTACCCTTACTCCTCTACGCCTTTGAATGACTCTCAAGCAACCATACCCACAGAGCCATCATCTCCTCCGAACGCCTCTTCGGAAACGATCACTATGCCTAGAAACTATGATGCGTCATCCCTTCGTGGAAAGCCCCTTCCTTCCCTACCACCAGTCCCTCGCCCCAGCACTGCGCACCCGTCTAAGAAGCAACCACCCAGCCGGCTGATCATCGAGCCTTCCATGATATCCCCCCCCAGTCTTATTAACCCGGTCACTCTGGAACCCCATCGGTCACATTTCGATCAAGCGTTGTTCATTCCAGCGAATGAATGTCCTAGCCCAGTGCCTAGTCCGGGACCACCATCACCTTCAGTTGATCGCCAACCACCAGTACCGTCAATTAGAGAGAGGCCTTCCACCTCCACATCAGAAATGCATCCGGAGCAGTCTGTCTGGGAGTCCGACTCCGACGCCGAGGATTCAGACCCCAGGTCGCTTTCTCGGAAGCCAATGGATACCTTGAAGAAGGTCCGCAGTCGAGTGCAATTGCGAGTCGCAAAGTCAACACCCAAGCTGCAAATCAATACGGCGAACAATGCAGCCCTAGAGAAGTTTCCGACAATGCCGGATCCTCCTCCTCCAGAGCGCTGGTCAAGCTCTATGAAGACTGCTCTTCAAACTCGGTCAGGCAAGGATATCTTGAGGCCAACTGCTCATCAGACCCTCCGCTTAGTCGCACCGTCGACCACTTCTTTGGTTCATCCTGGATCACGGCGCAACAGTGCCAAATCACAGACCTACGGTATAGACCGTTCAACTGCTGCCGCAGCGATCCAAGCCAAGTCTCGCCGCCGCCAGCGGTCTACAAGCCCAGAAACCTCACTTTCCGCGGAGAGGGAGAAAATGTGTACGTTTTGCCGCGAGGAGCGATCCGATCGCACCATTCACCACAGCCTGACTCTTTCTCGCCCGCCTTTATACAAACGAGTTTGGGAATCCTTGCGAGTTCTTGGTTGTCACACCGACATCACGTCTACGCGTCCTCGCAAAGGGTTGTAATCTTATCCTTGCCTTCTTATGAAAAGTCTGGAATGCGAAAAGCCTGGGACGGCGTTGGGATGATTTGTACGCTCTACAATGGGCTTGCCTTATGGCACGGTGCATTCGCTGAAATGATGTCAAATGACTATGTCTTTCCTTAATTTTGAACTAATGCCTTATGACGGATCTTTTACGGAGTTGACGTGGGCTCATGGGACGCGCAGCGAACACGACGACTTATGACTCTGGCGCTGGATCTCTCATATGGCAATGAGATCCATAACTCGCCACAAGACTCGATGCATGCACACTCACTTTTGCAAGGCCAATCGCCTTCGCCTTTCTTTTTCTACCTGTCACCTCTCTTGTTTTGCCCGAGCCATTGCCACAGGGGACCGATTCCCACAGATATATTTCCTTTTTGTCATGTTCTACCTGCTACTACTCCAAATTTCCTTATCTTTTGTCTCATAGGAGAACAAAATGAACATCGAATACTTCAAAACCAAGCTCGAGAACTTCCCTGTAAACAAAACTACCGGCCAGAAGCCTAGAACTACGAGAGCAAAAAGCAGGCTAGGGTGAGATGCGGAATGCTGGGGAAAGGAATTCCCCGCTGCTACTGCTACCCTGCTGCTAAGGAGTATACGTAACATCGCACAGACATGCCATGCCGCCTATGCAGCCGTACTTTTTAGCCTCCAACTTTATCGCAACAGTTACTGTTTAGAAACGCCACACTTGTTCGAGGTCCTGGTCTCCCATGCTTGTGTATGAAAGATTGTTGTGCTTGGGTTGTTTTGATGCCCCTTGTGTGGTATCCCTTGGTTCCTAGATTCTGCATCTGCTGGCTGTCTAGTATCTCGACCTAGCCCGAGGAAGATGTGGGAAGGGGTTCCGAGCCAGTCTCTACTAGCGAACCTAATGAGACAGCCTTGCCCTGCAGTGGGAAGTGTTAATTACTCAACTCATTTGCGGCAGAATCCCTTGGTTCCACAAGGTATGTCGTCCAAAATACTTTGATTCGATATAGGAGGTTTTTTGGGGTTGACTCGATGTATATACAATGATGCGCTACTACCGGTAGTTTAGCTCTTGGACTCACATAATGTACATGCGCAGAGGCCAAGCACACGAAGCTTCCACCAGGATGGTAGATAGCTGTGTTTGAAGAGCTCAGGTTAAAAGATACCGTAGTACTCAGGATTCAAAGAGTGGAGACACAAAAGTCCCATCGAGAAATTGTCACCCCTTGCTGCCATCCCACCCGCGGAACCGTTGCCTCGGTGTCGAGGTCCTAGAAGCGCCACCAGAAGCGCCACCAGCAAGGGCCGGCATTAGAGAAAAGCTTGCGAGACGCGTTAAGACGCCTGATCCTCATCGACCTTGCAGCCTTGCAGACGATGTGCGCGGTGCTGACGATCAGACGTCCCGGGGAACGGCTGGGTTGGGTTCCCCGGACGGCGATGCAAGGCGGACTGTTGTCGACGGCTCGACGGTCGTTGCTGCTGCTGCATGTCGCGCAGGAGGAATGCGCGTGACGCATGGGCTGAGTAGAAAATTTTCTGCCTCGGTTGAGAACTCCAGGCGACTCTGGGACTTTGGTTTGGCTGAGGATCGAGGCCGCGCAGGCGGGAGGACAAAGTACTGGCTGCTGAGAAGAGAATATGTCCCCCGCTGATAGGCAAGACGGTCGGTAGGGAGGGAGAATCGCAATCCACAGGGTTGTTTCAAGCCCTCTGCCCTTTTTCATCCTCCCCAGCCTTCCCGTTGCCCTTCCCATCATCACTCTTAGCTTCCAGAACATCCATGATGTGCTCCTCCCACGCCGCAACGGGCACTTTCTTCTCCCACGCAGCTAGCACCTTATCCCCCTTCTTCAATAGCTGAGTCTCCGGTTTCTCCTCCGACCCTTGTCCCTGCAACGCCCCGCCATCCACACCAGCGAAAACAGCCTGGACATTCAGCTCCTTGACCGCCTGCTTATAGAGACGGAATATTTCCTCGCGTTTTGCCTTCTTCGCTTCATCCGCTTCTTTCGACGCCGGCGTGGACGGTGTCGATTTCTGCCCGGGCTTTTTGACCGTAGTGGGGCTGCTCTCGTACCCCCTCAGGACACCCTCGAGAATTCCGATTATCGTTCCTGCGCGCATACCGAGTTGTGCACCGACGGGAAATCCGGCGTCGAAGCCATGCTGGACGTGCTCGGCTTTGGAGGCGGAGATGCCGTCGCGATACCCGGCTGTGACGTGTTGGCGGCGAAGGGAGGGGAGTTCGGAGGGTTCGACGGTCGGATTGGAGTGCGCTTGCGGAAGGGGTTGTTCGGGATGTGGCGGTGAGGAGCCGAAAATATCATCGAGGGAGTCGGCGGCCATTTTGATTCTCGGCGGTGTTGGTGTGAAGATGGAGAGGTGGGAGTTGAGAAAGGTTGTTGGGTTTGAATTTTTGGAAGCGGATTGCGGACAGACAGACGAACGGTGGTGGATTCAGCGGAGTTCCATGGATCCACTGGGTAAGTATACTCCCGTAGACTCTAGAGTGCTTGTATTTGTGTTTAGCAATCTGTTTTTATCATAACAGAGGGGGCCTTTGCATTGACTTGGCCCATGTAATGATCTGCTTATTTGTACATCTGGCGCCAGACTAACCACGCGAGTGCTGCGCGTCTTGCCGCCCCCAGAACCTGACACTTCCTCAACAGACCTGAACGCTCCATCAACAGACCCTCGACGTGCTCATTAACATGAACATCCGATCGATTGGAAAAATACTCCCGTCGCATAGCACTTCTAGCCGTTCCAGCATTGATTGTTGAGCTCAAATTGAGGCATCTCGAACAGCTATACCCCGAACAGGCCGTCGACGACTCAACATGCAGCGCGGTCCTGATCACCCCAAGTTCCCCGGCTACTCAACACATTCAAGTTGACATATACTCCGCCCGACTGTGTCTTGGATATTATCTGGACCGGGCACACAGCCGAAATTCCGGCAAGGTAAACACACCTATACTTGGGAATGCCATCAGCTGGTGGTGGGCCGAACGCGTCTTCGAGAGCCGCATCATCCGCCTACAAGGAAGATTCTATGGTCTCTTTACCGGGAGTGGATTTCAGCCAGGTGATACGGCTGGCTTGTTTATCGGAGACCTTGATGCTCGGCTGGCCTCTATTTCCTCCCATTTGTTTCCAGACTCCAGGAAGTTCAGCCAGGGACGAAATGAGCGGGAAATCCTCCACGGCATGTTCACTGTGGAGCGCCTACCATGGATATCTACGTATGGTCTGCTGGTATCATGGAAAATGCCCGATGGACCTCGCCTGTTTTTTGAGAAGCTCGCGCGCTGGGGATGCCCGTGGCGGCTGATGTCCGGGGGACGTTTCGAGTTCAGTGTATCGGAACCGTTCCGTGACCCGGATCTGGGATGGGTTTCTGACCTACGGATTGCGTCGGCGCAAGATTACGATATTGTGCCTGGTGAAGGAGATATCGAGAGGCAGAAGGTGGTTCCGCAGTGGCTGGCAAGGTTGCAAAGAGGCTATGCGAGGTTCCTTCTTCATCGAGCTACACAGGGTATAATAGTCGCCCTGTAAGGATATGTCATATCTGTCAAGGATCTCAGCACGGTCAGTTTGTTGCTCGTTTTAGAGCTCTCAGTATCCAGAAGCGGTCTGTCTTTGTGAGAGGTTCAGAGAGGGTCCATCTTGTTGAACCCAGGAAGTCGAAGGCATAATGGCCCAGGACACCACAGGGCTGAGGGCACTAAATGCAAGGCATCAATTGTGACGTTGAACGACGGAGTTGGCTCCAGTACACAGTACTCCTACTGCAGGTGTATACTCGGCAGATGTCGGCACGGGGGGTGCCTGAGGCACCACCATGCCGGATTGGGACTAGCGCGTCACGTGCCCCCACAGAGTTTTCTCCCGCCGATCGAGGCGATACACCAATACACCAGACTTCTCCCATTGGACGCTTCGCCTATACGTCGGCCGTCAGCAGATCTTCGTACCTTCTCCGACTCTCCGAGCCCCGGCCGGCCTCGGCGCTAGACAGATTGGGTATAGCGCCGGACCGGAGATGCTAGCGCGTTGGTGGCTTCCCATCACGTCCACGCCTATACAAGGACTTGCACCAGCACAACCTCCGGAGTCGTCTCGGACAGGATCAGCACTGCCTTCTTCTCTCCGCTATAAGATGCTTGGGATATGCGGGCCACCATGTTGCTTTTTTCTTGATTGCAACTCTTTGCCTGGTCTTCTCACAGCAAGCAATCATACCAACGACTGAGAACTGCGCCATGCCTTTCCTCCATCATTTCTTCCCCCCTTCCCCCTCCTTTGTGGAAAAGCACATCCCAGATCTCGCTGGGAAGGTTGCCATTGTTACCGGTGCTACTTCGGGCGTTGGGCTTGAGGCTGCTGCTGTTTTGTACTCGAAAAATGCAACGGTATATGTAGCTGCGCGCTCGGCCGACAAGGCCGACAAGGCCATTGCGTCAATCAGAAGCTCCGAAGAGTGCGCAGGAAGCAGCGGCCGCCTGGAATTTCTCTCGCTTGATTTGTCAGATTTGACTACTATCAAAGCTAGCGCCGACAAGTTCCTGCAAAGCGAGGGCCGATTAGATATCTTGATTCACAATGCCGGTGTGATGCGGCCACCGGCAGGGAGCAAGACGAAGCAGGTGTGTACAAATGCTCCGATGATGCTTCGACTTGTAGCTCTGCAAGGCGAACGACGCTGATCAGTTTGACAGGGATATGATCTTGAAATGGGTACCAACTGCCTCGGTCCATTCACGTTCAATGCCCTACTTCTTCCGCTCCTCAAACGTACAGCAGCAGGCGCTACTCCAGGCAGCATACGTGTCGTATGGGTCAGCTCTATTATCGAATTTAGCACGGCACAGAACGGTATTGTGTTCGATGAGCAGACTGGCGCACCCAAGGTCCTTCCAGATCCGATGGAAAATTACATGGCGAGCAAAGTTGGCGGCGTCTTCTTTGCGGGTGAAATGGCGAAGCGCATAGGAAGCGATGGAATATTTAGCCTGGTGTGATCCCCTCCTCCGATTGATATCTTCATAGGAACTGATGCGAGCAGAGCGTCCACCCTGGGCTCATGAAAACCGAGCTTCAAAGACATCAGCCTGCGCTGTTTGGCATCATCATGGTATTACCCCGATTTCCCGTTCTGCTTGGTTGATACCGTAAACTGACAAGGGAACAGGGCCTTGTCTTCAAGCCTGCGCGATATGGCGCATACACTGAGCTCTTCGCAGCGCTCTCGCCCCAGGTAACAGCTAAGCAGAATGGATCATATATCCTTCCCTGGGGCCGCTTTGGCACTATTCCTGGTCATATTGAGAAAGGCATGAGATCCACGAGCGAGGGCGGAACCGGCCTGGCAGAGAGATTCTGGGCTTGGTGCGAGCAAGAGACGGCCGCGTACCGATGAGATACTGAATGAGCTGTATGACTATGGATTGGTTGGATACCATGTGATTGATAGAAATAATGATTGATTCGTTTCTGACTGCATACATCGTGGCTGGGCTGTATAACGTAATCATTGTGGCCGTATCCCTCCCTGCATTCAACTATTCAGCTGGTTCTTTCTTCAACCCAGCGTCCGAGTATCGTACTTAAGAACATTGAAAGTTGTACTTACCATTAAGCCGAAATACTGTTGCTCATGGACCACGCGCGGCCTCCGGTTCGAGCCATCATATCCTGCACTTTTTGCCGACAAAAGAAGTACGATAAGAGCCACCCCGCTGATATATCTGTTGCCTAATCTCTCTATTCAGGCTGCGATGCGATCGAGTTCGACCATGTGGTAGCTGCGTTAAACGAGGCTTGGGCTGTGTCTATCTCAACCCGAATCCTCCACCCCGCACTGCTCCCACCCGCTCCACGAGGCAGTTGAATCAGCGTGTCCGAGAACTGGAGGAGCTAGTGAATGTCCTAGCAAAGGCAAAGAGTACCCCCAGACCAGATCATGAGACTGAGCAAAAGTCCAACAGCAGTGATGACGAGATTGCCAGCTCTCTGGGCAGGATGCAGGTGGGGGAGACAGGCACCAGTTATGTTTCAGGGTCTCATTGGGCCGCGCTTCAGGACAGTGTATGGTCATCAAACTCACTATTGGATATCAGCTACTGACTCGTTTTGATGTATAGATTGCAGAGATCAAGGAGTATCTCGATTCGGATACTCCTCTGAGCCAGAACTACAGTGAAGGTCCAGCACTCCTAGTAGGACTTTGTCCGCCGGTTGGGAAGGATGACTTCCTGGCCGCCGTACCCCCAAAGGACGTGGCGGATCGCTTGGTATCGAGATTCTTCAACTCAATGGAGCCGGGAGTTCGTACGTTGGCTTCCCTCGAATGCGTATGGCAGTTCTGACGACTAAGCGATAGTTATTTTCCATGCTCCTACTTTCCAGAACGAGGTCCGTTGTGCAATGCCGTGCGCATGTGTATGCTAATGGAAACAGTATAATCGGTTCTGGTCCCAACCCCAGGAGGTAAGCCTGACGTGGCTGAGCATGCTCTTCGGCATGATGTGCTTGGCTATACGCCTTCACCAGCGTGCCGAAGGCGAGCCTGCCGACGTTATTGGTAATCCCGAAGAAGCGTGCAACATATACCGGCTCTACGCTGCCTACTGTCTGATCAGAGACAGATATACCACCCCGACTAAATACACTATCGAAGCGCTACTCACATACGCACAATGCGAGTACTTCCGAAGCGCCGACGCCCAGCATGAGAACTGGGTAATGTTCGGTATTATCATGCGACTGGCCCTACACATGGGCCTGCATCGAGACGGCTCGCGGTTCCCAGAAATATCCTGCTTCGAGGCCGAGATGCGTCGGCGCATCTGGGCTTTCATGACCCAAGGGGATGCCCTTTCCTCGTTTCAATCTGGCCTGCCCCGTATGATGCACAAAGGCGTTGCTGATACCCACCTGCCTCGAAACTTGCTGGATGAGGACTTTGACGAGAACACCACGACGCTGCCTCCCTCACGGCCAGATACAGATGCAACCCCGCTCTCATATGTAATATCAAAGAGCGTAATCGGTGAAGTCTTTGCTCAGATCACCGACCGTGTGGCGTCCACGGAACCCACCACCTATCAATCTATCATTCAGCTGGACAATCAGCTCAACGAGGCCTACGCTGCAATTCCAGCACCATTGAAGTTCCGCAGCGTAGCCCAGTCTGTTATAGATCTGCCGCATATCATCATGCGCCGTTATAGTCTAGAGATCCTCTACCAGAAATCACGCTGCATCCTTCACCGGCAACATCTCTGCGAGGGACGCTCTGACCCCCGTTATGCCAGGTCCCGACAGATCTGCATTGACGCAGCAATGAGCCTGCTGCAACATCAGGCCACCCTAGACGCGCAAGTCCAGCCAGGTGGCGTACTGTGCCACAGTAAATGGTACGTATCGTCGCTGGCTTCTCACGATTTCATCCTCGCCGCTATGATCCTGTGCGTGGAGCTTCACCATCAATCTAGCAGAAGCAATGGCCAGCCACGAGGGGAACTCTCCCAAAACATCGATGGGTTTCTTCCTGCCCTACAGACCTCTCGTCAGATCTGGAGCAGATATAAGGAATTCTCATCGGAAGCCATGCAAGCGTGGCGGTCCATAAGCATCATGCTCGGCAAGCTAAACGCCACAACACTGAGCCCGGTAACGCCCATAACGAATAGCCATGACTTGTCAAGTATAAGCGGGATGAGCGGAGAAAACAGCCTGCCCTTAAGCTCTCCAGGTCAGTTCCCCACTCCACTCCACATGTTCATAGCTTGCCCTAACTGCCATGATAACCTCAGACCAACCGAACTGGTATGACCCACCACCAGCCTCAACCACCAACAATCTGGACTTCGAGAACGCCATGGCGCTGGAATTGGGCTTCCCCGGCGGAGCCATCATGGACAAGAACTTCTGGGACTTTTCCAATAATATCGATTGGGTGAGCTGGTGCTCGTGTTTGTTTGACATGCTTGGTCCCGTAGCTAACTGTGCAACAGGCTGAATTCGATGCTACGGTGCAGAACTTGGACATGGTTGGGAATAGAGTCGGCTTATACTAGCTCCCTCCATCTGCCTGTTGTGTATGAATCCCAGCGAGTTCGACGTTCAAGCTTCAACTCACGCACCGGGGCATATTAATGCCATCTGCTTTTGCCTGCATTCGATGCCATTTCGATACCACTTGTTTTGATAAAATGACATATACGAACTTTAGACGCACTTGGAGATGAACAGAAAGCTTGTTGCTGTAGTAAGCGAGTGCTGAGATATGCTCAAAGGGTATCAAGATGCGTTTCTCAACCTCCGCACTGGTTTTTTTTTTGTGGAAGTACTCTCACAATACTTGTCGTAATCCGCATAGAGCATGGGTTGCAGAAGGAGTCCAGATCACTTTCGAGCAGATTGAAGCGTTGGTTAGCCAGTTGCAAACGACCGAGGAACTAGATAATCTCAATTTCCGATCAACCCAGCAATTAGTGGTGATGAAAGTGTCACAAAGCAACTTCCAGCAACCGTGGCAGATATCTCTATGCCTTGACTTCCTATGTCGGACGCTAGCACTCTCATCGCGTACTGCACCGGTCCTGAGGCGGAGCTTTTACCAATTTCGAACCAGGGGGTTGGATTGGAAGTAAGGGTATGTACTGGAAACAGCAGACGAGTCAGCTTGTGGGATGCCACTAAGCTATCACGCGCCAAATACAAGGTGATAAGCGCCAAGTATTTCCAGGCATTGCGTAATCACTCTGCCGGGAGTATAGAATTCATCAGCACGTGCTGGACTCGAGAAGGACATGCTCAGATCGACCATGTCGTCGGCAAACCAGGAGACGACGCCTTCAAAAGAGCTTCCGCGCGACGCGAGGTTATCAACGCCATCCTCGCCCTTGAAAACACCGGTGCCGATCATGAAGGATGGCTCCAGGCAATGTGGCCCTCCGAGTGCCCCCAAGTTTGCGGCATCACTCCAAGCATAAGGCTCGAAAGAGCAAATGGTTGCGAATTGTGAGGGATACGTCGACGCGTCCACTTTCACTGTCCTCGGTCAACGTTGCCTCGATTGGCGTACCTAATCCCAAACATCTGCTTCAATGGATGCTTCCAACCACACGCAATACAACCGTTACCCACAGGGTTGTATACGCAAGTCTTTGTTGAGCCCCGGAATAGGGACGCCGAGAATCAGATGACAATGGCTGGAAGTTATTTCAGAGTTGGCGAGGCGTGTCTCGAGGCTGATCAGGACGCATCCGGGGGATTCGCTGGCGGTGATGGCAACGGTCAAGAAAGCCTGGCTCTAGGGTTGGTTCGCTAACGGTGTCAGAGTTCAAGAACATGTCAATGGGAGGAACCCTGTCGGTCAGGCTCTTTTGATGGTCGAGGGATCTGCGGCTCTTCTTTGACTTGCCTTTGAGGGGGCCAAACCCTAATGTCGGAGATCGCCTTGTCAGCTCTTTGGTGTTGATCGGAGGTGGGTTACACATTTCCTTTGTGTCTTCGGGGCAAGTCTTTCTTGTCCGCTTCAGGCGCCATCGCGTGGAGGTCAAACAATGACTTTCGGATCTGACTTCTATTCAAAGCCGTTGAGCTTCTTAGTCATGCTGCCGGGCTCTGGGGCGGAAATCGCAACAGCATCTGAGTAGACCCCCCAGAGCCAGGACTTGGTAACGCTGTTTGCGTGCAAATTCTTCCTTTAACATCTGCTGTGAAGGCAAACCATAGACCTGTGAAGGAAGACTGACACATGGGTTGCTCCATTGCCCAATGGCTGATCTGATTGGATCACATCCATGCTGTTAGTCACTCTGATATCCAGTCTTCAGTAACACATCTGTGAAGAACTCATTCACCATGGACCTCTGCTCCTGAGTCCACCAGCTCCTGGGCTCCTGGCATCACCTATAAAGATGGCCTTGTTTCCCGCCGAGAATTGCACTTTTTTTTCTTTCCCATCCACCAATCTTCTCAACTTTCAATCCTTCCTTCAAACTCAGTCCGATATTCAACTTGTTTTGAAATTGTTCAAGCACCATAACCGCCGCCATGAAGCTTTACATGCTTCTCCTCTTCCTGGTGTCTCTGGCCTTGGCCGTTGAGATCACCTCCTCTGCTCCGTCCCTCGATGACACTGATGTTGTTGAGACCTCTGGTATGTGATCCCCTTCCTTGTCTTTCTGCTTATGTCTTCCTTCTCTTGTGTCTCCCTTCTCGTGTTTCCCTTTCTCTTGTGTATACTCCCTTCTCTTCCCGTCCATTTCAACTTCCTTGTTGCTCTTCTGCTCTCACTTCCTTCCTTGTCCACCTCTACTAGGCCTGAAGCTAACACTTGTGTTCTCTCTTAGATGACTCCGACTCGAACACTGGCTTCCTCTCTCTCGTCCAGCGTGCCAATGCACGTGTCAAGACCGCCTCAAACAACGGAAAGTGCAAGGTCGACAAGGACTGTGGTAAAGGCAACGTCGAGTGTATGGGCGGCTTCTGTATCAACCACGATGTTACCGTTGAGGCTTCCCCTTCAGGTGATGCCATGTGTCGCAAGAACAAAGATTGTGGTGAGGATGGCAAGTGTCTCAGCGGCCTCTGTGTTGCCTCCTCCAAGTTGCGCTTCGTTCGTCGCTCCCCCCAGGTCCAGTGCCACAAAGACAAAGACTGCGCTAGCCCTTATGGCCCTGGCAAGTGTATCGCTGGTGGTATCTGCATCGCGCCCAACCGCCAGCTCAAAGAGCGTTCCCCTCAGGTCCAGTGTCACAAAGACAAAGACTGCACTAGCCCTTACGGCCCTGGCAAGTGTATCGCTGGTGGCATTTGCATCGCACCTGACCGAAAGCTTAAGGAGCGTTCTCCCCAGCTGATGTGCAAGACCGACAAGGACTGCGCTAGCCCTCAGGGACCTGGAAAGTGCATCGCTGGTGGCATCTGKATCGCACCTGACCGAAAGCTMAAGGAGCGTTCTCCCCAGCTGATGTGCAAGACCGACAAGGACTGCGCTAGCCCTCAGGGACCTGGAAAGTGCATCGCTGGCGGCATCTGTATTGCACCCGACCGAAAGCTCAAGGAGCGTTCTCCTCAGGTCCAGTGCCACAATGACAAAGACTGCGCTAGCCCTTACGGCCCTGGAAAGTGCATCGCTGGCGGTATCTGTATTGCACCTAACCGCAAACTCACCCGCGAGCCTGTCGACCCTGAATCAGCTCATATTGAACTTGAGACGCGCTCCCCTCAGCTGATGTGCAAGACTGACAAAGACTGCGCTAGCCCTCAAGGTCCTGGAAAGTGCATCGCTGGCGGTATCTGTATCGCGCCTGACCGCAAACTCAAGACCCGCGACACAGTCGAATCTGAATCAGCTCATATTGAACTCGAGACTCGCTCCCCTCAGGTCCAGTGCCACAAAGACAAAGACTGTGCTAGTCCTTATGGACCTGGCAAGTGTATCGCCGGTGGCATCTGCATCGCGCCCAACCGCAAGTCATAAATGCCACAGTGGTGATATCGAGACGGGCCTTTGCTTGAGTCTCTGGATAGTCTAGCAAGCACGACTGATATGACGAAAATGTTTCTTTTTTTCCTGTACTTTTCCCTCTCTGTTGTTCATGTGATTCGAGTATCTTTCAGAGTTACATTTGGGTTTTGGTGGGATCTGCTTTGCAGTTCAACTGACTCAGAAGTAAATTCAGATAGATAAAATCAAGACACTTATCATTTCTTCAAGGACGGAGTAAATGAGCTTCTCATATCAATAGAATCGATGAACTAACCATTGAGAAGTCGCCATCTCCCCTGTAAAATCTACGTAGTACGTAGGTGGTGTCCACAGGTAAAGTTTGGATGTTGAAGTCCTTGCAAGTACGCCGAGCACCCATATTTTTCATTACTGACGGCTACAAAGTAGATTTCGATAAGCAGTATGGAGATGGAACAACCGCTTCGTCCACCTTCCATTCCAGCATAACGGATCGATAATGTTTTTGGTGGAGTCGGGATGGCCAAGAGAGAGACGGCGCCGCGTTGTCAATGCTGATGGGGGCGGTGAACCGCAGGAAGGTGTTTCTGCCGGTGCCTGTTTCGTCTGCGACTTTCATCGTCTTCTCTTTCATTATCCTTTTTACCTTCTGCTACCTTCAATGTTTGCTTATGATGTCTCATCTGCGACCTGACGATACCAGGTACCCCCCGGGTCCCGCCCCTCGGCCGTTCCCCCGCCGGGACGACCGAGATGGCCGCATGTATGACGACAATTCTCCATCCCGTTCTCGCTCACCTAGTGGTACCTACCATCTCCCCGCATACAAATCCCAGCAGCTGCTACAAGAATACCGAACTCACTTTCTCAGGACGCTTGCACACACCCCCTCGAGGCCCAGCCGCCGATAGGAGAGGTGACTACTCCCGAGACCAGTCCGATTCTCGATCCCGATACCAAAGCCGAGACCGCGATGACTTCCGCCGACGATCCTCGAGATCTCCTCCGCGGCGCCCACGACACGGCTACCGCGACCGCGATCGCGAAGACTACCGCTCACGAAGCCGAAGCCGAAGCTACAGTCGCAGCCGGAGTCGAAGCCCACGGCGCGGTCGATCGCATTACGGACAGGAGAGCAGAGAGGTTATGATGGACGGTTTACCGGTGGACATGGTGGAAGAAGACGTTGGACAACTCCTTCCCTCCCTTTCTGCCCAGACTCAGTATTCTGGAGTCGCGCTGCAAGCTTTCGTTATGGCATGAGGCTGAGATGTGTCGACTGGTCAACAGATTTCGAAAGAACTGAAAGAATTCTATCATATTGACGGGTTGGAGGAGGTGCGCGTTATCCGAGATCGGCAGACGAGTATATATCAGAGCTTCCTATATGGTCTTTTTGATGCTGATGTGTTTACAGAAATGTCTCGCCAGCTGGGCTTTCTCCGGTTTCGAAGCCTCAACCATTCCCGCTCCTTTGTGGAGCAGAACTTCCCGACGATATATCTGTGCGGACCTAGTGCGCAGGACGACCGTGGTACCAAGGTGCGCATTGCGTATAGCAGGGAGAAAGAAGACCGCGCCAAGGCCAGGGCTGAAGGGGATTGGACTTGCAAAATGGTGGGCGCTGTGAACTCTACGTGTCGCGCAAAGACTAACAAGTCAGTGCTCTATCGTCAATTATTCAACTCGCAATAAGTGTTTCCGGTGTCAAGCCCCACGGCCAGGTATGTCGGTATGTTTAGGGATCGAGACCACGGCTAATTTAGCGCAGATGCTGGACCGACCGGCCCTCCAGGCATAGCTCCACCGAGGGTAAAGAACAACGGCGATAATGATGCTGCGCCGGAAAACCAACCTTCGCAATTCCTGCTCTTCCGCGGACTCGAAACGTCCGTTACTGAAGAGCTCCTAGCCAAAGGAGTTGCCAAGCTATACCGGCCGAACACGGAGGGTACTTCAACAAGCCAGAAGAAAGGGGCCAAAGTGGCATCTACCACTGGTGACGCCAACCTAGGCGCCCGTGAAGGCTCAATCCGACGCGTTTTGCTGGTCCGGGACCGCAGAAGTAACGAGAGCTGGCGGTATGGATTCGCCGAATTCGCCACAATTCAAGTACGTGCTTCCACCCCCAAGTGTAACCTAGCTAACAAGAGCAGGATGCTCAAGCGGCTGTTTCACGTCTTCACTCGTTTGAGAAGTTTACCATCTCGTCCAGACCAGTGATGGTCACCTACATCCACGCAGGCGTCTTCGTGCCGGTTATGAATCCGAGTGCGAGTAATGAAAGATTTACTTTTAGTCCTCTGAGCAACCCAGCCATGAAGCTCATGTACTGGGATGAGGATGCATATGTTACCGAGCTTACGGTATCAACAGAGGTAGAGCCGCAGCAAGCGCCGAAGACTGAGAAACCGGCGGGCCAGACGGACGTCAAAGCCAAAGATGCCGCTGACAAGGCGAAGAAGCGAAAGGCCGATGCTGCATCCAGCGCCTCAGGGGCGAAAAAAATGGCTATGCCATCACATCTGCAATTCTGGAGCAACCGTCATGCGGAATTGCATGGCATCAAGAAGGACACTGACGATAAAGGATCTGATGACCAGGCTTCGTCTGATACGGCTGCAGCTCCGCCTCGCCAGTCGTACGCCGACCCAAACAGGAACTGCTGCTACCTCTGTATGCGACAATTCAAGACGACGGCAGAGGTCAACCGCCACGAGCGTCAGAGTCAACTTCACCGCGGCAACCTACAGAACGACGAAGTCGTCACCAGAGCTACAAACAAACTCATAAAACATGGTATCATCCCGCAACCGCCCGAATACAGAGACCGCGCCCGCGAGCGTCGCCAGGCCTTCGGCCGGTCGAAGAACGCAACGACCAAACCCGCTCCGCCGCCAGAACGCGAGCCGTCGCCGCCAGTGGAAGCGGCATCCAAGGGCGCCTCATTACTCAGCAAGATGGGCTGGTCGGCTGGCACAGGCCTGGGCGCACAAGGCACGGGGATGACAGCACCCATCACAACAGAAGTCTACGCACAGGGCGTCGGATTGGGAGCACAAGGCGGCAAGCTCGGCGAAGCGAGCGAGGAGGCAGCCCGCAACACTCGCAACAGGTACGACGAGTTCCTGGAAAAGACAAGACAGACAGCACGGAACCGGTACGAACAACTGGGCAAGTGAAAGGAGTGTAGAATAACCGCCAAATAACGCCCAAACCATGAAATATCGTACAATATCTTCCCCCCGCACTGCGGGAAACCTACGTAGACTTCTCCCCTTCAACGCTCGCCTCATTCAAACCCTTCAACTGCCCCCCCTCAATCCTCTTCCCCAAGTATTTCATAACCCACGCCTCAACCTCCTTCTCCATCTCCTGATCCGTGGCACTCAACTCGCCATCACCCCCCGCCATCCTCGTCTTCACATACCGCCTCATATCATCCAGCGAATTAATCCCCATCGCCCAAAGAACGCCGCCGGTACCCATCATCCCAAAGCTCAGCACGTTTATCGTGGCGAGATGCAGAGCCTCGAATGCCTCCATCCCGCCATTGACCTCGGGTCTGTGGTAGACACTGGACGTGTAGTAGGGCGGGATTGAGGCGTTGAAGCGCCGGGTCAAGGCGCGGCGGGTGGTGAGGAGCGAGAAAGCGAAGAAGAGCGCGCCGCCGAAGAAGAGCTTTTTGTTTGTGTCTGGTTTCCACAGTTTGGGGAGGTCGTCTGTGTTTGCGTCTGTTGGTTTGGGGTTTGTTGGGGCGGTTTCGGTGGAGGGGGTGTGTGTGGGTGTGGGCGTGGCTTCGGGGGTTTGTTGCGTTGGGAGAGATGAGGCGGCGGGGTCTGTGGTGGACGCTTTGGGTGTTTCGCTTGTGCGGAACCACGAGAGGACCATTTTGGGTGTGTCGGGTGTGTCTTGGTTCTTGTGTGGTGTTTGTGCTGGGCTCGAGTCCGTGTCTCTTGATGGCGCTACGTGGACGCGAAAGTATGAGGATGACGAAGAATTGATATAACTTCGAAGGTAGAACTGACTGCGTCTAGAAGCGCGCCAATTGAGGATGCAAGGCCGTGTGATTTGGCAGAGAAGATATGAGAATGGATTCAGGAACAGACTGGGAGGTCGACGAGGTACTTTTGGATGCGGAGACTTAGGTCACGTGGACTCTTTGAAGGCCGGAGATAACGTTAGCACCGGGGGTCAGCGATCCATGGAAACAGGCGGTGCCTCGTGGAAAGTTGATGAATGTTTCATGATTATAGTTCGATTAGATTAGATGCGGTTAAGTATGTGGTAAAGTATTAATGGATCAGCCCAGCTGTGTATATATGCTGCACCCGTCGAACCTGCCCCCTCGCCCACTCCACCAGATCCTCCGGCAGATTCTCCGCAGAACAAAGCGTATCCAGCCCCGGCCTGATGACCCATCCACCCACCAATTGCGCCCCCTTCTGTGAAGGTGCTGCCTCCGCGCTCGGATACTCAACCCGGCTGTCAGTGATGGTCATGGAGCCCGTCTGGCTCCCTAGGTAAAATGGCACGCTGGCGCAGATATCGATCGCTAGGGCGCGAGCTGTCTCGGTGGCAGCCTCAATCTCGTTCTCATGGTTTGGTAGAAGGCATAAGCATCTGTAGATAATGTTGTGGATAGACAGCCGGAAGGTGCGATATTGGTTCCATGTCTCGGCGATCCAGACGTCCGTGTAGCAGTCACAGCGGCCTTGATAGGCGCCGGCATCGCGGACAGATTGCGGGAAGTAGGACGCTGGCACGGGGTACCAGTGCTTTGGAAGGGAGAAAGTCCAGGCAGCGAATTGGGCATCGAGGGTGCGGGCTTCAGAGAGGATTGAGTTGATTTCGTCCATGTCTGCGGTGTCCGCACGAGACGAAAATTCGACCCAGCGCTCGCGTAGCTTCACTAATGGTGGCGCGATCATCATCAGGCGGGATGAAGCGAGCTCTGGGATTCCCGGAGAGAGAGGCCAGCTAGAGGGTGTTCGGAACAGTGGTGATCGTTTATCGATGGCGGAGTGTACCTAGCTTGTTAGATCACAGATGCAGATGGGAGCAGTTGGAGCCCTTACGATTTCTCCCTGGATCGCATTCGTTAGTGTATCCGACAAGTACGATTTCCGCCGCTCAGGGCTACAGTTGTTGATTAGAGCAATAGCGCCTCGCAAGTGATGCTTCGGCGAGGGCTTGTTCTCTTTTATAGAAACGAATTCCTGCGCGCATCATTAGTCCCATCCCGGAGATGGCAACGGGCACTCCGCACTTACCTCAAAGATATAGAGCAACATCATCGTCATCAAAATCTCATCGTAGTCACGTTCAACATCGCCCTGTAGCGCATGTCGAGTGCGAGTCAGTGCTGCTCCAAAGCATTGCTGTGCAGAATGGAGCAGATTCTCCTGGCGTGTCCAGGCGGCAACTCCGAAATACGCCACGGCCAGGGCGCTCATACGCAGATGTGAGTCGAATGGGGCAGAGGCATATAACTGAGGAAGAAATTCCATGGACCCAGGTCGAATCAATGGATCTCGAGGCGTGTAAATGTACGAGTTGAAGAACAATGCGGTGACCGTATCCTCCATGGGAAGATACAGACCACCGGGGACCTGCGGGGGGATGACGGATCCCGATGAGACAGGATAGCAAGGGAGAGGAGAAAGTTCAAAGGTAGACGAAGTGTCTGAGCTCGTCTCTACATGATCGCGTATCGTAGGGGACCTAACCACTACGGTTGTATCTGTGGCTGTGTTCGCGCTTCTGCGATTGAATGCTCTCTGGGGCCGTAGCACGACGTCCAGGGGGTGCGGAAACCCCGGGCATTCTCTCCCTGAGCGCACGCAGGCATTGCAATATGGGCGCGTTTCATCGCACTATTGGGCTTGGTTAGCCAAATTGGAAACCAGTTATGAGGTGGCGTAGTTACTTTGATGCGTCTCGTGCGGCACGTCTGACAGCCGGTGCTGGGTCGTCCAGGATAGACCATTCTAGTGTGGAAGATCGGGATTTATATAGCCAAAACAACTGATTAACGGACGGGACTCACGGTCGGAGCCCATCGTACAGCCTGTTGCCTTGCCGATGGAAAAGAAAGAATGACTCGTAATCCTCCGATTGGGGGCGAGCCAGTGAGGCGCAGCGCCGAGTCACGTGTGGCGCGTGGAGAAAGGAACGTGATTGCGGCAGCCCTAAGAAGCAGTGTGAAGAGATGGAAACAAGTCATTCTGAATTGGAAAACGCCATGCTATGCTAATCTAACATGGTATGGCCCCAGAATCTTGGACCAAGAACATCATGAACCGAACTTATATCACATATTTCATTATAATGAAGCGCCATCTGCAAAAATCAATAGATGCGCTCGGAGCGTCTTATCATATGCTCATTATCATATCGTAAAGGAAACGTTACTTCATCGAGTTCGTCGTAATCAGCATATCAGCGCGGCCCGGCCGACTGAACCGATCGATACCAAGGTGCTCCCTGCCGTCACGGCCCACGTAGATACCAAAACCGTACCTGGGATAATCCTTGTCGCCAGGTGGAGTGATCACGAGTCGGGTAACAAGATCGGTCTTGCTGCGTGGCTCCCGCAGTAGCTTGTCGGAAAGCATGGGACTTTGATAGAGGAAGCTGATCTGATCGGCCAGAGTGCTGATGTCGTGGGGTAGATAGCGGCGGCGTCCGGGCCAGATAGCCAAGAAAGAGACCATGTAGACCGCGCAGAAGGCAACAATCGCATAGAAGGCAGACATAAGAGGCGTTATCTTGATTGTGTTCTCTTCGTAGGTAAGGGCGATAAAGTCCCCGCCGGCCAGGATTGGTATGGCGCAGGAGACGATGCTGATGAGGGAAATCCAGGCCACTTTGTAATGCTTGTTCGCAAGCGCTGCAATTGTGACTTCGAAGGGAAGGAGAGATGGATATGCCAGTAGTAGGCTCTGCTCTGCAGTGGCACCTTCCGGAGACGACAGCATGACATATGGCTGCAGCGCACGGAAGTAGATATCGATGTGCTGCCAAGCAAGGAATAGAAAGTTTCCAATCAACGCCGGTATGAAACTGTACAGAAAGTTGGAGGACGAGAACGCGGTAGAGGACGGCCGCGTCGACAAGTGTGGAGGGAACCCTTCCGCGACCCCTTCGTTAACAAAACTGACGACGACGAAAGCGATGAATAGTGCACAGATGACCACTGTCCAGGCAATAACGGCTGGCTTTCGAAGGAACCATGGCGCCCATCGGTAGCGAACAGTTGGTGAGTACAGCTCTTCGGCGCCATCCTTTCCCGTCATACTTTGCTTTTCGGCATCGAACGACACTTTGGAAAGCTGCTCTCGGCGGATCCTGGGCGAAATATGAAGGGACGGATTGCCAACTGTGCCCCCAGCCTCTCCCATACCATAGAATATTTCCGGGTGTCGTCCTTGGGAGAGCTGCCAATAACCCAATCGAAGTGTCCTCGGCTTCAGCGCTTCCCCAACGTCGGTGACTGTCTCCGTATACTCAAAGTCAGGCAGCACATTCGACCGCTGGATAACGGTGATCAAGTCTGCAATGCAAACAGGGTCCCACATTAACCCCGACCAGGTGCGCAGAAACCGAAGCATCAGCGACAGAAGCCCTAGCGCAAGCAAACCATAGATCGCTATCAATGTCCAGCCAACAGCTCTCACTGCATCCCAACGCCAAGTTCCTTCGCCATCTATAACGTACCACTTCGCTTGGAAGAAACAACTTAGTAGAGGCACAGCAATGAAGTTGGACAGCCAAATCGCAAATATTGAAAAGCCGATCACCGCCTCGCCGTGGATGAAATGCGAGAAATCCGGTAGCAAGAAGTTCTTTGGCACAATTGGCAGGCCCTGTAAGACTTTCTTGTACGGCCGCTCAGATGCCATTATCGCAAAGGGCATTATGCGATACACAGCGGCCTGGATGACGAATGTCAAAATCGAGATGATAATCCCCAAGGTTTGCGGTAAGAACTGCACAACAAAGTACCGCGCACCAGTTCGTCCATCGTACCCCCAAATCCCTTGGTGATCTTCGGACCAAGCATTGCTGAATGCGATACCAGCGATCATTAACAGCACGCAAAATATGGCTAGACCCAGTGCCCATGGCCGAAGGACAGCGGGCACAAAGTCCAGCGCCGGGTATATAAGGTTCCCTTCTGGTGGCTCAACGGCAACAAATGCTTCTGGGTCGACTGAAGCCTGCGGGTCTCTTTCTGGTAGCAATTGCTGCTGCGGCGCAGGCGTAACGGCGCGAACAAAATGACCCAAGCTGCCGTCCCAGACTAGACGCTCGGCCGGAGTTGATTCATATCCACTCTCCTCTGACCTCCTCGGATCATCTTCCTCCCCCTCTCGCGTGAGCTGGTTGATCGCAAAGCGAATGTACGGCGAGTCGTCCATCCCTGGCGTCGGCTCGCGCCCCGCATAGCTGTCCCTCACGGGCTCGCCGCCAGCCCCGTCCATCGATAAACCGAGCTGAGCGTTCCTACTTTCAGAAGACTGACTTGCGCTGTCAATCTGTGTCACGAAAGTCTCCCGCGGTTCAGGTGGTCGCATAGGACTGTGTTCTGTTCGCCGAACAGCAGTGGGCGGGGCTAGGAGCGTTCGAGATACGGCTGGTGAGGAAGTGCGCGATACGGGATGTGAGTTCGGCGTCGCGTATCGCACCACTGTTGTTCGGCTGCCGCCGCTCGCCGAACGGCTGGTGGGTGTTTGGCTGGAGAGGGAGTAGTAGTCGTCCGAAGCAGCGGCGGACTGCTGCGACTCGGTGCGAAACAGCTGTGGTCTGCTTGCTGTGGAGCGTTAGTCGCTCGTTCCAATCAATTACGTTATATCAGGCTTGACTAAGATGGGGTACTTACAGCTGACTGTTCTCAAGCTCACATTCCCCGGGGCAAGCATGGCGGCGGGGTTGGCCGAGGAATGTATGCGGGGAGCTCACTTGCAGCAATCGTGATACATTCCCAGGTGCAGATTCTGGCTCTGACGACAAAGAGCGGAAGCTGTCAAAAGTCAAATGAAAGTTATTCTGAACTGTGGAATTGGAGGAGAAACTGTCGGAGCTGGGGTCGAAAGCGAGGCGGTTGGCTTATGGGTGCGTTTGCCAGCCTCCTCGGAGCCCAGCCACCCGTCAACGAGCCCGACATGAAATGAGGCACTTGGGACTGGGAATCGTCGGGATCTAAAATCGCACCGGGTGATTGGAGATAAGTCGCACTTTGAATGACGTGGTTGGCCGGTTTAAGCTCAAGTGTTGGATCTGTCTCTCGATTGAGTTGGCAAGAGTCGGCCAAGGCAAGGAGCCCTGGACTTCGCGGCCCAAGCTGTGCGGCACCACCACGCAAGTCTTCGATAAGGTTGCCTTGAGCCTTGATCTTCATGTTGACGTTGCTCTCTTTTCTGAGCAGCCAAATATGTATTTAGGTATTAATTATCTCGATCCCTGCTATATACTGGTCTTCCGAGACCCGCCCCGGCGGAGGTTGCGGTAACCGTGAACCATAGCCCTAAGCTGGTCCTTTCCACGACACTGTCAGCTCCTCACATCAATAGGACAGCAGGCGAGATGGGATGTATCATGCAATGTCCACCGCTTGTTGGAAAGTACTCCGTACCAACTTCAAATGGAGTACAAATACGCGGCAATGACTCCTCCCCAGCCACCGGCATTTTCATCCTCCGTCGCGATCGCCTGGTTCCCGCTGAGTAGCATGTTGGTTGTGCTCTTGGTATTTGTCCCGTATAAATATACTGCCGACGAGTCCGTAATTTGAATCGCGTTTTTCTGACATTTTCCAGTAGTTGCATTGCAAGGGCCGCCATTGTTGAAGAACGCCCAGTACAACCGCCGTAGAGGAAAAAGTTCGACGAAGCATGGATACGCTCGGAATGTCCCATGCGACACAATGCGTCGTCTGCGGCAAATTGCGAGAAATCCGGGTCGCTTGGGATCACATTGTCCTGCCATGGCGCAGGGATCAACATGTTACCGGGTCCTTGCCAGTATACTGATTCGCTCTGCTGCATCGTGGAAAACACGTTGTGGGCGTTCTCTAAGTTGTACTGGTATAGCTCATGATGCTCTAATCTGGTTCCCACAAGCCAGGTAGCAGCAGTTGCTTCTACAAGTAGGGCCCGGCCCGTGGAGATTGTTTGTCCATTACTGCCGTCTGGCTTTCGCATCTCGCGCCGGGCCTCCAGAAGGACCGTCTAATCGACCGTCAGTCTTCATTTTGGGAGTCGAAAGCGTATAGCCATACCTCTAATCGCTTTCTGAATAGCCGATGATGCGTCTTTTTGCCCAGTATTATCCGCACCACAATCCTTGATCACGTTTCGGAACACCTTGTAGTTTTTTTGTATCCCGGAATGAGAAAGGAAGACTGCCCGTTGTGATCGATTTCCTCGTACCAGTATTTCGACGATGCCGAGGAAGCTGCGCAGATTGTGGCCGGTTGTTTCACCCGATGGGTTATATTGATTAGTCCATGCCATGGTTGCGCGGCGTAGTTCTGGATCGTATAGGGAATCCCTCTTCTCATGTCAGTTATCGCGCCATAAAACGAGCTGGGAGAGGAGGAAATGCTTACGACGGACTAGGAGGGCTATATGCTGGCGTCAGGATAGGATCCAGGTCAGGGACAAAGGCAATTCGAGCTTCCAGAGCCGTGACCAGGCGCTGAAGCAAATCATCAACGCCAATGCCCATGCAAAGAGAGGGAATAATGCCATACTCGCACCACAGCAGCAAATCCCTAAGCCAGGACAATCATAAGAGACGAAACGGCTTCAACAAATCCGGGAGAGAGCCGTCTCGGGCCCCCAAATCGGATAAGATATCAAAGCACGAGAAGTAGAAGAACCGGAATGACGGATAAGTGTTCTTTATTATGTAAAAGGCCTGGCATACCTCGACTGGGGCACGCATGACAATCCGAGTCGAGATCACCCTCGCGGCGGATCCATGCCGGGGAATCCAGCACCCAGTATCTTCATCGACGTCAACGCCAACCCGAGAAGGAGGAACTATGATAAGGACTTCAGGTCAGCCATACTCTTGATTTCTGTCAGTTGCAAACTAACAAGGCTTTATTATACCGGGCAACCCACAATACTTTCTAGGCAAGGCGCTCTCGAATGCAGGACGGTCGAAGAAGATGGAGAGAAATTGCATAGTATGTTTCGCAGCTGGAAAGCAACGATGGCTTGGTACCTAGGGTAAATTGGAAGATATACCCATTAAGAACGATAGAGTAACCAGCAGGGGCTGTTTTTCAAGACCGGGTGGTTTGTGTAGAAGAGTGGTAGAATGGAAAAGAATGGGTGCCGCCTAGCATTCCATTGAAATTGAAAACAAGTACAGCAATTCTCCCTCCAAATTCCCACCTCGAGTTCGAAACCTCATCTCCTCTGTTCAACCAGTTTGTTCTTTCTCCATTTTCGCTCAGCTCATGCCAAGATCACCGATCTTTAGCTTCGGCAGCAGCTGTTTTGACAACACCATGCGGTCTCACCCTAGTCAAGACGTCAGAACGAACACGCGCAAACATCTACATCAATAAACGGAGCCGGACTTGCGGATATTGCCAGCCCCGCCGATACCAAAGCCAACGTAGCGCTCTTGAGGGTTGACGGTCTGTGTCGGAGTCTCTTGTGATATCTGATCGGCATCTCGGTCTTGAGAGAGTAGATGATCACGCTGCTCGTCGCTTATGCTGAGTTTCAATCTCATCCAAGGTGCTTTCCAAAGGGCACGCATTTTGATGTCTTGGGTAGAGGGGCCTGCGTCGTTCGCAGTGGTTGATTTTAATATGTCTCTCGATGTGCTCGTGTATCGCTGACTCGCCTGTTGGGCTCGAAAGCGACGAACACTCGGGGTCTTTATATACCCGTCGCTTCGCTGAGTCTAACGACTCAGCAAGGTGACGTGTACCAGGGAATCCTCAGGAGAAGGGGAAAGACAACAAAAGCAAAAATGCCTGAGCCTGACTCAACCTTCATAGAAGCTGTCTCTTCTCTTACGCAATCCCATTTATAAGGACAATGAAGCGCTAGTGGGAGCGCATAATAGGACCCAATACGAAGTAGACATTTTGCACAGACCGCGCAATACACAATCGGAAGTTTGTGTAAACAACATTTGAAGTCTACTCGGTACGGTAGATTCATGCTCTTCTCGCCGCATAAGACTTGGGAGCTATGTCTCCACCGAAGATAGCGCCTGCAGTTCCTCTTTGAATGAAGACAAGCTCACGAGACAAGTCTTGCCTCTCGAACGATCGACAAGTTCAGAGCGGTTATGGTGTGTGATAATGGCTTGGCATGTCGGCGGAATATACTCCGTAGGCTGCAAGACATCAAGCCAGCCTTGGAGGACCTATGAGTATGTACGCCTCGTCTTGAAGTCGTTGCACTGTATTTCTGTTGGGCAGGAATATATTTGGGGTTTCCAGCATGTGGTGATGATGCTCGAAGAGAGCGTTCCAGAGCCTCGTCGCCCTGACTTATGGTTATATCTAGTCTTTGTCGCAGATCGCTGGCTGATCTAGCGAGCACTAGTTAGCAATAATGCTGGCCCTAGCGGGATGTTCCCAAGTGCCGTTCTCGATCAATAGGGCGAGGTTGTAGTCCGTAGACTCCGTACAATCCAAGATCCCCCAACACCAGCGCTATCAGAGAACTATTGGATATTGACCGACGAGCACACTTTTGGAACTGATCATGCCAGCCACCCATAATCACTGACTGCAAGTGTTTGTTGTCTCACTTCGGTTCCCGTCAGTACTCCGTAGATACTAGAAGATGAACCCCGATTTCCGGCTCACCAAGACCACTTCGGCGGAGCAGACCACCGCATGAGAGCACAAAGTGTCACCTCAACCTTCTAAAGGCACGGTCCTTCTTCAATATTCTCCGGTGCGCAGTAATGCTCGCTGAGATCTACTCCGTAAGCCACCGTTGGAAATGAAGACGAGTTATAGTATTCCTTGTCAGAAACGTTAACCCCAGGGTCCACAATCTGTCAATCGGAGGCTGGTGGAGCGGCGGAGCCCCTAGAAGCACGGGCTAGAATCGTGAAATTGGAGTTGCGATGCTGACTGCGCGTCCCACTATCTTAAAACAAGTCCGGTCACTCTTGACCAAGAGTCGCGACGGCAAGAGTCGAAACCAGGAATCATCGCGTATCACAAACGACCCCATCGTGTTGGTTTGTCTCAACCTCCTCCCAAGAATGACTGCAAAAGACTTGGCCAGATTCCGTCGTGGAGAAAGCGTCGCGTCATCAATCTCGACAGGAGAAAGCTAGTCCCCGATCGCAATCATCGTCTAGCCGATCTTACTCGTGTGGTCTTGGGCTCAAACGTCTCTGCTGCAAAAGCAATCACTTCTTAGCCGCCGTCCGACACGATATTAAGGGGAGCATTTCACTGTGTAACCATCTGCGAATCAGATGATTCAATCTGGATGCAGCAACGTAGTGCTTTCCGAGGCGATTTTCTGTTCAAAGTTCCGCAGTCTCTTGCAGCGAGCTACTCTAGAACATCATTGACACTTGACAGCGACAGTCTCGGCCGCCAGCAGTGGAACTCGACCAAGTAACTCGTGGCGGGCAGCGAATCACAGCGATATGTTAAGAGTAGTGGATGCGTTAGCAGACATCGCTTGTTCTAATCTGGGCTCAGCCACCACGGGAGAACGCAGCTCCTACTCGAGGAAGAATTCAAGAGGGTCTTTGTAGTCTGTATAGAGCAACATACCACGGCCTTGACGAAGATCTTGGAGATGGTCACGACTCACGAAGGGTCAAAAATAGAAAGAGTAGTCGATCTAGTCCACAGAGTGAAAGAAACCTTGGAAGGAGAGCGTACCCTGGAACACAGACGATGACTAAGCCCCGCACTCCTCTCTCCAACTCGCCCGACGCCATCCTGGAAGCAATCAAAGTCGCCGTCATGCTTATACCTTATTCCACCATTGACCATTGTCGCTAGCCAGATACTACTACTGCCTTAGTACTATTCTTTCCGCTCCTTACAGTCCGCTCTTCTCTTCTTTTCTCTTATCTCTCTTGTCTGGACAAGAGCCTTTTGTTTCTGCCTTCTCCCCGCTGCGCTACTCCGATACCGTACTCGCCCTCCTCGGTCTCTTTCTCGCCCCTTCAACCTTCCTTCCAGGAGAAGCGCTGCAGCAGTTCAATGCCTCGCTCAATGCTGTGATCCAGAGCTCATTTATTTCGCTTGGGTGAGCCGCTGTCATCAGGGGCCTTTTCCCCGGCCTGACGTTCGTTTTCTCTCTTCTTCCCTCTCTCTTTGTCAACAGTTGCGCGGCCTCGCGGTTCCCAGTTTCGTGGTCGCGATGTTGCTCAAACCCGCAACCCCATTAACTATCCTCCTTCTCATCGCCTTTGTCCTTCTTCTCCTCTCCGTGCTATCTACTCCTATCGTCAAGAATATCCCACTAGCGACTTTTGACAATGTCGAGTATGGTGTCTTCGGTTACTGCAAAGCTGGCACTTGCACCGCAATCCATATCGGCTACACCACAGGTTTGTTGCGCGCATAGTTGCTCCCTTGGCTTATGGTCTCTAATAATGGCGCAGAGGAAATCGAAAACACCGGAAGCACCGACAGTGACTTCAATCTCCCCTCCGACGCGCGGAGGTCACTATCCTCCATCCTTATCGTTCACCCGATCGCTGCTTTCCTCACCTTGATATGTCTCTGTCTCGCTGCTGCGGCCCATCTTCATGCTCCTTCGCATTCACCGCGCTATTTACTCGCCTTGTTGATATTGCTTCTCCCGACTCTTCTCGTCTCGTTGCTTGCTTTCTTGGTTGATATACTGCTCTTTGTGCCACATTTATCATGGGGTGGATGGATAGTTCTCGCCGCAACCATCATTCTGGTTACTTGCGGTGTCGTAACCTGTGCCATGCGCCGGACGCTAGTCAGTCGCAAGGCGCGAAAGAGGCGTATCGCAGAGAATGCCGAGATGAGTGGGCAAAACTATTATAACCGTCAAAATGCCGCTACTGCCGCGTTGAACGAGACCAAACCGATCGCACCTGAAACTAAGGAAACATTCGTCAGTGCGACTCAAAGCTCAGAATCTGGACCTACTTTCGCCACGTTTCGCACAACCACACACTCGAGTGACGATGACCGTGCACCTTTGACTAATCAAAACGACCCGGCCGGACAGGAGGGTGGTTACCAGTCGCGGATTCCCGGTGATCCGGTGCCTTATAACGCCCCCCGGGATGAATATGGCAACCCACTACCACCAGCGCCGTATAACTCTGCACCGAGAATGCGTACGCCTGGACCTCCTGGGCCACAACCTCCAGACTCTAGAATGCGCGACCAGTATTCGGAACCGCGACGAGGCCCTCCTCCAGGATTTGCTCCACGTGGTCGCGGCGGGTATCCACCTCGCGGAGGATATGGTCGCGGTGGACCATTCGGAGGCCCGTACGGACCCAATTCTCGTACTCCCCCTCCTGGGCGGGGTGGTTATATGGGCCCAATGCGTGGCGGGCCTTCAGGACCGATGGCACGTGGGGGATACCGGCCGCAGCCAGCAGCAGGCGGATATGGTGCCGGCGGACGCCCCATGGGTGAAGATGGATACGGTTATCGTGGACCTTCGCCGCGTCAGCATACTCCTGGGCCGATGGCGGCGCCAGCAGCCGAAGGGCCACCGGGTCAGGCTATAGAAATGATGCCGCAGACGCGGTATGAGCCGGAAGCCGAGGATCAAGTGCCTGAACCGCAACAACTACATGCCATTTCAATTGACAATCAACACGAACCTGTTAGCCCCACGAGCTTTTACAGCCGGACACAGTATGACCGCTTGACTTCATTGCCCCTCTAGCCATTTGCTAATCAGCCGTTCTTAACCAGATCATATGTTCCCCCTCGCCGAAACTGGGGACAGCAAGCGTACCAGTCGAGTGAGCCGAACCTGCCATATCAGCAGAATCAACCTAGTCATCCGAGTCAGCCGCGCCATGCCCGTTCTCAGTCAGGTAGTATGTATTACGAAGATGAGGACCCGGTGTATACGAGTCGGAACGAGCCGACAGTAGGTAACCAAGGGGTGCCCTCTGCCTTGACACCAGGACCAGGCAATTCTGGTGAGCAAAAAATGAAGGAAAATGGGGTGGAACGTCCGGGCTCACCTGCTGCTAGCGAAGTAAGCCATTTCACATCAATATCCGAGCGTCCAATCAACCCAAAGTGGCGTCCGCCGCCTATGCCGGCACAAGCTGCTCAACAGAAGCGGGACGTCTTGCTCGAGAACAACCCCGACTTTGATCTCCGCGCCGGTATGGGCATGGGAGGCCGCATGCCACCACTGCCAGGCAAGAATTCTACGAGATACCCACTTCCTTGATCAATTACTCAACCTTTTTCTTTCATTGTTCATGATTGGAGACTGGCGTTTGGTGTTTTGAGAGCTTGGTTTGTTTCTTCTGGCATCACGTTCAACGTAATTTGTCCGCGACCTAGGACATGGTTACGCAGGGACATTGGCAAGTACTTGGTGCTCCCTGGTGGACTGTACAAACATGGTTTGGAACCTCGTACATAATTAGATAGCAATATGGCTAGATATAATTCAGCCTTTTGAAGCCGATTATCTCGCAGCTCTACAGCAGTTCACAGCACTGGTCTCCAGGAGCGTGTAGGCAGTAACTAGTATGAATAAGTCCAATTTCGCCCGCTAACTCTCATCTGAGTTGTGGTATCAATAAAACCAAAATGTAACCAAAGCAAAAACCAAACCGTCCACCGTCATTCCAGCCTTATGCATCCCAAATCTCCGCGTGTCATCAATCATCAAAAACTCATTCACCCCAGAACCAGATAAAGACAGACCCAAACCAAATCGCGCCTAGAACTTCGTCGGTAAAAAGCTCTTCGAGTCCTCCTCCTGCTGGCTGAACGACTGAGGGAACGCAGCTATCGCGGCAACGATCGCAATGGCGATGAAAATGAGAGACACCATGGACCAGAGCAGACCCCAGCAGCGCGAGGACCCGCCGTAGCGCTGCGCGAAGACGCTTGCGTCGGAGGAGTTGACTTTGCGCAATATGAGGTCGTCGCACTGTACACCATTAGCATACAAGTTGTTGCAATGTGCTGGGGTGGCTTACAATATCCCAAACGCTGTACAAGCCTGACATGACCCCGATGAACAACTGCACCATCCGTTAGCTGCCTGTCCATAAATACTCTGATACGAGCGAACGGGGAAACGTACAACAACCCACTTCAGCGCCTCCCCATGCGCAATAAACCAGCACGCAACCAAAAGCCCCACGGCCAACAACACCGTCACGATCGTCAACCAGTCCCTCCTCGCCCACCAGAGCGTCAACAGAAAGCACACGCCCAGCACTATACTCGCGACTTTACTCGCAATGATATTGAAGCCCGCGAAGATCAGCAGGGCCCCGATAATCGACGACCCCAGATAACCCGCCGGCAGGGTAATGGCGGAGATCCCGCCCTGCATGTGCGTGACGCCGCCTTCATGCGGGTCGAGCGAGATAGACTTCACGCGGCCACCGGTGCAGCAGGCTGTTATCGCGTGCCCGAATTCGTGGAAGGCGATTACGAGCATCTGGGCTGGATTAGTTGGGGGGTTTCTCGTTGAAGGGCGGGAAGGGGTTCGCGCACCTTGAACGGCCATAGTGAGTACCGCAGATACGGCACGTTCCAGAGGATAGCGATGACCACGACGTAGGCGCCCATTATGCCTAGGGTGACGGCTTGTGTGTGGTTGACTGTGAGGTCGCGCTTATAGAGATGGGATTCTGCGGCCTCGACGACGCGTTCGGTAAAAAGAGCGTGGTAGGGCGCCATGGCTGTAGCTGAGCTTATCCTGTTGAAGATTTCTAGTGCGTTAAAGGGCGCTTTGAAGACATTTAGAAGGATTTCTTGGGGCTGATTGCAAGATAAACTGGCGCCTGGTCTACGCGTCTGCTGATGATTCTTTGCCTGAATGGGACTAGCGTGTGGCTGGGATAACGGCGTGATGGGCTATTTTTGTGTGTGGCTGGGGCGGGTCTACCGCTCGTCCAATCGGAGAACGCAGTGATCTATACAGGGCTGACGCTAACGTGTTTCTAGTATCTGGTTTGAGATTCTTCACGTCGCGTTCTAGTTGCTTTTTGCTTTTAGGCGAATGCTACTCCGTATAGGCTAGCGGATGTGCCCTACTTTATCCTTTGCTCGGGATAGTTCATTTGCCGCGTATCAGTTCAAGCCAGGATTTTTTCTACCTTTGAATTATTGTGAACTTTCTGTCTTCGCGGCGATGAATGGCCCACTGAGGATGAGCCCACTTATCCACCCAGCCACCGCGTGGCCTAGGTGGTTCGGATCGATAACCTTCTCGGCTTGACTCCACTGACACTGCACTTCGAATTTCGTGTAGTGCCAACATGAAGTCTCCGCGACGTAAGCATGAGCAGGTACGCGCAGTGATATCGTGCCAGCTGGTGTGACGGGCTGAATTACCTAGTCTCTGTGAGACATTTGTTCGCAATAATTCTAGGGCTGCGAGGTGATAATATCCAAATATCAAGGCAAAAGGGTGTAGTGGTGGATCGTGAGCTCCCAGCAAGTACACCTCAGATATACTTCGTATACTGCGGTGTGTAGTCGAAACAGGAGCATAAAGCTCCCCCTGGCACGTAACCGTTTATGAACCATCAACCCAGATACAGGGCAAGCCCGATTGGTTTAATCAGCCGGTCTCCAGTCGTGAGTTCATGGACGGCGGCGAGCGAGCTATGGGCGGCTATTCTCGCCATGGTTTCGTTTGCGGCGGAGGCGTTCGATGATGCTGGTTAGGGCATGGAGGTCGGGAGCGCTGTAAGATGTTGCATACTTCTCTGACCAGGATACGGCTGTGTATCCGAAAGATTGTGAGATGATCATTCTTGGACCTGTCACTATTTAATCAGTCAATGATGCTCAGGATGATTGTTGCGGCTTTCAAACAGCTCCGTGGTCGTAAAAGTGTATAGGAGTAAGGTACCCATTTGTATTCACGGCGAGCTCTCCCTTGTTGCATGCTTGAGAATGATCATCGTCCTGCGGCCTACCTCAAACAATGTGCAGACCAGTGGAGCCAGATGAGAACCCTTGAATCTAGGGCCTCTGCTACAGCTCAATTTGCCCAGACAGTCATGTTTCAAGGCATGCAAATTATGAGCATGCCCCAAACATGGCCTCCTCTCGTACGTCTTCCTGAAGCCACGCGGTCAAACGGATGGTCCAGTTCAGAATATGGGGGAAAGACTTCTGCCGAGTCTATAGTATACCATAACCCCCACGGTCTCGGGGCCTGAGGGGGTGGTTGCTGCCTAGGTAAAAGATCCAGACCTAGGGGCGGATATTCTCCGTTGGAGTCTGCACAGCCCTCATCACCTCTCGTCTAACCCTGACCGGCTCGTCGACTATGTCAATCTACTGCTTCATTGGGATGAATAATAGCTTGGCTCGGGACTCCGTCTGCGCAAATGGACCAGGTTATGGAGGTCGTGATCATGAAGATGGTAGTATCCGACCAAGATTGTACGACTGTTCTTCGCTCTTGCAAACTCACTGTGGAAAGTCCGTCTCCATTCAAGGTCTGCATACGTTCAGAAAGAGCCGTGAAACCTCGACATATCGTAAGAGGCTTGCGTGACTCCGAAAGCCCGTCATAGCAGGCATGGCATAGGAGAGTGTCGGAATACGGAGTATATCATTCTCGAATAGGAAATGCTACCATGTCCTAGCAGTCTCATTGGCCGGGATACTTTCCCTGTTCGGGGGTTTGTCAAGGATTACTCCGCAACATTATCCCAACACAATACCCTTATCAGCTTGACAAGCAACGCTTGGGGCCAAGCGCCACCCCGCGACGATATGAAATTTGGATAAACTCCAAATCCGCTACCCCACTGCCGAGACTGGCCGGTTTCATAGTAAACTCAACCCCCGAAAGAGTTAATGCATCACAGATAAGTCCAGGAGATGGCGCACTGGCATGAAACCGCAAGAGCTAAGAGCGAAACGCTCGAGTATGACCTCAGAGCTGTGGTCTGTGATCAATGGACACGAAAGCTCGGCAAACAGATCTATATCCCGAGCTATCGGGAATAATCGGTGCATGAGTGAGACGGCGGCCAGAACGCACCAACGAGCATGAAGGAAACAAAGCTGCCTCCTGAAGGATGACAAGTCCGCTGGGTCTATTCGAGGATCGACGCAGCCATCGACTTGGACTCCCACCTAAAATGGGAACGGAAGAAGCATGCCAAGCTTGTTCACGCCCAATGGGACTGGAAGTATGAGGAATTGTGTTGTATACGTAGTCATGCTTCAAATTCAGCCACCAAACCTGGCTTGAACATTCCACATACCGGACCCCGGAACCTGATGACCGAGTCAGACGTACGTCGGTGATTGTGACGGCGAGCTAGAACGTGATAACTCCGCGCCTCGCATGTTATACCGAGCAATTGTCCTTGGCGCATATTGATACTCGTTGGGAGCCAAAGTCTTGCTTGGCGTTCGCGGAATTTGTCCTCTTTCTATTTACGGAGTAGTTGTGTTCTTCGACCCTGGTTCGGACCCTGAAGTCTCGGTGGGTAGGACATTAGTCGATCATATTAACAATATAGATAAAAGAAATAAGAGACGGCTGACGAACTACCGGCGAGCGGAAGATTAAGATGCCCCCGCGACCCTTAATCCCTGAGTTCCGCTTCGCTGGAATTTGTATTTGTCCTCTAGTCGCCCAAGGCAATGCCAAGGTGCGCTCGACTTCATACCCGACGAGCACGGGTCAGCTCGTCAGCGCAGACGCGGTCAACCAACCGAAACGGGCACATGGCAACTGAGCCGGGGGCTGTGTCTGACGAAAGTTCGACAAGAGCCTAGGCAAGGAACCACGGTTTAGGAATCACAGATCCGACATCTAGCCAAGCACTCGGGAAGCCACTTGTCTTGTCGCTGGCTTAAATTGAGGTTCACGCTGGTTAAGCGACTAGTGGAGGCGCCGGTCCTTGGAGCTGGCGATCCTCTTGGCGGCTTATACACAGGAGGCCAGAAGGGGCGGTGCAAAGTCTTTGCACAGTCAGAGGAGGCCTGGAAAAAAACAAAAACAAAAGATGAGTAAGAGGCAAAGTCTGAAGAAAGAGGAGAGTACGTAGATAGGCGATGCAGATTACGGAGATAAGAAAGAAGGTGTGGTTGCTGAGGTCAGGTCGGGGGCAAGGTTTCACCGGGACGCCTCTGCGTAACCTTAACCAGCTCTCGGTCTCTCTCCGTCTCGCTCTTCAGCTTCAACCCCAGACGGACCTTCTCGTCTTCTCCAGACTCCTCCATCACGGATTCTTCCGTCGGCTATCGTCACCAGAGGGTTCCATCAATCCTCGCCAAGAGCTCCACCATCATGATACAGTCCTGTTTTCGGAGACAGAATGAAGCTGCCTGCAACATCACCACTGCTTTAGACGTCTCTTCCCTTGGCAGTCCCCACAGATCGACCACGAGATAACGAGCAATTCGCATGACGAATGACTGCTTGTTTGATTCGCCTCGCCGGGTCTCATTGGGCACGGATTTGACAATCACGACTGTGCCACTCTTTCATCTCTGAACGGAAAATGGGCTAGGCCGTGACGGAATACGCCAAGATCCGGCCAAGCACGCCCCTTGATACGGAATTGAGATGCACAAGGGTCAGAGAGCCTCGAAAGGGGTCAGCCGGTAGACAAGGAATGGCTGTTCAGTCAGAAGTCACCATTCCGCCATCTGCCTGGATGCATGAATATGCGATCTCAATTCCTACGGCCCGTTTTGAAACATAACGGTGTAACATCAAGCACGCGGGTCTTGACGGGCATGTCCGGTTATACTCCGGATACCTGACAGATCAACGAGCATCCACCTGGCTTTTATCTGAGTCCGAGTTGGGCTGACGAGTAGAGAGCTTTCCTTGGCGTCATCGCTATTGATTCTCATGCGGGATCCCAGGTATAGCGGACCCATATGGTGGGGGATTGTCCGGTCCTCAGCCAGATGAGGAATCATATATTGAGTGCCACCTGCGCCCAGCAGTTCAGATGTTGCCCTATCCGTCCTTCCTCTTAAACCAGCCTGCTCAGATCCACAAGCTTTAAGGTTGCTTGACAAAGAAAATCTTATCTATTCTCCATCAGTCAGCCCTACATATCATTGCCAAAGCCTTTTTCCCTTCTTTCTGTTGTCGTCAACATGCAGCAACCCCCGAGGGCCTCGACAGAGATAGAAACCATCACGGGAGAGAATGCCCCAGCAGCACCAAACACAAGCAACAACCGCCTCACATACTGGGATACCTCGACGGGACCTCCAGGGCCGCAAGACGATTCCAAATACCCCGGTGGGCTATGGTCCGTAGGGGGCAGTACTACTGTGTCTCTTGCTGGGAACCCTACTACACTCTCCGACGAAGAGCCTTCCACATGGCAGGCAAGCCTGTCCAGACACATGAAATGCAATGTCAATACGCACCGCACCGATATCTTTCTCGTCATGTGTGGCTTCGTTAGTGGTCTCATTGACGGTCTGTCCTTCAATGCATGGGGCAGTTTCTCCAGTATGCAAACAGGTAAGCTTGCTTGCGCTATGTTCCAAAGCCTTTTTCTCTGACGGAGCCTAGGAAATACGGTCTTCATAGCTCTAGGTGCCTCCGGTCAGCCCGCGTACCCCGCCTATCTCTGGGCCAAGTCCTTGATTGCCCTTACTGTCTTCCTCATTGGGAACGTTGCCTTCATCCGCATCGGCCGCGCTCTGGGTGCTAAACGTCGGTCATCCTTGGTACTCTCCTTCGGCGTGCAAACGGCCTGCATTTTGGTCGCCGCGCTCCTGGTCCAATTAGAAATTGTGGATCCTCGACCGGAAGACCCTCGCGCCCCGATCCAGTGGATGCAAGTGCTACCAATCTCGCTACTAGCCTTCCAGGCCGCGGGTCAAATCACTGCATCGCGGATCTTGGAGTACGACGAACTCCCTACTGTTGTGCTTACGACTCTTCTCTGCGACTTACTCGTCGATCCCAACCTGAGCGCCCCGCTCAAGGCAAACGGTAAACGCAACCGGCGGATCGGAGGATTCCTCTCTCTCTTCCTAGGCGCCATGACGGCAGGAGGTCTATCCAAGGTGTCCGAAATGGCAGCGAGTCTATGGTTTGCTATGGGTATTAAACTAGTCATCACTGTCAGTTGGTTTGTCTGGAAGGGAGAGCGAAGCAAGAAGGTGGAGGGCATCGGGTCTGTATGAAGTTGACTGTACTCTGCTTTGCTTGCTTAATTCTCTTCACTGCACATGTCTTGCATGTTACTTTGCTTATCTTCTTGCCTATGTTCAAGCTTCTTTTGCGTGGCCCATGGAGGGTTCCTTTTTATGTTACGACTTTATGATGAGCGATAGATTTACCAGCACACATACGAGTTGGCGGACTGTCTTTGAATGATTACGGCCGATAGCGTTTATTGTTTAAAGCAAATACTTGTGTGTTCTGACTATCATCATTCAGTAACATTGGTAACCGCGTGTACTGACACGCCAGACCACTCCGACTGGCCACCTGAGCCCTAAGCCCCAACTGCCAACAGCTGTATTGTAAGTACCGCCAGTATCTTTCTCTCTTTCAATACAAATATCACACTTCAGGCTGCGTTGCCCATAATATTCCACGTACACGAAGAAAAATCGGCCGCGTGAGCATATGGCCCAAGATTGTACCTGTGTAGCCCCAAGCCAGACAGAGACGGCCCAGCCCTAATCAATGCCCGCGGATCAAGCATCCGATCGCCTCAAAGTTTACCCGTTCTCTTGAATACGTACACCGTAGATCTGATAATCGAAGTAGATAATCAGATAATCTTCGTGGGGGTGTTGAGCTTATATTACTGGCGACAGTTTTGCCGCGTACGTGTCTGCCACGGTGCTGCTTTTCCCGCGAGACCTGCCGCTGCGACACTAAATAATACCGCATTTTCGTATCGGCCAAAAAGAAATGCCTGGAAGTTGTCTGCGTTGGCCTAAATCTATGGTATTTCATAGGTATACACCGGAAGAAAAGTGGACAAAGAAAAGAAAGAAAAGTACACTGTCAGAGAAACCTAGGTACCTAAAATCCGCATCGAGATCTAGCCGCGCCAACTGCAAGACAAACAAAGCAAGAATGAAAGAGTATCAGCTGGTACTGATAGGTCATGTGACTTTCGTGGAAGGGCAGGGATGAAGTACAGCCCGGTAGTAATACATTATTAAAATAAGTATAGTATGTGCGTCTATCCTGAGATCAACACCCAGAGAAGGAAGAAAATCTACAAAATCCCGTTTAGTACAGTACATGTCGCATGTGCAGACGGGGAAAACTTACCATTAGAACTCCAAACATCTTAGCAATCAACCATCGGTTTCCTGATACCCGTGTCCAGTACTTCATTAATTCGCGTTGTGCTCCTTGGACATTATCCACCACGTCTTCTGTGTTGGCATCTATCCGCTGGATCATCTCGGACTGTTCGCTGACCATTTGCGCCAGCTGACCAAAGATACCTCCCAACTCGTTGATTGTCCGCTCAATTGCATCAATTGCTTCGCCACGGGACTGTATGTACGAGTTACTTGACTCAGCCTCTTCCATCATCAAAAGTTGCTGGTCAGACTGCATGGACGGGCGACCTAGAGGGGACGGATTCGATGGCTCCAATGTTAAGAGATCCGAAGAGCCACCCGGTTGCGGGGTTCTTCGTCCAGAGGGGTACAGTGGGGAATCCGACCGCTGTGTGTCTAGAGCGGCTTGTGATTTGGACGAAACGGATGAGACAAAGTTCTCTGTCCGTGATCGTGATGCTTGGATGTTCTTGGTGCGGACCTCGAGGACGTCCTTGAAATTGGCACCCACGTCCGCCAGTTTCCCTTGTAGCAGGACAACAACCTAACCAGTATTAGCCAATAAAACTTGTAGTAGCTACGCCCAACGTACGTTATCATTATGCTCCCCCTCCTGGTCCGCTTTTGATCGGTGAGATTTTGGATGTTGTGAGAGTGTAAGTGCTTGTAACGAGGCGATTTGCTGGTTGAGCGACGCCAGGTCCTGCTTAATGACATAAGTCAACTCTGAGATCTCGACCGGTCTGTCATCGAAGAGAGTCTTTCGTTTCGCGACTAGCGCAAGTTAGCATGCGTATTTAATCTGCTTTGCATCAAGCACCCACGCTCTGCCAGTCTCCGCAGCTTCGCCGTAGTCGCTGTAATTCCCCGTCCGATCTCCGCTGCACGTCGAGCGAACTCTGACCTCCTCTTGCCAGTTCCATCTGCAGAGCCATTTGCCTGTTGCCGCTGGGAGTCTGATAATAATGCTTGCCGCTGAGATCCAACTTTCGATGATGCCGCGCGTTTCTGGGCTTGTCCGAGGATAGCCTGGAATTCGCCCGTGCGATCCTGTATCGAGGGGCCGGTCATATCGCGAGTAGCCAGGGGTCCAACTGAAATAATAGATGCCCGTTTAATTCAATACCAGAGAACGGTCCGCAATTGTCGAGCGCCGGGGAAATGCGATTGGGGGCTCCGGAAAAGGGTGACCTAATCGATAAGGAGAGCAATAGGAGGCGTGTATGGTCGATGGTGGATCGGCGACTTCAGGTTAGTCTAACGAAAGAATGAGCGCTGATGGAGGGAATAACGTTTAAGAAGCGAGCATAATCTCCATAGTAAATGATCCGGGCGATGTTGTGTGAGCATCAGTGACGAGGATCCGGTCTACTTGGCCCGTTGCCTCGCCCGGGCCGCAGGCGTCCTTCCCCCGATCGGACGGCGACAAGCACGTGACAACATCTCTACCACGTGAAAGCACAGCCACCGGCCGAGCTTGTCACCAGCCACCCGAGGGCCAATTGGCGGCCTCCCCAGGTGTTCAGGCAGTGACATTCAATTCTCGCCCTAGCCTCAGGGGTTCACTATACGTCAGCTTAGACCATTCCTTTGCTCTGCCTCAAGTCTTTCTTTTATACAACAACAACAACAACAGCATCCACTCATCGCATCCTGCTCCTCTCTAATTGTACCCCGAGAACTACGTATCCGCCACTTTGACCCTCATTCCATCCTGCTTCCCGCACGTCATAGTCGCCCGATTCGAAACTTGCTGCCTTCTGAATATCCAGACCTCATTGTGTGACAAAGCACACGACAGAGTGTCAAGATTACATTGCCAGCGCCTGGGTATGCTGGTCGCGACTCTACATTAATCTGTTTGTGACTGTTAATGAGCTGTTGAAGCAGCCCGCTATAACCATGTCCGGCCCATTTCAACGTCCGTAAGTTGGGCCGCTCAGCCTACATGGCATGATTGTCGCTGATTTCTTTTCTCTGGCAGTCCTCTCAACACATCGCACTCCACTCCAATATACCCCGGCGGCGAGACGCCTGTATCTTTCAAACCGAATGTGAATCGAGCAAAGACGAAGCGGTGGGTCGAAGCAAAGAAGTACTCTTATGATGGTGACGACTGGGGTGAGGATGAATATGGGGAGTACGAGTACGATGACCAGCCGCCGGAACCGCAGACCCAGCTCACTGCTGCGAACCGAAGTACACCACATATCTCAAGCACCCTTTCAAAGGGGGCGTCGCATCCTCCACTGCCCAGCACCGATCGTTCGCGCTCCATGGAGCGAGCTCAGACAATGCCAACGGAGAGCCCGGCCGCGTCGGGTAGTCCCACGACGCCCATAATCCGTCCGGCCGACATCTATAAGCGGATGCGAGGGGAACAGCAGGCTCGCCAGCCATCTCCGGCTGCAACATCATCAGACGAACGCACTCCTGTGGCCTCGCCGCCTGTCATCGCGACTTCCGAATCTTCCGAGAATACCGTCCCACTCCCCGGGCAAGCCTCCGTACCTACACACAATCCAGACGCGGTCAATGCTGAGCAGCCGAATACACCTCCGGTGGGAACGAATGAGCCACCAACGATCGCGTTGCCTGAAGTCAAGCGCTTGTCCGCGTTTGATTCGAGTTTCTTTGGCGAATCCGGGCCAGCCCCTCAAAGCAATCAGGAACCAGCTGGCCAGCCACACCAGCTTCAGCACAATCCTTCTCTCGGCTTCCGCTCTGCAGTCAACCAAGCCTTCGATGTTCCTGAGACCCCAAGCACCATTACTGACAGTGTAGCTCGCTCGAATAGCGATAGCACCACGGGCATCAGTCCTATCATCCCTCGGCGTGGCACCACCGATGACAAGACGCCAACCATCCACGAAGAGCCAAATGAAAACACAGACACACCGACCGACGGTGACATTGTCTTTAAACCAGGACACCGCCGGGACTTAAGCATCCCCAGTCCCGGCAACAGTCCTTCTCGCAGGCCAGTCATTGCTGGGCCCGATGCCAACGCATCGTCTGAACTAGCTCAGATTTCCTCTGAAACGCCAGCATCCCCTCTGGTTGCGCAGCCTCAGCCGCATGTTTTCAACCCAGACATTCCCCAACCATCTCGAGAAACGACGAGGGATGATTTGCCTGCTCCTCTCAACGTTCAGACCAATATGGCTTCTGGCTCGGTTGTCTCAACTGAGAACATCCCTGTAATTATACCAGCAATGAGCGCTGAGAATTCTCCGGAGGATACGGAGAATGACCGGTTACGAAAGGAGATCATTCGTTCCTTAAGTCGAGAGAATTCGCCCTCCGACCACCAGGACAATGATACCCCTCCTCATACCAGCAGGCAGGATAGTCTATTCCCCAGAGAGTATGAGACTTACAGGCCCGCCGCGCAAACCGCAGCGCCCCAAGAGCCTCATCAGTCTGGTCCGACTTTTGATACTATTTTGCAGACTCCTTCAACCGCGCAACCGTCTTCAACCACGCCTCAGCCTAAACTCAAGAAGCGCTTTTCCTGGGAAGAATCATCTGATGACGAGGATGCTACCGCCGTCACACAAGCGCAGCCCGCTCGACCACCGCCGATGCCCGGGCAGTTCCCCCTTTCACAAGATAGTGTCCTCCCGGAATCCTTCCGAACGCCCACGGACCAACGATCAGAAACAGCTGAGCTTTTGGAAGAAAAGCAAGAGCCTCCTACTCCTGAAAGACCTAAGCTTACAGTCGTGCCGCCTGTGGCTATGGACAGTATGAGCATTCAGTCAAGTGGCCACGGTCATGAGTCTTCCCTCTCTCAAACCACAGAGGCACTCGCTCGAGCCGAAGAGGGCGAGTCATTCAGTCCTGTGCGGCAATCTTTCGAACCACCAGCACAATTACCACCTGTTCATGTCGAGACGGGCCTGCTTGGGTTCAAGGACATTCTCAACATGCAGTCACCATATGAACGGATCCAGTCTTTTGATCGGACCCGAGACCAATTTGCAGCCGTTGATACAGGCCTGGGCAACTGGCTTCAGGTCACTTTTCATGCTCACCCAGAGCATAACGATGTCGTTAACCGCAATAACAAACCTCTATCTGAGGAGTTCAAGAACAGTGTGCCGCGCACAAAATTCCCCAAACTCGCCTCTCTAGGAAACCTTGCATCTTCACTTCAGGATGGATCTCACTCGGCGTCGGGCCATATCAGGCGGCCATCCGCGCCACTCGGATCCATGAGACAACCGTCAGGTAAGGATTTCTTGCACACTGCAGGAGTATTAGGTGGTCAAGCAGGCAAAGCTGCAAAGGGCCTTTTCTCCAAAGGCCGGAGCAAACTGAAGGGCTCTGGAGGGTCTGAAAAGGTAGAGCCTTGATTTCGTTCTGGAGTGTGCTTATACCACCGCTGTTTCATCTTTATTGTTATCTTTACTCGGGCTTTCAAGCAGCCTTCTTCCGTTTCATCCTTTTGTCCCATAGGGAAATGTGGAAGTTTACGCCTTTACATGTTGAACCCCATTCTACCTTCTGCTTCATGTCTTTATTCCATTGATACCAGGCCTGTTATAATCGATAACATCTTGAGGTGCAGTTCAGAATGTGACACGAGATAATGTTTGCGAAACAGTCTGTGTATCCGCGCTCTCCCGTTCCATCTGCCTCTTTGTCTTTTTTCCCGTTTTTCTTCATTCTTTTCTTCGCTTATGTCGCCTCTAATATCCTGGTGATTATGATGTAGGGGTTCCAAGCGATGCGTGGATATCACAGGCCCGTACGACTATCAGACCTTCAGCCTGATGCTGAGTCTGGCCTAGACTAGAAGACCCCCAGGATCCTGCAGATCGGAGTAGACATTCTACGGACAGCAAAGCCAGATGACGCTGCAGACCCAACAAGGGGTGGGGAATATTCTCTTTGTTCAACCTTCTGGTCAGCAGCGCCCACCAGGCTCCAGCAAAAGCGACCCCTGTCCTATTGAGAGACAAGGGGAGCCGCAACGAGACTATTATCCTCGTTGGTCCAGTAGGAATGTCAATGACGACCAGGGTGTTGATCACTTGGGCGCTAAGCCGCTCGCTGGCCTTTGAGGAGCAGCGCAACGCCGCACAGCGAGAGCGAAGACATTATGCCATCAGCCTCTGTACCTCGTGAGGCACAGCCAAGTCCTCATTTGCAGCCTGCGATCCTTCACGGCTTTCGGAGTCAAGACGACGAACAAAGCCGCAATCCTATTCTTCCTGCGAAGTGCCGGTGCTGCCCTCAGTTTCGTCCACTGTCCTTGGGCGTGTATGACGCTAATCTAGACCGTGGCCGCCACTCGCTCCGAAGCTTGGTGAGCCCACCGGGTTTGTCCCTTTATGTCGAGTATTCCGACTGGTGATCGATTTTCTCCGCAGCCCAGAGAAAGCATCGTTTCTCTCAGGTTTCTCTACTCTTGACGTGGGTGACTCCCAGCCGTGTCACCTTGGCGGAACAACTCCGCAACGTAGTGACAGCAGGGCCTCGAGTCAAGGGAAGAATCACCTTTTCGAAAGCTCTGTGCCTCCGAGTGAGGTTATCCAACCCGTACCGGCCCGCCTCAACGGTTGTTCGCCTTTTACCCCTAGACTGCTGGTGTCCCTCTTCCCCAAGCATGACTGGTCGCGCCGGCCAGAACAGAGATCCTCGCCGCAGGACCCCGCATCCCACAGAATCTCGTCCTCTCTCATGGAAAAGCTGAAGAGCGTTGCCCGGTTTCGCGGAATATCGATGGGCGCGAATCAATCCGATCTCAAGACTGGTCAGCCGCCGAAGAAGTCTTTTAATCGATTGAGCGTGAGTTCGTCTGTTCTTTTTATCCTGTGGGCTGAACACTGAATGTCTTCCTAGGGTCTTTTCAGCCGCACTCAGAATAGAAAGTCGGCGCCCCCGGTGCCGATTATCGAATCTTCCTCCGAAGCCAGTACGAGGCACTACCTCGCGCCAGTCACCTCGCGACCGGACTCCAGAATCGCCAGTTCGTCCATCTCCTCGTTTGATAATCACGAGCGGCCAGTGTCTCTTCCAGACGGTCGCAACACCCTTAATAGCCGGCGAGCACCTGTTGAAGGATACTTTGCGCATGAATCGCCAGAGTCCTTTACCGTTCCAAGCCCTCACCAACACCTCCGCGGTGCTACGAACTCAGACCATATGAGATCAAGCGACCCTACCCCCATTGATCACGGGCGGCTCTCGCCCCATTTCCCGGGCTATCGTCCGCCTGGCACTCCACATCCTCAACCCCACGTTTCATCCCCGCGATTGAGTTCGCCTCTCCCATCCCCGGTCCCTCGCACGCCGCCGTCTCGCGGCCGTTCCAATGACCACACCTACGCCCAAGAACTCCATCTCCGTTCCCGGAGCCCCAAATCGTTCGCGCCACGCCCGGAAGAACGTAATCTCCCAAAACACGATCCCACCGATCCCGCCTTCAATCTCGGCGCCTTCCGGACATCGAACATCCGCACCAGTCGCGTTGGTGACCAAGAACTACCCTGGAAAATCACCATCCCTGGCGATGACGATGACGACGACGAGCCCGCGGTGAGAAATACGTCAGCCTCCTGGCGCCATGAAACCGAGGACGTCCTTAACGGCGCCAGTACTGGTAATAGTACCAGCACCCGATTACCCACTTACGAAGAATATGAAGAAGAGCACGGCCCGACCCAGTACCAACCGCAAGACGAGAAACAGGACTACCCCATTACTGACGCTCCAGCGACGTCCGAGCCGATTCCACCACCAGCCCAGCCAAATACCGCCTCACCCGATCAGAACCACCCGCACCGCAGCGGCGCCCGCACAATAAACGCATTCGACGCGCCAGTCGAGCTTCCCGTACGAACGGACGACAACTCCAGCGAGGAGATCATGATGTCCAGCACGGCGTACCCGGGTCAGGAATGGCGCCCTCTCGGTTTCTCCGAGTGGGAGCATCAGTGAGCAGCTTCTAAGTTTCCAATACCATACCACATGCGATATACGCTTCGTACGATATAGTGATACCCATCTCTTTTTAACAGTGACTCTGCGGATCTTGTATTCTCTTTTCTCTCTTTTATTGTCTCTTGGTCTGCAAGCATGCAAGCGAGTTTGTATACTTACTCCTGTTTCTTCCATCGTCAGAGCTTTCAGTTTCTTTATTATTTGATAGCATCATAAATAAATCGCGCTTTTGACTCCCCACCGTGAACTAGTAACCAGGTACAGGTAGCAAATGACCAGAGTATATCTCTTTATATCTCAAATCATAGATAATGTACATAGTCTATAGCGGAGGCAGCGTTTAGACATGATTTTGAATGAATCAACCCTCAAAGACACTATGGTTCAACTCCACCCCCATATCCTTGGCCACGGACGCCATCTGCGCCTCGAGATCATCTTCCATGCCACCACCCAGATGCAAGAACTGGCGCACCTTGGTAAAGTAGAAGAACAGGTCACTCGAGAAGAGCACAACCCGGAAAAGCAGGTGGCGACCATAGTTCCTGATCTTTTCGGCAAGCGGGAGATCCGGGGATTCAACGAGCGCCCGCGACGCCCAGAGCCCCGTGATCTTGATCCGGTTTACAGGCGAGCCGAGGAATTGGTTGTTCCCCTGGACGATGCGCAGGTTCCGACCGATGAAGATAAGCTGCTGGGGCCATTTCGTCTCATCGCCCAAGATCTCGCGGACGGCTTTGCGGCTGGCTTGTTGCATTTCGTAGTTGCGTTGGGCGCGCTCGGCTTTGCTGAGACGTTCAATTCCTTGCTGAGTGGAGAGGTTGCCGCCGCGGTACGGTTTCATGAGCGTTGCTGAGGCGAAGATATCGGGGTTATTGACACCCCAGCCCTTGACGATGTCGGCGATGGTGGCGTTGTCAAAGGTGAGCAGGGCCTTCCAAAAGCGGGCGTATTGGTGTCGAAATTCGGGCTCCATGTGGATGTAGAGGCCGTGATCGATCAGGACGAGCTCGGAGTGGCCATTAGGCTTGCGGCGGATGAAAATGTTTCCTGGATGGGGGTCGCAGTGGACTAAACCCCAGAGAAACATTTGAGCCGAGAAGAGGTCGACCATGGTTGTCATCACCTCCTTGAGTGATAGGCCGAGGCCACCGCGGCCATTTCTCCCGCGCCAGTCGTTGCGTTCCGGCTTGATCTTGAGATTTGTGCCTCGCGGCGTTGCTGATGGGGACTTTTTGGGCTGTGGAGAGTCCAGTGGAGTTCCACCGCAGCCAGGACTGCCTTCGCGCCAGCCTCCGCGCCAAGTGCGTGTTATAGCATCTTTATCCCAGAGCCGTACACCTTCTATCCACTCGGCTGTCATAATACGCTTGGAGCTCAGCTCACGGTATACTCTCGGGACGTACACGCGGTCACGCAGGCGAGACTCTCCCGCAACAAACTTGGCCATCATTTCGGAGTTATCGGCTTCGTTTTCGAAATCCGTCTCGAGAAAGAGGCGTTCGCTGACGTAGGGAACAAGACTATAGAACGGGAGATCGAAAACGCGGCTGTAGATCCAGGTCACCACTCTTGGTGATGTTAGTAGCAAGCCGAGAACTGCAAGGTCGAAAACTTACTTAAAGGCCCATAGATCCCACTGTATTTGCTGCGCAATCTCTCGCTTCTGAATCTTGATAGCAACTTCTCTCCCGTCCGCCAACCGAGCCCAATGAACTTGGGCTACACTGGCGCTCGCTCTGGCCACGCGTTCCATGACTCCCTTTGTAGGATCGCCGCTGAAAGAGACGCCGAAAACCTCCTCCGCAGACTTGCCAAAGTCCTCCTCAATGACCTTTTCCACGTCCTTCCAACTGTTCTGCGGCGCATCGTCGAACATTCGTGCAAACATCTTTTGGAATTCCGGGGGTAATATAGCTGACTGCATTGCGATCGCTTGGCCGATCTTCAAGTAAAGTCCACCATTATGCCGCAGGAGGTCCGACAGTCGCTCTGCGTTTCGGCCATGGACGTCTGCGAGGGATCCGGCGAGAGGAGGGTTAGGACGGAAGTTGATTTTGTAGTCTAGTGCAACAAGCAATCCAAGCGAGAAAGTACGGGCGGTTCGGGTGATGGAGGAAGCGTAGAATTGGTTATCTAGAACGTAGACGATGCCAGTCGCGAGCGAGAGGTAAAAGATGCGACGCAGCCATTTTCGGGTTCGGTGATAGGTCTTTGCGGGGACGGGTTTCCCTAGGGAGCTGGGTGAGATCGGCACAAAGGGCTGAAATCCGCTAGAATGTATATCGCGACGCAGCGGAAGCGACTGGGCCAGGCGAGGATGGCGATGGGGCAGAGAGCGGAGATGGCGCGGGGATAGAGCGAGTCTCGTGAGCGGGAGTGAGGCGGAGGAACTTGGGCACAGAGCCCGGTGGAGAGCGGCGGACGCCATGGGAGATCCAGATAGCTAACGGTGTATCATGACGATACCCATGGAGCCAGGTCTAGGATTTAACAGAATGTTAAGGGAAGGAGATAGCACGGAGGTAATGATGATGAAGAGGTGAGGCCGGGAACTTGACGCCGATTCCCCGAAACGGACGGAGATAACATCATCGCCATTACATAGATTGTTTTATCAAAATGTATACATCTCGTCCATCACCGGCTGGTATGCCAACTGCCTGCAGACTTTGGCGTACTCCCTCATATTGTTTGGGATGATCTCATCCCAGAGTTCGTCCGATTCCAGGTACTCGAGCTGTTTGCGACAAACCGGCTCCGAGGCCATTGGGAGCAGCTTCGGGAGATTGACAATGGCAGTCTTGACAAAGTTCTTCTTGAAACAGTTCCCAAACGCTGCCAGAATGTGAGAGTCGGCGCAGATGTCGCGTCCCTCGAGTTTTGGCCCACACTGCCGCTTGATGATATCGGCGGCCTCGTCGCCGAGTTTCAGCATTGCTTCCTCCTGCTTCGGGGCATTCAGGGTCTGCATCACGCTGCGAACGGCGGGGACGAAGGTATTATTGCGAGTCCAAAGGTCCCAATGGGGCACTGTTGGCTGGCATCCTTGATCGCAGATTTCGCGCTGGAATTTGTTGAATAGATCGTTGGGCCTTGCGGCAAGCGCTGTGACGACTTTGATGCACGTCGGGCTAAATTTGGCGGTTGTAAGGGGGAAAAGGAGTAATAGTAGAGACAGTATGAAGCGCATATTGTTAGATAAGGGCTGAATATATTGACAAGTGCGAGAAAGTTGAGGCAAAAGGAGAAAAATTAGGAGCTCATATTTGTGGAGGATCGACAAATTATATATCCCCGCAGATTGAGGGCGTCTACAATTCAAAATGACCAAAACTGGCTACAGGTGCAATAATTCTACCAGCTGTTTTTAATGAAGGACAATATGCGAAGAACAATTGTATTCTGATCAACGTTTGATCTTGATCTGGTTGATTTCACGATGATGTGAGGTCTCCTCGTATCCCCACTCCTTTCTTCCGACTCACCTTGTCAACTCCAGTACTCTCCCCGAACGCGACTTCTTGCGATCATCAAAATGCCTCCACTAGACCTAGTTGAAGTTGACTCCTTGGAGGCACATGTTATTATCGACAATGACCTGGATCCCATTTCAACCATCGCCCCCGACACCGTCCAGGTGTCTGGCTTGATGGGCCATCTGGCCATGAACTCACCCCATCACCTAAATGACAGAGGAGACGCGCATAGGGAACTCCAAATGGAAGATATATGTTGCTCAGCGCATGGCTTGTCGATTATCTTGGTACGCACCATTCCATTTCGTTCATACAAAAATGGCACCTGTTGATTCCGCAGACCGCTACCAAAGGCGATCAGAAGCATTCTATTCTTTTCGATGCAGGGCCGGAAGAAGACGCATGGGAAAGAAACGTTCGACGAATGAAGCCTGACCTTTCTTCTGTTGAGCTGGTCCAACTCTCCCATTGGCACCGAGACCATTCAGGTCAGTTTCCTACGCGGATGTAAGGTATAGGCTAAATCAACATAGGCGGCCTTCTTCGAGCGATTCGAATGATTACTGATGCAAGAAAAGCCAACGGGCTTTCTGACAACTTGATAGCCGATCTTCATCCGAACCGTCCAGACTATCGAGGATTCGCAATCGGCGAGAACATCATCTCTATGCAGGCGGATCCATCGTTTGGAGAGCTTGAAGCTGCCGGCGCAACTGTCCAGAAACATGACAGCGCGCATACTGTGCTAGATGACTTCTTCCTTATATCTGGCGAGATACCAAGGCGAACGCCTTACGAAATAGGCTTAAAACATGGAATGCGATTCAACAAAAAGGACAATGAATGGACATCCGACGAGGTCATTGCTGATGAGCGATTTATCATGTGCAATGTCAAAGGTTTGCCATTATTCATGCCATACACATTCACATGCAACGCTAATAATATCAGACAAAGGAATCGTCATGTTGACTGGCTGCAGCCACGCTGGGGTTGTCAACTGCACTCAACATGCGCTGGAACTTGCAGGAGGTTCCATCCCTCTGCATGCCGTGATTGGGGGCTTCCATCTGGCCACAAGCGATGAAACCATGATTAATAGAAGCATCAAAGATTTGTTGAGATTGGATCCCGCGGTGCTTCTGCCAGGCCACTGCACCGGATGGAGGGCTAAATTTGCTATCGAGAAGCGCCAGCCTGGCATGCTCGTCCCATGCTCTGTGGGTTATAACATCACATTTTAACTGCTAAGATCCTTGAGCTGGGCGAACGAAGGATCGTTCAATACTCATCACGGGCTTACATCAAGCTGGATTGGTAGAGCACGAGCTAGCTAGCCCAGGATCATGGCGGCTTGCAGGGTTCTCCGCAACCCAAGCATTACTGGGTCAGCCATACAAATTGACTCAGGTATAGCGAGTGTTATACCTCCGGCAACTCGGTCAACGTATAATGATGCAGTCCGCCAAAGACAGCAAACAAACGAGGCCACTCAAGATGAACCTCAAGGTTTATCTTTTAGTCTCTTTTGAGCCTGATGCTCACTCTAGGTGGGCTTATTCTAATCTATATACTTACTAGGCCGATTAGGCTCTTTATCCATGACTAGCGAGTGTATCGGAAAGGCGGCGGTTTTGCGCTCATTATCCCGAGGGACATCATTTCCCGTACCTGGATCGGTAAACCTACCTGATATGCTATGGCTAAGGTGTCAAGCGACCCGCTTCTTTTTCGCTCTCATCAAGGCACAGAGCGAGCACCGTCTATACCGGTTCTTCAACAGCTTTGAGCATGGCCACCCATCATCGCCGAACTGTGTGGAGAGCAACATCTTTGGTTCATTCCGCGTGATACAGACCCGCGAACCTGAGCACCTCAAAGCCGTCTTAACAGGGAAGTTTGCAGACTTTAGCAAGGGCGAGCTCTTTCATAAGCTGTGGATTCCGTTCCTTGGGGACAGTATCTTTACTACAGATGGGAAACAATGGCAAGGCATCCGCAACCTCATTCGTCCGATGTTTGTCAAGGATCGTTTCAGCGATTTAGATATCTTTGGGCGCAAGGTGCAGACCATGCTGCGCTTATACAGTCCTTCTGGCGATTCAACGGACGTCATGGACCTGTTCTACCGGATGACCCTCGACGCTATTACCAAGTTCCTGCTCGGCAAAGGCATCAACAGCCTGGAGAAACCCGCAGGCGGACTTTGCCTTGGCCTTTGCAGATGTTGAGCGCACCCAGATAATGCTGACCATGATCGGGTATGTGCCCATACCTCAACAATGACTTGAACTGACAAACGCAGCGCGGCCCAGCATCTATACCCACGCGGCAAGTATAAAGAGGGTCTGAGGTTGTCCGGCCATTCGTTCATGATACACTAAGTCTCCAAGCGAGCGAGCCTGGAATCGGCTCGGAGAGATCCTTCACCTTCCTCCACGCCCTAGCCAGCTACATCCGGAACCCTAAAACAATCCGTTACCAAGTCGTATCTGTCCTTCTCCCCGGCCCAGACACTACGGCCGCGACACTCTCCTAGGCCTTTTATGTACTCTCCCACTATCCAGCAGTCACCTCCAAACTCCGCTGTGAGATTCTTGGCAGAGTAGGCTCTACACGAGCACCGACATACGAAGACCTCAAGAACATGCCCTACCTTCGGCACACAATCAACGAAACTCTCCGCCTCTACCCGGCCGTGTCCTATAACATCCGATTCGCTCTGACGGATACATCCTTGTCCACTGGCGGCGGAGCAAATGGCGACCTCCCGATAACAATCCTGAAGGGTGACGCAGTCGCATACTCGACATACGCCATGCAGCGCCGCGCAGACCTCTACCCACCGGTGTCTGAAACCTTCGCAGACCCGGCTGTCTTTTCGCCGGAGCGGTGGGAGGTATGGTCTCCAAAGCCGTGGCATTATATACCATTCAATGGCGGGCCGCGGATCTGCATTGGCCAGAACTTTGCGCTGGCGGAGATGGGGTATACGATTGTGAGGATTTTGCAGAGGTACGAGAGGATTGAGTATGTCGGAGAGTGGAAGATGTAGTTTCACAAGTCGGAGATCGTGGGGACACCGGGGATGGGCGTGAATTTTAGAATGTATGAGGTTGGAGAGCCCTAGTTGTTTAAATGTTTCTGTTCAAGGCATAATTGAACGTCGCCGCTGTGGTCATCAATGGTTTGAAGTCTGCGTGTGTGGGCACCAAGTACATAAGAGCCTAACTCAGGTCTATATATCCACCTCGTAGGATGCTCAAATGTCATAGAGCCCTGGAATGTAAGGACCTGTAGAGGATTACTCCCATCAATAGGGCAGTATGCTTCACTGTGTCGAACAAGCTATACCTATGAAGTGGTGGCAAGTGCTTCCGATGACCGTGCCCTAAGTAGAGCACCTCTAAGCACTTGGTATTAAGACCACACATGAATTCATATATATAGATCTGGGACTACAAACATTAAGTTACTTGTATACTGACCACTGATCATATACCGGCCACATATACTTTGCAGCCCTGCTTCGAGTTAAAGCGAACGAATATATATTCATCTGTGAACCAGAGGGATCCTATACCCTACCTACCTTCCCTGTATACTCCGTACCAGATGACTTCTCACCCAGACATTCACCCAGGTAGCAAACAGCACCGAACTCGTCCTCGCTCGGAGTATCTTCGCTCTTAACCCCGTGAGTACTCCGTACGTGCCCCATATTGCTCAGGAACCATGTATACCACAACTCCCACGCCTATCATCGCATTAGCACACACCGTTATGTAACCAACTGACCTTTAACCGGCAGATAGATAAGACACAGGCACAGACAGACACAGCCACGGCAATCGCTTCGCAAGACCTCGACCAAAACATGCAGGGAACGCCCCGGCCTTGCATAGTTTCAGCGCGAAAAGAGCAAAAACGCCAAGCGCAGTATTTGGAAGGAATGCCACGCCAATCCCGGCGATGTCGATCCCCCGGAAATGGTGCTGCCTTTGTTGGTGCGCTTTGTGTGTTTATCCACGGGTCCGGGGTGCTCCAGTTGATCGGGATCTTCAGAGATAAGACTGGTTGGGGGCTTGGGGCAGTGCAATGCAATGGGCTGATTGATTCATGTTTAGAAGCTGGTAGACTAGGCATCGCAGTTTCCATCCCGGGTCGATATCGATGTGGACAGGACAGGACATTCCAGCCTCGAAGCCAAGAGGTGAATCAATAATGGGGGGAAAACAAACCTCATTCTCATCTCGCCCTCACCGAATGCCTCAAAGTCAATGTACCGAGAGGAATGCATGGCAGGGGTCTTGGCGGGGTGTAGCAATAACTGAGTTTCTGTGTCTGACGATGAGAGTGATGATCAGGAAGGTGCCATTGGATCGGACGCAGTAGTGTTACAGAGCAGCGTAGACAGATGCGGTGCTGTGCTACGACCACAATACAGTTTAGCAAAGGACACTTCTACAAGATCATCAAGCAAAGTCATACAAGGGGTGCCAAGCGCACCCTGTCCATCGCAATTGCTTGGCGGCAATAGGACGAACTTTCGGACTTCACTTCGGGGACTCTCACCTGCAGGCTGACTTGCTTTTCTTGTCTCCTCGGTCGGCAGCCCCAAGACCCAAGGCATTGGACAATGGGGTCTCGTGCGCAGGGGTCTCGTCACTCGTGCGCACTGCGCAGAGCTCTCCCGCATCTTGGCCTGCCTGATTGATTGATCGATACGACCCCGAGACATGATCTACGATGCGGACTCATGGGATTTGCAGGCAGCAGCGAGTTTGGCTCTGGCGCTTCGCCTTACTTGGGCGTTGACTCGGGTTGGTTTCATCCTGGGCCCGTGATAATGATTCGATGAATACAGATCGCCAGGCCAAGTCCGACCTGCAGGGCAGAACGGCAACACTGAATCACTCGCTGTGAGCCTGAGACGTACGGGGTAGTCGAGTCATGCACTGCGACCCCGTGCTCAACCCCGTATACGTCACCGGTACTGCAACCCTGAGGGTATCACTAATCACTATCACTATTCGGGCGTCACATTGTAGGCAGAACGTCCCCGACAGGAGACCACCAATGTCAACTGCATGCACAGTCTGTTTTCTTGAGCTTGGCATAGGCACGGGATACCCTATGCTGCTACTCCGGCGATAACGAATCGATTGCTGAATGGAGAGGAATGCAGGCTTGGCTGGCCGTTGCCTGTTACACTGTGTTCCTTGACGAAGTCAATGGCCAGGGTCCAAACTCCCAAGTCCCAGCTTCGTCTCAGGTACTCTAACGAGTACTGCTGCAGAGTGATGCTATCCGCTACCAGTTGCAATGCAGAGTCGCAAATTGGGTGTACCGGGTGCGCATAATCTGGGAATTGCATAACTCAGGGTGAGGTTCGAAGTTTTAGAATTGAGGGCGCGGGGGGCGATTCCGCCGGCCTGGCAAGACCGACATCCCTGAAGATGATCACTTGGCGTTGATTGTGTAACGTCTCGTCAGGTTAATTTGCTGGATATTTGAGACGAAGCTGTTATGACGCTGCCGGTAAGTCAAGTGGCCGCGGGTTCGGTTGGATCAGTTGTATCTGGAGTAGAATATAGAAACGTGGTAAGCACGAAAAGGTCAAAAGTACTCGTCTGAACCAATTCCGGCGGGATATCGAGAAGTGGTCGGAGTCCATTTCCGCACAGCAGTCAATCAGTCGGGCGGTTGGAAGTTGGAACAGGGACAGTCTACTGTCTTCCAGAAAAATCTTATCGCGCATCCAAAGAGTCTCCAAATCTGGCTCGTGGAAAGAGTCTTTGAGAGTGCGTTCGAGACAGAGTCAGGTCAACCACGGAACTCACCCGCCATCGCTCGTATCAATTCCGTGGTTGGTTTAGATATGGCTCAAACGTGCCGATTCCCGAGTAGACTGACGAGTAGACTACGTTGCTAGCACGCCGATTAGAAGCCGAGATTTGATTTTGCGTCCGAGCCACTTATCGATGGACTTTGTGCTCTCGAAGACACGTAGTACTTTGTAGTGCGTCTTCCGTGCATACGGAATGCGGAGCGATCTAGCTCCTCTGAGCAGGAACTTCAGGATAACACGGCATCTCAGTCTTGGACACTTTGCGGGTGAGCGATTTCGAGTCTTTGACTCTTTGACTCTTTGACTGTAGAGACAGTCTACCTAGAGCGTGAGCTCGGACGAGGCAAAATCCGGTTCGTCCGAGTCCGAGTCCGAGTCAGTCGCAGTTCGTACGTAGTCCTCAAGTTCATGTATCTATTCCCGCCCATAGGGAGCAGAGATCCAAAGTGACGCACGGAGATATTCGCCAGGGCGTATAGACCTCTATCCCTAGCCGGTGATCATCAACCTCGCTTTGTAGTCTACTGTTCCCTCCGGGGACTCATCGAGTGACTCGAGTCAGTCTCGCCTGGGGTTGCTGAGCGGATACGAGTACGATGCCTCAGCCTGACTAACTCGTGCTCGAGAACACTGAATATCGCGGAGATGCCAACGGTCAACCACCAGCGTCAAAAGACTCAGGCAGAAGCCGTGGTTATGATGAGCTGTTTCTTGTCCCGTCCCGTCTTCTAGCTGCCTCAACTTTAACTCCTTTAGTTAGGAACCTAGGAGTCAATCGGGCTTGGAGCCTTGGACCGGACCGTGTCCGCTATAGCCATAGCCGTACCATAGGCTGTAGGTCACTGCCGCCGTCGTGGGGTGACTTCGAAGCCATCCAATCCTTCAACACGATGCCATGGATCATGGGGTAAGGGTTCTATGGTCTCGACAGCTTGCGCCTCCATCGATTGAAGTTGCCTACCGACAGCACGTAACCTCCTGCGCGGTGTGCTTGGCAAGCTTCACTTTTAGAAGGCAATTGCGTACTCTTGAAGCGTCGCATCCTGCTGTCAGTAGGCAGAAAGCAATATCGCATGGCGATGTAGCCAGAGCCACGATGTACTTCTCGCCGACAACCGTATGTGGTGCGCTGAATCATGAACAGCCTCGGGTTATTCCATCCTTCGTCCGGAGTAGAATAAGGCTGGGCACGCAGAAAATCCCTCACCAAGATCATCGATGCGACAGCTTGGCACGGGCGATCGTCTCCGGAGGAGTGGGGTGGCCTGCTAGCGACTCACAGCTGCAGGAGCGGCATCCATTATCTTGATTAATTTGGTGTTCCTCTTACTTAATTCCCTAGCTCGTGTTGGGGATAGTGTGTGCTTGCAATAACAGGGC